TAAGATAAAATTATTATTAAAGAAAAAGAAGAAAAATATAAAGTAAAGAATATTAATATAATAAAAATAGGAGAAAATAGTAAATAATATTATAAAGTATAATAAAAAAAAAGGGAAGAAAAAGAAAAAATATAAAAACTTATAAAATATTTTAAAAACTTAATAACGCTAGTAGAAAAACTTTATTAAAGCCTAGGGATTATACTAGCTTAGGATTTATTATTAATATTTTAAATAATCTACTAATTTTAAAAAAGCAAGGATAACTTTAAAAAAACCTTTTACTAACTATACTATAGCAGCCTAGTAAGCGACCTCTACTTCCTTATATTTAACCTTATTTAACTCCTTTAAATTATTAATACCCTATGTAACTATATAAATTATCTTCTTTAATTATAAATATTTCTATTTATAAAGATATTTAATCTTTACATTAACTATTTTATATTTTTTTTTAGCCTTTTTAAAAATATTTTTATATTAAGTATAAAATAAAGTAATTTTTTAAAGCTAAGCTAACGATAATAAATATATATTATATAAGGATTTATTATCCTTTATATATTTAATATAATAAGTAAAATCTTTTTTAAATATTTAATACTTTAAGAAGCTCTACTTTTTTTTATTAAAATAATATATATAATTTTTTATTTTAATAAAATAAAATAAAATAATTTCTAAAAAAATATTATAATACTTTATCTTAGGATAGAATTTTTTATAAATACCTAATATAATAATTAATAAAGATATATAAATATAAGGGAAAAATAAAAATATTAATAAAAATAAGGGGGAAGTAGCTACTTATACTAAATATAATAAAGTTTTAAGGATAAAACTAATAAAAAAGGGATATTATATTATAACCTAACTCTTAAGGTTATAATAATAGGCTAATAGATTAGTCTAAACTAAATTAACTTTAATCCTTTAACTAATTAAAAAAGGATTAAAATATAACTTCTTAATTTAATAGTAAATTAATAAACTATTTATTAATTTAAAAAAGGATTAATATTTTATATATTAATTTTATCTAAGTTAACTAAATATATAAGTTTACTTTATATTACTTATTAAAATACTTAAATAGCTAGTTATTATTACAGCACTTATAATATAATTAAATTAGAACACAGATATCTATTCTTATTTATATTACTAGCTGGTAATAAAATTACCTATTTACCAACCTAATTACTCCGCCAACATAAACCATAAAACCACTCTAAGGTTTATCCCTTGGAAACAGCTAACCTATACTAACCTATAGGACCCGGTTCGTCACACGTTTCTAAATGTAATTAGCATTAAATATATACGAAGATTCACTGCGGGCTTTATCTTCAGTTTCTCCTCAGCCATTTGTGGATTCTTAGATAGTCCTTAGGTTGGCATCTTTGATTGGATTTAAAGGGTATAGTATATTTCTAAGCATGTGAAGAAATGCAAATTATCTACCACGTGGGTACCAGTCCCTGGTCATAACCGTAGCAACTGTCTTTGACCCATGCACCGAATATCTCGCCAAGTTACCCCAAATAGCATAACCGCGGTAATATCCTAATGGGTGATTTCACGTTGCCCCTTGTGATTGGTCACATATAACGCAACTCTAGAACTCCGCGGATATCTTGATAATTCAGCCCTTTGACGAACTTGTGTCCAACGCGGGCCTGGAACAGCCAAGATAGGAACTACGACGTTTGTGGGAAAGCACACATTGTTTGAGAGCAACGCTTCATTTAGACTACATTGAATCATGCCATGATAATGTTTTGATAAGACTTGAATACCGAGGAAGTTGCAATCGATAAGCTCGAAATTTAACTATCCAATGAGTGTGTAATGTATTACTACCTAGTAAACCGTTGGCTATTCTACCTGCTTACAGCCTAATGCCCATATCTACAACAAAGGACATGGATAAATTGTAGTTGTCTTCAAAGTGGGCAATGAACATGGGAATGATATCTGCAACGTGGGGCGGATAATGAAAGAAACAAAGGGCACGTGGATGCTGGAACAGTTCCACAGTGGCATTGCCATGAAAGTAGGTGTTGATGGCAACATGTCCGGCTTTGATATTAGTGGGAAGAGTGAAGGGGCAACCCGTGAAAACTTGAAATATAAATACACAGCTTCCAATCTAAATCGCAAACTGCAGAGCTTCCATACACTCCACCTCACACACTGTTGACATCATCACGTTCCTTGCCAAGATCATAAAGAAAACGACAATGTCTACTCCTCCGACTTCGACAATCTCGCCACCAATTTACTATTGGGGCACGCCCGTCGTACTCATCACCACCGAGAACGAGGACGGGACTTTCAACATTGCGCCTATGTCCTCGGCCTGGTGGCTCGGAAATCGATGCATGCTTGGTCTAGGTGCTGATTCACAATCGACCATCAACCTGATTAGAACCAAGCAGTGCGTGATCAACATGGCTGACGATACCATGGTCGGAGCGGTTAATGCCTTGGCAATGACTACCGGTTCGAAAGCGGTGACGACGGCCACGGAGGACATGGGATACTTGTACTTTAAACGCAGTTAAGGATACCAGTATGTGAAAGACAAATTTTCACGTGCAGGGTTGACTCCTACGGCTTCCAACGTGGTTCGGCTGCCTCGAATTGCAGAGTGTCCGGCTCAGATGGAAGCAGAATTGAAAGGAGTATACGACATGATGGGTGACATGGATATAAGGGGGTTTATCTCACTGGAAGTGATGGTTTTGCAAACGCACGTCCATGAGAGCATTCGCTGGGATGGATACTCTAACCGAATTGACCCCGATAAATGGCATCCTTTGATCATGAGCTTCGCTCAGTTTTACGGATTAAAGTACAACAAGACTACCCAGTCTACTATGGCCCAAATCGATGAAGAAGCATACAGGCCTTTCGCCAATGCTGTCGACGAGACGACAACAATGGAAGAGGTATAATAAACAGGCTTCTGGATTTGGTATGCGAAGGGCAAAAGCTCAGGATTGTGCTGGTGATAGAGTCTGGTCGGCATGAGTCCAATATTACAATACAATGTTGCTAGTAATCAAGACCCAATCTGAATTTATCATCAATACATTTTTTTGTAAACGCTAACTGTATTCATATGTGACTGATGGAAGTTGAAGTAAAATATACATATGTATATATATTTTTCAGGGCCCGAGCCTTTGCACCGAGTTTATTATCGCGATTGCGGCTATTGGCCTAATCTTTGCGGTGGATGAGTCGTAACAATATAGCTATAAATAAATACCAATTGCTACGTATGTTAGTAAGACTGGCTAAATTAGCCCAGACTACCAGGGGGTCTCTGAAAGCTCCGCGGAATCCAGAACTCCTTACTCCGGACTTCAGTTACAATTTGTATCAGCTTACGTCACTCTAGTGACAATACAACTTGCAATTTACCAAGAATTCCCTTATTGCTAAGCTTCTGTTTATCGTAACCTGTACTTCACAATCCGCCACACAATGGTATATATAGGAAAGCCAAGTACAGGGTGTAGTAATTGCCGTACTATGAAGAAAAAAGTAAGTAGACCAATTCTCATCGCGCTCTGCTGTTCCTTCAAAAATGTCGCAGAAGCTAACTTGGCCATCCTCGAGTGTGATCATGGCGTTCCATCTTGTGGGCGATGTTTGAGGAAGGGAGCTGTCTGTGGGGGCTACCGCGACAAACTTGATCTTACCTTTCGTGACCAGACTAGGCAGACCATTCACAAGTCTAACCAAGCCAAACACAAAGTGAAGAGCCCTGTGGTCGCTACCCAATTGGTCGGCAACCCCATGGAGGCTAAATCTCCTAGTCAGCTGGATGAGAGTAAACGATTAATCACACCTGCCCTCTCCGTTCCCATTACAGATCAGGCTGTAAGCTTCTTTTTCTTCAATTTCGTGCTGACAGATCCCATTTCGGGTGGTGGGCATCTCGAGTACCTTCCAGTCATATATGACGGTATTGCTCGCGACGTGGCGCTGCCTACTGCTATCGTTGCTATCGGCATGGCAGGCATCGCAAATTTGCAAAGAAACCGAGATCTATTGCTGGCAGCGAATGCACAATACGTTCTCGCTATCCAGCTCACCCAAGCGGCCTTGATAGATGAAACTCTACGTATCCAAGATCAGACTCTTGTGAGCATCTTACTTCTTGCTTTGTATGAGGTAAGTGGTTCCTTACCGGGTCTCATTTTATTCTCAAGGTTTGTAAATAATTACCGTTCTTTAGACAATAGCGTGTTGCTCGCCAAAATCACTGCATATCTGGTCGAACCATGTCACAGGGGCAACGGCGCTTATTTCTCAGTTCGCCCAGCAACGACTAATGGATGCTGTTGGAATACGCATCTTTTCACATCTTCGCTCACACGCGGTATGGAACTGTTTAGTCGATATCTTTGCACTGATTATAGTCTTACTGACCTGATCGCCTCCTAGATAATCCAGGCTCTTCAACGGTCCCAGCACATTCCTGACGAGATTCAGCGATGGTCTACTAAGACACTGGACTTGCAAAGCACCAGCCAAGGATTCGAGGATCAACTTCACCATTTAGCCATAGACCTATGCTCACTGCGAGCTTCCGTTGACAATGAACTACTTACGGATAGGCCTACAATCATCTCCAGGGCTTCAACTCTGGATGACAAATTAGCAGACTGGTCAAAAAGATTATCCATTACGTATGGGATTGCAATTGACCAGGGTCTTGCAGCGAGAGACACACCAAACCCAGCACGCGTCAATTCTTATTCCGATGTGCACGTATCAAACGCGATCAACTGCCACACCCTCCGTATCCTTACCAATGAACTCATTCTAAACACGCTTGATCAGGCGAAAGGAGAAACCAATGTGGACTATCAACGCCTGCGCTCACAGCATACCATGAACACCCTCATAGCTGAGGTCTGCGCTAGTGTTCTTTCGTTCACGGACAGAGAGCGGCAGCAGGCAGGCTTTATTGCCAGGGGCGGCTTCTTATTGTGGCCATTATACGTGGTCTCGGCAGTTCCATGGGCCTCGAGGCTCTACCGTGATTGGGCTATTACACAGCTGAAGGAATTGGGGGTTGAGACGGGCATCTTACAAGCAGCTTTACTAGCCCGTGTACTGCAGATAAACGGCGAGATTGACTTTTTGGATAAGGACACCAATGGCGAAAGAGATATTTAGAAACAAGAAGAGCACGATTGAAATGGGATTTGAACTCTTTTTAGAGCTATAAAACTTCAAACCAACCGGCCCGACTGAACCTTTTTTTTGTATCATATAGGCAGCAAATTTTATAGTCGCGCGATGATGCTGACAAGGTACTTTCTCAAGCTCCTGCATTGAGGGTGCAGCATCATTTCGTATCTGGCACCTTGAGAAACCTTGTACAGCCAATGCTACATCTTCCCAAGCCCAACATGCCTCACCGCGCAGCATGATCCTAATTATTGCAAAACACGACGCTGCTTAGGGGTAGACTATCTGTCTCTCCGTCTGTGCCTGCGGGGCCCACGGATTCCGTGGCATCTCGTTGCAGAACCCCGCCATGACAAATACTTGCCGGTGTTAAGCAATAGAAACGTATATAACCTACATAAAGCACACATTGCAGTGAAAAAGGATGCATGGCGGAGCCTAGCAACTCATTAGGGCTTACTTACCTGGCAATTCATCGCAAGGAATAACAAATAGCAACCAACTCTGACAACTTTACTTAAGGAGTCGGCGACCTTGTTGCCTTACCTGCTCTACGTGCCATGGATTGGGTTGCATGCAGTTGTAACCCTTGTTTCGCCCTGACATTGTCAGTCTTATTACATGGCGGTGTTCAAATGCTATAATAAGAAAGCATTGGTGACGCGCGTAAGGTATGGGATGTGCTGGGCGTTGATTGTTCGCGGTGATGTATAAAACCCCAAGCTCTCAACTTCAACTACCGCCTCAAATTATAGCGTGAGGAACTCGGTGTGTATCAAAGTACAGACGCTACATTTTCTTGTCAAACAGTCGGGCGTGTGCTCAAACGTGCCAAATTACCGAATCACAGTTGCTCTTATACAGCCAACTTCAGCGGCGATGGCATCAACCTCGACCCTCCGATGGGCGTTGATCTTTTTGTTTATCCTATCGGTCAACTGCATCAAGCTTCCAGTTGACAACTCGCAGGACGGGATAATGGCAAAGACTCCAGCACGCGCATCGATCAAGCAGGATGACTTTTACATTACCAGCTTCTTGCAAGACCAGCTAGACACTCTGTCATCTGACCAACAGTGCTGGCTCCAGCCTGGTGTCACCGGCTTAAGAATCCTGCTGCAGGGCAACATTTCACAGCCTCCTGCCTCGATGAGAAACTTCGCATTGGGCATACGCAACATCAGTAGCTCTGGCAACGCCTTCTCCATCGACTTTGCAAAAGACGAGTTTCTCGTCAACGACATATCAGAGTCGACGTTCATCATTCTCGGTTTGGTCCATCGTGAGTCTGAGCCTCAGTCCCATTCAACGATTCCATTCAGCTAACAGCACAGCAGTTATTTGCATGACACTTGCTTTCTTTCTCGTCTATCCCATTATTCTTCTACTGGCTTCGGCAACTGTTTTATGTCATCTAATCGGCCGGCCTGTGAATAAGAAAATTGTCGATAGGTGGCAGATGATTCTCCAGCTTGGTGTTTTCGCCCCGCTAGTGGCTGGAGGCATGGTTACTGGCATTTTTGCCAAGGGGACAGCAGATCATTTTAGTTCGGAGCATGGTGTAAGTGTTCAATTGTTACAGCATCCTCGAGAAGCTAACATCCAGTGAGCAGATTGTGGGCCTCGTTACCGTGTCTCTGACAATTGTCGACGTGATAATCTACTTCTTCCTGCGGCGGATGAGTAGAGGATTGTCGACTTTCGAGTCCATTCCTCGCCGTGTCAGATATGTCCACTATGCCGATGTTGCGCTTTGCCAGGCCATCCTCATGATATCGAGCTTCGTGCTTCCCGACGGCATCGACGACTTTGCGGTCATGAGCCTTTGCGACACGGCCGTTCTGTCAGATTCATGGGTATTTTCGCTCGGCATGGTGCTCGTTTTTGTCTGGAATGGGGCAATGGCTGCGATGACGATGCAGTGGTTTCTTGTGAGGCGGTCCAGGAAGATCGACGCGCAGGAAACAGTGCCTCTATGCTCAGTTGATTCGTCAAGACCTTTATCACCCACAACAGAGATCGTGAGCGGCCTCAAGTAAGCTGTAGGGACGGCTCGGACTAGATTTTGTATTGCGTAGAGTATAGATGATAGTAGAAGTGGTTGGTGGGACAATTACTTGGCCAGTCGAGATATTACATAGGGAAATAGTTATTTTATTGCTTAGTTTTCAAATAGCCACCCATTCCTTTTTGTAAAACGGCCTCATGAATTTGAACAGGCTATTCATCACAGGTCAACATGTGCCTATGATCCCCAAGGAGTTGCGTGCAGAGACAAGCGGGCTTCAGCGACGTCTAAGTGCCGCTGTATGTGCACGAAGATGGTATGAAGGGAATGTGTAATACGGTGGGGCAGGTTTTGTGCAGCTGACGGAAGGATCAGCGGGACGAAGTAATCAGTCAACTTTCAGGTTCCCATAAGGCAGAGAATCAGAACGCGCATAGCCAGCTAAAACTCTTGCCGCGGACGCCGCCCCGCTCTGACGGCTCATTGGAGCGCAATGACTTCCATATCTAGAATAGCTGCATCGTGGGTATCGACCTGAAGGAAATGGCAAGGTAAGAAAGGGAGCGGTTTATAGTATTGGAAAGACATCATTTTATGCCTGAACACAAATAGGGGACAACAAATTGGGTGACTGGCTGACTAGAGGGGATGTTGTTGAATCTATAGCTATGTGTACTGAAATGTGCAAGTCTATTCGCAATGTATGGAGACTTTGGACGTGAAGGCGTTGCAATATACGGGACATATTTTTCTCTTCGTGGAGCTCGGAGCATTCGCCTCTTTACTTAGGCCACCCTTTAACCTCAAGCTCGCCGAATGAACTTCGTATCCGTTCAAGGAATGCTACTTGTCTTCATTCGCAATTCATAATGAAAGCTGACAATCACTTTGACGGCTATAAGAATTCAACCAAAATAGCCGAATACGTAGATGCTATTGGGTCTTGTAGTATCCTACTGATAGTCGATACACCAAAATTCTTGACCAATGATGTTATATTGGGCGTTGAACAATGCGGCTCCTCCCATAGGCGGTATAGAATGTATACGAGACGATGGCTCGGATCATTTACTTTGACACTTCCGAAAGGGGAGTCATTATGACTCTGTGACACTTGGCTTTCGTCTGGGTGGCTCCTCTCAATGATATTGGTTGGCTATATACTTTTCTCTGCATCATTGGAGCCTCACCATCATCACTTGTTCCGATTGTCTTGGACTTCCCGGTTGAGATATCTCATCCAGTCGGCCCAGAAGCAACTACCACAATCGGCTGGGCTGGACGCTGCCTACCGGCTGATGCCATGAATGCAGGAGCAAATTGAATGCCGCCACGCAATACGAGTACATATCCGATATTACAGGCTGCTCTGGCAATAGCGGTGTCCCCAGCGATAAGTTGCCGTCAAGAGTTTATAGCCGCATCGAGGGATGTAAGGATCTCTTGTCAACATCTTTTGATATGAAAATACTAAATCAGAGAAATAGAAGCATTTGAGTTCTTAATTTCCTTTTATACGGAAACACATTAGATAGAGTGGTATTAGGCTGACGAACAATACCGGTTAATGATCTGCAGCCCCCTCGCATCGGCCTCCGCGGCTAGCGGCAAATCAACAGTGGCGCAGACGTAACTTGAGATTGGTTGTCACTTGGTCCTGGGTCGTTCAAGGGGCTTCAGAGCATACCAAATCTTGTATGTCAAGACTCAATCGTCGTCGTCTGCAGGGTCAGCCCATTCCTATAGACTGACTTACGAATCACACAAAGTGGTGGCATTTCCAAGACAGATACACACACGCATATATATATCCTCATCCCTCAGTCCACAAAACTAGTATCTCTTATACCGACCATCTCAAGTCTACAATTCAAGCACGTCACAACAGTGTATTGGAAACGGACTGACTAATACATATACATTATGACCACGAGAAAGAACTCAAACATCCCACAACCGCGAACTATTCCGCTGCTGGGTAACATCCCAGATGTTAATTTGGAATACCCGCTTGGATCCCTTCTTCATCTCGCAAATAAATACGGTACGCAAAGGATACTGTAACCTGCATACAAAGGCCAAATTTCCTAACTTTGCAGGGCCAATATATAAATTATCTATCGGTGGCACCAAATTGGTGATTCTTTCATCGTACGAGTTCGTCAACGAAGTCTGCGATGATAGCCGATTCAAAAAGTCTATCCAAGGTGATCTTGAGGTAAATGTCTTTATACAATCTAATTGGTTCTGCTTCTGACTTTTCCACTCCAGGAACTCAGGGCTGTTGTACACGATGGGCTTTTTACGGTAGGTAATCCTAAACGTGATGAGCAATTAGCAGCAATGTACTAACAGCACACAGTCTTCGGGAGAAGAAGAAGAAAATTGGGGAATTGCGCACCGCGTGTTGATGTCTGCTTTTGGGCCAATGTCAATCCGAGGAATGTTCGACAATATGCATGAGGTGTCAAGCCAACTTACCCTGAAATGGGCGCGCTATGGTTCATCTACGCCGATTTCTGTTGGAGAAGACTTCACACGTCTTACCCTCGATACTGTTGCACTCTGCTCCATGGGGTTTCGATTTAACTCCTATTACCGAGACGATATGCATCCGTTTATTAAAGCAATGTATGCTGTACTAAAAGCCGCCGGAGACAGGAACATGCGCGTCTTACCGTCCATCCTTCATAAATCCGCAGATCGCAGGTTTGAGTCCAATATCGCAATCCTGCGATCGACTGCTGGGCAGGTCTTAGCAGCTAGGCAAAAAGCCCCGGATGCCACTGGTGATCCTAAAGATCTTTTAAACGCCATGATCAACGGCGTGGACCCTAAAACTGGCCACAAAATGACAGAGCAGAGCATCATTGACAATTTAATTACGTTTCTTGTTGCAGGCCACGAAACCACCGCCGCCACGCTTTCGTTCACCATGTACCAATTAGTAACGAACCCCGACGTTTACCGCAAGGTACAGGCTGAGATTGATCACGTCGTCGGGAGTGGGCCGATCATGATAGATCATGTTGGGAAGCTAAAGTACTTATCCGCGGTGTGTATCAGTCATATTAACGCATTTCGAAGCTCTCGGTCTAATTGGTACTAACATGTGTTTCTAACTCAGGTCATTCGAGAGACATTGCGATTTAATGCACCAATCTCGGCATTTGCCAGAGAGGCAACCAAAGATGAAACCATTGGAGGCAAGTACCGGGTCAAAGCTGGCGAACAACTCGTCTGCCTGCTGGCAAAGTCCCACCTTGATCCGAAAGTCTACGGCGATACCGCCAACGAATTTGTGCCAGAGAGAATGATGGAAGATAACTTCAATCACCTTATGAAAGAATATCCGCATTGTTGGAGCCCCTTTGGTACTGGACTACGAAGCTGCATTGGGAGGCCGTTTGCCTGGCAAGAGATGATTCTATCACTCGCTATGCTTATGCAAAACTTCAACTTCGTTATGGACAACCCGTCTTATTCGCTAATCGTACAAGAAACTCTGACTATAAAGCCAAAAGACTTCAAAATTCGAGCTATACCTCGAGGCGGACTTATGCCTTTCCAATTGGAAGCACGGCTTGCTGGAGCTTTTAGTGGGAAGACGCAAGGCCCATTACCAACTTCGGATCAACAATCGCCTTCGAATTTATCGGCAAGTCCATTGAATAGTGTCGCGAAAGTAAGTGGTGGCACAAAATTGACAATATTCTACGGCTCGGATTCTGGAACATGTGAATTCATGGCTCAGCGACTGGCAAATGATGCTTCTTCTCATGGCTTCAAGGCTACAGTGGACACATTGGATGCTGGTAGAGAAGCACTCCCTACAGACGGGCCAATTGTCATCATCACATCTTCATATGAGGGGCAACCACCACATAATGCCGGCCATTTTGTCGACTGGATCCAAAATATGGACGGAGAAAAATTAGACAACGTTGCTTACGCCGTTTATGGCTGCGGTATGCTTTCTTATTGAACCCTTATTATGCTGTCTGGCTGATATGTTTTAGGTCACTCCGATTGGGTCAAATCTTATCATCGCATTCCTCAATTAGTAGATGTCACTCTAGAGAAGCTCGGTGCTCGCCGGATTGTTTCAATGGGAACCACCAATGCCAAAGATAGAGATATGTTCAGTGACTTTGAGTCCTGGGAGGATGAAGTTCTCTGGCCTGCAATCGAAAAGCAGTTTGGCGGATGTACAGAAAACGACAAGTCACCCATTTCCGGTCTCTCGGTGTCCTTTTCGACTCCCAGAGCTTTAACTCTCCGCCAAGATACTAGAGAGGGGTTTGTGGTGGCTGCCCGCACTTTGGTAGCCAGCAAATCGCTTTCCAAAAAGAAGCATCTCGAAGTCAGACTACCCAGCGATATAACTTACGCAACAGGTGATTACCTCGCCGTACTTCCTCACAACCCAAAGGAAACAGTATTGCGAGCTATACGGCGCTTCAGCTTGGCATGGGACTCCCATGTTGTTATCACGGCTTCAGAACCAACCACCCTCCCAACGGATACTAGTATCCCTATATCGAGTCTGTTGACATCCTACGTGGAACTTGGACAACCAGCGACTAAACGGGTTTGTACAATGCTAGAAAAGATACTATTTCCGAGCTCTTCATCTGACATTTCGACTTAGAATGTTCTTAGTCTCTATCTTATTGCTGAGGATGGCAAGTCGAAACAGGAGCTTTATCACCTGGCTACCAATGCCTATGAGACGGAGGTTAGGCTCAAACGCGTCTCTATACTTGACATTGCCGAGCAATTTCCAGACCTTTCAATACCTTTCAACCATTTCCTCCTCCTTCTACCACCTATGAGAGTACGAAAATAGTAAGAATCAACCTTGCAAACTTCCACTGTTAAATATTCTTCAATTCTTTCTAACCTAAATAAATTGTGCAGTTCAATTTCATCCTCTCCACTTTCAGATCCTACAACGGCAACTTTAACGTATTCGGTCATTGATAGCCCTGCATTGTCTGGGAACGGCCGATATATTGGTGTTACATCGTCGTATTTGTCGTCGCTTGCACCGGGGGATCGACTCCAGGTCTCTATCCGTGCTGCTCAAGGTGCATTCCGTATGCCAGCTGACTCCAGCAAAACGCCAATAATTTGCATTGCCACTGGTACTGGTATTGCTCCATTTCGGGCTTTCATCGAAGAGCGTTCCATCATTCTGAAAAGCGGACGCTCGCTTGCCCCGGCAGTTCTCTTTTATGGCTGCCGAAACCCTTTGGACGACAATTTATATTATGATGAGTTCTGCACGTGGGAAGCCGCTGGCGCTGTTACTGTTTTCCGATCCTATAGCCGTCAACCCGAAGCTTCTCACGGATGTAAATATGTGCAAGACCGCATCTGGCATGAACGACAGAATGTCACGCAGCTGTGGGACAGCAATGCTAAGATCTATGTTTGTGGCTCTAACGTAATGGCAGACGGGGTCAGAGAAACTTTGATTCGTATCTTGTCAAATAAACTTGAAACGAAAGGGGTACCAATGGGAAAGAAGGAAGCAATGGAGTGGTTTGAACGTATCACCAGCGAACGATATGCGATTGACGTTTTTGACTAGAAGTGTCATAGCTATTATTGAACCAGCGATGCTTCCGAAGATCGCATATTAGTACTATTTAATGACTGTTTATAAGACTGTGGGCTAAGTTTATAGGCTGGAATACCGTTGTCCAAAATACTTTTCTTATATGTAAGACGGCTAATGAAAGGAAGGGAAAATTGACTGATAGTGTGTTCTTTTGGGATTGATTACGCATTATTCTATATTAATACAAACTTTCCCTAAATTCTCTCCAGCTTGCAAATACTTGTAGGCATCCCTGAGCTCTTCAAGTTCAAATACCCGTGAGTCAACAATCGGCCGAAGCTTGTCCAAATTGGCCTCAATAGCAAGGCACATAGCCTCCATTTGCTGCCGACTACCGACTGAGATGCCGCGAACCGTGTAATGTTTAAGCCACGGATCTAACAAATTTGGAACTTCTGCTCCGTTGCCCTCGCCTCCAACGAAACCAACAACGCTCATAATACCATCAAGCTTCAAACTAGCAACGCTCTGCTTCATTGTTGATGCTCCTGCAACCTCGACGACTAAATCTACACCAATTCCTCCAGTCAGTTCCTTGGCGACTTCTCCCCAGTCTAGCGTCTCTTGATAGTTGATGATGTGATCGGCACCTAGTCTTTTAAGTAGTTTGGCCTTCTCGTCAGAGCTCGTTGTTGCAATGACTCTAGAGCCAACCAGTTTGGCAAACTGGACAGCAAATAAGCTGACTCCTCCTGTACCTTGTGTTAAAACCCATTGGCCTGCCATGAGCTGCTTGGCTGATAATCCGAAAAGAGCATTCCAGGCAGTTAGACCGGCGCAGCTAAGGGTGGCAGCCTCGATGAAATTCAAGCTTTCTGGCATCTTGACAAGTCCCTGCTCGTCAAACGCACCAACTGAGCGCAACGTTCCATCGATTGATCCACCAAGCCCTGAATCAGCGGCTTGAGCATCCATTGACCCCGCCAAATGTCTTTGGTTGAGGATCGTAACAACCTTATCCCCTGGTCTGAATCGCGTAACATTTTTGCCAACCGCGATGACTATTCCGGCTCCATCCGACCCGGGAACGACGTTGGGCTTTTGAGAGAATGGATACTTGCCAAGAGGAATGATAATGTCACGAAACTATACATAAGATCAGCTTACGTCATTTGAACAATGCATTTATAACATAGACTCACGTTCAGTGATGCGCCTTGGACTGGTTCCGGTTAATGGCATGGCCCTGTATTATTTCCAGAGGGAAAGATGGCTTACTTTTAACGAGTACGTAATTATCGGAAAGGATGGGGACTTCTTCCTCCATGAACTTCAGGGCATCAAATCCATCATAACCAGTGACTCTCCACTGTTTAGATGTCTTAGGAATCTCTTCAGCCATCGTATAGAAGCAAACTTGGCAGCTGAAGCTATGAAGTTATTTTATGGTTACGAGACGGGCTGGTATTTTTCTTCGTTCAAATTGCCGCCCATGGAGATACGGTTATATAGACAAAACTTTGAAGAGAGAACATAATCTGATATATCCCTCTATATGCAAATCTTTGTGCAATATGTTCCAATTCCCCTCTACTTCGTGCTTAGAAGACTCGGCTGATAAGCTTCCGGGCTGTGGCGCAATTTGAGTCGCCATGGCGCCGTGGAGTCCCTGGCATCCCAGCTTATAAAGCGATGTTCATTTTTCTCGCCGCAATACTGCAATATGGCTCAAGGACCCATGTGGCGAGGCTTTTTGACCTTCAAGATCAACTCTACTAGCTCTATATAGTTAGGAGCATCTCACCTACGGCGTTGCACGGCGTTGTACGGAGCACGGCGATACACGGCGCTTCACGGAGTTCCACAAATATCTAAGATGTGAGCATTGTGTCTAATAAATTTAAAACTTCATAATGGGAATAATTTCAACTTTGGGTCTCAAATTATCCAACTACGTCTGAGATATATTTCTCTATTCTGAACATCACACTTAAAATGGCAATGCAAAGGTATCAGGACAGTGGCGACGCCGCAAAGCAGGCGAACCTGAGGGAACCGCTTACATTCCATTTCTCCAAACAGACTATGAATGGTCGAATCTTCAAGGCATCTATGGGCGAGACGCTTGCAACCTGGGACTTTGAAAACATAGAAGCTAGTGGAATCCCTACTGAGAAAATAAAAGAATTATATAGAAGGTAAGTGCCAAAGCTACCTGAACTGGACATGCACATTGTTCTGTGACAGTTCATACTGTGCTGGGATCCATCTTATTCCCAATTTTTGGCTCTCTGACAAACTACTTAGATGGGGCGAACACAAAAATGGGTTTGGGATGATACTTACGGGTAACATTCAGATCAGTTCAACCTTGCCACACTTACAGGGCGATCTCATTATCGATGCATCTCACCCTTTTCATGGACCGCGCTTTGAGGCCTACAAAGAATTGGCTTCTGCTGGAAAAGCCGGTGGTTCACTCATGGTAGCGCAGCTATCTTATGCAGGACGCCAAGCTCTGGCCGCAAACTCGCGAACAGCGGCAATTGCACCGTCCGTCGTGCCCTATCGTAAGTTTTGTTAAGGCGCGATAAACGTTTCATGGTTATTCGGAATCATATTAATAAGTAGCTTGAAAGCCACGGATGCACAAAATACAATGTTTGTGACAACACGAGAAGCAACTCAAGCGGATATTGACTTCCTCATCGAAGGATTTGTGCACGCAGCGGAATACTTGGAAGCTGCAGGCTTCGATGGAATTCAGCTACACGGCGCCCATGGTTACGTGATCGCACAGTTTCTATCGCCGCGCACAAACAAGAGGGTGGACAGCTATGGAGGCTCTCTGGCCAACCGTATGCGATTCTTGCTAGAGATATCCAAGAGAATCCGCGCGAGAACATCACCATCCTTCATCGTCGGCGTCAAGCTCAACAGTGTCGAGTTCCAAGAGGGCGGCTTCGGAGCAGCCGAGGCCGCCGAAGTATGCCGCGTGTTACAAGATGAGGTCGGGATGGACTTTGTCGAACTGAGCGGTGGTACTTTGGAGAAAGTAGGCCATGAGTGGACTAAAGAGACAACAATAAATCGTGAGGCTTTCTTCCTCCGATTTGCCGAGTTAATCGTTCCGCAGTTGGGAAAGACGGCTGCAGAGCGCCGCACCAAAGTTTTTATTACGGGAGGGTTGCGAACAGTCGATGCGATGGTAAACGCGTTGAGCACGGTGGATGCCGTCGGTATCGCCCGCCCGGCTGCTCAAGAGCCTTGGATCGGAAAAGATCTGCTCAGTGGGAGAGTGACGAGTGTAGTCAAGCCAGTATCTCCCTTTGACAACGATAGTACGCTTGGGCTCATCTTGGCTGGTGCCCAGATGCAACAAGTGGCTTCTGGTTTCCAACCGTTTGACTCAAGCGATGAGGAGGCAATCAAGTCCTTCTTGAAAGACAAAGAGGCTCACGAAGCAGCTGCCATTGTGGACCATGAAAGGAAGCGCCCGTGGTTTCCCTTGGTGACTTCCGCTAACAGCACGCCATATGAGAGTCCTTGAAAGTCCAGGAATCTACGGTACTCCGTTGACAGAGAGGCCATAAGGGACATTTCTGAGACTGTGCTTCGTACCTCGAAGTAGGAGAGTAACGTAGCTATCTCAAGCAGTGTAATACCACTTGCCATCATGGATAACACACGTGTCACTACCACACGGGAGTATATAATCGGTTCACGTCTATTCACATTTATATATTTTGGATTTTGAGATATAGCCCATGTGGCGTCTGGAATTATCATCCTACGAAATACAGCTGGATATGGGATTCAACGGAGCTTTAGTGCCGAGTTAGCTGTTGTCGACTAATGATTCCGCCTGTATTGAGGCATTGGGCTGGACGCTATTGGCTGTCCACGTATGGGCCATTAGCCTAAGCCCAAGAGACGATCATTTCATCAGCGGCACGGAACCAGCGTCTATCTTGCCTACAATAGATACTGTATTGGTATTAGTCAGGTCGGAATTATGGAGAAACTTGTGAGGTTCACATCCTTCAAAGCTTAATAATGCCTGGGCTTAGTACGCTGTACAGTACACAAATAATCTGCCCCTTCTTGTTGAGTCTACTAGTTTCATCATCTTAACCTGTCAGTTACAGAACTTATATGATGGAAGTAGCCTACCAAGTGAATAGGCGAAAAGGTATGAGGAAGTCTCTGTCTTGATAAAATTAGCTAACCGACTATGAAGCCTGCGACTTATGTTTCTTCAAGAAGATCAAATGCGATATGCTTGAGCCAACCTGCTCCAACTGCCGGCTTTACAAGGCGGAATGCTGCACTACGCGAGCGCGAAAACGCTTCAAATCCGCTCGGCCACAACCAGTGGAGTTACATTGTTCCCCGATAGCTCCTGATCATGCCGCCATAGCCAGTCAAGATGGGTATGTAGGTTGGACGTAAATGTGCTTGACGTTAGCTAACTACAAAAGGACGAGGCGAATCGAAAGCATTGAATTGAGGCTTGCTCGCATGGAGGAACGAATCGAACAAATCCTTGGTGCCGTGACTGCGGCTACTACCCAATCTCAAGAGACACCGTCCCTGGTGACTACAGCACGGTCACCATTTCCAGTGCCAAATCAGCTGCCCGACCAGCCCCTAACTCATTTTGACAATGATTTCAACGGCGTTTTGAGTCAGCTCTCTAGTGTGATTCACCCAGTTGATTTGGCTGCATCTGAGACCCCTATGTCTAACACGAAGTGGACCAACTCATATCCTCACCTTCCGCCCTTTGAGGAAATTCAGCCCATCATAGAACACTATTTCACCCATATAAACTCATTGATGCCGCTCTTCTCGCAAACAACGTTCCTTCGCAAGCTACATGATTATTACGGATCTGAATGTCAAAATCCTCGAAAGACATGGGCAGCTATAAATATCGTGCTGGCGCTGGGCACTCGCTTGCCCATTTCTCCTTCTGATGATCTCGACTTACAAAATGAAGATGGCCAAGTGGCTAAGTATGTCAACAATGTCCAATCAGTTCTCTCAGAGTTGGTCACTCGAGACGTGGACTTGCTTAGCTTGCAGGTTATACTAGGACTAGTCATCATTTTCAACAGCCTGAAAGATTCAAGCCCTGCAGTGGTGCTTATTGGGACGGCAATTCGTCTCGCCCATCGCCTGCGCCTCCACAGTCGAGATCACCAACACAACAGCCCTGATGACGCCCTTCAGCGCAGCCGTGTCTTTTGGATTGCCTACTTGTTTGATAAGGATATATGTATTCGCCATCATACGCCATCAGTTCAAGCCGACGATGACATCGACCTAGACCTCCCAATTGACATGCCCCCTGATGGAGCTGGCAACGTTTACACTAAAGATGGCCGTTTCTTGGTCAATTTCTTCCGACTCCGGCTACGATTGGCGCATGTTCAGGGCCAAGTATATGATCAACTCTTCTCTACCCGGGCCTCCAAGATCACGCCAGAAGAACGCCAAAGACGCGTTGCTCTCCTCCACAATCAGTTGGAGCGCTGGAGATTGACAGTGCCGCCCGAATTGCAGGCAGATGTTGCAACTGAGCACGCCAACCGCACAACGGTTTTCTGGCTCTGCATGACGCACTTCTCGTACCTTGGATGTCTAGTTATGATTCACGGGATGTGGAGCCACGATGCCGAGTGGCGGAAGCGTCTGAAGCCCTCATCCTTTGGGAGTGACGATATTGACCGCCCCAGATCACTTCCGCCCCTCCCTAGGGGCTGGAAATACTGCGTCCATATGAGCAGGCACTGCATGATGCTGATGTGTCGGGCTCCCTTGAGCGATTGTAGCATATGGTAAGCTCGCGAAACGAGTCTCGAGACTAGAAATCTGCTTGACCCGCTAACAGGTACAGGACGAATGGATGTGCCTATTTCTCGGCCTTGATTATTATTTTGGCCAACCTCCTCGAGAATCCCATGCACAAGGCGGTGGACGATGATTTGCAACTCACAAAGTATGCCGTGGGAATATTTGACAGGATGAGTGATGCGTCCAGCATTGTGCAAATGAAGCGTCTAAATGTAGTTGCTGCCGAGCTAGATCGTCGCGCGAGGCTGGTGGTCAAACATTCACGGCAGTTCATTGCAGTGAATGGATCTCCTCCATTGGAAAAAGACTACCACCGCGAGATCGATCAAGGCCCGCTCACTGGTCTACAGTGGGACTGGGGTGATGATGGTGTTGAAGCCTGGCCGAACATGGATGTCTCATTAGTGAGTATACGGGATTTCTATCATAATTACAAAAGCCCGGTTCTCATAAGTATATTCATGATACTAACAGAAGGCCACAGAACGACGCCTACAGTAGCATTATCTTCGGAAGCGAGTTGCCAGGTGTTGAATTTGGACCCTTTGATAACTGGATGGAAACCCAAATGGGCAAACTGTTCAGCCCCCCGCAGTTTAGTACATTCACCGGGTTTTCAGGATAGTTTTGTACTTTACTGGTTTATTATCGCCAACAACATGCTACCCAAGCTGTTTGCAAAAACTCTTAAGATACTGTCAATGCGCGCAAGACGAGGGTGCAGACGGTAGAACGGAATGTTGAGACCCCGTAATGAACCTTGTACTTACGTTGTAAGATTAAATATGTGGATGTTTTCTCAAGGGATACACCGATAAGAACTCCCTTTCAATTGCCTGAGAGTTAGGAGTTGTTGATTATGGTTACCTGAACTTACAGGCAACTAAAAGCTGCTATTAGTTTAGTCTTTCTGTTTCCGTCCCAGAGCACGTACCCCCGCCTACTAACAGCCAGAAGATGCTGCCTTAGATACCTTAGGTACCCAGCAGGCCGTAACATCATGGAAATCAATTCATCCTTTGAGCCGCCTATACGGTAAATACGGCCTGTGTAGCGACAATCCTGCTGCGGGAAATATTCTGCTACAACCATGCCTTCCTTCGGCGGCGGCGACATTCTCTCGGTACGTCACAATACTTCAAAAGAAACTCTACTACGTTCAATTGACGAAGAATTACTATTAGGCTGCGGCAGTTGCTACAGTAGTGGTGGATGTAACGGTGCATCCCATGGACACCATCATCACAAGAATCCAATCGCCCGCCTACAGGACGCACTACCGCCAGCTGAACGGCCTGTTCCACCGCAGTCTATTTCAAGGGCTCTATCAAGGCTTTGGACCAACTTTGATAGCTGGAATACCATCATCCGCAGCCTTCTTTGCAATCTACGAGGCCTCAAAGAGCCTCTTTGAAAATGCACAGAAATCGGGCCATTTGCAGTTTGTCCCTCTTCCAATTGCACATGCAATCAGCGGTGCGGCCGCGGATCTCATAGCCTGTGCCGTCATCAATCCGGCCGAAGTGCTTAAGCAGAATGCACAAGTCTCCCGGCAAAAGAGTACGTCTCCTGAACAGCGTTCGCATTTGATACAGGCCCTGAAGACGTTTTCACGGCAACCCACACGGCTATGGACAGGTTATACCATGTTAGTGGCCAGCTCTCTGCCAGGAACTAGTCTGACATTTAGCCTGTATGAATGGCTCAAGAAGAGATTGACGGCAGCGGACAGTGACCTGACTCGTGACATTCAGTATCAAGCGAAAGTCAGCGCCGTGAGTGCTGCCGTCGCAGCTGGCTGTGCTTCGTGTATATTTGTACCGGTGGACGTTGTCAAGACAAGAATGAGGCTGGCGGCGGGCGGCAACACCCCAACCAGTTCCAGTGCAAAAACAGGCGTACAGGGCCCCATGGCTACAGCGAAGAATATTTTTCGGACCGAGGGGGTGAGAGGGCTGTTTCGTGGACTCACTTTTACATTTTTAGCAAGCATGTTTGGCGCAGGATTATACCTGGGCTGCTACGAGGGGTGTAAATTATACATGGCAGGCGACGGAGGCTCTGACAAGAACCTTAGTAGATGATAGAGCCGTTTAGGAATCCCGTGGACGTGAAAGATATACCTCGACTTCTAGAACGGCACGGAATGTATAAATAAACATAGCACTTCTCTCACTACACGGATGCCCGGCCAATGGGTTACCAATGGCCAAATAGTGAACCTGATCCTTTTCAGCTCATGCCGTAGAGCACTGTGAAACCTCCTTAAGATCTGTCATACATCGGCGTTGGCTCACTAAGTATTACAGCAACTGAGCTGCCCGTGGGGGTACGTAATCGTCTGTATTATTAGCGCCTTGCTGCGTCATCTCGCTCAGCCGCAGCTTGAGCAACCCACCAGTCTAAGCTTATACGATGCAGGCACAGCCAGATTGGAATTCAGAAACCTTGCCAGCAAATTCCATGGAGCTTGGCTGGTGATTTTATCCACATCCTTTAACGTCCTATTTTTTCCCTCTCCATGGTGTTAAGGATGCATAGTTGAAGAAGCCTTCGGATAATATGGTGGCCTCCAGCGTATCCCCCACGTTAGATGGCGGTAGCATAACCTCATTTACAATTCCTTGCAAGCAAACGCCCGTCTCGACCGATACGGATTCTGCCATAACACCCACAACAGACGAGAAAGAAACTCTGGATATCGAAAGCAACAATTCACCACCTCTCAAAAGGAAGAGGAAGCCAGTGCCTGGCAAAGGCTTTAGCAAGTCGCGACAAGGTTGTTACAACTGCAAGCGACGCAGAGTCAAATGCTCCGAGGCGAAACCAGAATGTTGTAGCTGCAATCGCATGGGGCTAATCTGCGTATATCCGGAGGCTCCACGGCCTACACTCAAAAGATCACACAACACAGCTTCATCAAGTTCAAAATCATGCGTTAACCTCAACCACCTGCATTTCTACCATCATTTCCTGCTGGAAGCTTACCCCCCTGCGCCGCATGGTGCAGAACCAGTCTGGCGCAATGTTGCCGCCATGTCTCACGAGGTATGTAGCTCTACCAGAACCTCAAAGAAGTCAGCTTATACTGGTCTGTTAACGCCTTGGACAGTACGAGTTCCTTGCCAACGCGATACTTGGCCTTTCTGCCTAGCATCTCACCTTGTTTCATGGCGCAGACTACTCTATCCAGGCACTGGATCTGCGAGTCGCCGCCATCAATGGCCTCAACGAAGCCTTGTCACAGCCATGTCTGACGACCATTGACGCCGATGCTCGATATGCGGCTATTATAGCATTGACTTACCAATCTGCCTATATGCCAGATGCAATGATGGAATTTATAACGATGCTACGAGGGTGGATGTTTATCCAGACAAAAGTGGTTCCAGACCTCGAAATATCCATGTTCCGGAACTTTACGAGGGAGGCATTTGTTGGGAGTATGAAACAACATATCGCCCGGCAGCTGACGAACAAGAGCCCAATCATGCTGGATGACTATCTTGCCTCTCTCAAAGTTGTTCGAGCGTTGTGCCAGGGAACCGCAGAGATCAAATATCTCTCTGCACTCGAAAGGCTGGGTCGCTTGGCAAGGCAGTCTCCTATTGACGGTACGTTCTATCAGTATCATATATAAGTACATACATTAACTTATTAAAGCGTTCTCAGAGATTGTGCCTTGCTACGGATTGACAAATAAGATGACGGAAGAGGAGTTTAAGGCATTCACAGAGCCATCCAACAGCTGCGCGCGTGTTTTACTATCGCATTTTCTCATGCTGAACTACGCTTTAGAGCAGCACTTTCTTAGTCCGCCGTCAAAACACTTTGCCTTTTGCAAAGAGATTAGTACAGCGTGGGTTATTAGGGTAGCTGCAGGTCTGCCTTTCAAGTTTCAGCAGCACATGATGTGGCCGCTGGGAATGGCGACTGGCTCAATGAAGACTTGATGATTTTATAATATTATGGAACTATTCTCTAAATTATAAGCGCGTGGTTAAAAATTAGGAGCAAGATAAATGAAAATGGACACGTTTTGTATAAGCCACTCGCATGTTCCCTTGCATTTATGGAGTGTATCCCAATTCACACATACAGCCCGGACTTCTAGCAGCATGCTATGATGTCTTTTTGTGTATCTCATGCCGTGATTCAAGGTGGAGGAGTTGTCCAGATTAGCGCCGAGTGGGACGGCGTCGTTTTCCAAGACTTGCGAAAGCGACGAAAGCGATGCTCCGAGCCAATGAATAGTCAGCAGGACTTGTTTAAGCAGCGTTCAAATCTAGAATACCAGGCACAACGTGGCTAATCTATCTCAGGAGTAAACCTCATTCAGCCTTACCAAGGAGGAATTCGTGTCTATTGCGAATGGCCATCGTTTTCATCCTCGCAAAAATGATTGTGGCCGCGTACAATACCCGCTGGAAATGAGGCAGTGGCCATTTTCCATCTTGAGATGGCGACGATGATCCGCGCCGGACAAGGCGAATGCATACCCGCATTCACTTATAAATTACATTTTCTCTGTTGAAATTGAGAACTACAAAAGCTCTCTGAATTTGTAGCGACTTCTTTATCTCAACATAAAAACTCAGTATGGTGACGATTACCCCAACGCCCACTCTCTTGTCAGGAGTCACTTCAACTGTGACAGCAACTTGTACAACTGCAGTCCCCGACACCAACGGCTATGTTCCTCCGGCCGCGTGCAATGCCAACTACGGCTTTTACCCTCAGTGGGAAGATAATGCCGCCTTTGCGATTGCATTTGGCTTGACAACGTGTGCGCATCTTGCACAGGCTGTTACTTTGAAGAAGGTTCGGAAAAAAGAACCCTCACTGCCGTGCGCTTGTTAACACTTCCTAGCCATTCTGCTGGGTCATCATCATGGGTGCACTATGGGAATGCGTTTGCTTCATTCTACGCACGTTGGGTGCAAAAGATCAGCAAAACTCGACATATGTGACCCTTTCGACACTATTATTCCTTCTCGCTCCATTGTGTACGACATCGCTATCTTCGAACAGTTCTAACTATGTTCTGACAATATATGTCCAGGGATAAATGCGTTTGCATACATGGTTGTCTCCCGCCTCATTTACTTCCTCCACCCGAAACAAAGAGCACTCAGAATCCCGGCTCGTTGGCTTGCAAAAGGCTTCGTGGCGGCCGATGTAATTTCTTTCATCGTTCAAGCTGCTGGTGGTGCGCTCATGGCAGATCAGCATAGCACGGAAAACGCAAGCCTTGGAAGGAAAGTTTACATGGCCGGTGTTGGGGTGCAGCTCTTCTTTGTACTGATATTCGTCGTTGTCGTTACCTCCTTTTACCGACAAATATCATTTGATATCCGCACCGGTACACTGAAAAATCGGAATAGGTGGATACGTCCTCTTATTCTCGTCATATTTCTTGTTCTTATTCTGATTGTTGTCCGTATACTCTCGCCGTCTACACCACATCTGGTACTAACACCAACCAGGAGCGAATTACGTTTCGACTTATCGAGTTTAGCGGCGGCGTGTCCTCTTCCAACGAAATACTGCGTCACGAAGCTTATCAGTTATATCTTGATGCGTTAGCCATGCTTCTTGCTCTGGCGTCTCTGAATCTGGTGCATCCTGGGATAGTTCTAAAGGGGCCCGGAAGCAGTTTTCCTTCGTCCAAAATTCAGTGGTGGAAGGGTCGCTCTGCTGCTTTTGAACCAATCACTCTTCAGTCTTTTGATCGGCGAGAGCATTCATCAGCTGAGTAATGTGGTTAAGCCAAAGATGAAAGTAGTAGAGATGCATGGATACCGGAAAGGAATTCGACTAACTCGGGTGATAATTTATTAAGTTCATGATATTGTTCTAGCATCCACCACGGAGTACGAGCCTAATTATATGAGCAGATAACATATAGACCATTTCGGGAGGAGTTGAACATAAGCTTATAAGATGGATCTTTCCAATTTTAGTCACCTATTTAGAGCTACGAGTACACAGTTACAAGCCTCACCATGATTTGAGCTGTATCAGATTAGATACTCGAAATCTATCCTATAATTCTAGCACAGCTCAGATTCCATATAAACCTTGTACAGGCGATACCCGAGGTTAGCCAGGGGGGTCATGACCCTGCCGTAGCGAGCCACCTTTATCGGTGTTGGTCATGATGATCTCGTAACAAAAGTACCATTGAAGCCCCATAATTTAGGGTAGGATCGAGGTTTCCGTCTCCGCCGCGGTGACGCCGCATCTGTAAAAAATCTGCGCGTCGGTAAGCGTCACGACAACGGCGGAATTAATTTAACCCATGAATGACGAGCCGGTTTCATCTGTTCATCATTCAACCAATCACTCTACATTGGATAGAAGTGAAGCTGCCAAGCTCATACCTAGTATGTACTCTGGAATAGACTTGGTCAACTTTGCTTGCAACCTAACCTTCTGTTGAACCTCTATGAAGGGAGGTCAAATGACTCCTATTGGTATAGGAGGTATTTGGTCCACAGTACCGTCTGTAGGTCCCCTGCCCTCTGCATCCCCAAGAATCAGCAGCACCCACCTCGGCCACCCACCTCGGTTTTCTAGACACGTTCCACCAGGTTCATTGCATGAACATGCTTTGCTATTGCATCGACCGAAAAAAATGATCGATCGCTATCAGGGTAGAGCTTTGGATTCTGGTCCGAGAATACTTAAATAAGAGTTATCCAAGTCACTGTATGTGGATCTTGTTACAACATATCATGGGCCACGTGGACTGGTATTGCGTATTTCTGGCGTGAGGGCAATCCCATGGAGTGACGGGCATTCGAACAACCAAAAAATGCGCGAATTATTACACTGGGATGGACTGTGGAAACAAAACAGATATGAAGAGTTTGTTTCACGAGATTTAATTGTTAAAATATTACCAGACGTGGTCTTGTTGCTGCCAATTGAAGCAACCATGGTTGGGTTACTTTTGGCTGGACAAGTTCGGGGACGGTGAATAGTACAAAGATTTGTGTATAAAAAGACACAGTCGGCGAGGAAGAAGACTGAGACAGTATGCTCTGACATCTTTTTGATTGCTGTTTGCATTCAGTTCTCATCGAGAATCACAGACAGCGTTGACTTTGAAGGACGCGTGCCGCCAGGGTTGTGTAACGGCAATGGTGGATGCTCAATGACAACTGTCGACTATGGATCGGGACTCTCATTTTCATATGCGACACTTCACATGTGGATGCCTGTATTGTTTCTTACGCAGCATACAAAGCGTACATAACTCTTCCAAACAGATACTTCAGTAGTAGTATGCTTGTGGTATCAATCAGAATATTGGTGCCTGTACACCGCCAAAACTGACTGCATACAGTATGTAGCATTTATGATTGATGAATCCCAAAAGCGATATGACTCCTTCCGGGCAGGGCGTACCCATGGCATGTCCGCCTTGGATATCATCTACAGTAGGCCATCTGCTTATATTGTGGCCCCGTCTGGGTCTCAACATGTAGATCTGCTTTGTTATCATAAAGTTTAAAGCAACAGCCTTTTGAGAGAATGATATCTTCACCACAATCCTGGCTGTGGGAAATTTAGAGACAATGATTGCACTACTGTAATAGACTGATTGAAGAAAATGCAAACCCGCAATGTATGAAGTAAGCAATGCGAATGGTGTATGTAAATATCTCTAAATCTCAAATTGCGTCTTTATATATGGACGCAAGTCAAACTCTATGCCCTCTTGTGAACTAGGTGGTGTTTCTCTAAAGTTCATCACAGCTCATCCCCACAACAAACACTAAGCAAATATAATCATATTATGTCGCTAATAGTGCAATAGATTTGTGAAATTCGGGGTTTTGACGGCATCCTGCAAAGCATTGGACACCAAATACACGGTATCCATTCAACTTGCCGGGGTAGCACTCTCGAGATTCTTCGTACCTTGGTTCACTCCCTTCTTGATGTTCCATTTAGTACTATGCTTGGTGAATTGGTAATGTCACCGTTACCCACCGCGGAATATTTTTCTTAATGTACTTCGTAGGTCCCTCTCTCTGCATGCTGTGTCGCCTATACGCGGATTCTATGTAATGACTGGTCGGTCACCAAATAGTAAACTCCTGACCAATGCTTAAGTTATTTTTTATGCCATTCTGGTCGGTCCGTTGGATTTCGTAATCGGGTTTCTGGTACACAAAGTAAGTAAAACGGCCTATAAACGATGCAGCTGATATTTTTCTTAAATAAAGAAAATATCCCACCTTTAAGTATGTCCTCCGTACTCGCGTCCTTACTCGCCAATTCAATATCTACAGTCTTCAATATTCTCTCCCCCGTTGCACGCCTACCAGTGGACTCGTCGTGCTGGACAGCGCCATCGTTCTCATCCAGGCTCATGATGTAGCCATCCGACCTCCTGCTGTGATAGTTGGAATCTCCACGACTGGATGCATTGTGGCTAGCGTAGAGAGATGTGGGAAATGCGAGGTCGAAAATAGCTTGAAAGCAGGGTCGCATGACGACCAAGGAGGCAGCAATGATAGTGATATTCATCTCGACGACGATCATGATATGTGTAGGGATGATTAGCCCTGAGTGAGCAGAATATTAGATATGTCAGGAGATATTTGACGGATGGGATGGAAAGGCGTACAAGTGAAATCTGTTTTGACGTTGTACAGATCGGTAATCATGTAGAGTCGGACTATAGATATTATAGTATCTCTAGGAAAAGTCAACGATAGTCTGTAAATCCAGGGGAGAATTTGCACGTACATCAAACCAAAGAGGATCAGAGCAGTCAGTTGCTTCACCTCAATGCGTTTGTTCTTGGCCAGATATAATACTGGTAACGGAATGCAAATCAGGCATATACTAGTAGATACGTTGACGGAGCCGGTGACATAGTTGAACATGACCGTTGTATCAATGCAATGCCCCGGGACTTTAGGTAGCCAACTCTTATATACCGGGTCGCAGGCAAACATGCTCACGAGTGTAGCAGCTGTGAAGAAGCCCGCAAGAACCACCATGAGGGTGTAGTTAACAGCACGGGAGAATTTGACGAGGGGGTGATCGACGAGGGTCATGAGGTCGCGATAAACAAACGTCAGGGAGAGTTTACTGAATAAAAGCGGAAGCTTGGTGAAGATTTGGATGAGCCAGAACATCTGCTGCTGTTAAACAATGCGAAAATAGTATCACAGAATTTGATGTGACCTACGAGGTTGGTCTTGTAGGACCCTTGAAGATCTGGCGGGAGATCCCTTTGGTGGCGGCCATAGCCAAATGCGGCCGTGACTGGAAGATGTTAGAATTTTGAACCGATACAGAAACATAAAGCATGGCTTTTGCGCACTGGTAATATCAAGAATCAGATGTATGACAGCAGCTAGCTGAAGTATGGTCAGTCAAACGGAATTTTGCTCTTCCTACAAGACGCTCAACTCACCATGGCCGTGCTGACCAGGTAATCTGAAATCGCGAGCCGGCTCTGCGACCATCGATGCCAGACTCTCAATACGACGACGGATAAGGCTAGAACCGTGATTGAAATGTCAACCCCGAGAAAGAGGGCGACCCTGGATTCTGGCATCTTGACGACGGCCTCTCAATGGATCACCAAGTTGAAAGAGGAGGAAAGAACAGTCATGATCTTCCTCTCTCCCTACGGTTGAAACTAGCTACTACGCCTACCTATACTTCAAACTTGTTACAGTATGTGGAAGAAGAATCCTACATAGATAGGGATGGCATGGGCGCCTTGCTGACTGTGAACATGGGATTGTAGTACTCGGACATGGCCATAGCGTAAGTGCAGACGTGGAGCAACACACCGAGTCCGGCTCAGAATCCGGTGCAGGGGTTTGTTTTGCGCTACTGCGCCGATGTCGAAATTGAGTATTAGTCGAAGAACCACATGCCGGCAAAGTGCGCGAACCCAGCTTGGAGGGAATGTCTCTGTTGGTTGAACACAGGCCCCGCCGAATGTGCAACAAGCGGGTAAGTTCCGAGCACTTTTATTTATCTCTACCTAGATGAGCTGAGGATTTCTCTTTCATCCATCACCCATCCAAGCTTTCCGTATCCAACCATCATGGCGGCTGAGGACGACACCGTCATCAATGTGCCGGCAAGCACTGAAAAGTCGAGCCACACCAGCATTGCCAACGAGGAAGTGGCTGCTGCCGATCGTAGTTCCACGCCCAAGGACTCCGACGATGATGGCGAATTTTATGAAGACCCCAAGGCCGCCCGGCGACTGTTAATCAAATGCGACATCCGCCTGATCCCCATTCTGGGATGCCTATATCTCGTGTCCTTCTTGGACCGCTCGAACATTGCCAATGCGCGGCTTTTCAAGCTGGAGACGTCGCTTCATATGCCGTCGACGGGGTTTAACACCTGCCTGTGGATTTTCTACCTTCCTTTCGTGATCGTAGAGATCCCGAGTAACTTGTTTATGAGTTTGAATAAAATCAAGCCCAACCACTGGCTGGCGGGAGCGATGCTGATTCTTGGCATGTCTTAAAGAATGTGTGATTTGAGATGTATTTTCTAACCAAATTTAGGTATTGTTTCGATGTGCCAGGGACTCACGAGGAGCTATGGTGGGCTTCTTGCCTGCAGATTTATCATGGGCATCATGGAGGCTGGGCTGCCGCCCGGTATGTATCAACCTACTATTCTTCTGAGGCTTCCGTAACTGATGCCTCCAGGGGCCGCTCTTCTCATCGGGCAATACTATAAACGCAGTGAATTTTATATCCGCTTCTCATACTTCATCTGCTTTGCTCTGCTCGGTAGCGCTTTCAGCGGCGTAGGTCTTATATCCCCCATGTCAGAGTAACATCACTAACGAAGCACAGCTCCTCGCATACGCCATCGAGCACATGAATGGAATGCATGGATATGAGGCCTGGCGATGGATTTTCATCCTCGAGGGCCTCTTCACCTTTGCCTTCGGACTCGCAGCATGGTTCATCATCCCAGCCTTCCCACAAGAGGCCACCTTCCTCAGCGAAGATGAGCGAGCCATGCTTCTCGCCCGCCTGCGCCACGATCGCGGGCGAGAGAGGGTTGACTTTAAGGGAATTAACTGGCTGAAGCTCCTTACTGACTGGAAGATCTGGTCGTTTACCCTTATCTACTTCTGTGCCGACATGGGCGCGGCATCCATCTCATCCTTCACCCCAACCATCCTTGCCCAGCTCGGTTGGAGCGCCTCACGAGCCCAAGTCATGAGCATTCCCATTTGGATGGTGGGCATCGTCGTCACTCTGTCCACTTCCTACACTTCTGGCAAACTCTCCCTCCGCTGGCCGTTTGTGCTCACCGGCGCCATCTTCTCTCTCATCGGCTGGTGTATACAGTACACCCAGGTCCAGCCACCGGCGGTGCGTTACTTTGCTCTGTACATCATCGCTTTTGGTTCATTCATGCAGTTCCCCATCCTCATCGGCTGGCTCAACAGTAACCTACGCGGTCGCCCGCAGCAGGCCGTCGCGAGTGCCGTTCAGCTGGGGATGGGCAATTGTGCGAATTTCGTGGCGAGCAATGTGTTCATCACTAAGCAGGCGCCCACATACCCTACTGGGTTTGCTACGGGTGTTGGATTCGCAACACTCGCAACTGTGAGTATACTTTTGGTGACAGGGGCCTTGGCTTGGCATAATAGACAGTTTGACCGGAAGCATCGGGATGGGGGCGAGAACGTGGAGGACCAAGAGAACTTTAGATACATGTTATAGATCACTGCATGCATGTAAACATGGAAGGGGGGGGGTACAACTTTCACGCAAAGTACGACGGTAATTAATGACTAATTCTGAAGAATCTAATACAAACCTTGCCTTATTCTCTCGCTAAGCTGTTGTAATCTTTGCTCAATCTGAAATCATCCATGCGAGATACCTACGTATAATGTTCTCCTGGTAAAGGTACCTAGGATTCATAGTCCTACAGCACAGAGTGCATACTGCATCTTTGCCACTTATCTCTAATGGTGGTGCCTAATGGCGCCGAGAATATCGAACCTTTCCGTTGAAGGGCAAAAGAGATTGCGGCATCCAACTGACATCTCCACTTATGCGGTTGGTCCCTAGCGTAGTAGAGAATACCCCTGAAGCTATTCAAAGCGACTCGGCTTCGTTCGTCTCGGGATGCATAAGCGCTACCGACTTTGAACCCTGCGACTTCTCCGCCAACCCACATATTAAAAGTTCCAAGCTTTAATAGGTTATTTCTGAGCTTGTGGTGGAGAGGAAATTCCTTCTTGATTGCATGCCTTGGCACACGATGAAACATTGCATGGGATATGTAGCACTGTATGTTGGTCGTACATACGAATACCATGCAACAGACAGTGATTATAAATGCCTCGCGGTCCGAATCAAACCGCGAGAGGTTCCCGGATTCAGGTTAGGTCAGTCAAGCTGAATCATTAGCCATGTCCAACCTGCGGCCTTTCGAAGAGCGGTCCTGTCGAGACGAACACTTCAATTACGCTTTTCCTTTGCTGATTTGGAGGTTGCAACACATCAGCAGAGACCACGGAAGATCCTTACATTATATACTATTCTAGCATCTGCGTGACAGCACTTGCAAGCGACAATGGTTTCCACTTCTATTGAAACGCGGCTGTTCATAAACGGCAAGGTATGGAGTGACTGCGCAGTGTCCTTTTTCCCTAGCTCATATCCCACAGTTCCGGCCGTCCTCTAACAATGAGACGTTTGATCTTCTTTCTGCAAAATCTGGTTCATTACTAGCAAAAGGTAAGTTTCTTTGATCAACGTTTATGCTCTGCCGACGTGGGTTCTGACACGACAATGATACAGTATATGAAGCGACCAAGGAAGATGTAGACGACGCTGTAGCGGCAGCCAAAGCCGCCTTCCCAGCGTGGGCCAGTCTTTCACCGTACGAAAGAGGCAGATATCTCGTGCGGCTCGCCGACCTCATCGTCGAAGCTAATGCAGATCTAGCGCATCTTGAGGCTGAGTCCATGGGTAGACCTGTGTCAACGTACTTTGATGCCACCGTTGGTGCCAAGTATTTCCGCTACTTCTCTGAGGCAGCATATCCTCAAGGAGGTTCAAGCTTGAATACTCCGGGGTTTGTGAACATTACTTTGAAGCAGCCGGTAGGCGTTGTTGCAGCGATTATTCCTTGGAATGCACCTCTCGTCTTCTTTTGTAAAAAGCTGGCACCAGCATTAGCCGCTGGCAATGCTGTCGTTCTCAAGAGTAGTGAGAAAGCGCCGTTGACTGTCAGTCCTCTCTGATACCCTTCACATCTGCTTCCCATTCTAAAACTTCCGCAGTCTCTGTACGTCGCTATGCTCGCTCAAAAAGCCGGCTTCCCCCCTGGCGTCCTCAACGTTCTCTCTGGCCATGGCCCCGTCTCGGGCGCAGCGCTCGCTTCGCATATGGACGTCCGGGCCTTGACATTCACTGGCTCCAACCGCACGGGAAAATTAATCGCCAAGATGGCCGCCGATTCCAACATGAAGAACTTGATCTTTGAACTCGGGGGCAAGTCACCCGCCATCATTTTTGACGACGCCGATATTGATGCCGCGGTACGAGAGACTCAGTTCAGCATCCAGCTCATCAGCGGACAGACTTGCATGGCAAATTCGCGCATCTATGTGCAGCGCTCTATCGCTGAATCGTTCGTCGAGAAGTTTAAGGCTGCATTTACGTCTGCTCGACTGGGTGATCCGACCGACCCTCAGGTCAACCACGGGCCACAGGCGGATAAGATTCAGCACGCGACAGTACTGCGGTATATCGAGCTGGGAAAGAAGACGGGCAAGTTGATAACCGACGAGCAGTCTGCTTCGGGCTTATACATCAACCCCACGATATTCAGAGACGTCCCTGAGGATGCCCAGATCATGAAGGAGGAGATCTTTGGGCCAGTGGTGATCATAAACACATTCGACACAGAAGCAGAAGCAGTGGCAAACGCGAACAATACCGAGCACGGTCTGTACGCATCGGTGTATACAAAAGATCTGGATCGAGCGATGAGGGTTGCCTCGAGGCTGGAGGCGGGAACAGTAGGGGTTAACTGCACAAGTCCGACGAAGGGAGACGACATGCCATTTGGTGGGCAAAAGGGGAGTGGAGTGCAAAGGGAGAGTTATATCCATAGTATTGAGACATTTATGGAGACGAAGTCAGTTTTGATCAAGGTAGCAGGGCTTTGATGGGAAGAAATATTAAACATCCAATCTGATCGGGGAAACTATAGGGTAATGCTCTTAGAGGTAGGGAATTAGGTAGGGTTAGGGAGTGAGAAATATTGATCTATCTACCTCTCTATTAACCACCACCTACCTGGATAATTTATGAACCCGAATACTGAGAAATATATAAATAAGCACTGCCATATAAAGCTAAGCTTTCCGATACCTCTAGCGTTGAACTGTTCCGGTATAGAACCTGGTCGCTTGTAAGAGCATTTGAAGGTATTAATCTTCATCAATATATCCAGTCTCGATGAACATGTAATTGTTATATAGTAAACATAATAGCTAGGCAAATACCGTCTCATCCTGCGCCTATCTTGGTAGAAGTCTATATGCTCTCTCCGCCTAGCGCAACAAAGTTGTCCCCAAAACACAAAGCTACTCTAAAACAACTCCATGGCAGAGAGGCCACCAACTGTACAAACGCTTCTCTTTTGTTAGTAAATATCATTTGTTTTTTTCTGAAGCAAGCTATTCAAAGTGACTTGGTTGTGCAGTGTCTGCACTTCCGATTTGCGTGCGATTTTCTTGCATCCGAAATGACGGCAGGCCAGATTTACTGTCGCTCATGATTCGTCCCGGATGTACAGCGTTGAAGGCAACAAGTGCAAGAAGCATAGGAAGCGAATCCAAAGCATACTGGTAGGCTTCGTGCAGTGGTATAGTACTGTCGAGTCCTTGCGCGTATTCGCAAATGCGGAAGATAATTCGAAGCTGACAAAATTAGTTAGGAATAGATTCTCACATATGTCTTGCCCATAGATGTAAATCCTTACCGAGATTAAAGCCAATACAACAAATTGAGTATAGAGGAGCAGCATAGCAGGGCTTAACTTTGTTGACTTGGCCTTCTCGTTACTTTCCTTGCGTACTCGGAATAGAAGCCGTAACGCAAACAAGCAGAAGATGAGAATGAATAGTTGTTGTATCCCAACGCCAGCCATGTATATGTGCAGTCCCTGAAGCACCTTGTCTGTCGGTGCATCTTTTGCTGTTGCTCTAGCAGCACCGTACACTTGGATGACGAATGATACAATGTCCAAGAGTACAAACACGAAACCAAAATGCTGCGCCTTTACCCGCCACACGCGACGATCGTCTGTATAGTTCCAAACCATGCCACCGAACACCATGTAGACAAAGGCGTTTGTCCAAAGTGGCGCAACGAGAATGAGGACAAACCAGGCAGCATAGTAGTTGAAAGAGTGGGGTTGCTGGATGCTAATCGTGCGGAAGATGTACGTCAAGACCTGCCATATGCCTGACATGATAATGACCCAGCAGTATTTCTGCTTGTAGTAAATTGCTTGCCCAAGGTGAACGGCAGTTGTTAGAAAAAAGAGGACGAGAAAGAGAATGGAGGCGCCGAGTGAAGGAGAGAATTGCCACATGTCCGTGGACTCGCCATCCCCTTGTTGCGCCATCTTGTGTTTGGCGTTGGAGAAAAGAAGGTAACAACTGAGAGAAACTAGGATGCAAATAGATAGACTTTTATCTTCCAACCCCCTTCCGTACAGCTTATAAATTAGTTCAAGATTTATATATATGTATATATAGATATAGATATCTAATTAATTGTCTTGACACTGCCCATACGGCGTCGGGGCCACTCTATCAGGCTCTAGTTATCAGATGAATGGGGCCGTCAATGTTATGGGATTCCCGATTGGCCGAGCCGTAAGGACATTTCCCATCTAGTACTAGTGATATACGCAGCTTTCATCTGGTTAGCCCCTGTGTCCTCGGACATAATGTCGCACCCGTTGAGAGGGAAGAATCTACACCATCTTGTCTTGGGCATCTTGACAGACTTCCTACCTATGCACCAGTATTTCTAGTCAGAGCCACAATGACACGTGTAAAGCCAGGCCAACGCCGAAGAGCAAGAGCACCCAAAGTCCGGACGGGCTGCCAAACATGCAAGTAAGCGATTCATCAGCCCCTGTCCAGCCGATTGCGGGTCCAGGTAGGCGCACTGAAGATGCTAACGCTGAGATTCGCAGAAGTCAGTCAGCTCCCAGTGTAGCATAACAACAACGGCGATGACTTACTCTACTTATAGTTCGGAGGCTCAAGTGTGACGAGACCCGCCCGTCCTGCATTAGATGTAAGGCCATATCCTTTGAGTTAGCACTTACATGTATTATGTATACTTTATCTGGATGCTCACCTGAGTAGGCACCTCATCCGGCTACTCCTGCGACGGCTACCGGGTCACTACCAAATCATCGTCCAACCCATCACCGGCTCCGCAACTGAGATGGATGATGATACACGTGCAGAATCATGACGTCCATCGTGTAGCTCGCTCCATACAGTTTTTCACCGAACAAACAATACAGCAGCTTTCCATGTTCTTCCCGGATGAGTTTTGGAGTACAAGGGTCCTGCAGTTGGCTTACTCAGAACCCTGCATTTGGCACGCACTTGTCGCTCTATCCACATACCATGAGAGATACATAAATCGCAGTCCCGGCGGTGACGCTTCGTTTGCTTTGCGTCATTACAATCTTGCCATCAATAGCCTCTCCAGTGTCCGGCACGACCTGTCATTGATACACCTGGTATCATGTGTTATATTTATATGTGTTGAGGTATATTGCTTTCTAGATCTTCTCATTTCAGTTACTGACTGACCCAGATTCTCCGAGGGCATATAAGATCCGCCATAAGACTTTACACATCTGGTTATAGAATGATGAGAGAAATACAGCCGACCATATCTGCCGGCAATCATCTCTTCCACCTGATCGTGGCTTTCTTCAATCGCCTCACACTTCAAATATCATGGGTAAGTATTCGTACCATTTTGATGTACCAAAAGGAAACTCTAACATATGGTATATATAGATTTTTGGGAACTCGATAGATGGGTTACTGGATATGAGTTACGCCATACCTGAACGTCAAAGGTCAAGCCCGCCCGAATTTACGTTCCAACAACTTTCAGAAGCTAGAGAAGCAATCCATGGCATTGCATTGCAGTGGATGCTCGACAGACCCTCAGACCAAGAAGCGCTAGGTGCCCTAGTCAACTGCTTTGGAGAATGGTGCCGCGCATTTGATGCATTTCAACAGAAAAACAGCCAGTTACTTGCAGGTGCTGCGAACAGGAGGGCTCTCACATTGCTCGAGCTGCAGAAACGGTACCTAGCTACTCACTTGTGTACTGTTGACTCCAGAGGAAATGACGATGAAACCGTGTGGGATGAATACTCCAGTCAATTCAACGAGATGCTCGATTTTGCCGAGGCATCAATGCAAATTTATGACTCGGAGGCAACATCCAACAAGCACCCCCGTTTTCACATGGATACTGGCGTTATACCTATCCTCTTCGCCATTATTACCAGATGTCGTGACCCCTTCATCAGGAGAAGAGCTATAGAGCTAATGACCTGGAACCCAATGCAGGAAGGTCTATGGAACAGCGCTTTGGTGGCCAAGGCCGCACAGAGACTCATGAGTTTGGAAGAAGGCACTGTTATCGTTGGATGCTCAAATGATATACCAGCTGCGGCGAGAGTTCAGGGCATATCTGTGTATGCTGGCGATGAGCGGCGTGTTGTGTTGAGGTTTTCGCAACCATTGGGCTCCTGGCAGGAGTTAATGAACTATTAGAGTCTCAACAACGTCCTCGTAGCCGGTAAAATATTTACCTGGCTATAGATAGAGCTATCGGATTATAAAGGAAGCGATCTGTACTGTTGTGCTATTTATGGGGAAAAGGGTTGGGCATTCACCCTAATTCATGCTCAACTGGAGTTACTATGAGAATTACTTATCCTGCTCAGGTAATCTCCTTCTCGACGTGAGAGCTTTTGAAGCAATAACAATTTGCACATAGAATTGATTGCACTATTCTTCACAGGGACGACACGCCTTCCAATATGGAATCGTGATCAGTCGTCAAATATTAACCATCTGTAGTTCACTGCCTTAGTGTACTCTGATTCTACTGAATCTGCCTCTCAAATCTTCTAGTTTAAACTTTGGAGTACTATAATCTTATTAAGTGATGTAGTAAATAACCGCATTGCCCTTTGTTGGACATCGGAAGATGGTCATCGCCGAGTCAAAATCCCAAATGGAGTTGGGAAGTCTTTAGTTTTATTAGAAGGAGATTTCTTCAGCATGTTTATGCCTTAAAGATGATGTTTAACGACAAACCATGTGCTAGATGCCCTGGCTAATATTATTCCATCTTCGTCGCGTATGTCGCACTTGATCCTCATCTTACGTCCATCAACTACATCGATGCTGGCTGTAGCTAAAACTGTTTGCCCGGTGATAACAGGCCTTATAAATTTAATTTCCATTCCCCCTGTGACACTTCCTGCTTCAAACATAGCACCTTGTTTGTTCATTACAGTGTTGATCTCAAGCAGTACATTTGAGGACTCGTCAAGCAAGGCCATAATCATTCCACCATGCATCATTGATCCGATACCACCGAGGCCGTCCTCTGGAGCGTAAAGTGTCTGCACCTTGGCAATAGGCGTTGATGTATCCTGTAGCACATCTCGGTCCTCTGTCGCAAAAAAGCACAAGACGTGTTTCAGAGTAGTTGGTGTGGCTAGGGTCGTGCTAAAGAATTGGTCTTGGTGATCCGAAGCTGGGTTTCGGCAGTTAGGGAGGAAGTAATAAGTGCCAGAAGCTTCTAGCAGCTCCGCGCACCATGTAATCGTTCGAAAGTAGGCCAATGCGTCGTCGTATCGCTTAGACTTGGAGTTGGGAGGGACTAGGTTGAGAGCTGGGCTGTAGGTGCGATTGAGTTGATGGATGCCGTCTTCTTCCGACATTCTAAGACGTTGAATGAGCTGAGTTATTTTATAGTGCCACGTGTCTCCTTCTCGATTGCGATTAATGGAGAATTAGGTTAACAAGCGATGATGAGGTTGCCATTGAGCGCAGAAGATATCGAAGTTTATGATAATGAAGATCTGATGTAAATAAGAAATGGGATAGGTAAGGTAGAGAAAAGGTACGGGAAAACTGTGAGACAGGAAACAGTATGATTTTGATGAAAATGAAAACATGTACTTCCTAGTGGCAGCGCCTTGACTTTATCCCCTTAAAGCGGGAAGTAATGGACCAAAGGCCAAAGTTAGCAGATTATCGGACCACCGGACCACCGGACCACCGGACCATCCTCATCGGACCAACAGAAGCTACTCGTATGCTATGAGATCTGTTAGATGCCTTTATAAATGTAGTATCTGGCAGAATTACCAGGCAAATGTTCGCCGCTGCATTGAGGATTGAGTCGGAACGAGCTGTGAAGGTGCATGAGCAGTGATAGTATTTTGACAATTTATCCACGACCAAATTTAGTTGCCAGGATCCGATGATGAAGCATATCATCGTCTGATTGATGAATAGGTGATAGGTGGCTGTCTATGGTTTGTCTTAATAAAGAGTAAAAAAGGATAGCTAACAATAGTCTTCTCACGGCCCCAAGACTCCAACTCTTGGAAGGCATTTCTTCGGTTCTTTGAAGCCAATGCCCTAGATCTCTCGTACACTCGCCCATCGTAGACTCCTCCTCCCAAGCTCACCTTGCCGCCCATCAACAACAATGCTCCATTTTTCGAGGAACCAGGGAGCAGCTTCCCAGCATTCGCTATCCCATGGCTGTAAGCAACTTCTCTTTGTATTTGTCACTGCATCGCTGAGTTCTGTTGCGGATGAAGACCAGACCATTAGACCTCCTCGCACAAAGATATCTGTTTTAAATTCCGTCAAATTGTACACAAAGGGCATAGCAGCCGAGAGCATGATTGCCCGTTCACGAAGCAGCGGGAGTGGGATGAGATCCAGGCTGGCATGGTGAGGAATAAGTAGCTGGCTTAAGGTGGGACGAAGATTCGCCGGCATCGTATTAGTCGTCGGTAGATTCGCTGATGTGAGAAGGTCTTTTGGATCAGTCTGAGGCGTAGCATTAGGTTGGTAGAATGGTGATATGTAGGAGAAACTGCATGCAGCCACCTCGTTTAGGTCAAATCCCAGGCATATAGCGTTATGCATGATTGCTGAGAAAACAGCGTTCTGCATGAAATGAATCTTACTAGCACCAGGATCGGCTATATAAGACGAATTTGTGCAGACTGCCGATGACTTTTTGCCATCTCTTGGTCGATGCGGTATTCTGTCACTATGGCAAAATCCGACAAGGCCGGCTAGCATGGTGTCTTCTGTATCAGGCAATTGGAGCTCGCTGCCTCTAGCGTCGCCTGTAGTTGAGGGTGAGATTTCAACTGGTGAAGAAGAGAAAGTATCGTGTCTTGCAGAGGCTGGGCCTCCTGAATTGATGAATAGCTTCATTCTACTTGACGAATTGCTTGTAACATGATTCGGCTGAGTTTCAGAATAAGAAGTGTAGTTATCCAGGGGCGGGTGTGGTAGTAACTGGGGTGTTGATTGCCTTTGAGATCTTTGAAGACTTTCATCCCGGAGTCTCTCTCGCCGTTCTTTCTGCCGTTTTCCTGCGCCCAAGGCGAGTCAGTCTCGGTCAATCCCGTATGAAGTGATAGGCCAAAAGAGTAACTGACGGTAAGCCCTTTGCGCAGAACGATTTTGCTCTTTTCTTGCCGCGTTAAGAACGCGTTTCTTAGGCGGCCGCTGACTTTCTGTCGTTGCGGCCTCAGCAGCTTCTTCGAAGAATAGTAGGTCCATCTGCACTCCTTTCGGATACGAATTTAACGGAAACAAGATAAACATCAAATGCAAAGCAAGGAATCCGGCAAGGTAAGCCACTTGCTATGCACGATCCATCGACTAGGACTTTAATCGCCGTTAACACCGCGCTCCGAACTTGCACCCCACGTTTACCACCCTCATATTTTCCATGGACCTGCGTAATCCATTGCCGTGCCAAGCTTGGCTTACGGCTTAGGAACCAATCATACCGGAACTTGAATCCGGATTCAGACAAAATAAACACCGTTGTGCTATATGACCCTGGAGGTAGCAGCATTCTGTATATAGGGCTATCGCCGTTCTTATTGAACGGTCCTTTGGCCAAAGTGATTGTATAGCTTATAATGGCAGAAGCTTTCCCCAAAACTCAGTTTCATCTTCGTGTTTCTCCCTTCCGCTGGAGCCAAAAGCCATTATAGGAAAGAAAGCCAAAGATGTCTTTTAAAATAATCCTCATTACTGGTGGAAACACTGGCTTGGGACTGGAAATTGTCCGCGCTCTGTGTCGGTCATCGAAACCCTATAAAATACTTCTTGCTGGCCGATCTCTAGAAAAGGCAATAGCTGCGACTGAGAAGTTAGCCTCTGAGCAGCTCAACAGCTCTACCACGGTGGAGCCCATTCAGCTTGATGTTGAAGATGACGAGTCAATCAATTCGGCCTTTAAATTCGTGGAGGAACAGTTTGGGCGATTGGATGTTCTTGTGAATAACGCAGGTATAGCTCATCTCTGGTTCATCGAGTTGAGGTAATCTACTGACCACCAGTGCTAACTAACAGGTGCAAATTTCGATCGTGAGCTGTATTTGGGAAAATTTAGCCTACGGGAAGCATGGAACAAATCATGGGCAGTCAATACGGTGGGATCGCACGTCGTATCTTCCGTCTTTACCCCATTGCTTCTGAAGTCGTCTGATCCGAGGCTTATCTTCATTGCAAGTGGCACTGCAACCCTGCACGGGCAGACGAAGGAAGAGCGGTTCACTGACAGAGCACCCGCAAAGGGTTGGCCGAAGGAAGAATTGGGATGGAGTTCATACAGGAGCGCCAAGACTGGAATGAATATGATGATGCGCGAATGGGCACGGGTACTGAAGGAGGACAAGGTCAAAGTGTGCGCAGTAAGCCCAGGTCTGCTGGCTACTGGACTCGGTGGCGATCAAGAATTACTGAGGCAGATGGGAGCCATAGATCCACAAATTGGAGCAGATCTCGTCACATCAGTTATTGAAGGGGAAAGAGATGCGGATATGGGCTTAGTTATCAACAAGGCAGGTGTACAGCCATGGTAAAAGACCTGGAACGTAGGTATACAGGCGCCATTAGATAGCCCTAAAATAAAAGCTGACGTGCACTTTTGGAGATTGACTAGATTAGCCCGACTAGTATGAATGATACATGTTCATTGTAGATTTAGATTAATAAGAGGTTCTGGCGCTTTCATGCAACGTTGTGCGTTTTGTGTAGAGGTAAACCAGCTATCTGCTACATAAAAAGAGTCACTAACGAGTTGATAACCACAATTTCAGCAATTCATAAAGAATCATATTGTATTGAGATGCCAACCATGGCGCATTGGTGACGATCTAAGTATCACAATGCCTAAACGAGCTTTCTCTCAGCTTCTAACAATTCTAGAAAAGAGTCTCTCAGTGATTCTCTGAGAGGCATATACTGAATCTCTAGGATCTTCTCAGCTTTCTTTCCACTGACGCTGTACACCGTGTCAGATATGTCCATGCCTTTGGTTCCTTCTGGAATACGGTTTACGAGCTCAGGAATATCCTCTCTGAGTGCATCTACCGCGGCCTGATAGCTGAAAGGCGAAGCGACCAGAAATCTATGTCCACCTGCCTCAGGCCGTTTGTATGCTTCTATGTGAGCTTTTGCAGCAACGCGAACGTCAACAAAGCCCGCAAAATCGGTAGGTGGTACTTCTTTTGCATCCAGTAGACTCCAGAGTACAGCAGTCGATTCGTTGAGATGTTGCAGATTGGTAATTCCACCGATATGGGGGCCAAAGATCAGAGGAGGATTAATCGTCGACACAGAGAAAGATGCTCCTCACGTTCCATCCAATCCCAAATGGCTTTCTCAGCCAAAGCCTTCGAAGCACAATACGCCGACACAGCATCCGCATTGGCGGCTTCTGCATAGGTCATTGGGTTCCAATCCTCTTCCGAGTATACATGGCCTGGTCGGAAACCTTTTGATAGGTCAATGATGGCCGTGAACGACGAAGTCGTTACCACACGTTGTACGCTGGGGCCATAAAGGTTGACAGCCTCAAGCATTGCAATAGCGCCTTGAATTGCTGGATCGAGAAGCTGACGACAGTTATCTTCGACTTTCAGTGTAAAGGGCGCGGCAATACTGATGACACCAGTAATGGGTTTAGACACCCCAACAAAGGCATTCTCGTAATTATCTCTCTGAGTAAGGTCCCGAATAACAAATACTGAGAATCTTTCGGCGTACTCTGCAAAAAGATGTCGAATCTTTTTAGCAGATTCTGGCGAGCGAACTGTGCCTCGGATGTCGTAGCCTTGCTCCAATGCCTCTTTAATAACGTGGCCGGCAAGAAAGCCGTTTGCGCCGGTGATAAGCAGCGTCTGTTCTGAAGGACTTGTCATGGTGCAGACTCGGTATTGCGGGCTATTTGGTATCAATGGCGGGAAGAAAACCAGGGCTTTAGAAACACAGAAGACCAATACGGAATCTTAAACATATGGATAGCATAACTTTACTTAAGGAACCAAAAGCGCAATTATATAGTGAGATGATGATTGGGGTATTGCTACATAGTGCAAGACCGCCACATCAATAAGCAATGGAAAATATAGATCTCAGGAGTAATCTCTACTTACAAGCTGGAGTTATCAGGATCTAGCGGACATAATGATGGGGCGAATGAGGAAGATCTGCGGTAACAGCCGTGCAGGTTCAGTGGCATACTGAAGCCATAACTATACGCGGATGTAGGAATAATGTGAGAGTACACAATGGCACCTCAGTGATGTGACTGAATGGTGTAACGGCTAACGGACATTCGGACAGTCCTGGTTATTTGCGACGTAATACGTCTTGGCATGGATTATCATACTTCAGCTTAAAATAAAAGACACCTGAATAGGTGGAACGCCTGGAATAGTAAGTAGACCTAGTGGCTTACGCCAGCATCTGCGATTATGCGGCAAGAGGAACCATAACAAAGAGATGAATGGAATAAATGTGTCCAGAATATGTTTGTAGTCCATGTCATATCTCCACTTGGGATATTTCGAAATGTTTAGGAATACTTATCCGGGTGATTCTCCAAACCATAACGGCTAAGTCATCTATACCAAGGTTAAATCCGTTGATAAGTTGGCTTACGGTCTCGACGAGAAATCTTGTAATGCAGACGAGTGGGTCAATGGCTTACCCGTCTTGGTGGCGGGCTAGCTTTTGCCCATCTAGATTTGAAAAGACATTATTCCCGCACAGGCTGTGGATGTACCTGTGATATGGTCGTACCACCCGCCATGAACATAACAACAAGATTGGTCATTGTGTTCAACTACCAGCTATATAATAAGATTGCCCGTTGTATCCTACCTACTATTGCAACATAAACTTTGACCTAGTCAATCACCGTCAAAAAGTATCCTATAATATCTGGTATAGATCGGTTCGTCACACATCAGTCTGTGGCTAGTTTGCTATTAAAAGGCATGAATGTTAGCACGAGAAAGTGTTATACAATTATTATGTCGCCGTATTATCCTGAATTCAAAAGAGCAAGAATCGATCATACCATTTGCCTCATAGCCACGAGGAACATCTACAACAAAGTCGTTCACTTGGGCATTGACAAAGTTATCGTTAATCGCAGGGTCTATATCTGTTGATGGGAGACTGCTAAATGGAATAGCAGCCACCAGGGCTCGAGTTATTACGCCGGCAGCTGCAAGAGACAATTTGAAATGCATTTCGGTAAAATAAATAGAGATATTTAGAAAGGGTGTTGCGCGTATAGTACTTAATGAAGCTCTCCAATCTTCACTTCACAAATTCAGGGACACAACCTCTTATATATACATACCTATTATAAGATAACGTCGGCAGCGCGGAACTGGGCTAGCCCTTTTAATAAGTGCTCTCCGTAAAAGACTAATAGGGGAAAACCCGGGATTGATAAACTATTGCTTGTTAATCCCATCTACTGGCGGAATTAGGAGGGTAATGCCCGTCTTACCTACATATTTGAGACTAGGTATGCTAGATAGAGTACAGAGTATTTCGCCCCCAATTTCAGAAGTCCATTCACTATTTTAGGAATTGTCTTCTGATTTGCCCGAGGTCTATTCCAATTGCTGCTTTTCTTTGACATATCATATGAAGAGACCTAGTAGCCAGTCATCCGCCAGCTGGAGGACTGATATGAATGCCCATCTGATAACAGTATGTACATAGCAAGCCGTATGTTGCGGCAGTGCTCGTACTCCGTACTCCTCTAACACTTGTCTTCATCGGCACTTTCAAAAAGAAGAAGGGCCGATAGAAAACCTGACGTAAATGTATGGACTAGTACAGAGAAGGGAGCTACTTATGCTGGATTGCCGTATCAATGGTGTCATTAGAAGCAAAAGGTTAGCGTACCCCAATGTAGACAGGCTAGTATTGATAATCATTTTCTAAAGCAGTACATTCTAAACATAACGGAAATTTGTAAGTTGATAAATCGAAAATTGAACTCAAGGTAATTTGATAGATCAGAAATTGAGGAATAAGAGAGTTCATGCAGCATGCCAGTATGTAATGTGTAGAAGCAAGCTTCATTTCTTTTCTGTCAAATTTATTTACAAACGCTGAAGATGACTCTCATGGATAACCTAGAGTGTAAAGAGCAGTAGTGCTCTTCCATGTTTTCCATGTGAAATTGGTTTAACATATTGAATGTTTCTCGTGACTCTTATTACACTTATGCCATGAACAGATACTTGACTTTGCCTTCATCCTACTTATAGTTCTCTAAATCATCTCATCTCTGTGCTCACTCAGCCATGCATCAATATAGACGCGATGCTCTGGCCACTTGTGTTTGTCAACCCATTCCTGTATAGCAGAGAAGTCTCTACACTTGTGTCCATTATTATAATGATAATGGACATAGTCACTTGTGGCCTGTAGTGTTGTATCCGCGTGGCACATCAACTGCTCGCGGACGTAGTCGATGCAATGCAATGTATGTGGGTCATCCCGCGGAAGTTCTTCCATAGAAAGATGTGACACAATTCTATTGCGAACGCGATACAAGCAGTGAAGTGCATGATAGACGTCAACTTGATACACGCTCAGTTCCGGGTGAGCTGGATGTGGATTTGAAGCGGCAGGTCCTTGTTCTCGCGCCCATGCCGAGTCAACAGCAACAATGCCGTCTTCTGGTTTCAGTATTAACAAACGGGAGCAGTACGTAGCCAGATAGAGGAGTATTTACCCAGCTGAATGTCGCTCCATAGCTGAGCATTAGCTTGTGTGTTATTTGCTGACCCTTCAAGTCCGTAAAAGAAGAAGGTAGAGTTGTAATCCCAAAGCTTCTAGTCTGGTGCAAGACAAATTTTAGCGAATGCGCCCTCAATTACGAGAAGTCACTTACAAGGATTAACCACTGTATTGCTGCCTTGCAGCATCAGAATATTTTTCGCCCTATAACCAAAGACTAGAAATGAAATAAGAAAAATTTGTAAGAGACAGAAGATTTTAAGAAACGACTGCTTTCTTTTTATACAATGTTTACAGCATTGCATAGAAGAGTATCGGCTTTCATGATCGTTTGCTGATGAGTCGCTCATTTCAATCACTATTTACCGTTCGGTGTCGCCATATATATAAAACGGAGGGGAAAAAAGACGAGAGAAGAAAGTAAATAAAGGGAAGGTCGGACCTTTGAACGGTTGAAGGTTGTTGGTTATTTCCTAGGGCCGTTTTATAGCTGTAGCTGGCCCTATAGCTGCTGACTACAAGTCTGATGGCAGCCTGGGGGCCTGCTAGCTATATCAGGGCTATCATATTCAATTATTACTTTTCAGCCAAATTCATGTGTGAAGTATATCAACTGGAGCAGCGATCACTTTGAGGCTTCCAATCCATAAAAATTGTCAATTCGAAATTATTACCGCGCATATTTGTATTCGGAATACATGATATGATTATAGGTGAGGACAAGTAAAGCCTTAGAACTCTGTCATCCCCGACTCAACATACTGAGCAACGTCCAGTCTTCTTGTCTTCCATCGGTAGTATTGCTGGGTCCACGGAAAAAAGAAGGTATTTTGTCCTTTTTCGTTCAAGTAATAAAAGGCTGGACCATATTCCGGACTGGTAGCCAATTTGTCAAGCTCTGCTTGCATAGACGTTGTCCATGCTTCTTCCATGTCTTGACGGGGCTCTAGGGCATAACAAGGGTTGTTAATCGACTTTTGGTGAATGAGTCGGATGACCTTGCGATTGAAAGCTGCCTGCATCTCCAGCCCTCCGATCAAGCTTCCCCAAGGCGTTGTTGTATTAGGCCCATTCATAAAGATGAGATTGGGAAATGCAGATGTCATAGTCCCTGCAGTAATGGTCTGATTAGAGACTCTACTTAGTAGCAAGAAGCAGTTCATGTGCTCACCGTATAATGCATTGGGAGAGTCTCTCCAGTGCTCGCTAAGAAGTTGACCATTGCGGCCTATCGTAGGTACTGCGCCACCCCAGCCCTGCATTTTGAACCCAGTGCCCCAGATAATAACATCTGCTTCGATATGCGAGTGTTGCTCTTTTGTCCGAGATGCTGCAGATGAGTGTCCATTTACTTCCGGTTCATCGATTTGTAACACAATATCGCTTGTATGCGGCCGTTTGGTGATAATACCAGCCTCATCCACAGCAACAATGGAGTTGCTAATTACCTCCACATTGTTCTTTTGGAGAGTCTCAAAAAAGCCCGAAAGTGAGACCAGCGGCCTCTTAGACCCAAATCGTCCAGTGGGAGTCAATTGTTGGAGGAGAATAGGATCAGAGACCTGCCTTTTTAAATGCCGACGGCAGTAACGCTCTGTGTTCTTGGCAATCCATGATTCAGGTCGAAAGGCGAAATAAGCCCAGATTGCAAAGAGATTTGCAACCAGGAATGCGTATAAAGCAAGAACTCCAGGGACACAGCGAAATACCCATTTAACCAAGGTTGGGTATTTGAAGTTGTTGAATGGATGGCAGTAGGTCATGCTTCGACAGAACACCTTGACCGATTTGGCTTGTGCTTGGATATATGGCAGCACTTGAACAGAGGTTGGTCCAGTGCCCACGTATGCAACGGTCTTGCCCGTGAAACGATAATGCATTGGCCACTCCGAGGCATGCCACATGTCGCCCTTGAAACGATCCATCCCAGGAATTTGAGGTGTGGATATCCTGTTGTATGTTCCGGCAGCCTGAACCAAGACGCGACAAGTCCAACGTTTGTGCGCCCCAGATCTCCCGTCTAGTACATCTACAACCCATAATGACCGTTCTTCAGACCAAGTCACCTGTGTAACGCTCTGGTTAAATGTGGTACAATCGGTAATGTTAAAATGTTTCGCAAAATTCTTATAGTATTGGACAAGCTCTGAGGCTGTGGGGAAAAGATAGTTCCAGTCTGGTAAACAAAATGATGAGCTTGTGTATTTAGGCAAAGATTTGACATGCTTAATTCAAATACCTGGATTTCGGTGCCAGCTAACCTGGTAAGTGCAACTGAATACGTCGCAAGCCGCCCCAGGGTAAGTTGCAGCTTTCCATACACCACCGTAGTCACTGTTCCGCTCAAGAATTTGTATGTCTTGCAGTTGTAGGACTTTCTTTCGCAACAGTTCCGCTGCTTGGATCAGGCCGCCTGCACCAGCGCCAATAATAATGCAAAATTTATGGGCTTCCGGTTCAGAGTCCATGATAATATGATAGTAAAGTGTAATGAGTTCGTTTTTGTGTTGGTATTGTCTCTATGGACCTAAATACAGCTATAGATAGTGATCATTATATAGCTCTTTTGTTTGAGAAAGTGTTTGGAATCATTTTCTTTTAGATGCCAAAGTATTCCAAAAATAACACGCTCAAAAGCCATTAGACGATAACTGACGTAGATGAGCCATCAATTAGTACAAGAATTGTCACAGCCTCAAGCTAGGCGCTGAACTCACAAGTAAATGCGAGGTGATATAGGGCTGGCAAATTGTGTGTCTAACTCGTATTTTGCACTTTGCGTCTTGCGCCTGATACAATGTTGATCGTATTCGTACTTAGCCAACGACTCGCGAAAGTAAGCTGTGAAAGTCAGCAGCTGTGGGGAGGCCTGCCACGAAACTACGAGTACTTTGGTATGACCCTAGTTCTGGACACAGCCACGTTGTTGCTGCGAAGCGCAGAAAGGACGACGGATAGATTACTCTTCTTTCCGGAAGCTTTGCAAGGAGTCGCCGGATACTTACATCCCATTGGTCCAAGAGGTCACAAATGCCTAGCCATAATGTGACTCGAGGCAGGCTGTAACATGCCTCTCTAATACATGTAAATTGAACAAAATAAAAATGGGTGTGTAAATAGACACACCATTGTTGTAAGTGAGAAAGAAAATGAACTAAGAGCTAGTGCATTGTGGAGGAACGTTAGCGACCTCCGCTGCGCGCGTGTAATTCTTAACCTGGTATTCCAAAATGACCTTTTCATGTAAAGACGCATAAGCAGCTGCTTTAACCTTGGCAACATACTCTTGGTGAGTTGGATACAAAGCATTCAACTTGGAATCGGAAAATGGGTATGTGTTGCCAGAGAGACCGTTGTTAATGCCGTTGTACCCGGCGACGGGCACGGCAAGTTCTGGAAGACGGATTCCGCCCTTGGTATTACCATCGGCATCTCGAACGTAGTCCATCACTCCACTTGAGTTGGTGGCCACCTCCATGTAAGGAAATGTAGGAGGATCATAGGTAGGATCACGGATCCAGAGAGAAACGTGGCGATAGATTGCGTCAAGAGTGGGTTGCCAGTTGACGGTGCTGATATTAGTCGTGTCTGGAAGAGGACCAGGCATTCCGTCTACTTCTCGTTGAGGGGCGAGCCAAATTAGGTCTCCGAGGTTGGCGTGAGATGCTCCAGTAACTTCCCATTCGCGGAACTTATGTGTGTTTGGCTGTCGAAGATAGTTTTGAGCATAGTGCAACGACTCGGTTTCAGAATTCATCATGAAGACAGGGACTTTAAGATCGGTTCGGACTTTTGTAAAGACAGTGCGACCACTCTGGCCAGGAGTAGGGTGAGCAGGGACAGGGCTGAAATCAGAAGAAGCACCAGCACAGATGGCCGGAATGATGGCATCATATGAGCCATTCAATGGCTGGACACCATTTGTATAACCCAAAACTCGGCTACCGGATTGAGAAGCCCCAACAAGGATGGCATGCTCAGGAATTTGACCTCCAGTGACATTGCCACTGCGCAAAACACTGGCAGCTTGACTGACAATATCATAGGAGATGGCATCATCAGGAATATTCAGCGTGCCATATCGCACTGGGTCCCATTGAATGAGGCCTTGGGGATTCGTTGCTCCGCCTTCGATACCAGTAGCTTGGGCGTCAATACTGGCCCATATGTAGCCCGCTTCATAGACGCCTGGAAGGTCGGTAGATGTAATGTCGAAACCGCCGGAAACGTTGATCCACTCGACAAGAACATCGCCGTTGAACCTTTTATGATCCAATGGGCGTCGGATGAGCATACGGGTTTTGTATGAGGCAGTGCTGTTGTAGGATAACGTCCAATGACCATCACTTGTCAAGTTACCGACAACATTGTATCGAACAGCATCCCCGCTGAGAAAAAACTCTTCTTCGACATAGCCTATAGAGGAGATATTCCCAGCATATGCGCTGAAAGGATGGCCTTTGGTTCCCACTGTGATTGGGCCTTGGATTATCGGGGGTTTGTTGGCAGTGACTGCAATGGCATGAAGGCCGATGAGGAGGCTAACAGAGCTAAGCGTGCGGAGCATGGTGTGTGTTGGCTTTTCTTTTCTTTGCTCTATGATTGCAAGTATCGTTGATAACTTGGGGAACTTTCTAGTAAGAATGCCAAGTTTATATAGCAGATTACTTGCTTCTTTCTTCCAACACACAGAGCCATTAGGCCCCCATGGTGTATGGCGGAAACTATCTACTGGAGGCCTGTCGTGCGACTGTCCCAACAAGGAAATTATCACGACGAATAAAGTTGGGGTTACTTGTCGATCTGCCCCGCTACCAGGAGCTCTAGCGACCAAGACTTGCCGAAGACATCATAGGAGAAGTTGAGTTAGATGATGAAATTAAATAGATAGGAGGCAAACTTCACCAAAAATGTTCAAGGGATGTTTTTGCCCGCGCATTGGTGGTATACAAAACAGCGGTCTGGAAACGATTTCTCAGCCTATGTTGTAAAATCTTTGTCTCTAATATTAGTTAGGCCGTGCCTATCGCGGGTTTCTAGGTATTGTAACTTCTTTGCCCTGTGCCATTTCCGCGAGGTTAATGGAGTTTCCTATGACGTAGGCTCATTTTTGGGCAAATCGCCAGCTTTGGCACTTCCAGAACATGATTTACTGTTTGTATCTCCTTAACCATGTACTACCCGGGACAAAGTCTGGATGGGCACTGTTACAAAGATATACGATTCCGAGATCTTGATCAAGCTGCTAATCAAGTTCCAGAATGATAAGATTCCATGGCAACCCAATGAGAATGCACAGAGTAGAACATATAATATCCATAGTTGTGTTAAGAAGCGAATTCTTCCGGTTTGCCAGCTCAGCATTACACGTTCCGTCTGCTCCCCTATTATTTGCAATTTGAGTATATGTAATGGCGTCAAAGCATTATATTCATTTTACTAACTGCGCCTCCTTAAATTACTCTCACAGCTTGCGTCATTTGAGGCCTATCTGTAGTCTAAGTCTAGTGAGAAACGTATCAGTTGTATATCTCCCTTCTCTCATGAGAAAGCTTTCAAAATTTTGCTGCTGGATTTATGGATGAATGTGTGTTCAGTTGGCTGTTATGGTATTATTCCCGCCATAGATAACTTCTCTACCCTTGTGCAGATGCACTTACACATCGCTACCGGACCACCTTGACACATCAATGACAACATGAAAGGTGTGGTGCACCTCTATTTGGCTTTGACCCTTGGATGCTCCAACTATGTTTGAAGCCTTGACAAATTTTCCACATGTTGATCTTTTGGGCTGGTGGCGAGGGGTTTTGGTCATTCTAGGCAGTGCTTCGATATGTCCTTTCGTGGACTAGCTGTTGTAGTCCATTACCACAATTTTAATGCTCAGATAATGTCCTACATTAATTGTTTTCTAAATCAAAAGAGCACAAATGCCCATTTCCACCATGGCTGTTTTGCAATCAGCAACGCCGTGCTGCTGGAGTTCCCAGCACTTCCTCATTACCCTGAGAACTGTAGAGCAATTCCCAAACCTGCCGTGATCGGCTAACATTTCTTTCATGCAGCTTTCAAAAGATTGCTGTACAGTTGGCTGTGCCATACATCCTGTGACACATATTGCCCACACAATACCATTGGCAGGACAAGATTTTGGCCGAGTATGAAGTGTTGCAATGGTTCTTGAAACAGCACTTTGTATCTCCGGAAGTTTCGGCAGAGGTCCAGATATGATGGTATGTAACAGTACTAGTGCTGCGAGAGCAAACATTCGAGATACCCACAGGACATTTATCTCTTTATCTGTGAGACCCTAAACAAAAATGTCAACGCCGTTCCACTAAGAAATAGGAGCGACCAGATTTACCTTTTCATTTATTTCCAGTTGTTTAATACCATTTTCGAGGGCACTCTCAATTCGTTGGCCCTTGACTGCTAGGTCGCGAGTACTAAGCAATCCGGTTTTTATGCTGTTGTCCTTCCATTGTTTCAGGTTGGCCAAATCACCAATCAATGCCATGATCCAATTTTGACAGCCCATGACAGCCGCTGTGTCCAATCCAGGGATACTGAGCCATTGACTATAAGGGAGCGCTGGTACTTTGCCGGTGGAGACACATGAGAGGATGTCGAACCAGAGGGCCGCAGTGATGAGAAATTGTAGGCCGTCACGGTCTTTGTTTTCCATGAAATTAAGATGATTGTGCATTTGGTCCCGTTGAGAGTCATCACGACAATGTCCTGGCGCGAAGATATCTTGTGTTGTGAGCTGGCTCAATGTAGAAGTCAGCGCATTCAGATGCAGCTGCCAATCATGCTCGCCACCTCGAAATACCTATAAGACGTTTAGCAGAGATGAAGCGTCAGCAAGAGCGCATATACTAACCTCAAATGTAATAAGCATTATGCCGGATGCCAAAAATTCCGTCATTTGCGCTGCATCGTTGAATAATTGTTCTTCTTTGCAACTCATAAATGCACAGAGCTCTCTCAATGCTCTGGAGTGGCGGTCAAACGCTATGCATTGCTGGCAATATTCCTCCTCTCGGCCGAGTAATACACTCTGGTGAAGGGAGGACAAGCTCAGGATGGCGTGATAAAGGGGGCCTTGTTGGATCAGTAGCGAAAGCAGCCAGCCTCGATTTCCCGACCTAGAGGCGTATGAGTGGTAAGGGAACTGCCAAGAAAACACTTGGTCCAAGTAATGCATCAGCAAACTAGCATCGTGTGAGTCGATCCATGGTATCCGCCTCGGCTCTTGCCTTGCCAACTCTATGTACGCTGACCGAGTGCTGTTAGCACTTCCGGAACTGGACTCATTGTTTGGTGAGATTGATGCGTAATCTCTGCTGTCTAGCCCAGAATCAGGGAGATTGCTGCCGTGATGCGGGGATATCGATCCACTAGGTCCCCAATCCTGCTCTTCCTGAGCCGGAACTGCCTGCAGCCGTGGTGCAACATCGCGTCGGTTTTGGCGAGCTCTATTCTGAATTCTCCTTAGGCTACGGAAATTCTCCTTGACTGCCTTTTTGATCCTCAGGTTCTCCTTCTCTTCTTCAGCAGCGCCATCCATCCACTCCGGCTTCTGCCCGTAGCCGTGACATTGGACGTTACGGTCGGTGCATTCTTTGCAGGTGGGGGTTCTCGAATCGCATTTCCGGTGTCGAATTCGGCATGTCCAACAGCCCGAGGGACGAATGCCCATACCGAGAGAGTGTCTTTTCTATTGAATTTAGTGAAGCGATGTGATATGAGTGAGATGGTAGATCCTTGTGACTCCAATGATGAGCTTGAGCAGCCTAGACGGCCGCTTTAGGGGCAGAATGCTCAATGCCGACAGCGGCTTCGGTGACCGGCGATGGCGCGGGGTGGATTTCGTTCAGTAATTGGGGTACACGCTCTGTACCATTTAGATCTTCTTGCGTACTGTAACGGAGTATTGAAGAAGGCCTCTTTGGCTCTTCCACCGGAACTCCGCCACCCCCCTGCCATGCACTGCATGTCTAATAACTCGCCAATTGAAAGTCAACATGCTCATCATCCACGTGACAGTGATCCAATGCTTAACGCCAACTGTCAACTGGATAGCACTGATGCCCAAGCGCCCAAGGCACAGCGAAGAACCCACCAACGTCTCTGGGATTACTTTATCGAGTGTGCTGCAAACACATGGTGGAGCGGAGGAGGGCTTTTTTCCCTCTTTCTTTTTTCAGTGTTCATAATAAACTCTGCGATTGGCCTCATATTTTGCAATACTACATGAGATTGTGGTAGAACAAGAAGGTGCTGCCGAAATGTTAACCCCTGCACTCAAAAGCATTTACCAAAAGTACAAGGCGGATACAGACCTCGTGGCTGAGTGGTTGGCCGTTACCGCCAAAACCAATGGTTATGAAGTCGCCGCCACCACCCCGACAGGCACTGGGGGTAGACTCAAAGGAAAAGCTCGAAAATTAGCCAAGGCCGGAGCAGCAAAGGCGTCTCAAACGGCAACGGTTGGGGTGTCCTCTGGCAGTCCGGGAAATGGCACAGCTGCCCCTAAATCCACCCACCTTATCAAGATCAAAGACTTTGAGGCCCTGGCAACCTTTGTCTCCAAAGTCAATGATCTTAAGATCCCCAAGGACTTCGTTTTTGCACTTGATCGTGTGATAGTTGGTCAGTTACTCATTTTATCAGGCCAATTTTATCAGGCCAGAATAGAACTGACAACGGCTGCAATAGCGCGAAAGGGATTCGCAGACCGTCTCACCTCCAGTGGGCTGAAAGTAAACTTACTCTCCGAAAGTCGTCATTCTTTCTTCGTTGAGGTACTGGAAAAAGTTCGTCACATCTTGAAACCATTGATAGGAACTACCAAATCCGACAGCGAAGAGACAACCAAAGCGGACATCAAGCCAGACGGAGTGGCAAAGAATATCTTTAGTGTTTTGGAAGTGTACCACACATCTACAGAGTTCCAAAATGCTCCAGATGTTGTTCCAGCACCTGCCACTGAAGTCAAATATGTTGCAGAACAAGAAGACACCTTTATGGATGTCATTTTTGCATTTACGGCGCTTTTGGATGATTATCATCGCCTCAGGGCCGAGATCAAGTCTCTATGGACCGACTACGTTTCTGGAAACCTTGATCTAGCGGCTGTTTCTGTTGCGACCAACGTGGCCTTTGAAATGGCCCGTAATATGGAAGAGGATATAGAATCACTGCTCGGCAAAGAAGGAGGCGGTTCCCTTGTTGCTAATCGATACTTTGCGGCCTTATGCACGGTTTTCGGCATTGAAATGAATGCCAATAAGCAGCCGAGGGATCCTTACAACCTGGATGCATACGATTTGGCGGACATGTGCATGATGAACAGCCTGACACTGCTTGCTAGCTACCTACAATCCACTGGCCGATCTGAAATGCATCTCCAATCTTACAGCGGCAGCTTTGGCTGGTACGATGAAACAGTGGGCGACTCTGCGCAGACGCGTCGACAAAAATGGAAGCAAGATATGACGGCAATGCTTGAGTTTATGCCGGACGTGAGCTTTCTGGCTTCGAAAATCGACTGTTCAACTATAGTGGATGAGATTACCCGTGGAATGGCATACTTGGCCAACGACAGGACAAAAGACCCGCCGTTCTGGCTAGCCTGGGCCACTCAGACCTACCTGGATATTTTGCAGTTTCTTGGCCAGGACTGTGATCGTGGGTATCGGGAAATGCAACAAGAATGTCTCAACATTAAACATTCCCTGCTCGATATTGACGCTTCATCCAAAGAACGATCCAAAGTCCTCTATGCTGCCTGCATATGGGACGATGATCCAATGTGGATGGCTCGTAAACTCATGTTAGACCTCGGTTTGTTTCCAAACGAGATTGCACCACCCTTCAAGTGTCTCCGTCGGAATCCTATATATTGCGGTCTTTTAATACACAATATGCGTTCAAATCTACATTCTTCCGGTACGCAGTTTGCTGCAACGCCTGGGGCGCTTCTGGGGGTAACGCAGCTGTATCATGCACTTCGACAGGAGAAGATGCTAGCCGAGGATCTCGAGTGGGAAGACCTGGAGACGCTGCGAAAATTACAGGGCAATCCGTCATTTTTTGTTGGCGACCTACCGACAAATCGTGAAGCTTACTTCAAGAACTACTGCCTCAGCATTGGAACGTCTGTTACCAACTGGGCGCCCAACAGACGGAAAAGCAAGCTCAAGATAAACAGCGCCAACAGACGGAATTTGAAGTATACAGGGTACGTATCGTTATCAACTAACCATCGTCTTGAACACTCTGGGGCACGTCAGCCGTGGTCACCATCCGCGGTCGAGGCGGTTTTAAACGAGGGTGTTCGTAAGCAGTATACGGATAGCAGAGAGCATTTCCAGGCTGAGTTCAAGGATGTCGTGGAAAAAGAAAGAGTATGTACTTCTAACCCTTCAAGTTGAACTGTTGAACTGTTCAATTAGTTTCCCGAGATGTGATTTCACTCAGAATTCTTACTGATAACGAAATTAGCTTGAGCTTGCCAATCTTCTCCCTCCCGGGATCATACGGAAGCTTGCTTTAGCTATCCAAAGCGAAATTCCGGGCATCTCTTTTAATTATTTCACCATGCATAACGAGGCATGGAATTTACTCGGAAGGCTACAGGAAGGTTTTGGTCAAGTCCTGGGCCCGAATGTTCTGTCAAAAAATCCAGATGAACTGCCGTTCGCGGCCGGCCTTGCTCTTGCAGCTGCTGCAGGTCAGATGAGTCCTCAAGGGGACAAAAAAGTAGAGAAGTCGGATGTATTAATGCATGTGGCCGCGGATGTCTTGCAACAGTTTCTTCGGGAGGGACAAGGAAGTGTTATAAAAGAGGCTTTGGCCAAAAAGGCTCAACCGGAGGATGTGGAGAGCCTGGAAATTGGGGACATTGATCCATGGGGAATTGAAAAGCTCAAGAAAGCTTATCGTTTTTAGATACTGCTCGATTCCTACGATTGGACCGATTATATTCATTGAGCGTATGAGTATGTTTCATAGCGATGAGATACATATCATGGTTAACCAATATATGCACACATAAACAGGGCATACATTATTTCACCACGGCGTATCATTTTAGCTTTCAAGTATTACAATCGTGTTATGCCGGCTTTTGGTCCCTAGTTGGCTTCCCTGACCGAGGTATCTCAGGCAAGCCAAAGTCAAACGGCAAGATCATAGCAAATAGCACCATGTTCTCCATAATCGTATATTTTCCTCTTATATCCATGTTTTTTAGAAACCAGTTATTCATTTAGCTATCAGCATCTCGCAGCGCCTTGGAAATCGCATCCATGCCACCAAGAAGCTCTTCTCTTGTGGGCCAACCAAAGCCCAAGCGAAAATGCGTATCGGGCATCTCAAACCAGTGTCCAGGGCCGACGTATGTCTTATACTTCTTCAACAGCCTGTCGTAGAATGCATCCGTGCCGCCTACCGGCTCTTTCTTCATGCTAGGGAAACAAACTACGCCGCCCACTGGCTCCACCCACTCCAAGAGTTCCTCTTTCTCAATCCATGACCGAACCATCTGCAGGCGAATTGCCATCTCCTCATTTGTAGCAGAAAGAATGGTTTCTCTTTTCAGGAGCAGCTGCGTCGCAATCCATTCATTAATAACGCTGCCACTGATGCTTATCTGCTCCTTGGCTGCCAAAAACGTCTCCTGAAGCTTCTTGTTCTGGGTTATGACCCAGCCAAGTCGAATTCCTGGCACGCCATATGATTTCGATAGAGAGCATACACTCAAGACATGATCACCGAGTGAGGCTGCGACAGGGAGCTGCCGGCCGTACTTGACATCTCTGTAGGTCTCGTCAACGAGAAGCAAACAGTTTTGCTGCTTGGTGATGGCAACAAGGCGATCTAGAGATTCCCTAGACAGCAGCGTTCCTGTTGGGTTATGCGGGCAAGTTATGGAGACGATCTTGGTCTTTGGTGTGATTGCTTGTTCGATGAAAGAGAGGTCTGGTTCGAAGCCTGACTCAAACTTAAGATCCACAAAGGTGATGTCGCAGCCAATTGCCCTCGGTGTTTCCAGATTGGTTGCATAATTTGGTCGAACCACAACAATATGATCTTGTGCAGACAGCTGAGATGTTGAGATGATAAAGAGAGCTCCGGCCGCACCACCAGTTATGAGAACATCATCCGCGCTCAGGCCAGCGTCGGCAGCAATGGCTGCTCGCAGCTCGGTACTCCCCTTATGTTCATTATAGAGGAGAGTAAGGTCGGGAATGGTTAATCCAAGAGAGCCTAAGGACTGGTCCGCGATGGAGCTCTCAGAGAGATTGAACTTGATCTTATCGTAGCCATATTCCTCTGGCGATTCAATCTCAATTGGCATCCGTGCATACTTCATCCTGGGATAAGGTTGATATGTGTCACCACAACAAAGGCTAGAAAAGCAATGGAGAATGGGAGAGCTGAAGGCGTTTAAGGTCAGATATGTCGAATCTGCCTATCAATATCTATGGTACGGCGCCGGGATAGTTACTTATATGTCAAGGCAACCGACTGGGAGTTTTCATAACTCAGCTAGCGCGGGTTCCCTCGGCCACGCATGTAGAAAAGAAGAAGCGGGTCGACTTTCCTTACTAGCCATACCTATGAGATGAGAATCTGCGGCAATTCATTGTGTTGATTAGCAACTATTTTCTTAGCATTCGGCTTCAATCGCATAAATGTGGCCTGGCAAGCCTGTGTCTCCATGGCATGCGGTCGTGGCGCGGGGTAAGTCTGGCTGCATCCATCCCTCTGTATCAGTAAGTTCTCGTCCTACGCCGTAGCAGAGACTATGCAGACATTTTTTTATAACTACGGCACTGAGTAATGAATTAAGGTCTGTTGGAAAGTGTGGAGTTTCGGCGCTCGAGTCGATCAACGATGTATTGGCTCTGCACCGAGCTCCGATTGCTGGGCGAGCATCTCAACTTCTCCCATTCCGCAGCCTAAACCACAAGTTGCCACCACAGCAGATTAGAGGCGGCTTTAGTGTGCAATACAGTGGTTCGGCAATCAACCTGTCACTGGAATTCCGTACGCTAGTAAGGACAGTGAGGCGCCCAGCTTATGTGAATCTGCCAATGGCCTGAGCCGTCAAAGACCGCTTGGCGCAAGCCACGCAAGAATTAGAACAGTCACTATCATCTCCCATGTTGACGCTGGGAAAGGAAAGTCGAGCCGGTCAGGTGGGACTTGGGAGAAATCTACCCACCAACTTTGCCCAATTATGTTTATAGAATCTCCCCACGACATCGGCTCGACTTTCCTTTCCCAGCGTTAACATGGGAGATGATAGTGACTGTTCCACACCTTAATGGCTTGTCTCCTACGAACTTTGGCTTATTGGATGCATCTCCTATATCGCAACAGCTTAATGACACCAGCCGACAGTTCTCCCAAGAGCAATGCATCCCAAAAAGGCCGCCGGAGCCTCCAGGGCTGTCTTACATGCCGCGCACGGCACGTTAAGTGCACATTGGAGCAGCCCGCATGCAGTAATTGTCTGAGATTATCCATCAAATGCAACGGATACAGGCCCCAGCTTAAGTGGTTGGTCTATGGCAGCCAAGATGGGGAAAACGTCGTAATCCTCCATGGAAACGAGCGGACCGCCAACAAGAGCGTCAGCAGAAGAGAAATCTTTAACTGTAAGCATAATATCTATTTCCCTTACAGTTAACACAATCATGTTGTTGCCTTGGACGTTCCAATCTCACAACACCCTCTAATTCGTCGGATCTGCAGTATCCGAAAGGAAATGCATGTCGCAGAGTCTAATCGATAGTGTGAGAGAGGATCGCTATACAGATGCCATTCACTCCATAGATGTGATATTAAAGAATCTGGAGAGAGAATCATTTCTGTATATATCGCCAAGGGATGGCCGAAAGCACAAGAGTGCTTCAAGTTGGTTCTACGGCCCATTTGGTGTACTTCAACTTGAGACCAGTTCATAGCCAGATATCTCAGGGACAGCCACGATATGGGGGGGAGTAAACATGGAGATACACAATTTCTTTTGTTATTTGCGTAAAAAGCTTATAAACTTTATATTAAATACACATTATCTCGCCCCTGTTCACTCAACTCCGAATCCGCATCCCGCGTTTGGCCTGAGAAGAAAGTAAGACACGGATATCCAATGGAGATTGACGATTTCATCGCCCACCCACTTGAAGTAACATATTCCGTTGTTGATTTACATTAGATTTGGTCCTATTAACAAGCCTCAAGCTGGAGTTTGGTCATTTAAACGAAGAAACTGGATAAAGAGCAGATATCAATTGCACTCAAATGCATACTCCTGTTACATAGTAGCACATAGTCTGTATTTACGCATTCTGTAATCTTCAAGAATCCCTCTTACATGATATATCTCGCTCATAAGATTTCATATTCAGCCCGTTGGGCTCGAGCATTGCCAGCCTACCAAACTCGGTGAATCGATGTACCCTTCGACTAGAGTCTTGAAGCCTGCATAGAGCCCTAGGACGCAGGTCACCAGGGAGCCCACATATATCACTCCGTCAAATATGTTCCACCACAGTTCCTTTCTCAATCCCCGAACCCAGCGCTTAAGGCCGTGATCTACTCGCTCCACTCGGCGATGTAGAGGATCATAAACCTCTTCCGGCAAAGCTGAATCCCTTTGAGCTCTGAACCCAAGTGCCAAGAAAACAGGAAAGGTATATGTGAATTGCAGAAGCGCTCCAGCTCCAACGAGAACCGTCCAGGATGTTATTTGTGGTACAGACAATGCGACAACCCACGCAAGCATCCAGTAGACAGGAACAAAAAAGGCCCAAATCCACTTTCCGGATGCACTGTTCAGATCAGGGATCGTAAAGAAGTGGCGGCCAACACTGTTGTATAAGACTTTCATACCAATGTTGGCATATAGAACTGCGGCGATGACGTTGGTCAATAGTTCAATAGCGTTGCAGACTGTTTGCCAGTTGTATGGAGAAATTCCCTGATAGGAATTGATGTATGCGTACTGTCCCTGCCTGTTGTATCATTAGTATATATGAAGAGTGAAGAAGGCGAAAGCGTCTTACATCACATAGCAGTAAATACCATACACCATGTAACATAAGAAGATGAGAAGATCAGCACATAGGAGACCTTTCCAAAAGTCCATCGGTCGTCGCATTTCAGCCATTAGCTCGACAAACATGGTTGCACCACCAAACGAGAATACAGCATTCATCAAACCGTTCACATTATCCACAAGTGTAAGCTCTGGCGGTGCGGTAATGGAGACAGAAATGGGATCAGGAGCTTGAATATTGAATTCGGGGTGAGTTGTAGCATAGAGAATGTAGTTCGGCGGACTATGAGCCATGACTCCCATTCTATAAGATAGGTAAGTAAAATTATAACAGAGGGAATAATACCATCAAAGAGACAGCAGACTTACGTTACGAAGATGACAAACAAGTTCAGAAACACACTCACCGACCCTACCCAGCCTAAGTTTTTGAGAGTTCGGATCTGCCCTATAACGCAACCAGCCAGGGCGCTGGTCAAAACAGAGATTATGAAGCATAATTTGTTTTGCGACAACTGACTTATGGACTGGCCGTTTGTGATCATTATAACCATGACGGTGAGAAAGAACTGAAACGATTGCAAAATATTGCACACATGCTGGAACCACGGTCCATATATACGCAAAGCCAGATCGCTGTACCCTCCTAGGGGATGCTCGTCGCTGTCCAGTTGGAGAAATAAGCGCCACAGCAGAAATCCGCTGTATCCGGCTAGAGCACCAAATACAGTATACAGGACGACGCCTGGAGCAAGGCCCATCTGGGAGAAGGCGTAACCAGTCGAAAAAGGTCCGAGCACATCGGTTGTAATTAAGTAGAAGATGGATACCCTAGCAACCATTAGCAACGACTTTTGTTGTGGTCGAGTATCGTGTAGTTGCTATCCGACTTACCATGTAGCTGTTCTGGCCGCCCTAGAAGCTTGGGTCCATTCGCCCTCAGAAATATCTAGTGGTGCAAATGCTTCGGGTGTAGGTTTCTTCTTTGACTCGACCCGCGATAAATGCTCCACGTCTCCGCAATTGAGGGGAGCCATGCCTCCCCCAGATTCTTTGACAGGCTGGTCAACGGCATCTCCACCAGAATTGGTAGCATTAGTAGATGCTGTGATATGCCCAGGTTGTGAAGGGCTGCTCAACTCCCGAGCGCGAGAAAGTTTGGCGAAATATATAAACTCTTCAATAGGGATTTCGGAATCTTTCATGTATAATATGTTGCCAGCTTGGAAATTCTCGCTGTCTTTGCGCTTTTCTGCGACGCTGGGGCCGTCATCCAGAACTGCAATGTTATCCTGATGTATCATCATGATATGCAGGCCGGATCAAAGAGATAAAGATGTTAACTATATAGATGGAGGAAATGGACAAGTTTGTCTACTACGAGAACATACGCATACCGTAAGGGTCCCACCTGATATATATATATACTATGAACATCAGGAGATGCGCCCGCGAACTGTACGTCGCTGTCAGGCTCGCACCTAAACGCCGTTAGCTTGTAACGACCACACTGGTGGCTTGAAGCCCAGAAACTACCTATCCTGATATCCATCAAGCCTGCTATGGCCTTATTTTCTCCACCACAATCTAGCGTGGTCTGGCATCGGAATTGGCGTTATCATGCCGTCGCTAGCGCAACTCGACTTGGGTGTTGGCTATGTCGGCAGCGGCGCGACGAGCCTTGATTGCCCCCTGTCTGTCTTACACGAAGCAAGTCCTATTTCGGCCTCGGCCTTCACAAGGTTATACTATTAAACTTACGGCTAGAAACGGGGGACAAGTAGTTGTGATAAGGGGTAGTTGGAGGAGGTTTAAAAGAACCCCTGCCACCCAGTGTCTATCATTATAAGTTTAGATGGTTAGTGAGCTGAGACAATATCGAAAATAGCCGGAAGAACAAGCTCGTCACGATGGATAGCCACCATCTCCCACCATGGAAGTCTATGCCGGCTGTCCCGGGAATGCCGCACGGATGTGCCTGGGGACTCTTTGACCGGAACAATGTCAAGGATGAAGTAGGCACCATCAATCTCCTCCAGCCATCTACCATTTTAAATGCATCCAAAGAAATCAAAACAGGAAAATCCGTTGTTCTCAAGTAAGATATGAGTTGACCCGCATTGAAGACATTCAACAGCCTAATAATGAGTTGCATAGTTGGCCTCTTGATAGAGTTCATGAACCCAGCTTTGACCGTCCGAATTTGCACGTCACAGTCAAGGACTGGAAAAAAGAAGGAGGCCCTTGGTATTGCTATGATGATGAAATCAAACTCAACACTCAGTCCGGAAGCCAGTGGGACGGATTACGTAGGTCATTTGAATGGACGAGGTACTAAGTCTTGCCACTGACACCATGATAGGCCATTGGGGTCATTCTGTTACTGGCATGTACTACAACGGCATTCCGCATGAATCAGTCCTTGATACATCACACCTTGGAGTCGAACGTGAGTTTCATACACAGAACATCAATTCCTACCCCATTTCAACCCAGGTATTCTAACAACCACTACCATATCAGACTGGAGCAAGCGTGGAGGCATAGTTGGACGTGGCGTTCTCCTCGACTATGTAGCCTTTGCTGCTCGGCATAATATCGAGTATGATCCAGTGACAAGACACTGCATTACTCTCTTTGACATCCTGAAGATGGCCGAGGAGCAAAGAGTGACGTTTCAGCGTGGCGATATTCTTATTTTTCGAACTGGCTGGGTCAAGTGGTATGAGGAACACACCGAGGAAGAAAGACGATCCAAGATAAAGAATGGAAATGATCATGTTGGTATTGAAGGCAATGAGGAGATGTTTGCGTGGCTATGGGATAATCACTTCGCGGCCTTGGCGAGTGACACAGTTGGAGTCGAGGCATGGCCTCCTACCTTCCCATGGTGTTAGTGCTTCAATCCCCAATGGAGTTACACAAGCTGACATTTGGATAGGTCTTCATGACTACGCAATCTCTATGTGGGGAATGCCCCTCGGAGAACTTTGGGATTTGGAAGCACTGGCTACAGCATGTGAAGAGGAGAACAGATGGACTTTCTTCTTTACCAGCGCACCATTAAACAATCCTGGTGGAATTGCCAGTCCGCCCAACGCTGTTGCTGTCCTTTAAAAGTGATAGCGAAATTATTTATTTGTTGAAAGTATATAGACCAATAGAAAATGTTTCTTTTTATGTATGGAACAAGTATCGAGAATGTTCACAAAGTGTATCAAAGGCCCAGTATGTGACACAGTACCCATGGGCAGTCTGAGCCTTACAGCAAGCTGCCCGCAATGGCTCTAGAACCCCCGCCATTTAGTGCATCGCAAGCTAAGTTCTTGACCATGGCAAACTGCACTACAATTTGGGCCGGCAAGCTGGGTAGTTGAGCCGAGAGCCGAGCGCCGAACCCCGAGTTCTGTGAGATCGACGGCCAAGCCAGACGAAGGATATCACGACTTAGAGCCAGATATTTTTGTGGAACGTCAGACTTATTTGTTTCAATGCAATTAATCATAAGGAAAGCACCCATTTGAACTAGAAAGGAAAGTCGAGCCGACATCTTCGGAGCGAAGTTGGAGCCGATATTCTCGGAAACCACTCCGAGAGCCCTGGAAAATGGATACAGACAACAACGCCTCAGCGGTACGGAGTGCATTTCACCAATTACTCAGATAGCGGCCTTCGGATTACATTCACTCCATTACTACAACACCGAGGACAGCAGACATCAGAAAACAAGGGACAGGGAAACAGATATATGGAACCTTCAATGCTTGAATATTATTTAACTTCCATCATGCCTACCATCCTTCAGGAGCCTATTCGCATCCTCATCAGCCAAGGGCAGCTTGTACAGTCATTCAACAGTCTCTCGCCACAAAACCGACAGCATCGCTCCCATGGCTCAAGTTCAACAAGCTCCATATGGAACCTGGGAAAGCCCAATTACCCCAGACCATTTTGCCTCAGGATCTGTGATCCTTGACCAGTTAGACGTCAACGTAAGCAATAATGGGATAGATCTCTCCTCAATCCTTTTTACTAACTATTTAAATAAGCGCTCTAATGGCAAGATCTATTGTCTCGAGATCCGTCCAGCCGAAGAGGGAAGAGGCACCATTGTAGAATATGTGGACGGAACTTCCAATGAAGTACTCCCAAGCAACTACAACGCATTGTCTCAAGTGCATGAGTACGGCGGAGCCTCTTTTGTGACAAGGCATAGCGACAATCACATCATTTTTACGGATTTTGAGACAAAGGCTGTCTACGACCTTGATCCTAACACTGGACACGCAGACAGATTGGTTCATGAGGACAAAAAGCTCTATTATGCTGACTTTGCCATTCCACCGAACGATCAGAAATGGATAGTTGGGATACAAGAGAATCACCATACAGATGATCCTACATCCGTTGAGAATAAGATTGTTGCAATCAACGCTACTACCAAAGAGGTCACAGATCTTGCCAGTGGCTGCGACTTTTACGCCTTTCCACGGTTCAGTCCAGATGGAACAAAGCTCTGCTGGATCCAATGGAATCATCCTAATATGCCGTGGGACAATACACAGCTCTTCGTGGCTGATTGGAATGACGGAAAAGTCACAAACATAACCAACATCGCCGGAGTCGAGATCAATTCCAGCGTTACTCAACCTTGTTGGGGTACGGATAATACTCTCTACTATGTCGATGATAGAACGGGATTCTGGCAGCTCTACGAATACTCCAATGGACGGAGTAGACACCTGAAATTATCCGGCCTAGAAGATGCAGAGTTCTGCTTTACAGACTTCTTCCTCGGCGCTGCATCATACACACCATTATCGCCAGACACTATTGTTTCCTTCTACACCAAGAATGGGACCTACCAAAGCATCGTCATTGATACTAAAACCTGCAACTATCGAGAACTCCAATGTCCCATATCCGATATCCTCACAAGTGCTATCAAGGCAGTGAGTTCCACGGCCGTAGCCATCATCGGCTCCACCGCATCATCACCCCAAGTGCTTACAGTGGTGGATATCAACGAGGGGGGACTTGGTCAGGTATTGAAACATTCGGCTGCAACTCAGCTGCCAGAAGATTATGTTTCCCATGCCACTCACGTTACATTCCCTCGTGTGGCTAGTTCCGAAGGAGGCGAGGCTCACGGACTCTTCTTGCTGCCGAAAAGCCCCAAGTACAAGTGGGATCAGTCCCTCCCGCCGCTGATTGTGTCAGTTCACGGTGGGCCAACATGCCAAGCTGGGTCTGGCTTTTATCTGCGTGATCAAGCTTTGACGACTCGTGGTTATGCCGTGCTACAAGTAAACTACGTTGGCTCCACTGGATACGGAAAGAAATATCGGCAATTACTCGATGGGCACTGGGGAGTCAGCGACATTGCAGATGCTGTCAGCGCTGTCGATTATCTTGCTAATCAAGGTTTAATCGATAGACAGAGGGTCGGATTGACAGGGCACTCAGCTGGTGGATTCTTGACTATGCAAGGCATGGTGCGTTATCCGAATGTTTGGAGGACAGCCGTCGCTGAGAGTGGCATCTCGGACCTAAAGAGGTTGATGGAGGACACACACAAATTTGAGTGCCGGTATCTGCAGCCCTTGTGCTGGCCCAATGGAACATCTGAAGAGGAGCAAGAACGAATCCTTCTAGAAAGAAGTCCCATACATCACTGTGCCAAAATCCAAAGGCCTATTTTGTGTTTCAATGGAACAGAAGATCCTATTGTACCTCAAAATCAAGCAAACACATTTGTGAAAACAGTTAAGCAAACAGGTGGAGTTGCAGAAGTGGTGCTGTATGAAGGTGAAGGCCACATCTTCGCCAAAGGCTCAAGCTTAAAGGATATCGAAGCTCGTCGGTATGCTTGGTTCAGGAAGTATTTGGTAGATTAACATAGATTATAGATATAGAAAACCATTGTATAGACAATATTCTCTGTTTTAAAAGTTGGAAGTTGCATTGCGCACAGTTGAAGGAATTTGCGAAATCATAAGCTGCAGATCAAGCTAGTAGACCCCTTACGGATGTTATTGCCAGCCTATCGTTGTGACCACACCTCAAATGATGTCGAATTTGGAATTTTCAACTTTGGGAAAATAATTCTATTAGATATTAATTATATAATGGGAGCATTACTATCGAACTACTGGAAGAGAAACGTCTGGCGGATATAAGACGATTCTGTTCTAGGGTAGCGAGGAAGTTTTGTAAATAAGAGTTACATGGGCCCACGAGACACTCTTGAGATTGCTGGTTATGTCTTCATCTGCACTTTGCTCATTTAGTAATTGTCATCTGTAATCGATTTATTTCTGTTGCAAAGGATTGCATATTTTTTGAGATGTTCAGGGGAGAACTTGCCTCCGTCCGGTAATCGGTATAGCACTCCCATAATGTCCTGTCAGATGGTTAATGGGCCGGATAGGCGCCGACTGCGGCATTGGCACGAGCTCTTCTGCTATCATCCGATATCACAATGGATTAAACATACAATCAAATATTAGCTACTCAATACGGAGTACAAGATACATATCCTAGTCCATAATCACAGCTAATACGCTAAGTGATAACAATGGAGTTGTAACTCCGTTCTTAGTACTCGTACTACCTGGATTTATTTGCGTTAGTGGGGCAAACTACAGAGGGGTTGTGGTTGTTGAGTCATCGGTACATGTCCCTGGTCGGGGGGGCCGGGTAAAGCACATGCTGCTAATGTTTAGCAGCGCGATCGCATGAGTCGGCGGTATCGCTAGCGAATCACCAGTAATTTAAAGAGTCTAGCCTTGATGAATGGGTTCCAAGGAGGCTTCTTTCTCATAATTGTCTGATAGAGCGCAAAAGACCATCATGAGATAAGATTGAACCATGGTCATGTTGGATCCGAAATTACACGTATGATTACCGCTATGCCAAGCCCCAATGCTACTACTAAGCGATCGCGGCGTAGTGCATGTATCCTTGCTGGACTCTCCAATTACTTTTTGGTAATGCCACAACATTCTTACGAAGTAATTAGCTACGAGCGAATTCTGGAATAGATGTGGTCTGCCATTGGATCTATACGTGAGAGATTTAAGCTTGATGACCGTTAGGGGGTTTAATCAGTAGAGGGCAGACAAGAGTGTTGGTAAATCATTGTTACATAGAGATTCTTCAACTCTCCAAGCGTGTTTCCTAAACACCCTTCAAAATAACATTTAATGCAAGGCAGCAAATGCAATTGATGCTACCCGCCTGACCACTGACGCACTGCGATTGCTCGTGATTTCTCCCCACATTTGCCTATGACATTTAAGGAGAGTTCTTCTCCAGACTCTGTTCTTTTGGGGATTACCCCGCGATGGGGTCGAAGCTGCGATGCATGCTGGCGTTCGCCACTCGCGGAATCGTCCAAATACGGCAACGGGGCGAGCCGAGACTGGCTTGTTCCTGTTTTGGCCTGCTGGGCGAGCTTTCACCTCCACTTCTTTGCAAGGAAGCCTCAGCCCCCAGCTTTCGACAGGCAGTTGGCTTCGTATGTGTACCTACAAAACTTTCAAGACATAATAAAATAGCGAGTCGCCATTTAGCAATGGATCGAGGCCATTCAATTCCTTCGACTATACAGAGGATTCAGTGTGGTACATCTCTCAGCACAAAAGTCGATCCGGCCCGAACACCGCAATGGGAAGTGCCGTGAAGCCTGTGACCACCACCAAGTCAGACGTGGTGATGGACGAGTTTGCTGGGAAAACAATTGACGACCACAAGCCCATTGACGGTTATAGCGATTCCGAGAAGCAACTAGAAGACACGGGCTCAATTCCATGCGACTTCGTATACAGCTCCAAGGAGAGTACTCGGATCCGATGGAAACTCGACCTAATTCTTCTTCCCATGGTATAGAGTCACACGACTATTTGATCAAACTTAAGAAAACTTGACTTACAAATGAAGTAGATGGCGTTTACTTACATACTCAACTATATGGACAAGGTTGCCTTATCCGAGGCCTCCATATTTGGCTTGCAGAAAGACTTGGTGGGTGGCATACAACGCTTAATAGAAGCTGGCCCAATATCTGACTAGAACCAGGGTCTTGTTGGACAGCAATATAGCTGGTCATCCTCCATCTTCTATCTTGGATATTTGGTATGGCAGTATCCCAGCTCGCTCTTAATGCAGAAGCTTCCGATGTAAGTTGCCACTTCAATTCAGCCAGTCCAGGTTATAGTCTAAGTCTCCATAGTGGACGCTATTTCGGTCTCATGATATTCCTCTGGGGCCTCACAGCAATCACAACGGCATTTACTAAGGGGTTTGCGACGCTTTCTATCAACCGTGTCTTCCTCGGAATTTTTGAATCATGCATGTCCCCCATTCTCACAATTCTCGTATCCCAATATTGGACTCGAGATGAACAGCCGCTTCGTGCCTCCTTGTGGTGGTCGGCCAGTGCTGTCGGTGCCTTTATTGCTGATTCTATTACCTACGGCGTTTCTGGAAAAGACCACTCTGGTTCCAAATACGCCGTCTGGAAGATTATTTATCTCGTGTTCGGGTTGTCAACACTGCTCTGGGGTATCATTATCTTTTTTGCAGCGCCATCATCACCCATGGAGGCGTGGTTTCTCAACACGAGAGAGAGGAAGATTGCCGCGGCTCAAGTTAGAAACCCTTTCGTTGAGTGAAAACCAGAGCTAACCCATCATTTGATAGGTCATGAAGAACCATACTAGTATAAAAAACACAGAGTATAAATGGCACCAAGTCCGTGAATGCTTGATTGACCCGCAGCCTTGGATACTGGCAATCCATGCCTTTCTCCAAAGCCTACAAGGTGGAGGTCTGACATCGGTGAGTACTATGCGTGATTCAGTGTTTATTGCATTCTGACGGTATTCTAGTTTTCCAAGATTGTTTTAACCGAGACGCTTGGTTACACTAGTCGCCAAGCCACTCTAATGAGCATGCCGTCCAATACCATCCATCTTGTTTCGGTGGTCTTTGCGTAAATTCGACATTGGTCTTATATCGCCTGCACAGTCTGCTAATGTCTCCTAGTGGTTGGTTTTGTAGCCATTACAAGAATACAAGGTGCTACGTCATGATCGCCACGAACAGCATCGTATTAATTGGTGCGGTATTGATTGCCAGTTAGTGTTCTTGCCGTTAACCACCAACAATTTCAAGCCGTTTCTAACCATTTGACAGATCTTCCCCGTTCCAATCATAGCGGTCTACTTGCGTCTTTTTACCGTTAGTATAATGTTCAAATGCTTGCCTTAAATTGCAGCTAACGAGAGTCAGTCATTTACATGAACACGGTCCCGTTTGGCTTGGGCATGAACATGGTTTCGTCAAATATTGCAGGATTTACCAAAAGTCTACCCCAAGTGTAAGCAGATATATCAATTGCGAGTGACTAGACCTCACTCTGATTCTTTACAGGTTCTGATGTTTCTTGGTTACTGCCTCGGTCAATTCACTGGACCTCAACTGTTCATCGAGAAGCAGGCTCCAAAATTCCAGACAGCTTTTAGGGGCTTCTATTCCTCCATATCTGTCATGATATTCTTGGAGATTGTACTAGTGTAAGTTCAGCATGCTTGGATTGTTTCTCCCAGCTAGTAACCATTTTCAACTAGCATTTATATCAGGTATCAGAACCATAGGCGGGATCGCCTTCAAGCAGATAACAACAGCCCGAATATTACCGAAAATGACTCGGACCTGACTGATTGGCAACAGCCCTCATTCAGGTACGTTTGGTAAGCTTGGAGTTCTTCGAGTAGCAGACGCGCGGTTTAAACACAGAAGCCCTTTGTATGCGAATGGACCTTTATTTCACTTTAGTAAACGAGAAACGCAGCTAGCAAATAAGAAACTTCGTTTCAAATTTGCAATGACTGCACTTTTCCTTCTCGCTTTTGAAGCGTTAATCTACTAATACAAGTTTTTTCTTTATCGACTTCTATTTTATCCGTAAACTCCATCTAGATATCGCAGTTAATTTACATTTTGATTCAGATGCAAAATATTACGTGTATACCTATATATGTTTAGTTTTATCGCCGTAATACAACTATAGCATGGGTTCATACATACGGTGAACTCTATATCTTAGCTGGAGGCTGGAGCCATGTTATTGCATGTTTCTTTTGTTGTTAGCCAACATCACTAATACAGACCTCCGAGGCATGGGTCCCATCATTCAATATCTCCTTTACAGCTATTTAGAGACAAGGTTAGCGTTATTCCATCAATGTTATTGAGGAGCGAAATCATCCATCACGTGACGCAGCCACGAACGACTATCTCAAGACTAGATCTAATAAGCTCGTTATCATCAGAAGCCCGAGCATTTGTCGTCTTCATCTAATCTGTAGTCTACCACTTAATTCACCATGCGCTCATGCAATACTTGTACAAGAAGAAAGCTTCATTGTGATACCCTGAAGCCTCGTTGCTCATCATGCCGCCAGTCGCATGTCAAATGCGTCTACAACTCGTCATCTCATGCTGTATTCGAGTTTAGGGATGAGACGGAGGATACCAAAGCCCGCTCAAGACATCGCAAGAAGAAGGGTAATGCTTCTACAAAGGAAATGACGCCCCAGCAGACAAATCTTCCATCATTGAGCCAACAAAATGAAACACGTGAGCAAAGAGAGGGGCCGGAACTGCTGGAGCTGCCATCGCTTCCAGTCTTTGACACGACGACAATACCTTGGATTGACGGGATATTTGACTCAAATTTGGGCCAGCAGTGGGATCCAACAACAGACACGGCGATGTTATGGAACACTTCTGCCAACTCTATAGTCGCTAATGAATCCCCCGACCAAACCCGAGGCCTTTACGCCAGTCAAGTTTTTGCTGAATTGAACACACCTAGCTCAGACTACCAAAGCCCAGGTTCCAAATCACTCTCAACTGTCTCCGATCACGTTTTGGCACAGCACTATACTCAGAGCCTAACATCAAAATACAGCTCAAAGGAGCAGGGTTGGAACAATCACACCTATTTCTTTAATCGCTTCAACTCAACCCATTCATTTGTAGTATCGTCCCTATACGCGTGGACAGCTGCCCACCTCTTCTGCAGCGGAAGATTGCAATCTGAAGCCAGCGCGATGGAGCATTACAGCAAAAGTCTCGTGGGCATCAGAGATCAACTTGGAATCCACCTCTTGGAAGAGAACGAAACCGAAATTGCTAGTCAGACGTGGCTCCAGCTTCTGGCTCGAGAAGATGACCTGGATGCTGTTGCTGTGACTCTGTATTTTCTAGCCTGGACTGACCTCCTCCTTTCGAGGAAGGCATCTTTGAGACGGATGCTTAGCCTAGAAGCGACTCTACTGGACCACAGTGGCCATGATCAGTCGCATACTCTCTACGTCAGAATGGCTGTATGGTTCTGCTTTCTCGACGCACGCGCTGCGCTATTTGGTCAAGGTAACGATCGTATTATTCAGTCTATGGGAGACGACTCGGGCTTGGTGAGAGCCGTGGAAGCGTCATATGACTTTCTACAGAATGAGTACAGTCTCCTATACCCTGATGAAGAACGGCGGCGGGACGAGGCTCATAAGCCCCTGTATGTCGCAACATGTCGCTTAGTAGCTCTTCTAGGAAAACTGTCACGGAAAGGCGGCGACAAAAGAGACGAGTGCCTTGTCATGGCGTCCTTGTGCGATATTCATCGAGTAAGTAGAATCTATGATGATAATCGGAGAGACGATATCAATTGACTTCTATCAGAGTATCGAAAGCATCAGCGAAGAAAAAGCTGCAGAAAACAAGGTGTTTTCCACCTACCTCACAACAAGTGCGCTTTTTCATGCAGTAAAAATATACGCTTCAAGAGTCTACCAGCCCAATGAATCAATGTACACAAAAAGCAACCATGCAGAAAAGATCACAACCATTACCAGCCAATTCTACCGGAGGCTGAAGCGGCCAAGAACGGAAGCGCCCCCAACTAAGATATGGCCGGTGCCTCTGATCATGGCCGCAATTGAGGCAAAAGACTGGATCTACAGAGACTGGGCGCTGCAACAGATGAAGAGCTACTACAGTGCGGGAAAGCATTTTGCCAATGCGTGCGCATTCGTCGAAAAGGTACATGCCGCCGAGAAGGCGACGGGGCGTCGTAGTAATCTTCATCAGATCGCCGACGATATGGGCGATGATTTTGTCATATGACGGACTTTATTGATCGCGCCGGCGGAACCGCATTCGACCTGTTCCGCGAGAAGCAGCAGCGAGTCGGTCGCCGATTTGCACGATTTGGGACAATAGCGCGACCGCTAGGCAACACAACAATGGATGATGCTAATAAGTTGAAGATGGTCTAGGCACTATTACAGTGTGAAGTCTAGCTGGATCTAGGAGATAAGTCGAATGCCTCTTGAATATATAACCTTTGCTAAGAACACGGGAAAATATTCTGCATTCTCTGCAAAGTAAACACATTATCTACTGACCAAATTCCTTATTCTTAACTTTACACAGCACGACGCCGATGGGCTCTCAGAACATGCCTTCTTTGGACACTCCCAACATGCAAGTCCCTGATCCATCGTGCTACCAGCACATTGTAGTCGAGGGTACGCCATACGGGAGAGGCTTGTCGCATGGAAGACAGGCAAGTGAAAAGGTTCGCGCCAATATCGAGTATTATAAGCTTCCAGGAAAGCTACCGCATTGGTAAGCATAGCATTACACCGGCGAATTGGGGTAAACCACATGAAGTAACCCCATGAATACAGGTCTATATCTTCCAAAATCATCCAGACGGTGTACCTCCCAGCCTTTAAAAAGTTCTACCCAACCGGGCTCGAAGAGATCAAAGGAATTGCAGATGGCACCGGTGTGACGGTCGAGGAAGTCATCATGCTCAACGCTCGATATGACTTGGGTAGATGCATGTATCGGCTTCAAAACGGCGGGGAGACTCCACAAGACTCCGACGAGCATGATGAATGCACAAGCGGCTTCTTTTCCCGGAACGCAGTTGAGTCTGGTCATGCTCTAGCCGTACACAACTGGGACATGTCCAGCCATCTCTATAACCAGGACCTCATAATCTACCTTGAGGTGCATCCAGACCCGTCTGAAGACCGGCCATCGATGTTTATCCTTACGGAAGCTGGTCAGCTCATTCGCAGCGGAATGAACTCTGCTGGCCTTTCGGTTACAGCAAATTCGTTGCTTTCAAGTCAAGATTATGTACCTGTCTCCCATATTGACCGCGACGGAGTTTACCACAAAGTCACAGACCCAACACCTGTTCTCCCTCTCTCTGTGGCTAGGCGCATCTTTCTTGAATACAGTAACTACGCTGAAGGTCTTGTGGCTATCAATGCCTTTCCACGCCATGTCTCAGGAAACCTTCACGTCTCGACAGCAGACGGATTCGCAATGGCGATGGAAGTCGCGCCTGACCGCATCTATAAATTCTATGGCAACATTGACGACCAGTACCTAATTCACAGCAATCACTTTCTTAGCCCCGAATTTCTCAGTCGCGACAACATTTTTGACCGCTATCCTGGCGGTAGCAGCTGGTTTAGATGTTTGCAAGCCGAAAAGGGAGTGAGAGCAGACTGTGCTGCAGGGCAACTAACTCCTGAAAAGATCAAGGCAGCGTTCTCAGATCATTTGGCATACCCTGAGAGTCTTTGTAACCATCCGAACCCAAAGCAGAAAAACGCACCCAGTGCCGTTCTCACAGGGTATACTTCAAAACAGAATATGACGGTGGCATTTGTTATTTATAATCTCTCAGAGTTAACAATTACCGTTTGTAAGGGGCCTCCTTGCAAAGGAATGTTACAGTCATTTAAGCTTAAATAGAGATTACAACTGTAAATGCAACTCTATGTCTCCGCATATATGCAAACCTTGCCATTAGCTATCTGCAGAGTGGCAGAGTGTAAATTCTCTCCAGGATGTTTCTTTTCTACGTCTCCCGATTGTTACCTTCCGCTCCAGCTGTGACGTGTTCATGCATTTGATCCCATATTTTAGGTTTCTTCAAAATAGTATCTTCAACAAGCTAGAGTGCCTCCTCGTGATTTGCTACCAGAGCTCGGGCTTATGTTGAAAACTTATCTCATGCGGTGCGAGAATATTTCGCTGCGATAAACTCTTGACATGCGGCCATAAGTTTGTCTTGTATATCCTTGGGGACGGATTCCTATCACCACAATTGTTATTAACATGATGGAATAAATGATATTGAGAGACTGAGACTAGAAATACGTGCATTCAAGACTTGCGATAGGTCAAATGCTGGCTTATACCACCTTGAGGAGAGCTTCAAATCGAGTTCTGACTCGGACAAATCCGGATTCTCCTGGCGAAGACGCTCTTGTATTGCAGTGGCGCGCTCCAGGAAGTCTTCTTTTGTGAAAGCAGGAAGAGATAAAGGGTCGTTATCAGTAGACTTACTTTCTGCCATTATGTATGCGACAATGTCTTCGACCAGAGGAAGGTAGCTGAATGACCAGAGACCTACCTACATGAAGACTTCAAATGGAATGGCTTGGTAAAGCAAAAGCTTTTTAAACATAGAGATCAAAATATATATGAAAGGCGGGGTCAAACTTTCTAGAAGATATGTGACCACGAAGAGGTGTTGACAGTTCCAAATTAGCAATCACTCGGTGTGCATAAAGTATTTATAATCGAGCAGTCGCGTTTAACAGGTAATATTGCGCTACTATAAAATGGTTTTATATGGACAGTTTTTATTGTTCAAATAAACAGATCATTGTACTGAGCTTGTTTCTCAAGTTGTAGCCAATAAACGTAATAATATGCTCGGGTGTTCACGTAAGTGTGCGCAATGTCGCAAATACAATAACCCTCGAAGGTACGATAGCTGGGAAGCACAAAGTAGAGGTCGCGAGATCACATTTATTACTCATCTATCTTCGAAGTATTTACGGCTTGCGCAACACGCAATGAACCATCACTACAATGGCGGGATCCAGTTCAAGCTGATATGGTTAGTTGGAGAGATGCAAGCGCAGGAAATCATATACAGCAGTCGATTATAAGGCTTAGTAAATGAAACGTAGATAACAAATGTCGAGAGAGAACGCCAAGTTGTATCTTTCGCTTAGGCTCATAGAGCATAATATAGCTCTTAGAACCTCTCTCCAATATTCTGTTCTTTGAGTCGACAATCTCCCCTTGGCGATATTTGCTTATGCGAAAATCGCACAGATGTATGTTTCGATCTTCTCTGGTTCATCGCAGTGCAATCCGACATCATGGCACGTTTCCCATTGCGCAATTACGAAGTACAAATTAGGCTGCTACGTAGCATTGCATATATCCACGTAATTTGCTAGCTATTTTTGTTCAAGCAGCCAGCGTGTTGGTCCTGTTGCGCTTCTTCGTTGAAGGATGTGGTCCTTTTTGCAGCAGACAGTGGGGCGAACAAAAGGCCATCCATCGCCCAACAAGCACGTCTAGGATTGAACTGAAGCGTGAGATGTTCCGCTCTGCCGACCTTCAGCGGCCAGAATTCTAAGTACTGCGATGCGGTAGTTAATGAAGCTCGTCAGAGCCATTTCATCTATCTGTTAACAGAAACTCCGAATCCATAGTCGTGCATCGTGTACTTCCGAGGATCCATGGAGCATTGTGGAGCTGACTGTTTGCAACTGGTGAAGAACCCGAACCAACCACACCGTACAGCTTCCATCATCAAAATTAACAACGGCAACCATTTGCCGATTCTCAATCTATCAATGCCATGGCTACAAGCAGTTACCTTCGGCCCCGCACATTGTCTTTAAATTGATGCTTACGTTGCCTATATGTAGCCTTATGCCCTTCACATTGCCAGTATATATGTCTTCTTTTAACGCAGCATATTTGACGGTATCATCCAATCAATATTTGCATGTCAGCGATTCACCAGCGGATCCACGACCTGTTTCTTTAACCCCATATCAATCTTCTTCATGGCTGATACTATGATCGACAACTTGTGCCGCCAGATCGAAGCTGATAACTTTTCTGGCGTGGAGGACGCCATTAAAGTAGGCGTTTCGATAAATCAGTACTCGGCAGCGGGGCTTACCCCTCTCGGAGCTGCAATCATCTGTGGCCATTTTGCTATCACACAGGTTCTTCTCAATAAAGGGGCCGATATTAGCCTGGCATACAAATCAGATCTGTGTCTTGACAAGCCCCGTATGCAGTCCGATTTGCCCGAAGTTTGTGCCGCGATTCATTGCGCATCTGTTTCTGGATCGGCGGATTTGATCCGCTTGCTCGTCGATCATGGCGCAGATATAAATGACCCTAGTGGAATCGACTATGGTGCTGAAATGCTTCCGTTGTTCTTATCGAGAGGAAATGCAACTAAAGCGCTTATTGAACTCGGCGCAGATGTGTCTCGAAGCAACTCATCTGGTTTCACCCCTTTGTTGCATGCGATGGCGCGAGAAGATGTCTCCTCCACTATGCTGCTTGTGGAGAATGGTGCAGATGTCGAGGTCGAAAGAAAAACAAAATATCGAGTTGGGGTACCATTAGAGAATGGCAAAGAAGGCACAGAAGAGCGTCTTGTTGAGGGAACATCTTCGCCATTGATGGTTGCGTGCCATCAAGGCCGCCTCAGGCCTACGTCTTTCGAAATGATCAAGATACTGGCCTCCGGTGGAGCCGATGTCAATCGGCGCTACTATATCAAGGCTACCGAGTGTGATCTCAGTTTCACCGTATTGTCTTTAATTTGCGGCTCTCGTACGCCCACCCCTTCTGTAAAAGGGGCTTATGCCAAAAAGGATCAATACGGTGAGAAAGAAGTGGCGGCGATCAGAGAACTCATTGCTGCCGGTGCAGATGTCAACAATCCTCCAATCATTACTTATTTATGTGAGGGAGAGATGCCTTTTAAGGATTTCGAATACCGATTTGATGTGATCCAGAAGCTGGTCAATCATGGTCTGCACCTTGACGCCCACTCGGGTCGAGATCCGCTATTGGCTCTTCTGAAGTCATTTACCAAGCACCCAGAAGCTGAAATCCAATTCATCAGTATAGCAAGTGTATTAGCTAAAGCAGGAATGAAGTTAGATCTTTTTAGGGACGAGATGGAGCTGGCTGGTCTGCCAGCAGATTTCTATAACAAAATCCGAAGTATCAATAGCGACAAATAATTCAGCGTATAATGGTTTAAATAGTTAATTGCAATTACTCCCGTATCAGTCTACTAAGTTCATTTAATTCTAGGAGGCTAGCTGCAACCAGCTCAATGGCTCGAATATATATGGTACCTTTCCGCTTATGAATTGTTAGACCACATATTTAGCTATCCATTCTTATAAATATTACTCTATAATCTCAGTGATGCTCATGGCATACGTACATGGTAGAAACAAAGATATACCTACCTAGGTAATGAAAAAAAGAAAGAACCTTCCGATTAGAAAAAGGGATACAATTTGAGGCACTTATACGCGGCGAAACAGTATGGTGATATGAAAGCGATCTCCATACGCGACCCTCTGTCTAATAGTTTAACAAGCTAGCATCAACTGCGACAATTCTGGCCGAAGTAGTCGGATCTGAGATATTCCTTCCCGTAGAGACATAGAATGTATTGGTATCAAAAGTACCTCGTCCAAACGCCAGACATGTTGAATCAGGCATTAAAGGATCGGTCGGACCTCCAATTATACGCTTGCTTTTCCCAGTCTTGACATCAACATGAACGATTGCGTTCTCAGGGCTGTTTGTGGCGAGAAGAATATTGCCGTGAGAATCGAATATGAAATCATCAAGACCGGGTGCCACGGATGAAATGTTTGCAACCAAGGAGGGCTGAGCTCTTTTGACAAGATATCCTTTGGAATCAACCTTGACCTTATAGATTGACTGAGTCGAAGGATTTCCAAAGTATAGATAAGACCCTTTTATCCTCATAGCGCTCACACCAATCGGCACCGGTGCACCCTCGGGCACTGTCATTTCTTGAAATGCAAAAGCTTTAGGGTCGTAGTGGCCAGTTGAGAGATCTAGACGGCCAATGGCCCCAACGAAAGAATCGGCGATAAGCACAGACCCAGGGGCCTGTGGAATAGCAGTCACACCGTTAGGAAATGACGAAATTGGTGCGAGATCGCTGACCTTTTTAACAGTCGCCTTGCCATATCGATCAAAGGTGAGTTTAAAGCCTTTGAATGAACCAACTGTTGTAGTGAAAGTTGTCAGACTGGTGAAATTGCCACCAACAAAGAAGAAAGCCTCTTCGCCATATGACGCAGGCAATTCAGTTATGCCGAGGAGGCTATTAACCTCCGGAACGGAGGCGAGAACTTTAGCCTTGTTATCTGTGCGAAAGGATGGTCGGGTTACTGTGAAAATATTCGAGGAGTAGAAGAGGCTTGTCGCAAGAATATCGCCATTACGGCGTACAACAATGCTCTCCAACCAAGTTTCCTTGGGAAGTTGAGTAAGTACTCGTGCTGCAGGAAATCCAGATGCATTGATGGGACCGCCTAGCACCGAGCCACTAATGGCTATCATGAACGCTAGAAGTTGGAGAAACATTTTCTAGGCTGTAGTACTTGTGTTGAGACGAGAACTGGCTTCCAAAAAGATGTCACAAGAATGTTGATGAGAGACACTTGAAATGTAATGGAATACTTATGATGGTTTTATACCCCTATAGCTCTCTTGCACCAATTCTTTCGCCAGTTCTATGTTGATTACATTATGGTAGATTACAAACTGACTTACAATGCTGATAAATTATTACAGAATAGCTAGCAGCTATATGATGCCTCACAACTAATTGTCATCATGATATAGTAGCTTCAATCCCTAGCAGGCCTAATAGTACTACCTGGGTTTTGCCTTCTCATGGCGCGGCAGACGGCGGCCGCTTACGGCCGCTCCTTGTAATATGCACGGAGTGCCCACATCGACCTTGCGAAGTGCTTATGTGGTAAAGGGAGGAAGATGAAAGAAATCCAGATACATTAGTCAGGCTGAGAGTTAAAATAGTGACAACATAGTACACGATACTTTTAATATTGCAGGCCATTAAAAAAAAGGGTAAAACTCTGAGGTTGCTCCGTTCATGCGTGTTTGCCGTGCTTTATAGCGTCCATAATATTGTCGGTGCCGTGATGAAACATCATACAGTTCCGACACTTGTGCTAGAATACAACGGTTGCCCATTCCTGGATCTACAACAAAGATATCATGTAAGCACTCTGCAAGGTCATGTCTCTTGAAGGTGCTACAGCACAGCTGTCAAGAAAGCTGTATATTCTATGTGCCCAATTCGGATTTGGGTTGGCCGGCCGACCAGCTGGGTCCCTACCTCTAAGCCTCCATGCTGGGTAGAGTCCGACAGGAGTCGGAGATAGCGCAGAAATTCTGACGCTTTATGGGAGATGCATCTTCAATAATTCTCCATTCGCATACATTGACAATCATCACGCCAACAACAGTGTGCATCTCGAGTTTGCCCAACTGTCACCCGTTAATTCCGACAAGCAACATTCGCTCTTCAGAGAGAGCAATTCCAGGCATATTCATCTGTTCTCTCTTGTAACCGCGACGGCGACGACAACACATCCGCGCTACAATGTTGGAACTAATATCGCGACATACTTGGGGCTTGACGACACGCTTCCTAGATCTTCGGCTACGAACTCAGCCAGCGATCCATTCATAGACACGAGCACTGGCGCATTTTCTGAGGCATCTGTCGCAGTTTTAGGGCAGTTATCCACCCAAAGCGACGACCCTACATCGTGGTCTTCAGCAATTCGATTCTGAAGGAATTGGATCCAGAACTAAAATTGATCAACACCGAGTGCTACTACCCAGGGCCAATTTGTGAATCGCTGGGAATAAACGGCCATCAAGTTCGAAAGACTACAATTTGTTCTGTATGAGCTGAAGAGTAGTAATGGGCCGATCCCGCTACAGCCCAGGCACGAGCCATTGGGCCTCTAATAGACAAATCTACCAAATTCGAGCGTCAACCAAAGGTATCAAAGCATCTACCGCCCAGCTTGGCCTTAGCTTGGACGATAAACTCTGCTCCGCCTGTTTACGCGGCACGGAAGTTCCTATCACCACAATGGACGTCCGACATGCTATTGGATGCATACCTCGCCACCTTCGAGTCAGTACCGCGTATTTTGCATGCGCCAGCCTTTCTTCACGATTACAGGTGCTTCTAGACAAGGCCTAGACCAACATATACAGCAGATCAGGAACAGCTGTTACTATGTAACCTGATTGTATGTATCGCTCCAGGAGCTTTCGTCTGCTTCGAACTCGATGCCGCCAGCGAAATAGGCTCTGAACAGCGAAGTGACTACAATTGTTTGCGAGAACAGGCGAAAGCATGTATCGCATATGGGAAGCAGTGGCTAGCTTGCAACATTATGCCTGGATCTGGAGCTGACTTCGATATCGCACAAGTTGCATGTCTCCTCGCTGTTGCGGCTACAGTCGGTGCTGCCTCGACTATAAACCGAAGTTGGAACGAAAGATAGACTCGTTAAATCTTCACAAGATACGGGTTTCGTTCTCGCCTCTTTATGCTAGAGATCTCCTTCTAGGTAGTCAATCTGCCGGGTATGCCCCAGCATGCACTTGGAGTACAGTCTGCCTTTCTTATCCGTAGACTCAGCCTTCAGACGCATCAAAGACAGCAAACATCCCTCTTGGCCCCTGTCCACCTTCTTGTTGCTCAACAGGCACTTGGCCATTGAGCCACATCCTATGATAGTCCAACCCTGCCCACCCCCAGCCTAATTCTGAGAAGACTCTCATACCATTTTCATTTGCACCAAATATCTCTGCGATTAGACTTCCAGTGGATGATGACACGCTTGGATGCGTCATAGCGAGCTGAAGTAAGAGAGACGCGTGATCAATAGAATCTGCTATCAAAGGCCCAACTCGATGTCCATGTTCACAGCGACGAACCAATATAACCCCTTGCAACTCCTTCGAGCTGTTTGAGATAGCAAAGCCGAAAGCATCCGGACGAGAGAATAGAGCGTCTTTGGTCCATAGTGCCGGTCGCTGGAGGCCAGTATGCTTCAGGTCTAGGGCTGCCAGGCTGCTCTCATCAACTTCCTTTATATCAGTCACCGTGTAGCCGTCCTTGGGCTTTTTTTCTCCGTAATTGACTGGTAACTCAGTTGCCGATACGCGTGTCATGAGCTTGAGCCTCGTTGCCTCAACAAACCCCCGCCTTCCATACGTTGCGACTTGCTCTTGTACTGCATCCAAGCCGACGGTGTGAATACCATTCTGCTTGTACGAATCAAGCATTACTTTGAATAAAATTCTTCCCCATCCTCTGCCTTGGTACTCCTTGTTAATTATGAAGAAGCCAACCCATCCGGTTTGGTTGGGGTACTGGAAACCGATCACCATCCCAGAAGGCTCCTTTTTGTCCTTCGGGATTACAATGAGCCAGTCTTCGCCATTTCTCGCAACTGTAAAGTGCGTTTTAGCATCCAAGTCATCTCGATTCTATCATCCATTAGTTTCTTTCATCACGTAAATGAATCCAAGATCTGAGCTTTACCCATCCTAAATCTCTCATCCGGTCCCACCAAAGATCCTTTACCTCATCCAGAGACGTTCCCGATCGAACGGTAAAGTCGGATGAACTCTCAAAGACCGGCATTCTATTTTCAGGACCTAGTTGCTTCTATCGGATTCGGATTCTCAGCACGCGATGCAGACATATGTTTCGAGTCGTTATGCCTGAACCGATGGCAAGGCTCTGTTTCAAAGGTATCAGCAAAAAATGAGCTTTGTAGTTAGCGGGGTCAAATTGCATGGAGCCCGATATACATATACGAGTATCCCCTGTGAGGTTGGGTCACACCGCTGCCAACTTGCTTGCAGGTTTACAACAAATCATGCTCAGTAAAAACCGTCATTGATTGTCTAGAGCACTACGCAGTAGTGCTTATGCAACCCCGCTGGCTGCGGCAATTCTGAACCTAGACTTTGGCAGATGTGGACCTGAAGGATTTCATGTGAATTCGATACGACGATCGCGTGATGCCAATTTTGGAACGGAACACCACAGAGAACTTTAGTTTAAGAACAAATCTGTTCCCAGGTAGAAATGGATGACATTCTGGCATTTTTATCCGTATATATTTTGAGAGAGCTGCCATATTAATGCTAAACAACACTGTGACCTATTTAAGTTCATCCCTGGGTTAGCCGATGACAGAGGCTCTAACAGCTTACCACCTCTCCAGCCAACCTACCTATGTACTGAATACACTAAGAAGCTAATCTCACTCTGGCTGTGGAAGAACCAACACCAGTGGAAACAGCGACAATTTCTTTTCTTTTCCTTCCCTTTTCCTCGTGAATAATTATATCTATTTAATGGGAAGGTACTTTTATACAAATACCATAACGGATACATTGTTTCTATCCCGAACCAAACTTGCCGGGGGCAACAACGGCAAGCTGGGCTCGCTAAGGCCTCATCATAAGAACTAGGGCGACAAGCTAAGGCAGGAATTGCCAAAGATCATAAATGCCACCTAAAAGAGAAGTCCAATGTCACTTACACCAACAGCTAAGGAACAACTAAGATGGCGCTGCCGGCTGAACTCATTAGAGGGGCTTTTTCCAACTTGAATTTTGTATTTTGTTCTTTCATCAAACTGTCAGGGGCAACAGAGGTATTCCGCGCGCGATTGCCGGCAGTGGACATAGAGATATATAGACTCTTGAGTTATGGACCTCAATAAATTTGTGGAGGATAATGCTTTTTGAAGTAGACATGGCATGTCTATTAATAACTAGAACTATGGGAAAATTGCTATTTACACATATTCGTGCGCCTCTTGGCGATTTGTCTGATGTACATCGTCAGGGCTATGATGTGCCGGCGAATCATAGTACATGCGTGTTCGATCGGGTTCATATGCAGCTGAAGTAGGGAAAGCCTTTTCTTCAGTGCTTTTTGCCCCTGTATATGAGGAATCATAATGCGTTGACGTCGCCAGTTTGGTAGATTCGGCAAATTGTGCCGCTGGTGTGTAACTACCTCGCAGAGTTCCCTTGCGATCTTGGTGAAAGATGATAGAAGCATATACAAGGAGTCCAATGAATGAGAGCCTATTATCAGCGTGTTTTAGAGAAACTTCAGTTTGTGTCAAGGAGGAGTTATAGGTAATCGCGGTCTTACACAATAGCAATATTCAGAATCAAGCTGAGTACCGTCTGTCCGCCAAGAATAGACAAGACAAATAATACGACAAATATCGTTGTCTGTACGAGGTTTGTCGCAAAAAAGAATTTGGGTGAAAGTGTCCGGCGAGCTCGCTTGATAATACAGACTATATCAAGAAGCAGACAGACGACAAGAATGCCCTCCATAACGGCGAAAACGGCCAAGGAGCCAGTAAAGACCCTCTGGTCAATCTTGTCTTTATTTGAAGCAATGATTCCAATTCCGAAGGCATATATGGCAACTTCAACAACCATAATTAAAATCCGTATAACCCAGAATGGAACAAGCACGCGCTTGAGGAAGGGCGAGTTTCCGACGGGTACGTGTGACATCTTCGCGGCGGTCGGCTAGGCTCGGACGAAGATGATCAAGATAGGAAGATTGTCGATTGACTAGAGTTTGGGCTGTGTATAACAAAACAAAACTTGGAGTACAAAGCCTTATTGTAGTTTTCCTGTGCTTACTCTCGTTGAGCCTTACTCGATGCCAAGAGCCAGGGTTGTGACTAATCCAATTATCTTCAGTCCACATACAGAGCAATACCGGGAATACAACTCGGAGCTAAAGACCAATTCATGTCATCTGTTATACTCCGATCTCCGAACCCAGTCTCTGCAGCATCTATTTAAGGAAGCAGTTTGGTCTTGTTGGCTAGAGAATTACTATACAGCCCACCAGTCCCGAATTAGGTATAAATTTGTCTCACAATAGTGAACAACCAGGGGCCGTGGTCCAGCTTATGTGCAGTATCAGCACTGTGACGTGTCTGCCTTACAGACACTCTGTACAATCGTAGGTATGAATATGGAGTAGAGGTCTTCACAATACAAGTAAAACAGAGATCGAATAGTGGAACAAGCTGTTTGTATGCGGGAAATCATACCTCTCCACCATCAAATTCTACCAAGCTCGTATCCCACTAGCTTGGAATTGAGCTTATCTGACATCTAAATCTTTGAGGAGATTCTTATTCTTAGACTTTGCTACCACCCTTCGTTCATGGCATCACAACTCTTGGACGTTTGTATCAAGCATTGGCATACTAGCCAAAGAGCATCTCCGGACGTGCAATTACAACATAGTGGTCACTAATAATAAAACTAGTTAGTTTAGTATCAGCTTTCTTAGGCTTCTTTCATGGCCTTGAAGTTCCAACGACCAATTATAGAATACTAAACCTATGCTCGCTTACCTGGAGAATCTTCTAGGGGGGGTATTCTAAGGCAGAATCCATCCAGGTGTGGACGATGTCTTGCAGTCAGTAGGAGGACGGTACTTATGAGTCAATGAATGCACAACACGCGCAGTGCAAATAAATTGAGCATGTTAATTTACTCGCCCTCATAACGAGGTCACTCATTCAGAATGAGACGCAGCAACAGTTATGTAGCATTGTTGTGCGCACCACCATGACAGGACCGACGATCGATCAGTATGCTAACCTACAGCAAACTCACATGTGTACTGCGCTTTATTTTACTTTTTATTGTAACAAATTGTAACACATTAATACACGTATTCATTTCATAGTCGTCTTGTTCTGACACTGAATGCGAAATGATATGAGTACTTATGCATACGACTCTCAATTCTGTACATGTTAAGAGACACTCCTGTTTTGCCGGACCTGCGTGTGGCGATGAATGATGAGTCTTTTTTAGGTTCTGACGGCCTCGAATCCAATTCATCCAGCCATAGGATAAAACTCAGCCTCAGATTGCCAAAGGAAAAAAACAAAGGAAAAGAAAAGAAGAGCAAAGGAAAGAGAGCAAAAAAAGATAAAGAAAAATAAAATAAAAATAAAACTTCTTAAACTGATATCCTCGATCGTCACGCGACATCTTCTAACTGCATTGTGTGTGATTGTTTTCTGAACCATCTTCTTTATCTGCAACGATACGCCCCAATATCAACCCCGGGCATGGTAGTATCATCAGAGGGGCTTCACAAGGGATCATTCGACTATGGGGCGGTGGAAAGCGGAACGGCTTGGCGGGCGGGTGTTTAGTTGCACATCCGACAGAAGAACCTGGTAGAGCCTCTAGTTTGTTGAATCCTGGAAAACTGTTACTTAATAATGACAACATCAAAAAAGTAGATGGGATGTCTAAAGTGCTTCACAGTCCTGAGTATGACTGGATATTTCGCATAGTCCCTCAAGTATGATTGCCTCATCCATGCGTGATTTGGTGTTCACAATGGGCTTAGAAGTAGAATCCGAATAGAATATACCATCTAGGCTGAGGAAAAATGGTTGGTGATTCCAGTAGCATCAACTTCATTCGCCCATTCGCCTAGCTGCAAAGGATGTGCTCCCTGGCCAGTCAGGCGCCTAAATGGCCATAGGGCTTGCATTCCCAAGAGTAAGCTATTACAACCTGACACCGATCATACACAACAGTCAAATCACCTTGTCCGGGACGCGAACTCCTACGGATAATCTGGACCGGCACAAGTTTCGTGACTACCACCACTCGCCAAGATTGAGGTGGCGTTGGAGCAGGCTCCAAGCGATGTTTCTGTGCCCCTGATCTCCTCGCAGACGCAACAGCGACGCAGATCTTGATGGATGAACAAGCTATTTGGGCCCGCAGAGACAAATTTCTCCATGAGAGCCTGATCCACGAAGTCATGATTTGGTGAAGGTGTACAAAAACGTCACAATTGATACGATCTTCGCCAATGAAAACTTTTTAAGAGCATTTAGAACGATTTCGCGAGAAGCGAAACGGGCTGCTAGCTGGATCTGCGTAAGGGTCAAGGGGCAAGCCGTGTATGGCGCAAGCCATCAGGGCACTAACTTTCAAAGTTACGGGAATTCCTGGCAACTTCGACTTTGTCAAAGGCCACAGTGACGAAAACAAGCTCAAATCCTTTCCAGGGCCAGAGGCTGCTATCCACTGATGGCCAAATGGCGTAGCGTTTCATCGACGAGAGGCTGCCCCGCCTTTAAGAGAAAAGAGGGGTGCAGTCCAAGTTTTCTCCACTGCCATGAATCATCGCCACCATTGTTCCGCATACGCGGAAGACTATAAACCGCGAAAAAGACCATCTATACCTATCATTGACAAGTAAATATACCGCTCAGCCCAAAAGTGGTATAAGCCGTGGGTATAGATTTGTGGATTGTGAGCCAGGTCATGTTGTGATCAGACCTAGTCTTAAGTGAACTGCGTGGGCGGCAGCCGTTCGACACGCGACATATTACTGGATGTGATGTTATTTAAATAACTAGTATAGCGGTAACATACTTTCAGTGGCCGACCAATACGCGGAAACTCTGAAAAGTTAGATAATGAGATGGCCAGTTCAACGGCAGGGTGGTTCTTAGCTTCTCCAAGCCTTCATATTGAATATTCTTCGGAAGACTCATTGTAGACGCATTTTGATGCTGATAACAAAAGAAAACGCGTGGCTCTTTTATACTTACAGTAGAATTGCTTGGAGAGAGGAAACCGGAATTGAAGCGATATAGAGGCAGTGTTTATAACTGGGATGAGAGTTTAATAACGTTGTGATAACCGGTCCAGTCGAAGGCCACCCCCCTAGTCTTTGGGTTGAAGCGGTATACAGCAGCAGAGTAGAGACATAGTTCAACAATCATTGGGTATTTTAACATAATTATATTAACGTACAAATTCATCATTCGCTCATATGATTGCTCAACATGTCTAGCAATTAAACTGAGGACCAACAACGACTCTATTTCCAGTACCCCTCCTGAGATTCAATAGAGTCGTTATATCCGCTACGTGAAGAATGTATAGTGATTTCGGTTTGTACTAGAACTGGCTTCGGCTTGCCGAGGGTTGAATCTAGCAGCGCTCCGTCGGGATCTCGTGTTGTTGATCGCTTCGCACTCACTGGGCCGAGAGAGTAGAAGCCACCACGTTCTCCGGAAGCGTATTGGCGACCACTGGAGTTCTGTTGACTCTTTCGGAACTGTTTGAAGGTACCCGGTTAGCAAATGTATCAACGCCTTATGTATCTAGCCTTGAAACTTACTAATCGCAGGAAAACGGGCAAACAACAGAGCGTAATGCCCATGGATGGCTCGATACCCATTAGTAGGACTTGAACCTGGATGGCGTCCAAAGCACCATTGAAGCCATATGTAGTAATGATTCTAACAATAACCTCAATGCAGGTCCTAGAGTGGTTCAACACAGTGTCAGCGCATCATCCTTCCTATCCATCCAATATCCAAACTGGCGGCGGCTTACAAGAATCCAAGGGAGAAGAGTCCGATAAGAAGTCGTCTTTTGCTCTTGCTGAGACTCAGCTTTCTGATGACGGGCAACGGCATAATGAACAGAATGGCGTCTGTCAGAAGCGAGAGGATGTCGATAGCCTCGTTCATTCTGATCAGATTCGCCTGGGCGGCCGGATGAGTCTTCATCCCTGTCGACCACCACCATGACATATCTCGGAATACCAAGAGGAAGCCCAGGACACTTGCAATGCCGACGCAAACTGTGAGAACAAACATGATCTTGACTGCTAGACGGAATGTACTTGATGGCGTGCTGAGGAGGCGGTAATAAAGGCAAAGGATCGACAGTTTGCAGCAGTAGCATGCCGCCGCCCACAACAAGTTTAGAGAGAATGTAATCTTGGACACAGGCACATCGATGCCATCCGGATTATCCAGATACGATGGCGGCAGATACACGGCCACCAGTAATGATATGAAGAAGGCTGCCGTGTTCAGCCATGCTGCAATGGAGAAGTAGTCGCTGATCTCGATTGGCTGATGAGCCGTAATCTTCGCGTACAATCGTAGGCCGACAGCTACCGTTGGCAGAACCATGAAGATGATGGCGAGCGGTGTTCCATAGTGCCGCTCACTCCACAACTGGTCCATGAATTCCGCGTCCATCTTGGAATACTTGTTGCGTCCGTGCTGCTTGTTCCGAGATAGGCGCTGTGCACATTGGACCCGACTTCTTCTTCGAGGTTTGCTTGTCCCCTCTTGGTAGGGTCAAGACCACTCCGGGAAAAGCACTGACAAGGTTACAAAAGAGATGCAAGGGAGAAGGGAAAATGATCAGCGGTAGCGAAGAGGCATACAGATATTATGCACTCGCCACGTGGAGATGCAGCGTTCAAAGGCAGGATAAGGCCGCGCGAGACATTTCCCTTTTGGCGTCATTACTGGCCCCTGGTCTTTTGCTAAACCACCTTATCACGTCTTTTCAGTAGCATCCCATATTTGATCCCTGTCTTTGCAGTAGATCGTTCGCAGCGGGCGATGTTAGCGCAAAGGTCCTGCAGCTCGGCAGAGAAATCCTGAGTCAGGGGGCGATTCCAAGTTGATGGACTAAGGGCTAGATTGCCTGAGGTTCAACTTAGGGCGACCTTGGACTAAGAATCTTGCCAATTCCAAATCTATCAATAGCAAAACTCGAAATGTCCCCTGAAAATTATTTCATCGTTCCAGGGTCCACTGGCCCACGAACTGCTGCGGGCAAAATCGAATTCCAAACCCGGTTGCTGAAGATTGCGGGATCGGCCCTCAATTCTGCACCCCCCTGGCGGGACCTTTGCAACGGAACAACGCCATCACCACACTAGACCGATAAGACTGATAGGGACCGAGGCTCGACTCTCAACTCACTAACAATTGGCTTGTGCGGTCGTTGGGCGAACTGACATTCTAGAATACGATTGATGGCTGCGAGTGCTAGCCCCGGGGATACTCCTTGTTTTGGAGCGGGGCGGAACTGCGGCTGATTGAGCGCCCTCCAACGACGTTGATTGATGGGAAGACGAGCTAGAAGTTCGCCCAGGACCTTCCGGCTTCGGAAATAAATCATTTCCCCTGCATCAGGCGAAGCTTGTTTCAGTAATAGTTATTGCTCATCGGACCATTGGTAACTGGTTCCGAGTTCTCGCGAGCAATGGTTTTTCATCCTCCTGGCGTAATTTCAGGATACCATCCATCAAGAATCTGCAACGGAAATTTAACCGGACTTGGTCCTAATTGGCGTTCTCGCCTAGATAAGGACAAAAGAAGCGACGGACGGTGCATGATCGACTCTTTCATCGTGAAATTCGACCGCCCATTGTTTGGTAAACGTCGTTCAAACGCCAATCCTGTGTCCAAACCCTTTCATCGACATTCGCCCAGCAAGATTCTGCTCAAATATCTACAGGCAGTGGTTCCATATCCCCACAAACCCGTCGTTACAAATGGGTCGCAGAGGGGCTCATGGTTGCTAAAACGAGCGCAATCAGCTGGGGAGAGGGCCTATCAGCTCTGGACCCCCATAAATATATCAGCGCTACTCAGTCCCCTCGTTAGCGATGAAGGAGGTGGCGTCTAATGGTGCGAGTGCTAGTAGTCTGTAGTTCTGCGTACGGAGCAGAGAAGAGAGAAATTATTTGCATGACGAGCTTATCATGAGTGGGACAAATTTCCATGTTCATGAGAACAGCCCACTTAACTTCTGGGTAGGGGGCCCAGCTGAATGGTTTCTCCCACCTATCCAACTTACATAACAAACGAGAGTAGTTCTAATGCGGAGTATTGAATAAGGCAGCATCAATCGCGAATTAGTGTGCAAGGCTAGAGAATAGTAGTAATATCACAGTCAATCTATGACAAACAGTTTCTCTTTACCGCAGGGAAGAATGGGGATGACACCTGTAGGAATTACCACATCCCGACCGGATCGAATACGAGTAACGGGGAATGCGATAAGGTGCGCGCGCTGCGGAGCAACTGACTCGGGCAATCGGCAAGAAGAAACAGTTATGGAACGCATTCATACATCCTCGTACGAGCAGTAGCTTGTGTTGAATATAATGATCTTGTTTAGTGCGAGCAGGCTACCTATCAATATGGAATATTCCGACTCGGCTAGAAAACCGTCCGAACCGTTTGGAGCTTGCAAATTTGGCTATTGGTTCCTGGTTCCCCCTAAGCGAATAGCTGCAGCAGGAACCAACTCTAGCTTGCCAAGCTTGCATGCTTGCATACACAGTAGTTTGAAACGTAGAACGTGTATGTATGCATGCAATTGTATTGGCAATCATTTAATCTTCAATCTTTGCCTGTGACACAAGTAAAGAATCCTGCTTCACCAGGCTCTACATTATTCCGAGGTTATCGTTTCAAATGCAACCGTGTGGGGAAGCTGCATGCATGGATATCCGGGGAAAAAGTTCAGCTTCCAGCATGGCAACGATCCACCCGAAACAGACATGAACCCAAGTCTAGGGTCTAACACACACGTGATGTTACCTAGCTGAGCAGGCGGCGATTCAAAGTTGTTAACCCTTTGCGGTCGGAACTTTATGGGCTGCAGCTCTTTTGGGATAAGTCTGGGATTGAAGTCTTCTGCTGTTTTGACACGTAAACATATCAACTACAAATCTACCCACACCCCGTCATAGTCATCTGCAAATTTTGTCATTCTCGGGCGCGCGTGCTGTATCCTTCTGCTTCCTCCCAAAGCTTCATATAACCATCAACAATCATGTCTGTTCCGGGGACTTCGTAACGCATTGTACCTGGGAATTGTTTTATTACCACCACAGTATATACATTGTCTCATTATGCTCGACCACTTATTGTGTAGGTATTCGGGTGGTATTAGTGCACTTTTTGCAGAGTGGTTCCAGGCGCCGCGGTGTCGCTGTATCTTGACAACTCGAAGCCACCAAACGCCACCGATGCAGATACAGATTCCAGTATGCAAATCGCACCTTATCCATAATTTTTATCGGTCCATTTTTTCCGCTCCGGGGAAGTAATGAATTGTTGCTGTAGTGCAAATGTTATATTCGTCGCATTAGGAAGGTTAGGAAGACTTATCTACCTCAGTCATGACCAAGATACATATATGAAAGGCCGTATTTTCACACTAGCCCATAATATTATATTATCATCTTCCGCCCACCTTCGACATTATATCTAAGATAAATCATTGGCACTAAGTATCAGGATGGTCGTTTTACGTATGGCTGCTCTTAGAGACAGTGCGTTCATTCTAAATATGTTGTAACTTAGTCCGCTCTTACTACCAAGCACATACATATTGAAAGAGACACCTCGCCTATTTGCAAGCGTTTTCACTTCAATGGTTGCGTATTCGCATAGAATAAAATGACATGGTTGATTCACATGAAACGCTTCACTAAAAAATGTCAACACAACTATAACCTGGGTAGCTATTACGTTCCATAAATGGTATTCAGGGTCAATTGAGTATAGTCCTACTGTGGTAGATCTGCTGTCTCGATTTTCCAATTAGCGCATCATCCGATCACATCCCCTCTCCGCATATATATACCCTTTGAACTCGAATTTCGTTGGTCAAGTTGAACCCATCTTCTTAGCATATCCTCACGCTGTTAAGCGGCCTAACAGAAGCCGAGGCAGTCCTATCGACCCAGTATCTTTAACTAACCGATCCGGTTGATAAGGAAATCGGGAGCCTCGTCAGCTGCTTCATCAATATACAGAAAGTGCGCAGGGAGAATAAACAAGGTGCCGTAACAAACTGCATCAGTTGCTGCGCAGAAAACGTCAAGCTTAGAGCTCGGGAAGTTTGGTATGCCGCCGCCATTTTGGAAGTTTTGCGTGTATCCAAAGAGTACAACACCTTTGATCTGGTTTTGAACGGTGGAACTCAGGCCGGAAATAGAACCAGACATGACCGCAGTACCTTGACTATGCGTCATGCGTTAGAGAACAGGTTATTTACGGATGGTATAAGCATGGTAGTCACCTGTAGCCACCTGCAACAATTGCTGAGTTGGGGCATTTCTGGTTTGCCTCATTAAAGAGGCGCTTTGCTTCGTTGATTGCGGCCTGGCTGGTCCCTCCAGGGAGAAAGTTCGAAGCCAAGTCAGCAGTGTATGGGTCACCAACGCCCTGAACCCACACTTGAGAGGCACCGTAATGGCCCTCAAGGGCATTTGCGACGGCTGGACCAGCAGATGCTCCCTATGGTATCTCTGTTAGAAATAAGAAAGACATCATATGCGCAACACCCACCATGTTACCAATCTCTGTAGAAGCACGAGCAAAAATGAAGATAACTCGGGGGCAGGCAAATGAGCTCCCTGATTCAAGTTCATTCCGTGTTGTGCTCAGCTGGCGCTCGGCGAGAGACGCAACACCCTCTGTAGCATGCTGTACAGGAACAGCAGCTCCCAGAGCCAGATATGGTACAAGACGAAGGAACTTCATTGCCGTTGCTAGTGAAATATATTGATATGCAATCTGTAAATCTTGTTCGAAATCTAAGTTTGAGCTTGGTCGTCAATCAGGAGGGTTATGGGTATTCAACGGGGTATTTATACAAGACTACTGTCGCTACATCATGTTCTACCTGCACTAAACATCTTCTTACCAAATGAAAACTACAGCTTCAACTTGACTAGTTATGAATTTGGCAATGCTTGAGAATCTCTCCCAGAAAAGGCTATTTCTCTTCGACACTCTCAGTTCGCAACACTCAATCAAAAGAGGCATAGTACCCGCCTTCAGATTTCCGATGACCTCAAGACAGGGCATGTAATAGGCTGCAGCTTGCTGTAGCCTGTATGCCAAGTCTATTGTTACCAAACTGGGAGAGAGTAACAGATACCCCATGTGTTTTGAATGGCCTTTTTGATCTATAATGCTGTGACAGTAGATGTTGGATCTATCGCCATGCTACGTACCCCGCAATCCGGAGTGCATTGTGCCTCGGCTTCCACTATGACACGGAATTTCTTTCAGTCCTACAGATGCGAGTCATACAGCCAAGAACATAGTTTAGGTAGTATTCTGTCTTGGCAAGGTGACCATCATGTAGACCAGCGATGCACATTCTAGCGTTGAACAAGCATTAGTTGCGAATAAGTCTACGAGAGTGGATGCAATGTGGCTCAGTTAAGCCATACATCAACTATTGACATTCAGCTGGCCATAAAACATCGCAAGGAGATATAAAATACGTATCTGCATGAAGTCATATCTATGCATCATCTTATCGTTCGAATAAAGACCAAATGTGTTGACGCGGGAACTTTGATACTGACAGGGAGAGTTAGCGCATCTCTGAAGGCCCACGCCTGACTCTGTTAGTGATGCGCTAAGTGACCTCACTAGCATTAGGGATCGAAGTTTATTTAAGCATAACTCCATATATGGAGCAAGGTTTCTCCCTCATTCATAAGTCCCTTTTCTTTCGTCAGTATATAAGTTGTCTCGAGCTAAATACGTCACTCTAATAGGGTTGCAGGTTAGGACGCGAGTCAACCATGACAAAGTGGAATTATACGTGCGTTTTCAGCAGAAAATGATGCTACTCAGACAGAAGAAGAAGACGTCAACTCTTGAAGTTTATGTAGCAGGCTGTGGTTGTAGGCTACATCTATCATAGTTGGCAATTGATCAAAACTTTGGGCAAGAGAAAGTCAAAGGCACCGGTTCCAAGAGACAGATAGAAGAGGATACCAAAAGAAATATTGTTAAGGCTTTGGATACAGCCATCTTCTATGGATGAACATTTTATAGGGATTTGATGTGTATACCACGATATTTACCCAAGAAAATGGAATTAAACTTCGAACTTCTTAGCCACTCGTAGCTGTCCTATCTGACCACCCCTAGCGGAAACTCTCATTTCGCAAACTATACGATGTAACATCTCTGACCCAAAAGGAACCACCAATCTTCTATCCTCAGCACATAAATTTCTATTTTTTGACTAATATTAATCACATTTCCCAATCCCATGGCACGCAGCTGTAATGAATGTGTCATCAATCAATTGACCAGGTAAGTGCTAAAGGATCAAGCATTACAGTAACCGTCCGTTCAGCACAATGGGAAGGTGATTAGTTGGTGAAATACCAAAGGTTTCTTCAATTGGAAGACTGGATGAGTGTAGAACCGGGTTTCGGTTCATTCCGTCTCTTCTCTGTTTGCCGACTGTATGTATCGAGTTTCATTTCTCATACATTAGTTGACGTGGAGTAACTCAGCTTGACTACCTTTTCACATTAGGAATCACGATTATTTGAGTTTACTTTAAAGCTCATCAACTGATGAGAAATGTGTTGATATCGTGTCTTGGGGCATCACTCAACCTTCTAGGGTATATCTGACGGTATATATGATATATGATATATTCATGCCTATAGAACAAATGCAGGTAATTACTTCTTAGCTCACTTTTCTGGTATTTCCATATTGATCCGATCCACTTCTGATAAGCTTTGTGACAATGTTCATAGGTGTGAAAGAAATATGGGAGGTAACAACAATTCCATTACACGCTGTTTCGATACGCTTGGTGTATTCATATATCGTCTATGGGATTAGTCCAATAAATTCTTGTGACATCGGAAGTGAATGCTCGGCTTATGCTAGGTATGAGACACTACAACGGGGGTAATTACTATGTGATAACCCAGCAAACATGTAGAATACGCTTAGATATACTCTACACAAAGACACTTGAGATAAACAGTTTCAGAAGGTTAGAAGGTGGTTTCACGGGACTGGTAGGGGTTTTGGGGGAGGATTAAAGTCTCGATTTGGTTCATACTGGCATATCCGCTCTGGCTCATGTCCAACGAGGAACAACGTATCAATGTAGAATGAAATCTCACATGATTTTCCTATCTAGAGATTACCTAGCTCAAACCGGACAACATTCACCAAAATTGATTGTCTGGCCCCTTGTGGCACCTGGTATAGCTATCTTAAACGCTATCTACGATGACTTGCGCAATAATTTCTGAAGAACTTGGGTGTGTCTCCAGCAAGGCTGCCTGTTTTCTACGACTTAAATCTAGAGAAGAATTTCAGCTTAAAGCAGGCCAATAATACGACCCGAGAGCCCAAAGTCCACATTGGATTCATTGCGCCGGACGATAACGTCAACAAATTAGGGCTGGAACGTGATGGAATGGCGGATGAGGGCACTATAGTTTTCAAAAAGGAAGGTGCATATTATTGTGGAAGACGCTCGGCGTTATAGGATGACTGTCTTCGGGATTTGCTGACTGCTATGGTGAGCAAATGCGGTGAAGCCCTACGACAGCAACGGCAGCTGTCACTTCCAAGCTTTCTTTGATGATACCTAAACGCATATACAGAGACCCAAATACGAACCAAGTGTAGGCGCAGGATAATAATTTTAGCCGTGGCTGCGGTACTTTACGAATTCCATCTGTAACAATTCTCATTAGCATATTGAATCTTCTCATATTGCCTGTTTAGACTGTTTCTGTTCAAAATCCAAACGTCATGTATTATCCTTTCGGGCCTTCAAGGCACACTCTACGAACTTCAAGAGACAAGCGACGGCCAATTACATGTAATTTACATCACGATGGAGTACCTTAGATGTATGTAGATTAATATCAACAACAAAGGGGCGAACTAAGGGCTGCAGGCAAGAAAACTGTGCATCAATTGCTCCATAGTAAAGCTTGGAATATGGTCTCAGCCCTTTCAAGCTATGGTTATGCCCCACATCTGCATTGATACTTACACAGCAGCATGTGATGGCTCTGGCATCACTATGTAGATGCGGAAACTTGCCGCGATATATGGTCGTCGCGTTGCAGCGCAAGGGGCTACGTGCCGTCGGAAAATACTCTCACGGAAATGTTTCGTCTACACGAGCATTTAGGCAGAATTCAATGTGATGCAGCTGCATGGGGAACAAGGCTCAGCGTAGCATTGCAAATATTGGTGGTTTGGAGCTTGAAACGAATCCTACGGGTTTTAAGTCCTCCGATGCGGAACTCCGGCCAACGCGCTCTACACACTGGCAGGGTTTACTCATCATCGACTACAGAAGGTGATTTAGCAACACAATCAGCAGCAACATTGAAAAAGGAAAAGAAAAGAGAGAAAAATCTCCGAAGCAGCTGATAATCGGTTGACTCGCAAGCTATTTCCCATTTGAGGTTATGGTGGGTAAGACGAGACACCTAGTTTACCACTCTCAGATGATTATATCAACATGCCTTTATTGAACCAGCCTAGTGTGCGACTTTTCCACATAGCAAACACATATTCAATACAACTTGGTCGGAAACAATATTGTTGCCGATGAGACTTGATCAAATATGCGATGGGTTTCGCTTCGGCTTTACTCTTCATAACATCACATCTGGGGCTGCTCGTGATGGAGGGGAGGTGAAGCGGGGTGCAGGACACCCACAGCCTTGGTTGCCAGTAGAAGTTGCCGATGGAAGTCCTATATGCGTACTGGCACTCGCATATTTAGAGACAAATAAAGTACTACCTCAACAAGGGCTATTGACAGTTCAGATCCACATTAGCTCACCCAATGCTGATAGCTTACGGTAGCTATACCGGACGCTCTTGACTCAGAAGGGAAGGCCGCGGCAGACGTGTTCATACTCGCCTGATGGCCCGATTTCAAGCTGTATGTTCCTGATCCAGGGGCCCACGACATCAGGATATCCGTGAGCTGCACTTTGCGGGGGATCGGCTCAGCTGATTTCCGTCTCCGTACGCCCGCTTCCCCAGCTTTTGTCTCCAGACCTTTGGTGTAGATCCGGACGCATAACCGACGAGGGTATCCGGGAGATGTATTTAGTTAGCTACTTAAGAGAGAGAGAGTTTTATTGCAAAACAGGATGCTGCTTTCTTTCTCAGCAATATCCTTCTCATATAGGCAAACCAACACACATTCAGCATGCATCGTTGTTTCTAGCAGCTGTGCTTAACGCCATCACATACGTGTGGTTTTCTCGCCAAACGCCGGTGGTACATGAATCGGCATTTTGTTCGCGGTACTCTGTGAACGCGAGCTGACATCTGCAGCTGCATTTGGCTGCTCAACGGATCATCGCATGCACCCCATGGCGCTCGGTTTAATGCTCGGCGTTTTACCCAACAGTGGTCCATTTTAGCTGCACGATCCCTACAGGTATAGAAGAAGCTTATGGCAATAAAGAACCTTAATTACTTATTCGTATACATTATTCAAACTCATGATCATAATCATACCAGGGCTAGCCAATTCCAGTGCAGAGCGCCGTCCATCCACCAATTGGTTTGTGCTTCTACTCCGTACCAACCACGCAAAGGATGCTCCTTACGAGTAACCCATTTGCCGTTGGCGCAACGAAAATAGTCACTCACGTTGTCACCACACGGGTCGCTTAGGTGACAGTGAGATGGCATCCTCGGTAACTATGTGCAATGCCTCTTCGGACCGATCTTGACATGTTTCCATCTGTCGTGGTTTTGCATCTGCCGGCCTCCGCGCGCGCCTGGTACCTATTTCTCGGGCTTAAGTCTCTAAGAGAGTTTCATGCACAGTCGGTAGACAGGAATATATAAAGGCACTGGTTGAGGCCTATGTTATGCCAAGGACTCCAAACCAACCGGTCTGAAAGGACCACAGATCCATTCTATCAAGAAGAATTCATCTGTAACACTGTCAATGTTGGGCGTTTTCCGTCGCCTCGGGCTCGGCGCCCTTGCCGCCGCAGCTCTGTCTTCTCTCGGCAGTGCCGCTCCCGCCAATGTTGCTATCCGGTCTCTCGAGGAGCGCGCTTCTTCTGCTGACCGTCTCGTATTCTGTCACTTCATGGTTAGTGTTTAGTTGGGAAGTATCAGAAACAGGACTAACGTGGTAATGTCATGATAGATTGGTATTGTTGGTGACCGTGGCAGCTCGGCAGACTATGATGATGATATGCAACGTGCCAAAGCCGCTGGCATTGACGCCTTCGCTCTGAACATCGGTGTTGACGGCTATACCGATCAGCAGCTCGGGTATGCCTATGACTCTGCCGATCGTAATGGCATGAAAGTCTTCATTTCATTTGATTTCAATTGGTGGAGCCCCGGCAATGCAGTTGGTGTTGGCCAGAAGATTGCGCAGTATGCCAACCGCCCTGCCCAGCTGTATGTCGACAACCGGCCATTCGCCTCTTCCTTCGCCGGTGACGGTTTGGATGTAAATGCGTTGCGCTCTGCTGCAGGCTCCAACGTTTACTTTGTTCCCAACTTCCACCCTGGCCAATCTTCTCCCTCAAACATTGACGGCGCCCTTAACTGGATGGTAAGTCGCAACTCTAGAGTCGAGAGCAGGAAAGCAATACTAATGTCTTTATAGGCCTGGGATAATGATGGAAACAACAAGGCACCCAAGCCGGGCCAGACTGTCACGGTGGCAGACGGTGACAACGCTTACAAGAATTGGTTGGGTGGCAAGCCTTACCTAGCGCCTGTCTCCCCTTGGTTTTTCACCCATTTCGGCCCCGAAGTTTCATATTCCAAGAACTGGGTCTTCCCAGGTGGTCCTCTGATCTATAACCGGTGGCAACAGGTCTTGCAGCAGGGCTTCCCCATGGTTGAGATCGTTACCTGGAATGACTACGGCGAGTCTCACTACGTCGGTCCACTGAACTCTAAGCATTTCGATGATGGCAACTCCAAATGGGTCAATGATATGCCCCACGATGGCTTCCTGGATCTTTCGAAGCCGTTCATTGCCGCATATAAAAACAGGGATACCGACATCTCCAAGTATGTTCAAAATGAGCAGCTCGTTTACTGGTACCGCCGCAACTTGAAGGCATTGGACTGCGACGCCACCGACACAACCTCTAACCGCCCAGCTAATAACGGAAGTGGCAATTACTTTATGGGACGCCCTGATGGTTGGCAAACTATGGATGACACCGTTTATGTTGCCGCACTTCTCAAGACTGCCGGTAGCGTCACGGTCACGTCTGGCGGAACCACTCAAACGTTCCAGGCCAACGCCGGAGCCAACCTCTTCCAAATCCCAGCCAGCATCGGCCAACAAAAGTTTGCTCTTACTCGCAACGGTCAGACTGTCTTTAGCGGCACCTCATTGATGGATATCACCAACGTTTGCTCTTGCGGTATCTACAACTTCAACCCATATGTTGGCACCATTCCTGCCGGCTTTGACGACCCCCTACAGGCTGACGGTCTTTTCTCTTTGACCATCGGATTGCATGTTACAACCTGTCAGGCCAAGCCATCTCTTGGAACCAACCCTCCTGTCACTTCCGGCCCTGTGTCCTCGCTTCCAGCTTCCTCCACCACTCGCGCATCCTCGCCTCCTGTTTCTTCAACTCGCGTCTCTTCTCCCCCTGTCTCTTCCCCTCCTGTTTCTTCAACTCGTGTCTCTTCTCCCCCTCCGGCCAGCAGCACGCCGCCATCGGGTCAGGTTTGCGTTGCCGGTACCGTTGCTGACGGCGAGTCTGGCAACTACATCGGCCTGTGCCAATTCAGCTGCAAGTAGGTTGCCCCCATACCCCCTACTTGCTTTCTTAACTAATACTTTGTAGCTACGGTTACTGCCCACCAGGACCGTGCAAGTGCACCGCCTTTGGTGCTCCCATCTCACCACCGGCAAGCAACGGGCGCAACGGCTGCCCTCTGGCGGGAGAAGGCGATGGTTATCTGGGCCTGTGCAGTTTCAGTTGTAACCATAATTACTGCCCCCCAACGGCATGTCAATACTGCTAGGAGAGAGATCAATCTTAGTATGGGTATATGGAGGCTGCCGAAGGACCAGTTAGCTGTTCTTATTGGTAGGCGAAACCCATAGAGCAAGAAGTTAAATAAAATGCAATTGATCTGTTTTCAATCCTGGTTGTATATACATGTATATACCCTTGAACATTATGAGGCCTCTCTGGATTAGTATCATTCATCTTTTTAAAGACAGTAAGGCTGAAGCTGTAGACAAAGAAATGCAATGGCCATCCCGGAAGAGCCGATCTCAAAGCAGTAAATCCCTTCATTCGGCCCCAATCAACTTGGAATATTTCACGATTGCTCTAACCTTGTAATCTTGCATCTTCTTTATCCTTGATTGTCATGTTTACATAAACTTTCCTTTCGCCAAGGCCACATTTTATACTTATGAGTCTCCCTATTTTCACCGTAGAATATTACTATTTTCACCGTAATACTCTACATTATAAGCTAGATTTACTCTCTTAATTGCAAATACTATACCTATACACTAGAATACAGTACAGTACATTGGGAAGGAAGATTAATATTAATATAAAACTCTATATTATAATACTCTATTATTAATCTACGCTAATTCCTTTAAAAATCGCTTCTCGCGGACTGGTTAGTTTATCCGGCTTGTCTTCTTCGATCTGCGCGGCCGTGATGACTTTAATGACTTCCTTAGTCTTAGATTGGGGCTTAGGCTCGGGCTCGGGCTCGGTTTCGAAGGCGGCGGTAGTTATGATAACTTTGACGATAGCGGCGGATCGACGGCATTGTCGCTGGGTAAGGAATCTGCTGCGATATTAAACTTGTGATGTTAAAGGTCTTGTGTGATGTTGTAAAGTATATGGCGAGCCAGGGCGCCGCACTGTAATTAGGTGTATATTGATGGGATCGGTGGTGCGTGTATATTAATTTCAGTACTGGCATAGACTACTACGGTGAAAATAGTAATATTCTACGGTGAAAATAGGAAGACTTATACTTATTTCCCTAAAACTATAGTTCTCTGCTGTTTATTCTTAGGTCCTTTGAAATGTCTCTCAGAGAGTGACATCTTTGGACATTATTTGCAGAAAACATAAACTAACCCTTGACAACTTCTATTCGTCACCTCAAGACCATGAACTCTAAAACATCAGCTCGATGGGTTTGATCGGCCGATCGCTTTATTATCAATATAGATATCATCAAGATCCCATTAGAATACTAACTCTATCTCGCAGAATTTTATACATAGTAATGATCTTATGAAGTTGGGTGGTAGTTCTCCATGACGAGATCTTCCTTAGACACACTCTCTGCCAAAAACCAACCCTCGTTCTGCAAGAGAGTTATCAATTGATCGCGTCCAGATGAAGCAGAGTCTTCATCCGAGGTCTTGAAAGATGCCTCAACGAGGTATTCAATTCCAGTGCCACTTGAATTCTCAATCGGCCAAACTTCGATGTCAAGCTCAACTCCGTTCCACGTTCCCGTAGAGCGCTTAGTGAGAACCGGTCCGTAAATGACGGCGTTCTTCAGCATGCCTGTACCCCAACCGTCGGATACCCAGTCGTCGAACATGCCTGGCGCGTTGGATTCGAGCATGCTCCGTGAATCTTTCTCGTTAGGATCATCTGTACCGCTGTATCCTTTTGATGACGCCGTATAGTCCCGTTGAATCGAAAGGGTCTGTGAAGCATAGAGCCAGTCGATTTGTGCGTCGTAGTTGCCTTGTCCAGAGTTCCAGCCATCACTGAAAGCTGTGTTCAAAGCACCATTGATATCTCCGTTGTTAACTGGAAGACGCCACTTGTAGGTGAGGTCGAAGCCGCTGTCATTCTCGATGTTACGAATACGGCAACTCCACCCATTAACGTGAAGATCTTGCGCAACCGTGTCAAGGTATTGGACGTTGATCTTTGTAACAGTTGTTGGCATAGCAAAAGTAGAGAGTACCGTGGGAGTAAGCTTGAAGTCGGATCCCAGAACCACAGTAGGGTCCATCAGAAGGTGCACTTCGTAGTCAGGGACCATGGGGCCGTCCGCTGCCATTGCAGCAGGCAAAATGAGAGCCGCAGCGGCGGCCTTCATGACTGTATACTTCATTTTTAACAGACGGCGGCTGGTCTCGTGATAATGAGTTGCTCGACTTGATAACGGACCAGATATTGCAAATGAACTTCAAATGACACTCCTGTCACATACACTCCCAAGTTACGAGGCAATGCATTCAACTTTATATACTTGCCACGCACAGCTCCTGGAAACATACTTATAAAACTACTCTGTGAAGCTGCGGGGTTTAGATGGGCGTATATTTTCCCATTCAGGCAGGTTGCCATACTGATGATGTCCATTCTGTCTGCTTTCGTCACCGAGTTTGGATATTCTAGGGTGCCCACGTGTTTCCTATTGCCCGTTTCATTGCATCGGAACCAAATGGCGCTAATAAGTATGTAGGGCTTAGTTTAAATGAAATCCCTGCTTATAATCGAGATCGCCATGGGCGGCAAAGGGTCAGGCGAGCTATTTGCCCTAAATTTGTCAGAGGAGAGCCACGAAAATTCCTACGAGTCCTTATGATATAATGCTATATATCTCACAATCTCTGCATTTATACTCAATCATCAGGAGCAAGTTTAAGAAGTGTGTGTCGAGTGGCGGGTAGACATCCCGGCCTCTTTATGTATTGACAACTCGTAGCGGCCAAGATGGAGTACTTAGCTTGCCATTAGTCTCTGGGCTGAGACTCATTATGGTCACCGAATCATGCAAGCATCGCGGTAAAGAAATGCATGCGGGAATTATATATACATATGTAGTAGCGAAAACAATGCCGTATTTGCCGGACGGGTTTGTTGCGTCTTGGTTTTGAACGTCTGAGGTGGGGGGATGTGATATTTTGGGACAACTAGTGATACATCTCACAACAACCCATGTCTGTAGACACGAGCGCTACCTGACGACCTGAGGCTCCTGTATGTAATCAGTCTTCTGGGGTGATATGGGGATGATACTCCATTTCTCCTCATCTGAGTATAAATTTTTGCTGCTGTCCGGCCCCACAGCCTAGAGCGGAAATCCAGTGCCGAGAGATCTGTTGAGCTCCCGTCATCTCGCTCGCGGAGCGCAGCTCCCTTTTGCGATTGGTAAACATCGAAACGTGGTAATTAATAGATGTTCACCGCAAGTAGCCGATGTGTATATCATATCCCAACAAAATTCATGTTTGGTACCTTTTTCTTAGTTCATCAATCACCAGCATCTTTATGAAAACATGAAGTTGATTGGCGGCTATTGCTATAAATATCACAGCGAAAAAAAAAAAAGCAAAAGTGAGATCTAACGAGGAGATATACGTTGGGAGTACAGGTTTCCCTCAAATCTTTGCTCCTTTTGAACGTGGTAAACAGCTTAAACTTACTTCTGGAATAATTTATCCACAAGCTGCTGTTACCACCAACGATCTATGTATTAAGCTTATAGATGGGAATACTCATGGCCATTATTTTTCTCTAGCCATTCGTTTCGACACTATTTATTAAGATGAGAGTTTAGACAGCCAATGGAATCGACCTTCCAGCTCTAGCTATATGAGTAAATCTCTTTATGTGGTTTTGAATCTTGATACGTACGATATGCCGTTGCGAAGTAGTGCAATGACAGATTTATAGTTGCAATATAGTGATAGCATGTGATCAATAATCTCATTTCAGCGCCAAAAGCCCCGGAGCCATCGAATACTAAATATATCAAGAGTGTAACAATGTTCAATGACGCGGGTTACGCAATTTTATATCTCATAAGAAGTGTCCAACCAATTCAGAAGGGCGGATTAGTGCCCCGGCATACTATACAACACAACTAGCAAGCACGCGAGGCTAAAATACACATAATACTCCAAACTTTCGTCACCCTACATAGCAAGTGGGCATAAAAAAAGAAAGAAAAGAAAAACAGACAGCACGAAGACTCAAGTTCATTACAGGTTAGAGATACGTACGTAATGGCTACAGACGATCTACACAAACGTGCTGTTGTTGAGGATTCGTGTGTAATTATTCATTTTATGATCACATTTTTTTATACCAGCTTACTTATCTAATGCTTGAAATAGTATGCATGAGACAGTGGTAGATTAAAATGGTTAAGTTGGCTGAGGTATGTTGCATTCGGAAGAGAGCGAGTGGCATTACAACTTCTGCAGGGTTGTGGTGGATAATAAATTCTGTAAGTAGAATGCTCACTACTAGCGCACCAATAGCAGACCTCGACGACTGTAAAAAAGACTGAACACTTGCCAATATACCCGAATGCCAATTTCTGCTTATTTTGACGTTAGTACTGTCGATCAATGTATATATAAAGCAAATTATTACTGCCACTTTACATTGTAAGACAATTATAGAATTCGATTCACAGCCAAGTACACAAATGCTGCAATATCCATCACTGAATCAGAAACTTGCATAGTAAAATGCCCATGAATGGAAAATATCATGATGACTTGAGAACGCAGCATTCAGTTGGCAGGCGTTACGCCGTAATGGCCGCCCCATGACAAGTCTTGCAATCTACCAATAGATCATAAAACACAGCCGGCCCTATAGCCACATATAGCCGGTCGGCAGCCGGTTAAAATCCTTTGATGTCAAACGATTCTTGAAGATCGAAGCATGAGTTATTCTAGGGGCAAACTCTGCTACCTTTGAACACAAGCAATTTAGCCTTAGTATGTGTACAGAATTACAGTTGCTAGAATATCTGCCAAGACTACTAACCCCCGCAATCTCGAAACGCAACGCTACATGGTGTGCGAGGCAAAAAGGCGATTGGGGCGCTTTTCTATAAGCATGATGTAGCATAAATATTGACATCTGCCGATTCATGAAGAGTGGGTTGGCTCAATCTGACCGAGACCTATGACGAAATACTTCCGGCTTAACAAAGCTTGTCAGGACTACACGATATATACAGGCCTATAAACTTATAAAAGACCTGTGGTTTTCTGTTATCCTAGGCGACTCTGAACTCTTCATTCAGCAATACTTTCCTGTTCTTAAAACCAGATCAAAAATTATAATGAGACTCTTAGAAGTTGGAATCTTGTTACTCGCCTCGGCGACTGCTGTTGCTGCACGAGTGGCTGCATGCGCGCTTCCATCTACATACCGCTGGAATTCCACCGGTGCCTTGGCCAGTCCAAAATCAGGATGGGCCTCACTAAAAGATTTCTCCCATGTTATCTATAACGGCCAGCATCTTGTCTTTGGATCATTTCATGACACTGGATCAACTTGGGGTTCCATGAACTTTGGTCTCTTTGGCGACTGGTCTAATATGGCATCAGCAAGCCAGAACAAAATGACACCCGGCACTGTGGCCCCTACTGTCTTCTACTTTGCCCCAAAGAATATTTGGGTACTTGCCTATCAATGGGGACCAACTACGTTTTCCTACTTGACGTCAAGCAATCCCTCAAGCGTGAGTGGATGGTCATCACCACAGCCACTTTTCTCCGGCACCATATCCGGGGCCAGTGCTATCGACCAGACAGTCATCGGTGATAGTAGCAACATGTATCTGTTTTTTGCAGGAGACAACGGCAAAATCTACAGAGCTAGCATGCCGATTGGAAATTTTCCAGGAAACTTCGGTTCATCGTCGACCGTCATCCTGAGCGACTCGACTAACAACCTGTTTGAGGCTGTTCAAGTCTATTCCGTCCAAGGCCAAAACCAGTATTTGATGATTGTCGAGGCAATAGGAGCAAATGGGCGCTATTTCCGGTCATTTACGGCAACCAATCTAGGCGGCACATGGACTGCACAAACTACAAGTGAAAGTAAACCCTTTGCCGGCAAGGCAAACAGCGGCGCGACTTGGACCAATGACATCAGCCATGGTGATCTAATCCGTACCAATCCTGATCAGACGATGACAATTGATCCTTGCAACTTGCAGTTCCTGTACCAGGGACGAGCGACCAATTCCGGTGGCAGCTACGACCTCTTACCCTACCGGCCAGGTCTGTTGACTCTACAACACTAGCGTAAGATGTTTCTTGTCAATAAGCTGCCACATGGCATCTGGGCTACAACCGTAAGATGGTCAAGTGCCGAGGTACTTAGTGAATAGCGGCAAATATCCAGGGTATTGAAGTAAGGGACGAGGTACGGTGATATGCCGTCACTCTCTAAAGCTACATGTAGTTATCTATGGCATTTATCCCTGCATAAATGCGGGGGATGGTTGAAATGGAAGTACATTATTATTTAACGCTGCGAATATGTAGTGACACCTAATGTAATCCTACGGAGATCATCGGCGCTTTTGACTGATATAGTAGTGGCTTTTCTCGGGAGACTGCCTAGGGAGCAACCGCTAACGGCGCAGATCTGCAAGCCATCGATCAAGGATGGCGTTGAACGTATCAGGATCTTGGAGAGGGCCAAAGTGTCCGACGCCTGGCAGTACAACGAGACTTGATCCCCAGATCATATCTCTCATCTCACCTGCAACTCTTCGCTGTACAACCTCCTCCGAATCCCCATCCCCAATCCATATAATCGGTGCATGCCTAGGATCTTGAAAGAGCGTCTTGATTTGGGCAAAAGATTTGTCGTTCCAGTCTGGAAAGGTGCTTTGCATCGTAGCCATTTTTGCCATGAATTCGTCAAACTTTTCTGGATTCGGGGACAAAGCTTCGTATTCGCTTTTCATCCTGTTTTGCAAATCGTCCAAGAAAGGTAATCCCATTATGCCAGTAACGTTAGCTTGATCAGGCTGATAATTGGCGCCAAAGATGAATGCACGATCAACCTTTTCGCCATGGTGCATCGCTAGGGAGAGGGCAGTATTGGCGCCATCAGACCATCCAACAATCGAAGCCCTAGCCACCTTCAGATGTTCAAGTAGGGCCACGGTATCGTTGGCGAATAAGTCATATGATAGCGGCACCTCTGGGTCATCGTTTGATCGACCATGAGCTCTTGTATCGATGGCGATGACGGGATGTCCTTTGCCAGCAATATGTCTGACTTGGAGACCCCACCAGTTGGAATTGATCTTGCCCCCATGCTGGAAAACTATGGGGGTTCGTCCGCAATCCAGTGGCGGCCCAAATAAGGCATACCAAAGATCGATATTATTAATCCGAGTCGTCCCGGAAAATGTCGGATCTGGGAGATGTGGTGTTGGAGGTAGCATGCTGTAAAGTGGAATATAGTTATCCAGTGACTGCGATGAAGCAAAAGAGGACAGGGTAGTAAGCGCAAGAGAAATCATGACTATGTTGCGAACGATGTGCGCCAGAAGCGCCATGCTGATGATTAGTAATGATAGTATGACGGCGAAAAGAATCATTCAGGCATCATATCTGAGGTATTTTACCTTTGTATATATATGTGTGTGTGTGTGTGTGAGATTGCATGGACGGTGGGAATTCTGGTCGTCAGATTTTGCATGATACGGGTAGCCGGTTGCCGCCTCGGAATAACGGCTGTATCGGATGGCGAAAATGACGCGAGGACATGACTTTGAGTAGGCTATGCGTAGTCAAAATCGGAACTGAAGCATAGCCTATAACTAAAAAGTAGCCTTTGATCTCCTTCAGATGCAAAAAGTACAGATCAAGTGCTTTAAATTGAAGAGCAAATGCGAGCCTGTACCACAACTAACCGGTACAGTATTATTCGGTGATTAGAAAGGTGATGTTTCAGTCTACACCACAGGCACCAAAGAATACTGGAACACGCTTGAACTCGCTAATTGCCAACCGATAGTTCTAGATAGCTAATACTCTTTTTTTAAGAGGGGGGGGGGAGGCCATCTAATTTGTGGTAAAGTCTAACTTGATTGAAGTATGTATCAAATGCTACATTCCAAGGACGGCGGAATGACGGACTAGCAGTAGTATCTTCTCATCGGTCTGGTGGTGTTTGCTCACAGGCTTTGATACCAATGTACTGTTTACCTCTGAGATACCCAATAACTGCTAAGTGATTTATGAAACTCCCTCTCTGCTAATCTCAATAGTCTAGCACATTTTGGAGACTATTATATTGGGCTGACCAAAGGCTACGGAGCCACAACATCTTCCAACCTACTTAGACGTTTATTCCTGTTAAGCATTGCCACGATGGATCCTATTGATTCCTTCTACTAACCGGTATTTGCTGTTTGAAGTCCGTGGCGCCAGAAACCTGGACTCTTCCAACCTACGTCAGTAACTCCACCGCCGTAGACACAATGAGAGCAACAATATAAGCCACGTGTCGATGTAGGACTATGTCGTGTCTTGGCTTTCCAACTTCGTATTCAAGGTAACCAAAAGAAAGACAAATAGCGCGTCTTGGCGATAAGCCTTCAGCCCATAATCATGCGGGGCGGAATCATCTTAACGATAGTGTATTCTTGTGTGGTATGGACGACTGATGTCAATTCGCCATTCTTACATCATTCATTCCCGGCTAGGAAGGCAATAAAACCAATCTATCTTGCCGATGTCCTAATTGACGATTCAATGTCAGGTACGAAATGGAACTTTTGACACTCCACTGAGCTTTACCACCCTTTCTTACCCACTATCCTTAAGAAGGAAATCAACAGGCATCAACCCGGTTGATGATCTACATACAATGTTAAACATAGGCATGCCTTATAAAGTCCGTCTTAGCCAACATGAGGTAAAACGAAGGCCGCCTCTTTCGAATGCAGTATATGTATGACGCAAATGTTAGATGCCCTACAAATTATATATTCGCTCATCCAAAATTGGAAAGATTTGCCTAAAGGAGCATCGACAACAGTTGCCGAATTGAGCGCAGCTGGATCATACGTACTGGGTCATCCATAATGATTACTATAGCTTTATTCTCGCTAATTTGTAAGGAAAATAAGCATAAACACCATTTTTATTCTGAGCATAGTCTTTTTGATAGCTGCCGATATCAATGAACGGCCTACTATGTATAGTACTCAAAAGGATGATAGTTTCATTTTATTAATAAAAAAGAATGCATTCTCTTCAAGACGGATTTTATTTGTATGTTAATACCAGGATATAGTAATCATCAAGAGCTATTACGAATGCCAAGAATTATCCCCACAACCACATCCCCCCCTGGAGGACTGTACAGATACGACGTCTCTATCTATTAAATTCCTAGTGATTTTGATGCAAATGTACAACATTAGAATTTCATAAGCAGCAGTTCGATATATTCAGTCTATTGAGGACCACCTCTGAAACTAGCAATGGATTGCTGAGTCCGGGAGAAGGCAGGCACCTACACCAGCATTAAGAGAACAATACAGAAATACCGATAGAGCTCATGAACATAATATATCAACAATCAGTAATTGGCACGGAAATACTTACAAGATGTCTGCTGCTGTCGATCCCTTCTCTCTCAGTCCCAACTACACAATGGTAATGTTATACCAAGTTTCTCCTATTCTCTTGGCGTAAGCTGATAGGCAACTGATATATGTCGAATTCGAAATACATAGACAGTAACGATGCAAAGACGAGTATTCTACGAATATATAAAGAGCCAGTCTTCTGCTCGAGAAGCATTCAGCTATTCACTCCACATCTTCCCACATCATCACTTCTCATATCATCACTACGCTTCAAAAAGACAGCAATGATTTCTCGCAGCAGTCTCCTAGCTCTTGCCAGCACTATCTCTGTTGCCAGCACTCTGGGAATCAATTGCCAAGGCAGCGGCCTCTGCGTCGGTAACGGTGGCAGCTTGGGCGAAGTTCTTGGCATACTCCGAGGCATGGACCCGAATCAACAGCTTTCGGATGGACAGCAAATCGCTTGTGTTGAATCTCCCAACACTGTCGGGAACCCCTCTCTCTGTGTCTTCTACCAAATGACTGGTCGAACATTCACCGTGGACCAAACCATTTGGTACGTCCAGGCTCTCATCGACCACGGCTGTGGTGCGTGTGGCAGCGTGCCTGTGGACGAAGGAAACGATGTTAATAATGGAGAGTTGACTGCCAACATGGTCACCAATGCTCGCCGTGGCATGGATATGGTCAAAGTGATTGCCAAAAGTGAGAAGCGCGCCATTGAACGGGCTGAGACCAAGACAGAAGGTGTTTCTAAGCTGTCAAAGCGCTTGGGCATCAACTGTAACGGTAGCTCTACCTGTGGTGTTGGAGGTATCGCCGGAACCGAACGAGGAACTATCGACGATCTCAGAAACACCGTTGCTGGTGGCGACGACGGTCTCTGGGGAGAAGGACAGCAAATAGCTTGTATCTCACATGCCACTGGCCGCCTTTGCGCTTTCTACCAAAATGTTGGCGACCGGACTTTCAACAAGGACCAAACCCTGATGTACATGCAATGGCTCCTTGACCACGGCTGCGACGTTTGTGGTAGTGTCCCTACCGACGATGGCAATGACGTTAATAACGGCGAGTTGACTGTCAATTTTGTTGCATAATTTAGCTCTGCTGTGGATGGAATGGAATTCTTCAGAAGCTGTGGCCAAGCTACTGATGGTTTTCCTTTGGCGGGATGGAAGACGTTGAATTGGTAACCGTTTCTTTTTACTGTCAAGGTTGAGCATGATATATGCCGCTCTTTCGAGATTTTCAGTCTATCAAGTTTTGGAAATGCGTACCATAGTTCAGGGTAGCAATAAACTTATGATGCATCTATAATAGTTTTGTCCCTGTCAAAGAAAAAGACTATGGAATGACAGTAAACGCGAAAGATTGACGTAGAGAGGCAAACATTTAAAATGCACGAACAACAAGCTTGTCGTAATTAATATACATCCTCTATTCAGGCACACAGCTTCTTCCCTGCTGGGATTCTCCTCTGGCAATCGGACTTTCTTACCGTCATTTGCAGAGTCGTATGCATTACGCCGTGCCCAGGTTAAGGCACATTCTCAATGCTCCGATTCGGCGCTGTCCACCGGTGTAACCACAAGGGATAGGTATCGAGAATCCAGTCTCTCGGATTTCTATACTTCCTTTGGTTTAAGCTATCTCAACAACGTGGAGAAAACATCTCCACAGCGGAATGCCATGATTCTTTCAGCTTTGCTTAGTAACTTCGTGCTGCGGCCAGTGACTCGACGCTAATTCAATTTCAGGGCACCAGCCAGTTTGATGACGAATTTGACCCGAGCCTAACAATCGGTTGCCAGAGAGCAACAACTTTTACCTCCTTAGAACTCTTTCGAGAAGGGCAATTATTCTAAGAATAGGCACCATATTTCCACGTGGATGTGCCAATGAAAGCACCTTCAATAATACCGCCCTGGACTCCCGCTAAGCGCTGCTAAACTCAGACAAGACAAGCAGGGGGAGCCGATTTACCGGTGTCGCGTAATTGGTGTGCAATTTATTTGCTGATTAGAGCGATTGAATAGGAGCTAATAGGTGGGAACTTGAAGTTACATGCAATTGCATACGTATTACAAGTTGAGTACTGCGTACCTTGTAGGCAGGCCCCTGAACCGCTGAGAAATCGGACCCGAACACACAAGTGACCAGCCCCGTCAAATCTTATACATTTCTATCAATGCTAATAATTACATCTGAAGATATCCCCGGCGGAACATTTTAAAAGGGCTCAGCTAGACTAGGAATGCCAGATTGCACACTATGAAGCGCGCAGTCGGTCCTCTAGATAAAAGGAAGCGAGTTTCTCGCTGCCAGGCTTGTGCCAAGAGGCAGATAAAGGTTCGCAATTCTGTGTAAACAGCTGATGAATTCCATAGTTAATAACTCCGGAATCAATAGTGCCAAGGCGGTGTTCCATGCGAATACTGCCAGCGTACCAAAAAGACATGCACTCCACAGGCTGTATCCTCGGCTACTGCTTCAACAGCATTCAATGTCAAGTTTGTCAAATACACGCCACCACAGCGATCGATATTAGAAGCTGCAACACTACCATTACAGATACAAACTCATAGCAATGATTTGTACCTAAGCAGCTTTGCCGCATCATTACTTCGGTGTCAGTTTACCCCAGATTTCACTGATATAGCGCAAGATTTATTGCCATTGATGCAAACCTCGCCGCCATTGCGAAACTTGGCCATCGCACTTGGGGCCCTGGATGCGAGTCGGCGCTCGTCCGTTAGATCATTCGCGCCAAAAGAATCGCCTCAATGCGTTGCATACCTCTCATATAACCGTTCATTGCAATCACTCCAACAGCGACTGCAAACAAGTGACGCTGCGGTATGCGAGGATGTGGCGTGGAGCACATTTCTACTGGGACTATTCGAGGTAAAAATTTTCTCATCATGTTTAAATGATCAATTTAGCTCATAGAACAACAGTTAATGTCCGAATCATCTGGAGAAGGATGGGCAAAGCATATGTTCTATGGCACTTCGAAGGTTTTGCAGCTAGCTGGCCCAGATGCGTACGCATCATCGCTGCAACAGAGGCTTTTGAACGCATTTCGAGTGCTTGAAGCCAATAGAACAATTATGTTCGGAGACGCAACGTTTTTATCTGAGAGCAAGTGGAGGGTATGCAACAGCATAAATCACGAGGCTGCAGAAATTCCAGATTCCACGGCGAGCATCACCGAGCTAATGATCCAAACATCAGCATTCAGCAAGCGGTAAATAGGGAACACTCAGACTTATTTAACACTATACTAATGCAAACCAGACTTTTTGAGCAAATTGAAGGCGTACCCGAAGAAGAAAGACCTTTCAGTCCCACAATCACCGCCCTAGCATATGAAGGCACTGAGCTAGATTGCAAAATCAGCAACTGGTGCAATAGTGTTTCTTTACAGCCAGATTCTGCGGACCCATTTGCTCAGATTGCTCTTGCAAAATATCATGCCATTCGACTTTTCCACTGCAGAAACTTCACTTATTATACCTGTTGGCACCCCGGGACGATTCCTCAACTAGACCAAATGGAAATTGACGGTTGTGTTGCAGCCATCACATACTTGTGTGAGAAAGTCCTGCAATCTTCAAATATTCCGGGCGCAATTCTCTTGTTTCCCTTAAGAATGGCGGGGGCGCATTCTCATTTCGAGTGGCAAAGAGATGAAGTGCGAAATCTGCTCAATCAAATACATAAAAGCGGCTTCGTTGTGGCGAAAAGAATACAGATAGATCTATTGGAATTCTGGGAATTTCAAGATGATCAAGATAATATTGAACCTGGTGTGTAAAAGATTCTCTATATAGATATACCAAAAGATAAAGACTACTTAGAAATGAGAAAGTAAATGAAAATTATCTAGAGTTGATGCCGGTGCGTCTCACTCGACACGTTTTGCATTGGTGTTGAACGGGCTATACGCTCCATGTGATAGCATTTAGCTGATCTGAATGTTGAAGAAGTCGGTGACGACACGTGTGCGCCTGCCAGGAGAGAAATAGTCGTAGCCAACAATTTCGTTGCAAGTGTTGACGTAGATGGTCACCGGAATTGCTCCCTGATACATAATGTCCCACTATGGCATGGATTAGCAGAGTATTATGGAGACTCGGAATAGGGCGTTACTAACAGATGCGACATTTCCATCCGTGAACTTCCTCGTAACGAGACCGCCGAAGACAGCCTCGTTCTTGACGAGGAAATCTTTCTCAAAGATGGGATAATTAGAATTGACATAGCCTTGCCACACGTACGGCTTCGTTCCGTTGTAAATGGTCATCAAGTTATCCACCAGACCATCCTTGGTAACATTCGCGTAGTTGAAAATTGACGAGGCGGGAGCATCGTCGTAGGCCTCGTTGACGCGAACAAGGCCCTTGGCAGGAGAATTGTCAATGTATCCGGTCATAATGTGAGACAGCGTCTCGTCCCTACAACTCTGTTAGCAATGGCGATACCAGTTGGAATAGGTTATGGACCATTTATGCTGGACAAAGTTTGTCGTAAACTCGGGCTGCACCAAAGGTGGCTTTGGCTGCTTGAAGCCGGATGAGTATTCGATCATGGACGAAGGAAATGGAGTGCATTTCGGAGTTTTGGTGGCAATAGTAGGCACCACAATAGCGGCAGCAAGGAAGATTTGAGAGAACCACATTGTTGCGTTCTAATGAGTGAAGTGAATAGAATATCTTAGGAAGTGAGTGAGTGTTGAAGTGAAGTTGAGATGTTGAGAGTTCGGATATGAACGTAAAGCAGAGTTAAAGTCATTATATATAGTCATTCAACTGAATCAGACGCGTAATCCCATACGACAGAAATGAAGCTGCGCCATCGAAAGCATCGTATCCTATCTCCAGCGCGTCTAAATCTTGCCCATTTCAGATTCATTACAGGATCCCATACACTAAATCTCCTCGTAGCCTCTGCCGCGATGTGGACCAGAGATTGAAAAAGCGTTCAATTGCTTCCCAATCTGGCAATGCCGATCTGTTCAGTGGGGCGGGAAGGGGGGACGAATGTGGATACTTTGAAGATGGTTTCAAGATGTAAAATTCCGAGTGATGCTTTAGTAAATTAAATAATTTAGTTAAGCAGCTGAAGATACTACAATTAGAATATGGAATGGGAAGCCCCCTTACCTGGAGAGAGTAAATGCATGTTATGCCATACCGTAGTTAGGCATTGTCGGTACGCCATAGATGTCGGCGGATGGCATCCTAAGATCCGATCTCATACACCCCATACAACGTTCCAGTAAGTGTCCGATGCTGACTCCACATTTCTGAGATTCTTTCTGTAATACTTATCCAGCCCGTCATAATTTCACAATTTGACGGCTACTATGTAGACGCGAGCTTTATGAACGTATTATTAGAGGAGACGCAGCGGCCGAGATTCTCCAAGTTCGCTCTCCTTCACGGTCAATTCGTTAATCCCCAGGTTCATTTCGCGGAGGAGAACGAAACGAGTGACGCATTCTCTTCTTGCTACGGAGTACTGAAGGCCGTGTTTAGTCAAACAGCTCAGGTAAGCCTGAACGCAGACTTGGCACATACATCGCGGCAATTGGTCGCATAGCCCCTTTGCCCCCGCACTAGATTGTTTGTGAACCCCGAGACTCCCAAGTTATCCAAGCCTTTAGGCCTATGCCCTACAGCATGAAATCCGATGGTGCCTAACACAATGTTTCGTCAAGCAAGCCTATGGCTTATCTATATGCTCAGATACAAATAACTTGTTGTCGGAGCACAAAGGTAGGCATGAGAAGATATGTTCATCACCGTACATAACCTCTTCGAGCTGCACTTACCGCGGGTCCCTTCCGAGTCTGCTGTATCCCACATTGAAATGTGATAGAAATATGCAGACAAGCGCTTGCACAGCCACAATACTGACTGTATCGACTAGCTTCAGGGTGTAATCTGCACAATCTTGGTTTAATGATATGTATTGCTGAGGCAAGTGCAAATTATTCTATCTCAGGGAACAGTAAATGGTTATGTACATGTATTCATCACGATGACCTTTCACAACCTTGCCCAGATTTCTAAGTAGGATGATATGCTTGGGATTTTCTCCTCTACGAGTACGGCATTATTTGCACTGCTGTTAAGAATTGCTTTCGCCCTTGTTTTGCTTGTATGGGAAAGTGCGCCTTAAATAGTCTTCATTTGTCATTGATTAAAAATGAACGGCGCTTAAATGACACGATAAAAAGTTATGGGCAAATTTACAGCCCCCAATCATTATCTCGGTTCGCATGCCCGTTTACCGAATAGGCGATTCGACCCAGGGAAAGGTATAAGATTTTAAGCGTATGAAATAAAGTAAGCTACCCTAATCCACAATGAGAGATATGGTTCGAGAAGGATTTGACAGCATTATAAGCACAGGGGAGCAGACAAGTTTTGGTGTGAAGCAACGCCCGTTATTGGCTGAGCTTATACACTTCCTTGCATGATGCCGCTTCTCGGTATGTTCAATTTCCACTTAACACGGGACGACGGAACTCTAAACCACTCAATGCTAATACTTGATAGCTTGGCGGCCAATCCAGCAGCGCCGGCATAGGTGAAAATAGCTTCACCTACTCACGTCAGATTATAGCTCTTGTGAGTTGTCTCCTGATTCAGAGCAAAGAGGCATTTTTAATGGTCCTTGGCAAGACTCGAGAGATGACTGCGTTGCCTCGCCTATTACCAATCATTCTGCATCACCGAGTTGGGCCCAAGTATGGGCTTCAGGAGAACTGAGACTATGGGAATACGAGTGATGATGGCGACAAAACGGCCAAACCAAGGCAAAAAACAAGTATTAATAAGTGACGTCTTCCCCTAAAACTGCCCTCGATCTTGTTTCGACACCATTACATCTTCAAACCAGCAGATTCATTTCATCTTGCACAAAACATCCTCAAAAGAACTCCAACAATAACTACATCTCAAAATGCGTTTCTCTAACATCATTGCCTTTGGCCTCTTTGGTGCCAACTCTGCTCTTGGTCTTGCAATTCTCCCTCGTGAGATTGCGGAAATCGAGTCTGTTGCCAATGCCACGGCCAAGGGAATTGATGTTTTTGGACCGATTCCTGATGATGCTGTCAAGGCTCACGAGGGCTTCTATACCGCAGAAGAAGGCACCGACGCTTGGGCATGGATCCGTGCTCAGATTGACATTCCAGCTCATGCCCGTCCCGCAACTGAGAAGCGCCAAAATTACGCCAACATTGGCATTGGCATGTTTGCCCAAGATTGGTGTAAGTGGAATTTTGCTACGCCCGTGAGATCGATTCAATTTTGTTATTCTAACTCAGTCAATGAATAGGCAATGGCCAGGCAGGCTGGTGGGACGATGTTACATATGACGTTCAGCACTACGTCACTCTGAATATGTTCAGCGTCGGCATCAGCTATCGTGGTCTTCGCAGCAACGAGCAGCTTGACTTTAGCCGCCAGGCTGGCAGTGACTGGTGTGGTAAATACTTGTACTCTGCTGGTAAAAACACTCCTAGTATGTTATGAACCCGAATCCAATTTCGAAAAATGGAATTATTAATCTTTAGCAGTCGGCTGCTTCAACTCCCAAGCTATCAACTGCTATCGCCTCACTCTTCACTAAGCGCGCATTCCCAACGTCGAAAGTTGGTTTAAAAAGGGAGTACAAATTGCCTCAGTTCTCATAAATTTGAATGGCAGTTTGTCCATTGGGTTTACCCCTTAGAGCTACATGAAAAGGACATGGCGGGACGTGGAGGCAAGTCTCCGTTATGTAGACACAGCATAAGAGAGAACGTTCTCTACATGAATACTATGCTTGTTTATATCTTGAATTATAATAAGATTGTCGTTGTTTACAATAATTGGCTATTTGAAATGGGGCTAAGCCCACGTCCAAATGATAGTGATATAATACACTGAGATGCCTTCCCCCATCTACACTAAGCATTCATGGCAACCCTTGTCGAACGTCCGAATGCTCATTTAGTCCCCATGCGTTACTGCTAGAGTCATGAACAGTTGCGCGTCGCATGTCTCTCTTGTACTTGGTACTGAATGGCCCTGTGATTACACGGTGCATTGTGCAAGTGTTGTCCCAAATAACCAAATCTCCGGGATGTTTCCATTCAACCTCGATGACGTATTTCGGTTGCGTTGCATGAGTGAAAACTTTGTCAAAGAGAGTTTTTGATGCTTCCTCGCTGAGATTTTCAATGTGGTGTATATGCGCTGCGATGTAGAGATTCATGCGGCCAGATCTCTCATGCCGCTGGACAATTCTGTGACGACCCATTGGATGCTGAGAAGGATCAACATCTGCAAAGAACTCTGGGGCAGCAAGTTTCCTCGAGTGCAGTATAGAATGCGCCCCAACATAATCGTTTGCCAAGAGGTCTTGCTTTAAGTCGTCATCAAGCTCGTCGAATGCAGTCCTTGTATCGGCAAATGCTGTTTTGCCGCCCGTGCCCGCAGGCGGTAGTTCGTGAGCAAGCAAAAGAGAATACCCGGCTCGACGAGGGTTGAAGCTGGAATCGACATGAAATAGACCGTTTCCCTAGTCGTCGAATATTAGTATATTAATTTACATAAAGTAGGTATGTCGGATCCATACGTACCTTATTCGCCTGCCCGCGAGGGCTGCTTGGATCAACAATGGTGCCGTCCAGTTCAACGTTGCTAACGTCAAAGAGTTCGTCATACTTGAGTCTATTTTTCCGTCCCGCAGCAACATATGGCTTCACATCATCCAAATCTCCAAACATGCGAGCTAGCTTGATGTGAGACTCGTCTGTTAAATGAGATTCGCGGATCACTACAACTCCATACTAATACAACTAACATTAGCGGAAATTGGATTCTGTTATAGACCATGAATTACCTTGGTTACAGTGTCTTGGAGGCGACGAAAGTTTTCTTCTGTCATATCGTCCGCGGCATTGAAGTCACAGATCTCAGCACCAAACCCGGGGCTGATCTCAGTGACTCTAAAGCCATTAATTGCAGCGACCATTTTGGCTAAAGGAATGATAATAAGAGTACTTTGGAGATGGAAAATATAGATACCCAGCCAGGCGGTGTCTGCTTAGGATATCGAGTGGCACATATATATAAACATGAGTACAGTATTAATAAATTCCTTGTATATTGTCCCCAGAACGGGAAGCATCATCGTGTGATCAACTTAATGGATAGACGGGGAGAATCCGCCTATAGCCGACGCTGCCAATACCGATGTCTCGCCACTGCCACGCTTCGCAGTCAGATGTAGAGCATACATTCTGAACGCAACCTAAAGGTATAACAGGCTCGCATGAGCTTTTATCGCGAGCTCGGGATTCACTACTAACTACGGTGACTAGCAGGATGCCAATGTGAAAATACACGTCAAATACTCCTGGTCAAAATGTTTCTGCTGGGACAATTGAGACACACGGCAATGAAGAGTTTCCGACTGGACTGGCTAATACCCCACCAAATCACCCCGCTACCCCGCATAAAGTGCTGTCTAATTGGGGTTGCAACATTAAAGCTTCATAGGCCGATTTCGGTAATTCTTCGCCGTCTACAGCCGACCAAACTTTGAGACATATCGTTTACCGATGCCGACAATCGACTCACTCAGCCCTTGAACTGTCACATTAATCGCTGTTAAGGCACGCATATCGAGTTGCCGAAGATATCAGACAATGACGGCCAGCACAGGAAAGCGCTCTTACCGCGCATGTGTCAGATGCCGCCGCCGGAAAACAAAATGCGATCTGTAAACATCCCGAAAGAATCATCATGTTGTGAGCATGCCCCTGACTTTGTCTTAGTGGTGGCATTGGAGAGCCAAGAAAAATCCCCTGCGTGTCCTGCTTTGAGTCGGATAGCGAGTGTGTGCTGGCTGAGTCCCGCCGGGGTGGGAACTTTCGGACGTATGAGCCGACCAAGAAACCCACAAGGAGTCACAAGGCTTCACAACGCACTTCAGGCACGTCGCCGAGAGTGACCAGGTCAACTGAAAAGGAAGTGGATCGCAGCCTTGACGGCTTAAACGAGGATGTCATTGATGAGCAGCTTGCTTCCGAGCTTAGGAATCCCTCCGATGCGCTGCATATACTTGCCCAATCGGAGAAATCTAAAGCAAGTGGATCGCCTGTATTGCCAAACGAGGAGGAGCGCGACGGTCTCTTACGTGGGCCATCGACTGTTGTATCTGTTGACGAGTATGAGCTAGTTCAGAGGGGACTAGTTCATCATAATAACATATCCGAGTTACTACACCTGTCAGTCCAAATTAAACAGAGACAACTGAGTTTTGCGGCTGATCGAAGACAGGTACTCCCATAACTATCACTCTTACTGTCCCATTGTGCCAGGGTACATGCTTGGACAATCTGGTATTGACAAGATTCGCACGTCGGATTTCTTCCTTCTCACAGTCATCTTGACGATTGCCTCTAGAGACTCATCAAATCATTCCCTTATTCACCGATATTGTTGGGATTACACCCAGAAGTTGTTGCTTGAGGTGCTGCTTGGGTATCCTTGGACACTGAAATCCCGAACAGTTGAGAGTTTATTGCTCTTATCAGAATGGCTTCCCCATATTGAACTTACCCAATCCGTCTCAAACGAAAGTAAAAGCATGTTCATTGAAGATAGAACGTCATGGTCACTCGTTGGGCTAGCTGTCAGACAAGCTTACTTGATGCGACTGGATCAAGGTGCCTTTCCCAATGTTGTTACACAGGAGACAAAAGAACAAGCGGAGCACAAGCGTTTAATATGGACATGTGAGTAGCCTGGACGAATGAAATGGAAACCCTGTCTAACTTCAGTCTTTCCGTTTCTTAAAATAACAGTTGTCTACATCGCGGATCGGCAAATATCTGTTCGTCTAGGCCAGTCTTTTTGGTCCCGCGGTCCATCTCTTTCAACACGCTTGACCGCGAAAGACTTTCCCAGCTTACAGCCTGGCTCCAATAGTAGCCAAGAAGATTATGCGTCTGCTCACCAAGCAACGATGGAGCTGACACAGCTCATGCATAACGCTCAAGCCATTCTGTACTCCTCGCCGAAGCGGACTTTGGCGATGGTCCACGATGGAGATTACAGTCGCTATCTCGATGACTTTCAGCGCGCATCAATGAATTGGCATGCCACTTGGAGCGATCTTGCAGTATCTGCCAGAGTGAAGCGTTCTTTGTCTTTGGTATATGAGTACCTGTGCCTTTATGTTAACGCATTCTCATTCCAAGCCGTTCTCACCAGGATGTCGGCACAAAACCCTTCCTTGAAACCTTCTTTCAGGCCATTCATTAATGGCATCATGAATTCTTCCGACGGGCGATACGTTTGGGATGCTATTACAGCGGCCATAAATACCCTGAAGCTGATGACTGATTTCCATCCCCAACATGAGCTATGTTATTTACCATATCGCTACTACTTGTAAGCCATCCTACCTCCTCTCTTGGTGTTCATTTTGACTGACTAAAGTTGGAGATATGGTGTGTATGCAGCGGTCTTTCTGCATAGAGCTGATTGTGCTGGAGCTTTCCAACCTGCACGGCGCCGTCAAGAGACCACATCGTTAGTTCTCAAGTTCATATCAGTGTTAGATGGTGCTGCATCGGATAAGTTTCACATCAGCCACAGGTACAGTCAGTTGCTTAGGAATCTATGGCAGAAAGGGGAACGAAAGTTTGGCAAAGCCAGAGACGCCCTAGCTACTTCTACATCGACAATCCAAGCAGGGACTGCGCAGCAGCAGGAAAAGCCAGACTTCAACCCAACCACTCTATATTCGCTAGATCATCCTCACGGACACCATGGTATGGACAATTTAGCTGACACCAATTTACCAATTGACCAAATTCCAACTGTGAGCCAAGAACTTCCCGACTTTTCGCCAATGGAGGACTATCCCTTTGGACCCTTTATCAGTATACCAGATTTTGAGTTAGGAGATTTTGGAAATCCCATCAGTGATATGTCGCTTCCGTCGCTAAATTGGGGAGCAGGTCTTGTTGGAATGGATCCTATTGGGCAATAATCATCTTTCTCGCCGAAATTATATAGAGCGGCTAACAAACAAATACCAGTTAAAGACTACATATTGAGTAACATGGGTAGAATGATGATGCTGCTGTGCGCAGGGACGGGTGGGCAAACATAATTTAATAGATTCTCACATTACTACGGCAATTTCTTTGGCCTTGTCCGGAATTGAAGGCGGCTCAAGTGACTCAGAAACTGAGAGCACAAAGACAGTCTACACAGCAACTGTTCCCTTTCTAAACGCAAACGAACTGTACATGCGAACTGAGATAGCTCTTTCCAGAAATATGGAATCTTGGCTTACGCTCTACGACTTATTTGCTACAGGCTGAGATATCGGTTAATTCACATCACATACATTGCTGGCTGTAGTCACAAACAGGAGATTCCAAACTGGATCCAAATGTCCAACAGTGATATTTTGATACCCTATTAAAGCTTGTATGTACAGGGCAACAAGGAGAATATTAACATGAATAGGAAAAATGAAAATGACTGCTAGAATCAATAGGTGATAGAGCAGGAGCTGCTTGGGACGGCGGTGTTGTTGTCAGAGCCAGTAGCAACATTTGCTGCCAGTGACTTAAGCAAAGATGTCGTTCTGAGCACCAGGAGCCCAGCCCATTTGCCTGTTGTAGCCGGGGGAAGCACCGTTGGGAACCTGAACGTTGTTGCCGGTAGCCTGGTTCCAAGCAATCATCTGCTTGGCACCGGAGAGGCATTTGGATGAATCGTTGCCACACCAGACAGGAGGCTTAGCCTGAGCAAGCGTCTTGGTAGAGCTGGTGTTGGTGACGTGGCATCGGTAGTTGGCCATGTACATGTTGGGCGTGCCACAGCCGTTGGGAACCCACAGCCAGGCGCAGTAGCATCCACCGGCCGGGCAGGCAGGAAGATCCTTGGGAACGTCGTAGGTAGCAATACGCTTCCAGGGGGTGCTATTATGGCGTTAGTTTAAAACTGTAGTTTGGAACAAACAAGGGCTTTATAGACTTACTGCTCAAGAACAGAGAAGACAACCAGGTTGTCCATGGTCACCTTGGTGATGTCCGATTGGTAGGAAATGGCCCAGGCAGTACCAGCAGCCATGGTCTGGTTCTGGGTGTGCATGGCACCGTCATCCTGAATGCAGTCAGGAGGGCTGCCAGGACCCGACCAGTTCTCGGGGTGGCTCTGGCCGTCAGGCCACTCGCCGGCGAACTGTCCGTTGAAGGACAGGGTAGTCTGAGCCTGGTTGTGGGCGAGCTCAACGGTGAACTGGCCACCAGCAGGCAGAGCAACGGAGGCACCGTCAGGAGGAGGAGCCTTGTTGCAGCCACGGTCGGCCTGCATCCACCACTGCTCAAAGGGAAGATCATAGAGAGGGTTCACGGGAGTGTTGGAGTTGGCGTTGTAGTTGTTGGGATCGGGACCACCCTGGATGGAGTCAGTAAGAATATGTCTGACGATTGTGAAGAAAGAAAGCAGAGTGCTGCACAAACCTCGCAGAACATGCCCTTAACAAAGGCAGCAGTGTGGGCAGTAGCCCCAGAGGCGAGAGCCAGCGCAACGGGAACAGTCCAGAACATCTTGATAGTCTTAAGAATCGAAGTTGGTTGAATGAATGGTTGAACTTATGGAACAAAAGAATGGAAAGAACGAACAGAGAAGTCTTGCTTCGAACTGCTTTGGTGATAGAAAAAGCTGATGGATCGACGAGATAGTCAGATACTTATATAGTTGCTCCTCTATACTATTCTATACTCCTGAGAGACCTATCTTGCCTGGATGCCAACCCAGAGGCTAGCCGGGAAAGATCGCAAGGAAATGGGGCATCTCCCGTGTGCCAAACCTTGACATGGACTGCCCGAAAGAGACTAAAGATCTGCCAATCTATCACCCCATGAGGCTGTTCCAATTATGGATCACTTGGACCGCCCGCCCCTTTCGAGCCCATCGGTAAATTTTCCTCTTGCATGTTTTCAGACTCGCATGTAACCTGCCCAGCGAAACGGTACCGAAATTGTAGGGCCCATTACGGCCGACGGCGTGGAGTAAAGCACCAATGAAGGCGCAGCCTCTAACGAGTAATTAACCGCCGGGATGTTTCTTTTAAGAGAGTCATGGATCTCGGCATGCCGCCAGGCCGCAGCAACGCCAGGCCGCAGCAAGGCCTTGCCTCTGATGCGTGGCGGCCACTCACTATCGATGTGACACCAAGCGTTTCGAAACGAAACGAGCCGGAGATGGTAACCCCCACAGATGAACTCCACCAACAACGCCCAGAAGCCTCGCTTCACCCGCCTGATCTGGCAACAGTGGAAGAAAATAAGCATCAAACTAGCATATTTTACCGCCTGCTCCGTACCTGATCGTTCGTGCATCAGCGACATCCACAGCCGCTGACCGGGCATTGCCGGCCTTCTCAGCTGCCACCTTTGCCACCGTCCCTTTTTTTTAAATGCCGAAGAGGTTCGCATAGCAAATCTCACCAACGCAAAGGGCAGGTCGATGATCCGTAAGATCAGCAAACCTCACGAGACGGTCTCACATGCATTACTTACACACCAACCACCCTGTAAAAAAAATGAAATCCTTTTCGCATTGTAGAAGGAGGATTGGATACAACACATACCTACATGAACGCAGCCACTCGACGCGCCTCTTGTCGGCCCGTTTCACAAGACACGCAAACAACATGATGCCCAGAGTTATTAGCGCTGCTTGCTGTCCTTGACGCGTTTCCAGCCAGCGATTCATCGCTAGCGCTTAGGCACATTACCTCCGTGAAATTAACTAAAATTTGGCATCCAGCTGTGATTCTTACGGATTACTTTTTTGATCGTTCTGTCACACCCTTGCGCCTGTCATTACGACTAGCGGCCTGGCCCGCTTTTGTTGACATTGGCGCCGGAAGCAAAATCGTGAAACAGGAAAAGTGGTGGTATAGAAAAGCCGCCAATGTATTTCCAGTGTTCTATTTCGTATATACGTGGGGGACGGATCATGAAAGACAACTTCCAGTGTGTGTCAGCGGAAGACGGGGGCGAATTATAAGGACCTGATTACGAGAGAAATCATTGCTCGCCAGTCAAGTTCTTGCCTCTCTGTGTATGTGGTCCGCATTCAAGTTGTCCTATAATGAGAGTGTTTGCAAACGGAGATTTCACTGTTTCTATGTTTAAAAGAGATTGTTCTGAGAGTTGAGTAATCAGATAATAAAATAAGAGCAACACAGGGTTTTCAAAGACCTTGGGATGTCTCAGACAGGGATCCCCATCCTATTTCACAGCCTTGCACTCGTATCCCGAAGGGTATAGCTAGCAAAATGCTGATCACACCGTCTCAAGCATCTTGGTTACTTCAAAGAATATTCGGCAAAGGATATTACGACAGTACTACAAAAAACAGGGAGAGTTTCATCGTATACCTTGTCACTAAGTACCTTCATGATAGCACAATACTTATCAATTCATCAATACATTACTCGAAGAGACTCATAGAAGTCATCTTTTCAGTTTCGCCAATCTATGCTTTATCTACCCATAGGCCCCCTTAATCATCATCTGGTAAGGAATCCCAGCTCTCAACAAGAATTTCAATAATTCCCAGTCTCAAATTGAGTAGCAGCACCCATTTGAGGTTAACAGCTATATCACGACGGGAAATTGTTGAGCAAGTGTAGTAATTCATCACTTGTCCCATCGGCTCCTCGCTGCCTAGATGAACTCATGAAATCATTATGATAAGAAAAAGGGGGTGTTGATACTACCATTCGCCCCCTACCTCTTGGACTCATCGAATTGAAATATTCACCTAGTCCAATATACGCTCGGCATCTTCTCGGTCGTCCAAGAAATAGGAGAAGGCAGCCATTGAACAAAGGAGCACCATTTCACCACTAGATACTTCGTCGATCAACTGCAATGTTACTTCTTGGCTATTTCCTAAACTATCTGAGTTTATTCGGGTTTTAGGGTAGCAATATGCATGCAATATTTTGGCTATTTTATATTCCCCAATCGGAAGATTCTGTCAAATGTTATATAGGCTAAACAGTAACGACAACACATCAGTGCCTTGATGATCACGAGTTGTTCGCTTAGAAGATTGAATATAATTCGAAGAAACCATTTCGTTACACATTGAAAGTATCACGACGGCATCATTATGGTCATAATCTAAGAAAGAAGGTAGTACTCTATGTACGACCTTTGAGACAGAATCTCCCGTCGGATGCAATTACGTCATTGATTATTTTCTCGGAGGAGACATCTACGAATACAACTTACATACACGTAGCACTTGTTTCTACTAAGACGGGCTGCGTGAACTCAACTTATGTTTTACTTTGGTATATAGGGTAGTTGATGTTGTTTCGTACGTTGTGCAAAGTTGTCTCAACCTTGGATTGTCCTGGCTACAATTTCTAAATGTCAGCACGTCCAGTATCCCACTACAGATAGTGCTGTAACAGGTTGCTTCGGGGAGACTAGGACACCTAACTCTCAAAGACTGAGCGGCTTTCGGTGCAAGGCCGCCCCTATTGTGTAAATGTCGTCCGCTCCGTACGGCTTGCGACCGCCCCCGTGTTCATGACTAGGACCACTATGTCGTTGGTTCACTGGTAAGCTTGTTGCCTACCGAGGATTCTCATTGGTGGAGAGACAGAGCCGGATACGAGATTGCTCGGCACTCCACGCCTAAACCCCTGTATCATATTAGATGTGGAAGCTAAACACTATCACAATGCCCCACGGGTTTCATATCCTCCTGTGCTGATTATGCCAAGGGACTCAAAGACGCGCTCTGTGTTGCTCGAAAAATACCTACATACAGACTCTGGCAATCCTACCTTTACGGAGTATGTAACCATGCAACTGACGCTTGTACTACTCAGTGCTAGGAAGTAATATCACAGCAACTGCTAAACGACCAACCGCTTATCCGGGTTCCGGGAAGGCCGGTTCACACCGAGAGCCCGCCGTCAGGGCATTCGTACGACAATCTGGCGCTAAAATATCTCGAACCGACCCTGACACAGTCGCTGACCATGATCACAACATCCAAGTGCTCCTTCATAATCAGTTTGCTACAAGATGTGGTGAGACTCCAAAGCCGCGCATGATGCTCACTGTTAGTATTGCTACATTGATATCGACGAGGGATCATCTCATTTTAATATTACTAGATGTAGGTAGATTGCTTCAGTAACGTCTGCACCAATTGACATTGTCCCTTGTGTATGAGCGGAACCTCGCCCACGATCGGACTTTACTGACCAGCTGAGTGATTGAAAATGAAGATGCCTCCCCCGGTCCTGCCCACAGCGCCCTTGTCTCGGAGATATTCGACCACCTCTTCATGTCCGCCTGCCATAGCCCCCTGGATCGGCGTCTGGCCTCTGCGATTGTAGCTTGAATTGACGTCCGCTCCGATGCCAACAAGCTTTTTCACAATCTCAATGTATCCCTTCTCAGCAGCTGCGTGTAAAGCTGTTCCATCGCCATCGTAGCCTCCGCCAGACGCCTGCACATCTGCACCGGACTTGAGCAGCAGGTCTACAATTTCCGGGCTCCCTTGCAAGCATGCTCCCTGAAGAGCCGTGATGCCTTTGTACCTAGCCGATGGGGCATTTACCTGTGCTCCATTTTCCAGCAGCAGCTGCACGACTGCCACAAACCCGCCCCTAGATGCCGCCTGTAACGCCGTGCGACCGGCGATTGGCGACGGAGGGGCGTTGACCTCTGCCCCGAGTTCTAACAGCAGCTTTATGATGCTGAGATGGCCGCGTTCCGATGCTGCTTGCAGTGCAGTTCTTCCATTGTATCGAGCGACGGCGAAAGTTTTAGGTGCTGATTGAGCTGTTTGGTGGGTTTGCGTCAGCACACGGATGCCGTGGTTCGTCGCCGGACTCATGTTGATCTCGGAACCCGCGGCCAGGAGCATTCGCACAACTTTTTCATTCCCTTGCCCACAGGCAATCTGGAGGCCAGTGCGCTGGAAGTTGTTCCCGCCACAGAAGTGGACATCTGCTCCAGCATCAAGTAAACATCTTACTATATCTTCATGTCCCTGCATGCAAGCAGCTTGCAAGGCCGTCTGGCCATAGTAGCCACTTGGAGGGTCGTTCACAGATGAGGGGTTGGAGGCGAGGATCTCTTGGACGATCTGTAGCTCTCCACTTCTAGCGGCGAGTTGCAGGGGTGTCCAGCAGTATTCATCAATGTCGTCGGTGGGCAATGAAGGATCCCACGCTGCATCCAGCGGCGACAAGAGTATTTGGTGCTGTGGTTGCGCTACCAATGGGGTCTCAATATTTGTTTCAGTCATCTTGGTTTCGCGAATAGTTTGCTAGAAGACTGAGAAGAAGGCAAGACTTTGCGTCGCAAGAGTTTAGCCAGAAGGGAAGAAATTGATCACGAGCGGGCTCAATGAGTTAGTTGAGTTATCCGACAATCCCCTCTCTTTATTAACACGTGCACTTATGAATCCTTCGCGGCTTATCGTCTGTAGTATTGCGCGCCTTTGCTATGATACCCGCCCCTTTTTCATGTAGTCACGGACGCCCAACTAAATAATGCACAACAACGATGAGTGTTGCGGCGCATTTTCTTCAGTCTTGTTGCGCATGAAGTGGAAAACGCTCTGGGACGGACCGAGCAAATTGCTCCCTGAGTTTGCTTCGCAGCATCTGTCATTTATTGAGATTTCTCACTTCAAGTACGGATGCTGATATAGTCATTGTGCTTTACGAGTTCTATCACCAGCAAATTCCTATAATATGTGCTCTTTATTGGAGTAAATGATACTAAGGTAGGCCATCCGGCAGTGCTAACACAATCCGTAGTACGTCGACAGGATCTATTAAGGCTCAACTAGAGCAATTATGAAGAAGGGGAAAACTCTCTCTTTACCCCTGTATAACCGGAGAAAAAATTGTTGTCAATTGGATCTTAAGCTCGCGCCAAACCAGTGTCTGCTTGTGTCTATAGATGCAAGTATGCGTTTCCACCCTGCCGCTCTCCCAGCGTCACAAATTGCTTCCCAAACTCTATCGCTTCACCCCCTTGGCAATGAAAAATGGCTTAAACTTGGATGTCTGGCAAGTACCATGCTGAGGGACATTGGAAACATGCGGCGTGGTGTCGGGGTACAATTTGTAGCCAAAGCTTTCAGGAGTGAAGCCAGCTTCGGCCAGAAGAGCCTTCATGTCTTCAGGCTCAAATCCCCCATGTTTAGAAATTGTGTGATGAGATGAAACTGCGCCATGAGAGTGGCCGTGGGAATGGTCATGAGAGTGGCTACCCCCAGCACAATCGGTGTGGCCATGAGAGTGGTCGTGGGCATGATCGTGGACGTGAGCCTCTGGTGCCAGATCAACGACGACCAAAACACCACCGCTGCGCAGCCGTTCGTAGAGGCCGGATATAACGCCGACTTGGTCACCCATATGGTGAAGGGCCATGCTTATTGCAATGACATCGAAGTCGAAAAACTCTTCCGTAGCCAGCACAGTGTTCGTCGATATGGCGGGTATGGAGCCCTGAACGGCAACCATGAGACCAGGCGGAACACCCGACTGCTGAGCCATCTCGTTGTAGGCCGCCACACTGGCATCGGAAATGTCGATCCCTTTGATGACGTCGAATTGTCCCAGGAGCGCGCTCGACACCATACCGTAGCCACAAGCATAGTCGAGAAGTTTCACGGGGGGGCCGCTCTCGGATCGACGGCGAATGCCCATCCACTCGACATTGTCGGAGAGGGCATCACCAATCTTCTTGGCGAAACTAAGCATCCATTGTGAGCCGAATATCTTGTTTCCGTGAGTGCTGTTCAAAGTTAGCTTATTTCTGAGCAATGTGGCGTCCGGACACTAACTTCCAGAACTCGCGGTTCGCTGCCGCCAGATCCTCTCTTCCTTGCTGGCCGTTTTCCATTTCGGAGAGCAATGATGACTTGTGTGTTAAATGTGATAAAGAGAGTGACGATTTAGCCATTATATACTTAGGTAGTGAGGAAACAAAGGAGAAGAAATATCGTGGTGAAAGTCTCCGGAAAGGGTCCGCATAAGTACGCGAGGGCCAAGTAGCTTGTGGAAAGTGAGTTTTGTGTCACTTTCCTCTGCGCCAATTCAGGTTCAACGAATGATAGATTATTGGCCATTTGCATCCGAGTGTTCACAATTCTCTTGTTTTTTTACGTCAGTGCGCTGGTATTAAATATGCTGGTATCCCGTTGTTGGTTGCACCGGCAACAAAGGGGATCTGCAGAAGCTGTCGCGATGAAGCAGAGATGGCACGATATTATACAGTGATGTCAGTTTTCACAGCGGTAAGACTTAGAGAATTTAGTTGCAATAAGCAGACTATTAATCGCATGAAATTGAAATCATGAGGCATAGCGCTGTGATACGAGAAGGGCGGAGGAGAAAGGTGAATTGGAGTTTTTGGTGATACACTAGCCTAAGTATTGTAGGAAAAACTAAACTAACAACGCCCGTTTACACGAAAAGACGAAAAGTGGTTGGCATTAGATCTCCATACTTGAATGCTACAACCACATATCCATTAAAATCTCATGCATTTCCAAAATGAATGCATATATGTATCTTGCGCCGCCGTGGGGTGAGCTGCATACATATGCGAGGCTGGGTGGACCAACTCAGTCCTCAATGTGTCCCACCTACCATTCTGGGCCTTTTAAATCCAGCGGTAGCCGTAGCATTCGATGGCCATCTTCAGTTGGAGTGGGCAGCCGCCCTCCTCGGATGTTTATCTGGAGAGACTGGTGGAGCATCCGTGGTGCTGCCAGTGTAGCATCACGTTCATTTCGCATGGTAACAAATTCCTTTTCTGTGATGCCGTCCTTGAGATGCTTGTTTTGCTCTCTGTGTTCGTGAACAGTCATGTATGCCCTGGGGCCGCTGCGTCCTTGCGGGGGATAATCATGGCCAGTCCATATCTTGACATTATCTGGCAAGCTGAGCAGCTTGCGACCTGATGAGTAGAGACTGTCGGCGCTGCCGCCAGGGAAATCGCAGCGCGCAGTGCCAATATCGGCATTGAAAACAGAATCACCACAAAAGACGTTATCTGGAGGCGGTAGTCAGTAACCTAGAATAAGCTGTAGTTAAAAGTAGTGGCATCTTACCTCCGACCTTGTATCCCATATGATCAGGAGTATGACCAGGGAGATGCATCGCCATGGCTTGTAGATCACCAATCTCAAATTTCTCGTCATCGTCGAGAAGATGATCAAAGACGACTCCATATTGTTCCTCTGGAACCCCATATCGCTGGCCAAAGAACTTTTGCACTTGACCAATCCGCTTGCCAATAGCAACGGATGGACTGTATCCCTGCTCCTGACCCAGGCGGCGCTGCAGGTATGATGCCGCGGTGAGATGATCTGCATGGACATGGGTTTCTAATACCCAGTCGACCTTGTATCCCTTCTCCTTGACCAGGGCTAGCAATGAGTCGGCGGTGCGTGTTGTAATGCTTTGAGTTGCGCGATCATAGTCCAAGACAGGATCAATTATGGCAGCGATGTTTGTGGACGGGTCAGCCACAACATACTGCCATGTACCAGTATCTTGTTCAAACACGTCATGAATGATGGGCTCCGTGGCCTTTTGAGACGCTGTGGTGGACGACATGTTTCTAAATGTGCTCAAGGTTTGAGGTTTCCCAACACTTGCCGTGCTGCTTGAGACTAATCCAGGGCGGAATGATGAATATCTGCGGTTTTGACCAAGGGGACGAATGTTGCAGCTGCTGAAGCACCTGGTATGTGATAAAGGACGCGTTGCTGAAGTTGGAGTGAGATTCAAGTCTGCTGCCAACTGCTTTCTGCAGGCCGGAATTCGACATCGAAGAGACATTCTAGATGTTTTATAGCCCGTGTTGTGTGATGGTTGTTGTCGCCCTCCTTGTCTTACCTTGCGTCAGCTCAAGAGGGATGCAGCTCAAGAGCCCGGTAGTGACGGGGACGTGTTTAATAACCTAGAATCGAATTGCCGTGTCTGAAGCCCGAAAGCTGAGGTCATGCCACATCTCATCCGAGCTGCTCCGTGTGTTCGGCGAGTCACGCTCGAGGTCGGCGATCCTCTCAAGTATGCTTATCCCGTCAGCGCCGCCACCGAGTTCCGGCCGGAAGATGGCTCTTGGCCAGTCGCCGGATCTTGGGCCACCTTCTCGGCTCGTCGCTACGGGCGGCCGGTAAATCCTCGGATCTGTTGCATTTCTGATGAAGGCCGGAAGTCGGGGATTGGAGACGGCTGGCGGTGGTTAGTCGATGGCGCGATCGGTGATTATTCATCCTGGCCTGCAGAGCTTTTGTTGAAGCTTGAGTTTTAAGTTTCTTGGATACTTTTCTTTCTTACAGGGCTTATTCTCATCTTGTTTTCTTCTCTGGGTGGTTTACTTTTCTTCTCTTTGCCTACTCTTTTCCTTGGTGGTTTTACTTCTTCATCTTCACCATGTTCCAAGCACGCTCAATGTCTCTAGCTTGCCGAGCTGCCAGCCGTTCCGCTTCTCGGAGCTTCGCAACTGTTTCCAATGTCTCTCCTGGCCGGAGTCATCGAGTTGTTGTAATTGGAGGCGGTGCCGCTGGCCTGGATATTAGCCACAAGCTCCTTCGATCTGGCAAATTCTCCCAGGATGACATTGCTGTTGTTGATCCCGCAACGTGGCACCATTACCAGCCCGGGTGGACCCTCGTGGGCGGTGGTCTCAAGACCAAGGAGGAGCTGCGAAGGCCTCTAAACAGCCTTGTTGACCCCAGGTTCAAATTCTATAACGACAGCGTTGCTGGCTTCTCACCTGATGATAACTCAATTACACTGGGCAAGGGCGACAAAGTCACCTATGAGCAGCTGGTTGTTGTACCTGGCATCGAGATTAACTATGGTAGCGTCAAAGGCCTCTCCGAGGCTCTAGCGGACTCAAGAAGTTCCGTCTCGACCATTTACAACTACGACACGTGCGACAAGGCATACGACACTATTCAGAGACTTCAGAAGGGCACTGCCATTTTCACTCAGCCTGCAGGACCCATCAAGTGCGCAGGCGCTCCTCAAAAGATCTTGTGGCTCGCTCTGGATTACTGGAAGCGCGCGGGTCTCTATGACCCCAGCAATCCCTCCGGCTCTGCCATCCAAATCAGCTTTGCCACCGGAATGCCTGTCATGTTCGGCGTTGCCAAGTATAACGCCGCGCTGGAACAGCTCCGCAAGGAGAGAGGAGTTGAGGGATTATTCCAGCACGATCTCGTTGCCATCGACGGCAACAAGGCCACTTTTGCTCTGCCGGATGGAAAGGAGGCCGTCACAAAGCAGTTTGATCTTTTGCACGTTGTGCCCAAAATGGGTCCTCATGCCTTCGTTAAGAACAGTGCTCTGGCGAACGAGGCTGGTTATGTTGATGTTGATGACGGCACAACTCGCCACAAGAAATACCCAAATGTCTGGTCTGCTGGCGATGCATCCAGTCTTCCCACATCCAAGACTGCGGCCGCCATTACTTCACAGACACCCGTTCTCGTTCAAAACCTGTTGCAGACTATGGAGGGCAAAGCCGCCGAGGCAACCTATGATGGATATGCCTCATGTCCTCTGTTGACGGAATACGGCAAGGTCCTCCTTGCTGAGTTCAAGTATGGAGGAGTACCAAAAGAGACTTTTGGCGACTGGTTTGGTATTGACCAGGCAGTTCCTCGGAGATCCTTTTACTACCTGAAGAAGAACTTTTTCCCGTGGGTTTACTATAACCACATGGTGAAGGGAACCTGGGGAGGACCGAAAGGCTGGTCCAACTAGGTAGCCAGCTTCTTGTAAAAGACACAAATTGTATTCTAGGTCATTTAAAAGCACTGCATTTACAAATTTATAACGATTCAGCCGTATGCATTTGTCCCAACTCAGAATGTCCTTTTCTTAGCGCTATGCTAATCTCTCGTCTGGCGCTCATAACTGTCAGCTGGTTGGGCCAGCAAACAGTCACAAGAAAAAATAGCCAAGGTCGAGATCACCCGAATATGGCATAAAATAATTTAAGTTACTTTACCAGAGCGCAGAAGGATTCAAGGCCTGTCCATTGTCTCACACCCAAAGACTATTGCATGAAATTTGGCTTGTAAAATGAATGCCGACCGAGCTAAGGCAGGGTGGGTTACTACGAAAACTCATAACCCGATGAATACGATACTCAGCCTCACATTGCCGATAAGTGACAAAACAACGGATCAGGAGGTGATAAAACAGGGAATTATTTAAATTCGGTGTGAATATCTTCCATATTAAAAGTAAATTACTCTGCATCATTTCTCAAAACACAGTTCGAGTTGATTCCCACGATATAAAGACCTGTTTCTTGGTTATCGGCAACCTCGCTAGACTGTCGACACCAAAACACCCCTATTATTTACTTGAAACCAAATGGCCTTAAATAACCCAACTGTTGGTCAGGAATACGACGAAATCAAGGGAGATGAAGAACATATTCTTCTTCTGCCAGGAGGCAGACAGTTGGCCTACACTTACAACGGTCCTACCACTTCCCGGACCATTGTCATATTCTTCGTCGGAATCATGAGTGTCGGCACATCTGCTCACGTCCCTGAGCCGTTTCGTGAGAAACAGGCTCTTTGGATCTCCCCAACGCTCTCGGGCATGGGAAATTCGAGCAATCGCGATCACTCAGTGCCGTACCATATTACGTTGGCTAATGATATGAATGCACTTCTGAGTCACTTTTATCCCACCGGAGACTTTGACGTTTTATATCTTGCAGGTGGTTCATACGGCACTGTTCAAGCGCAAATGCTATACGGCGCACCATATGACCTCTTTCCCTTTGGTCGAAAAATTGTCGGCTGTCTTTTGCTCAGCGGCTTCTCTCCGCTCAAGTATCATGTAGGATACGCAAAGAAAATTAACTGGCACAATTGGTTTTCTTTCGGGCCGCCAACGAGAATCATCCCATTCCGTTTACTGCAGCATCTGTTCAAGATTGCCATTGGATCTAAGCTGCACTCTGTCGACGGCGCAACGCATTTTCTCAAAGACGCGATATTCGACAAGATGGATCACGAGGAGAAACAAATATTTGACGAATGGCTGCAAAAGAACGACTTCACAGAACATACAGTTATTCGCGAAATGGCAGAACGCACGGTCAAATGCTGCAACAACTGGGATGGTTTCATGGAAGTATCCGACATCATTCATTCTGACTGGGGATTTGATCCCCGTACTTTGGACGCAGAGCACTCTACAAAGCCCGTGCTGGTTGTGGGATCTAAGAAGGATTACATCGGAGGAGGGACTAATGATTGGCTTGTAGCCAACTATAAGTGTGCGAGGCTCAAGTTGTTACCTGGAGGCCACATATCATCGTTATTTTTCATGGATGAGATATCCAAGGAGATGATTGAGGATGCCTGCCGCATCTGAAAAGTGTAACCGAATGAATTCAATAGTTGTGTTACATAATACTACAGTACAACTTTGCTAAGCTTACACAAACATCCGTCGAGGAGACCGAACAGCCGGGGAGAAGCCCGGCTTCGGACGGCTAGCTCCAAAATCGTGATTTGCCATCTCACCGACGGTGAAGAGAAGAAGGTGTACTGTGTATGAAGGCTGACAAATGCGGATGTATGTCACCCATCTTCTTGAGCTTGCCTGCAGTTAGCCTAGTCAAGCCAGCCACAGTTGAATTGCTAGACCTTTTTTGCGACGTTAGTTCGAGGGCCGTGTAAGACGATTAGTGGCACAGACGTATTTACCCAACCAACAAGATGAACGGGATCACGGTCAGTTGGGCATTGTTTGCGCGAAATAGTCTCTGCTAGACTCGTGGTGGGCTGACTCGCTTTCTCGCTAACTTGTCATTTATCTAGCAAAAGAGTCTCCACTTGATGTATTCACACAATGAGAGTAGTCATAAAATATTCACACTGTCCCATCAGATGCGGAACTTTCCATCTCTTGCCGGCCTCGTTTTCTGGTTGCTTGGGTAAATTATGTTCGTGGCTATCATCAATAGTAGACACAAACTTTCAGCAAAGATGCCATTGGAAGTCGAGACAGGAAACCTAGCGGCGTGTATAATTCTGGGTAAAAGGGTTGAGGGTTAGGTCACTCGAGCATAGAGTGAATCGATCACAAGGATGGAGCAGTCAAGGTAATTATATGATTTGAAATATGCGCTGGATCTAAGCGCAATATGTATTCAAGCCTGTCGTGTCAAACGAGTGTAGGCAGGTTCTATAAAACTTTGTACAAGAATATTTGTAATGATATATAGTTGGACAATTTATATACGGATGAAAGAAGGACCATATATAAATCTCAATAACAAAAGAACGCAACCTCTATAAGCCATGCTTATGAGATATCAAGCCATTTAGTGGCAGGTGCTGGTAGCAAGGGTCCAACCAGTGAGACGGTTGGCGACGTCAGAAGCGTAGCAAGCAGTGCTGCCCAGGCCATTGTCGAGGTTGGTGTAATCAGCAGATCCGCTGTTGTACAGACGAGAAGTGGCATAGTAGGCCTGGCTACCCTTGTTGCCAACCTTGCCCTCAGCCTGAGACAGGAGCTTCTCAAGGCCAGGGCCCTCGGAGGTGCCAGCAACACCGTCGTTGATCATGAGGCTGATGGTGGATGAGGGGCAGGGGTTGATGCCGAAGCAGCTACCGGCTCCGTTGTGGGACTGCATGAGACCGGGGTTGGTGACACCGTTGTTAGTGGTGGGAACACGGACGCAGCCCTTGCTCTCCTGCATCATGATGGCGAGGATGAAGCGCTCGTCGACACCGGTGGACTTGGCAGTGGACTTGATGGCGTTGGCGATATCCTGGATCTCGGAATCAGAGTCATCACCGACCCAGCCGTTCCAGACGCAGGACTTCTGCATGAGGGGAACGTTGGCGTCCCAGAGCTCATCCCAGGTGCCCCAGGCATCCTGAGAAGGCCAGCCAGCGGCGGAAGATCCGTCACCCTGGTAGAAAGTGTACTTGTCTGCGATGCCACGCTTGGTTGCGCTGCTGGTGGCAGGAAGAGCAGAGCCGACGGCGGCAAGGCCGGTAACAATGATGGCAATGTTGGCGAACATTTTGAAGTGTTGATTGAGATATATATGGAAGAAAAGGAGAGAATGGACTATTTGAGACCAAGGGTATCAATGGTTGAATTTAGAAAGAAAGGAGTGTTTGAAGGAAAGTGTTGAAGTAAAGGAATGGAAGTAGAATGACTGGATGAAGGAAAAAGAAAACAGTCTGGAGAGAGGAAATTACTCTGCCTTTTATACATGAATCCATCTCCATTGATGCCTACATTTTCCTAGCGGAAAATGTCGTCCACGCACGATCCGTACTGAAGCAGGAAGGCAAACGCCATCTTTTAGAACAAGAAAAGAAGAAGAAAATTCTCTCAAGATGGCAAATGGAAGGGCCGAGAGGGAAACTGCAGTAACAATGAGAAGGCCGATATGCGAAGAGCGACACCGAGGGCCATGCCCCGGCATAAACCCATAAACCCCTTGGTAGCGTCGGGGGCCAATCTAAAAACGCCACCCCAAGGGTCCTTTCCCAAACGAAGGTCCGGCTTGCAGCCGACTCGTTGGCAGTGGATACAAAGGATTCTTGTAGCGTGAAATCCACGTGGGATGAAAGGGGAAAATGTCGCAATCACCCGCTGTCAATTGTCGTGGAATATCTGTTCGTGATTCTACCGCAGCTTCGACGAGCCGTGTAAGTCAACCTTCTTCACATATCTCGCCCATAATGAACATCTCTGCTTCGAGAATTCTCCTTTGTCTGAAATTACCGACTGTTCTATCAAAATTAGAAAAAGAGAAAAACTATGCAGTGATAGAGGGGTTGTTATTCATGACATTGTATATCAAATCCATACTAGTAGCATGTCGCCAACACCCAACACTGAAATGTTCCTGAACGGGGGTTTCAGAATCTTTCTATGTCAACCTGTGCAGTGGCGTTTAGAAGGCCACTAGAATGGACAAGTGGATGCGCAACTGGCGAATCGGTGTTGGTGAATCCCACAATCCTGCGCGAGGCGTCAACGTTCTCGAATTAGAGGCGCCCTCAGTCATTTGTTCCTGGCTAAATGGGCTCCCCTGATTTTTTTTCTCCGACACCAAACCGATGGGTTATCGGTCCTGGGTCGGGAGCACAAATCGGGAACACGATTCATACCTTTTCATTGTGAGCGAGTCATCCATTCAACTAGAAAGGTTCTGGAGGACAATGGTCGGCGATGGCGCCTTCTAGATGGAGAAGTAGCCAGGGGAAGTTTGGCGCCTCGAACTGGAAAGACAGTTACGCCCTTCTATGGCATCACAATGACCATTACACTGTTCTTTCGAGAAGGATATTCGTAAGGTTACGCTCTAAAAAATTTCTCAGCTTACTCTGTGTGAGTTCAGATGATTCAAGCGCCTGGATGGGATGAAAATTTTCGGCTTATTGGCCCCAGATTGAGAGGGTCTACTCAGATTCGGGAATTTCTTACCCATACTGGGGTAGAGAGCGGACCGAAGGTGCCGGAGTAGCTAATGCAACGAGGCCCGAGGCCGTCCTCGTATTCACGAAGATCATACAGGGAACCTCGTTGTAAAGAATCTGGGGTAGGGAGCACGAAATCGACCGTTGTTACAGATTCTCGGGAGATCGCGTTACTTACCGTTGTTAGACGATGCAAATATCTGCTCGAACCACTTCTTTCCACTTCCATCGCAACGTGTTGGCGATATCACCGATTATGACAGATTATACTGGCAATATGCGCTTGACAACACCTACAAGGCATTTCCGGATCTCCGACGTTGCCACGGTACATGGAAAATTTTCCACTGCTACATCATTGCTCGCGTGACGAAATCGGCCAAAACTGGCACTCGTTTTTGCATAACTCCATTCACCGAGAGCAAATTTTTTGCGAGTCCTATTGAACCATTTGGCGACTTGACAGGCGCCCCGTGGCGTTTGCCCCTGGCCAGTTTTGCCCGAACAAGAGACATTATGTCTGGCATGGTTCCTTATTCGGCAGAACCGATTACAGTGTCAACGCCACTCAAGCAGCGCCTTCTAAGGGAGGGTGTCCAGGGCGGTAAAATTGAAGTGAGGCCTCTTAAGCGCGCTTAGTATGAGCGTACTGTACGGAGCCCAAAGAATTTCGAAGCCATCGAGAAGAAGAGGAGACGTAGTGAATAACCATTACCGAATACAGTAATTCAGCCCGAAAAGTTTTACACAAAAGACCTACAGTGTGTGTTCCCTTAAATACGGTATGCGGAGCATTTTCCAGTATTGGGCCAACCATCCACCATTGTTGCCTCCCATTCGCTAGCGTGTCCCATTTTACTGATGAAAGGCAAATGCTATACTCCGTACGCTATAAATCTTTTCAGAATGTCACTCGGCGGATGAACGGAATCAGTCAAAACTGGAATCAAGTTGAGCAAAGGGAAAAAAGAGGCGAGCAAACTTGAAGATAGAGGAGCACCGGCTACAAAGGCCGGCCCGAAGTAAATCCGAATGTCTATCCAATCATATAGCATGCTTTGGCGTTTGCAAAATATAATGATGGAAATGGATTACCAATCCCTAGACAAAGACACAGGTGTGGTATGCTGTATTTCCCTCTTCAGGATAGGTAACCAGTCTACTTCTCTTCTTCTTCTTCTTTTAAGCAAAATAGATGAAATAAGAAGAATTATCCATTGATCTTTTGTTATTTTCTTTTCTGCATACATACTGCGAATATCACTTTGGACTGTTAACAACGTGAGCTTATGCTCTCGCCAATCTCCCAGTATAGGGTATTGACTTTCACGTTGACTAATGCGTCGGTCTTCATATTACGGATGTTGATACATGCAAATGCGTATCTAAAATGTCGAGATTAGGTGTCATGCGTCGCGAATTGCGTTTCAAAGACTATGAAATGAAAAGCAAAACTCCTCAGCAGCATTGCTTCCATTTTTATGGGCACTAATAGGGCTAAGGCAAGGTTGGGTTATTATGGCATCTACTTCTTTCGCTGCTGCAGCGCTATAGAAACAGACAACGAAATAGAGTAATTTCAGCTTCAGCGGAGATGCTAATGGCCAAGCCCATCTTGATCATTTACTTTTGTCTCATCAGGTTTTTGTCTTTTTTTTCTCCTCTTCTCCTCTCCCATTCTTTTGCTCTCTACTTTACCAATTGATCAGCTGAATCAATAGTCACGGCACGCTTGCGGATTTAAGTCCGCAGCATGGTCGCCGCTCGGCATCACTGACTCACAGAATCAATTGCGGACATCAGGCCGCATAAGTCACCTCCAAATAATAATCAGGATGCTCCTTTCCCCATGTTAACATGGAGTTATTTTGTCGTTTCCTAAGGTCTGCGCTTTCATCTTCAATTGATCCGCATCAAGCTTATTGAGAGTCCGCATCCAGAAAGAGTAAAAGCGGCTGACAGCTGACAACTTTTAGCGAAAAAAGGTCTAGTGAACAAGAGGCGGCGCATTTCGAGAAAACACAAACTCCGCCCCTTCTGTTGTTTCTTGGGGTAATTCCCACAATTTCCAACTCATGCCGAGGCCTGATCGCTCTTCTAAGTAGCATTCGATGACACAACATGGAATCCGGAACTCATCTTAATCCCGATAATGCAGTTCAGGGGATGCGGAGGAATTGAATTATTGAATTGCTCCTTGATCTATTGGAAGATCCCAATGACGAAACAAGGAGCATCTCTATGTATATATGGGACTCTTCCTCTTGTCTTCTAGATATTCTTGAAATCGACAACTAGAAACATCTTAGCACTGAATAAGACTTTAAACAATCTGCCATGAAGTCCACACTGCCGTTCGTTTCTTGGCTAGCCTTGGCCAAAGGCGCCATCGTTCATCAGCAACCGCTACCAACGGTAGACCTTGGTTATCAAGTCCACCGAGCAATCTCATTCGATGTAAGACTTTAGAATAGAGTTTTACATAGCGGGAGCGTTGCTGACCATCCATATAGGAAACCATTAAAGCCTACAACTTCACAAACATTGCCTTTGCCGAGCCTCCCCTAGGTTCTCTGAGGTTCAATGCGCCGGTTCCACCCAAAGGACGTAAATCGGGCATTCAAGATGGAAGTGTTGGCAAAGTCTGCCCACAGGCGTTTCCTAATTGGCTGGCAATGTCCTCGGTATTCACTACGGCTTTTGCTGCGAACCAGACGTCATCATTCAACGTGACGCAAACAGAAGAGTTGCTCTCTCAACTACCACCACAGGCGCCTGATGGTCGAACTACAGAAGACTGTCTTGTTCTAGACGTTTTGGTCCCACAAAAGGTGTTCAATGCGAAGCGTAGTAAGGCTAGCAAAGGAGCCCCGGTTTTGGTATGGATATATGTGAGTAGCACTGCCGTTATTAGACTCTTTAAAAGAGACATTAGACTGATACTTTGGCTAGGGTGGTGGATATATCCTTGGGGATAAGACAATGATGGGGGTCCCGAATGGAGTCATGGCCGCAACTCAAACAAAGGGTAGCGACGGCGCCATCTGGGTTGCTATGAATTACCGTCTTGGCGCTTTTGGATTTCTCTCTGGCCCCACGTTTCTGGAGCAAGGTGGCGTTGCGAACGCTGGGCTTTTAGACCAGAGACTTGCACTTGAATGGGTTCAGAAGAATATCCACTTGTTCGGAGGAGATCCCGATAACGTAACCGTTATGGGTGTTTCTGCTGGTGGCGGATCGATCATGCACCAAATCACGGCCTATGGCGGGCAAAAGCCTGCTCCCTTCCGTCGAGCTATCCCCCAATCGGCCGGCCTTGTCCCAGTACCTGGAAATAAGAAAGCAGAGCAGGCGTTCGATGGGTTCCTCGAGCTTCTGAACGTTACGACGCTGGCTGAAGCACGGGCCTTGTCTTCGGAGAAACTGATAGCTGCGAATGCGAAGCAAGTCAGCACTGCTCCCTATGGCGTTTTTGTACATGGTCCAACGGTTGACGGATCTTTTGTGCCGGGAATGCCCTCAAAGTTGTTTCTCCAAGGCTCGTATGCTAAGGATATAGAGATCATTTCCACTTTCAACGCCAATGAGGGAGTGCTGTTCACCGACCCTGCTGCCTATAACGACGAGACGTTATTCAGGAAGCAGATTCAAGACATCTTCACCACTTTATCTAGCGATGATGCCGACTTTATCTTTGAGACGCTTTACCCTACCAAATACGATGGATCTATGCCGTACACCAATTCCTTAGGGCGAGCGCAGTTAGTCATTGCCGAAGCTTCATTCTTTTGCAACCAAAACGCAATGGCCAAGGCTGCCCAAAAACAAGGCGTGGCTGCATTTGGGTTTCAAAACTCCATCTGGCCAGCAATCCATGGATCTGACCAACGTTATCTTTTCCCTTCAGGCCCGACGACAGCTGCGGACGCCCAAGTTTCGAGCGTTATGTGGGATATCATTGCTGGATTTGTCAACAATGGCTCCCCGATCAAACCACCAGTTCACGGCGTCTCGATTCCGGCATACGGGAAGAGTGATTCTATTCTAAATTTGCGAGATAACGCTTACTCGATTATTCGCGACCCAACGACAAACGCAAGATGCGATTGGTGGCAAAAGGCCCTGTACTACTGATCGATCTTTTATGCTTATGCTGGAGTAGATATCCAGCATCCTATTTACTCCAGTGCCAAGTGCCAAAACAAGAAGGAAGCGCCTTTTGTCTGACATGCATTGAATCACGGCAAAAAGAGTTGGATATAACCTCGGCATCATTTAATAGCTGGGTTGACATTCAGACTCTGGAAGCTTTTCTTTTTTCTGAGGCACCAGAACCTGGCGTAGTAGAAAGCAGTGTATTTGTACTTGTTATCTCATGTTTTTTCTTCTTTGGTTTACTATAGATCTAAGCTTAGGGTAGCGGCGAATTAATATGTCTTTGTATGCATAAGGTTGTGAACCGTTCTATCTAGCCGCGCCAGAGTCATCTACAGGGAAGAGAGCTAACCTCTCCTTTTCCCGCTTCGGCAACTCGTCTATGTCTAATGATGATGCCCCGCGTAATTGAAGTTCGAGATCTCTTAGCTCTCGTAAGAAACCCGGATTGGGCGATGCCTGTGGACGAGCGCGCACAATCTGACCTAGCGCTACTCTCAATGACATGTTTTGATGCTTCATCAGGTATGCCGTAACAACTGCTGGAGACCGTGATATGCCGGCTGAACAGTGTACCAAGATCCTTCCCGTGCCGTTGTTTGACTGCAGCGCCGTCTCAATGATGTCGCAAGCAGTGTCACAAATCTTGGCAATTGACGAAGATGGAGAGTCGGTGATGCTTACGCGGTCGTAAACAACTCCTGGGACCTTACTTGACGGGCTAGCGCCAATGCTCAAGACATGCGATATTGAGTTTGTCTGCAGCAATTGGACAGATGAGGCTGCAGAGACCGGCCCGATAAAAATAGATGGAGGGAACACCAGTGAAGTGGAGTTGTGTTTCTCTCGCTTGCCCATCTCGACGAGTTAGCAAGCAACACGAAAGAGGACAATCGTCATTGCCGATTGTGGTGAAATGTCGGGCTCAAAACGCGGCAAAGGCTCAAGCTCAGCATCCGGCTTGCAATGCATTCAAAAATGACACGCATCCATGTATCAAAGATTACACGTACGTGCATGCAAAGCCGTGGATAGCCGATACTATAGTCTTCTGCTTCAACTCTTCAAGAAACCAAGTTGAGTAACAGGTGCGCTTCACGACCCGGAGATTTCTCGAATCTGCGAATGAGTATGCTTATTCCAAAATTGAGCTGGCATTCACCGATGTTCTCTGCCTACAACATAGGCTGAGGCGGCCAAAGGTTACCATGGTCCAATCATCTTCAAGCTAGAAATGGACCCAAGGGCTAGCAATGCCACGGAAACATGTCCGGACTTTAAACAGTAATTATGCCTCACCGTCTTTATCTAGATTTGAACTAAACTCTTGATGTAACATCCGTCCAAAGACTGACAGGCGGGAAGGAATTCTTTGAACTCCACCGAAGGATTCTGTCACCCTGCGGATGTAGCGGCCAAGGCGGCTTCTCATCTTGGCATGGAGATCATGGTCAGGGGCCCTGACGGATTTCGCTGGCAGTTCCCAAAGAAAGCTGACTCGCAGCTTGTTTTCCGTGAGTCTAGGCCAGAAGCACATTAATCAACATGCAACAAGCTACTCCCCCACTTCGGAGTCGACGTAAATCTACGGAAGAGTTATCTGATGAATCGCATGAAACTTAATATACGCTAGTTCATCCTATCTACTAATAGGGGAACACCTGCGCTCTTAGTAGGGAGTCTATGACATTTCCGTGTCGGAAAAGGCGAGTCATCAACATCCAGAGAGCTTGCTGCTTTCACTTGTTGTGTGTCCGGAATATCCCGTACGCCAACTGTTATGCATGCATGCACGGCCTCTGAATAGGCTGCTCGTGAATGTTTCTTCTTTTGCACTGCCTATGCAGAGCTGGTTCGATGAAATTGTCAGAACGGAAACCCATTTTAGCTGACTGCAGCATTTCCTAGCCAATCATTTCAATTCTAGGCATGAGGCTACAGCTACCATGTATGCATACAACCTTGGGCTCGTATTACTACAACAACATAAGGTAGCATTTGGCTCATACCACCTTGTTTTCGTAGCTTCCAACCGTAGCTTAGCTTTGGCCTTCCATTGCTTGGTTTTCTCGCTTTACAATGTGCGCAGCGGTACAAATATGCAGCGGATCGGAACCGAGTAGTTAGCCAGGGGCGCAGAATCTGGGGGTTGGAAAATCCACAAATCATCGTCGCCCGGAAGCATCCAGGCTCTCCGTCTCCATTGCCTAAACAAGAAGCTGAAGCAATCAAGAGCCAGCCACGTCAGAATAGTGGCGCTCTACAATGCTTTATTCCACGACTTTTCTTTTTCTTTACGTATCCTTGCCAAGGAAACTCGTCGCTAGTGCAAGGAGAAACTATGCTATCGGTCCGTCGATCCAATGATGGGGTACCGGGATCCGGTTGTCGTACTATGCGACTTCCAGTTCGATGGAATCAGGAGATGGCCTGGGATCAAAGACACAACTGAGGATAGATAAAAGGCGGCTGCCGCTCCATCTTGCTTCTTTTCTGGTTCTTCCATATCCCAAATCACTTGTACTCAAACATTCTCAACAGTTTGACCAAACCGCCATCATGAAGTCCGTCGCCGCCATCATCACCACCGCCGTCCTCGCCGGCTTCAGCCAGGCTTGCTCAACTCCCGGCAACTACATCGTTACCTTCTACGGATACCCCGATAACTCTCCTGTAAATCTTCCATTGTGATTTTATATTTACGTCTGTCTAATGCTCTTATAGCCCGGTCCCGCCACTGCTCTTAACTGCGGAGGCCGCAACGGCAAGGCTGGTGGTACCGGAACCTACGCCGACCCTATTACCATCGCCACTGCTCCTGGCGAGCTCAACAACTGCGAGATTGTTTACCTTCCTCTGTTGACCAAGTATGGTCGTGTTGAAGACACCTGCGAACAGTGCACCACCGACTGGAAGAACGGCCAGCCTCACATTGATATCTGGACTGGCTCCAACTCCGTCAACGGTGGCAACAACCAGATCAACTGCGAGAACAGCCTGACTTTCGGTGGCCGCTACTCCATCGTCCGCAACCCTCCCACCAACTACGGTGTTGACAGTATGCTTCTCACTCACGCTCTCTTTAATTGCTAAAATGACTAACTGTTCTGCTAGCCACCCCTCTCTTCGTTGCTCCCAACACCTGCAACACCAACCACGTCTACCCCAGCAACCCTGCCCACTGCTAAATTAGCACCCAGCAGACTTGTATATAGCTACGGGTTTTCACTTTCGCCTGATGATAATGATTAGCTATCCTTGGTTGACTCCTGCAGCGAGTTTGCTTTGAGAGATGCTTGAACGTATATAGCCGATTGATGATTCTTGTAAATAAAATGGATTATGATCTCCTGCACTTCGAGTTCCTCGTAAATATTTTATGTCTTAGTTCCTGCACTGCAATTGCACGTTGTAAAGATCCAAATGCTTTTCTTGCGCCTTTACCAATAGTAAACTAGTGCTAATACAAATAGCTAATGTTCTACCCAGTACTTGATGCAGTTGAACTATTCTCAATTATCCCCAGCAGGTGCGCTGGCGAGTGAATGGTAATAAAGATCTATCCTCGTTCTAGGCACACTCTTGGACTGATTTGAAAGAATTGTATCCACAGCCTTGACCAGAGTATCCTCCAAAGATGTAAATCCTTCCTTCTTGCCCATCTTCTTCAGTACCTCGATACTGCGCTCATTGTCCACTTCGCCGGCGTCCACAACTGGCTCATCAACTGACTTCAGCTTAACCTTGTCTGGATACCGCTTATGAAGGATCTCAAGTATCTGTGTCCACGAATATTTCCCTGCGAATGCCAGTAGGCGCTCGCCATTCACATCATCGAGTGTTAGGGCGCCCAAGTGCAGCAGTGCCGTATCCTCAACGTCAACGTACCACTGAGGTGGTAATATCGACGGCGCTGAAGGATAACCTTTAACGGCAGCATCAATCACCGCTGAAGTACTGAGATAGCTCATGTTCTCAGGGGATATCGCAGTGCCAAAGTTCACATTCGGCACAACTGTGTTGAAGGAGAAAGCAGGTTTGTGCTCGCGCATCCAAGCAAATGCCTCTTGTTCACCACGTGCCTTGGAGGCTCCGTAGAGAACAATTCCGTGCCAACGGGGATTGCCTTCACCATTCCAGGGATTGACCATTTGCTCAATGGCTGCAGTATTCTAGGTAGTTGGACCGATCTTGTAAGGAGTGCCGGTTGTGGGGAGGGCGCACGCAGCCAGAGACGATGTTATCACAACACTTTTGACGCTGGACTCTTTGGCAGCGGCCTTCAGAAGTTGCAAATTGGATTTGATCGTGTTTTCGATGATGGCGTGGTTTTGCGGGTTCATACCCATGTCCATAGCGATATGTGCAATGCCATCCACACCCTCAATCGCCTTGTTGAAAGCATCAGGGGCATTAAGATCAGGCACCTCAATAAGTTCGAACTTGGGACCGAAATACTCCTTCATCCAGGCATTCGGGGCAACGGAGCGGACAGTGCCACGAACACGGTAGCCGCGTTGCAGGAACACTTGGACAGTGACGCTTCCAATGTAGCCGCTAGCCCCAGTAACGAGAATTAGGCCTCCCGGCGGAACTGAAGACATTGTTGGATTCGAATTAATACGATATGTGAAAGATTCTGATGTAAGCCATAGAGATGGAATCGAGATGATGGAACTGACAGCGACAGATGCATCTTAAATACACAAGATGGGAATTAAAGTGCTCGTCGACAAGCAGTCAAGGTCAAGGCGCCACACACTCCTTGATTGTGAGAAAGAGAAACTTCTACACTGATACTCCTTTCTGTATCCATCTACTCGGTTGCGATACGATCCTATCTTGCAGTCGTTTTACTCGTTTACCTCATCCGGTAACCATTCGCTCCACCGTCCAGCTTCCGGCCACTCAAGGCGGCTTCGCATTCCCGATTCGGAATGCGAGGAACACGTTCAGCTCAGCCCCGCTGAGATGGTCGAATCTAAGGCTCAGTCCGCTCCACTTGATGACTGGGTAAAATCGTTACTCCCTTCTCAATCTCCTGGTCATCACCTCGTTCTCTCGTTCTCTCATACAGGTCAATCCGACCATTTTCAGTATTCAATGTCTAATAGCAAGTCACCTGCCCTCTTTGCCAACACCATCCTGGTGTCTCGAGATGCGGGCCAAGCTCCAACACTCCAGACCATCGGAGTCATGGGCCAGGTTCGCAAGAAGCGTCCCCATAACAAAAGCCGGCGAGGGTGTGTCGCATGCAAACGACGGAGGGTCAAGGTATGTCGTTGCGGTACGTTTCCGATGAATGCCACAAGACCTCTAATAGTTTAGTGTGATGAACGTGTCCCATGTTCCAGCTGTGTTAAGCGCAACATCAGCTGCCTGCCACCGTTCCATCAACATGTTGTTGCCCCAAGTCTCTCTATACCTAGTGCCCATTTCCAGATGGACATGGATCCTCAAATAAGCCTCTTGCATCTCGAGCTATTCCATCACTGGGATGAAGAGACCCGATCAACGCTCACATTTCCCCAAATCTGGCCCGTTGTCATGCAGCGGGCTTTTAACGTAATAGCGCCTCATCCGTGGCAGCAAGGCCTATGCTAACTTGTTATAGGAGGACTTTATCATGTCCGCCATCTTATGCATTGCCGCTATGCATCTCACAAGCCTTTGCCCGCAGAGCACAAAGTACTCGCATGCGTCAATGCAGCTAATGGCCAAGACAGTCCAGCTCTTTCGGAAAAATCTATCGCGCCCTTTCACAAAAGATAACTGTGAAGCACTAATGGGGACAGCCCTTCTCATCAACTACATATCATGGTTTGACCTTGGCTTCCTGGACGGTGAAAAGGGTATCAACTCCGAAGCGAGGCTGGATCTCGCCCAAGACCAGTTGTTTCTTCTTAGCCCAGGTATCGTCCAGGTATGGTTTCAGGCCATACCTTTCTTCATCGACGATGGAAGCGTCTTTACTCAAATGATTAATCAGAATCCAAGGCTCAGCATTGAAGAGGCCTTGGTCAAACGAGGTGAGGATCCAGCACGCTTTGTAGAGCCATTTATGAAAATCTGGGACGATCCGCGCTATCAGACCTGGGGCTGCACAGCTACTGAGACAACCGTCTGTGGGCCTACGTCTTATGCTTGGCGTCTTCTCGGTGGGCTGGAGACGGAACTGTCATGTCGTAGTTCTCTGTCCCGTGCGCCGCTGCCATCATCGGAAGGTCGTGATGAAAAGAAAAAACTGGTTTACATCAGGGACGCTGTCATAAGAATTACTACCAATTATACTTTGGTCGACGAACCTGATACATCACTCACATTAGAATGCCAGTCGGCTCGCTCATCATTCGAAAACATCATACGCCGCATTTCACCTCTTCTGTGCTGCGCATCTCTCAAAACGGCGTCAGACACACCATCGCACTCCAGCATCATGCCTCAAGACGCGGATATTGAGCAGCTGTTCTATGGATTTCCGATTCTCTGTTGTGGACCATTTGCCAAACTGATGATGAGGGGTGACTCACGGGCTCTCGTCTTTCTCTTTCACTTTTATCGTGCAGCACGTATATTGCTAGATCCGAAAAGATGCTGGTGGGCGTCTATTAGGAGCGATGTCATGGAGCAGCTGATATTAACGGAGCTAAAGTCACGTCAACTCAATGTGTGCCTGCGGAGTTAGGGCTACGGAAGGAGTTAATTGTAACTGGGTCTGTTCGTTATATGTCAGCGCCACGTTAGACTTTTACGGCCGGTCATGGGCTCAGCCGTCGTCTTTGCAAGTCAAAGAACTGCATTTAGGCTGTCAGCATGAGCAGACTGGATGTGGAATCGCAGGGTTGGTAGGAGAAGAGGGGTGTGGAAAACTATTTCCTTGTCTTGAATGGCTCGAGCGCTTTAATGCGAGATATCACCAGCTAGATTCCTGAAAGATGGTCCCAGCTTTATGCCTTAGAGACTTGCATATAAGATGGGGACGATACATTCAAGAAACTAAGCTGTTGGGAGGTTAGACTCAGTTTAAACTACTTATGCTTAATGAAATAGTTATACCTTAGCTACAGAGACAATCTTATCTTCTCATTCCCCCTCGCATATTCATGAGGACATAAACTCAGTTTCACAATCTCAGCGTCTTCGTTATTTGACATGCAATCTATATTTTCTCTATGGTATTTAAGCAAACTAGCAACGCTTATTGATCTTCCTCCCACTCACACATCCACCTGTCTCATCATCTTATGTCCATGGTATTTCTGCTATACCAGTGAATCTTGGACATGTGGCCTCATTTTCACCACTCATTCACCAGGACGTATCGGAATCTAGGCTTGCCTGCGTCCAAGTCGACGATAGCCTGGTTGGCATCGCTCATAGGTCGCAGTTCCACCCATGGTTTGATTTGCTTATCAGCGGCGAGCTGCATCATTTCGCGAATCTCACCTGGGCTGCCGATACCTGAGCCGGTGAGGTTCTTGCGGCCGGCAATCAGGGCGAAAGGTCGGAGAGGGACGGGGTTCTCTGGAGCGCCAACCTGAACGAGCGTTCCGTTGAGCTTGAGGAGTGCCAGGTACTCATTTAGAGGCATCTAATAATCACAGAAAGTCAGCACAGAGCAAGAATAACAGGCAGGGGGAACTGTGTTACGTACATCCTCAGAAGAAGCGGTGGAGATGATCAGATCAAAGCGCTCCTTGTTGTTCTTAACCCAATCTTTGTCATCGCTCGTTGCAATGTAGTCATCGCATCCCAAGCTGAGAGCATCCGCCCTCTTGCTTTCTCTCCTGGAGATTCCGACAACCTCATCGGCGCCGAAAGCCTTGGCGAACAACACAGCAAAGTGGCCAAGACCACCGACACCAACAATGCCGACCTTCTTGCCAGGACCGGCGCCGTGGAACTTGAGTGGCGAGTAAACGGTGATGCCTCCGCACATCAGAGGAGCAGCAAACTCGGGGGCAACGCCCTTGGGGATCTTGACGACGAAGTGAGAAGGAGCTCGGTGATACAAAGCGTGGCCACCATATGCCTTGCCGTTGTTGCGATGTCTGGCGTTATAAGTGTTGACGTTGCCAGCGCAGTACTGCTCCAGGCCTGCATCGCAGGTTGAGCAAGGTCCGTCGCGGCCAAGGCAAGAATCACTCTGAGCACCAACACCAACAATATCGCCAACCTTGATATCACCCTCAGCCTTGGAGCCTACTCGAACTGCAACACCGACGATTTCGTGCCCAACAACGCAGGGGTACTCCGTAGCGCCCTAAAGATGTCTCGAGTCAGTATGCCTACTCGGGTGGAAGGTCATGTGGAGAACATTTGAGGACTCAACCCACCCATCCTGATCGCAGAGTGTGCAAGTCTGAACCGCAGATACCAGAGTGAGTGACTTTGATGTCAACATCAGTCTCTTCCCACTCCTTTGGCTGAAACTCCCTCCAAACCATGTTGCCCTTTGAGGAAGAAGCATCATCTCCCATCCATCCCTCGAATTTGTAGTCGGTCGACATTTTGGTTGTGAAAGTTGTTTGTTATTTTGGTTATTTTTGTTGTTATTCTTATTAAAAGCTGTCTACGATCTGGATCGGGTTCGAAGACAACTGGCAGTGAGCTGCTCTTTATACATTGGATCTCCTCATATCTTCTACGCTTCCGTATGCTTCCATTATGTCATAGGGACCCCCAGCATCAATAAACTGGATATGCGATCCCACCTTACAAGTTTCAAACTATAGTACTTTCACACCAGGCTGTATCTTGTCGAGCTGTCAGTGATTGGCCGATGAAACTCGATTCATTTTTTGATGACACCCACACTTGAAGACCACCCTTCCCACATGGTGTTAAAGCAATAGCCACAAGGGCAAAGTCCACCAGTTTTGGAAGTTGATTAGTAAAGGTGGTAAATCCGACAAATATACACTGTCCCATTCCGTTGATTGGTTGCCGCACTGCTCTGTGGCTGGTCGGCGATTGTGAAAATTTTTCGGACTTTCAAGGCTAAAGTTGCGTCTTCGTCTTCGGTCCTACGTAACCATGTGCCAATCTGACATATACACCGTTAGAGGCCTAGTTTCTAAGCTCTCGCGATTACGACGGAAATTGTGATCTGGAGTTAACAACCGGGGCCGTGGCAAGAGACATTCCCCGATTGGCAGGTTGTGGTTCAAGGGTGATTCCACCAATGTTCAATTCGAGCCAAGTATGATATACTCCGCGGGTGCCTATGTTCTGCGGGTGCCTATGATACTGCGTTTTGCCAGCTATTAAGCGTCAGTGTTATTTATTCGCATGAGATGTAATATCATTAATTGGAGGCTCTTAAAAAGTCTCAGAATGTATAATTATCCTAAGTTTGCAGCATTTGGAACTCAAGCATACTGCGCTTCTAGCTCGGATTTAACGACGGTCCCAGACCCCAGTGCAACTACCCCAATCATATGCGCGCCTGTTGATAGTAGGCCCTGGATCTAGCTTAGCAAAGGCCAAACTGAGATAAAAGTTGACAAAGACTCAACGAAAGTAGACGGTAAAGCCGAGATCCACACTAGACAAAGATGCGGTCTGCCACCCTCAAGATGATCTATGAGTTGATAGATGATTGTCATCGATCTGCTATTATCGCCACTTTCTAGTCCTTTGCTATTTTCTTCCAGCAACTGCCACTATAGCTATTTACCTCTACTTTCTAGCATCATCAGCAACTACTGAATGAATATGTACTTTGATCCCGCAAATTGTAGCAGAGTGAAAAGGCTTCATCTACAAAGATAAAAATCCTGGCCAAGTAGATGATACGTCGGCAAACTCGGTTTGGCGATGAGGGTCCAGGGTTGCGGACTTGGCGGGGCGATTGTGTTCTCATCGCTGGAGCCGGGACAAATCATTCCACCGTCCCAGTAATCGTTAAATCCACATGAGCAGACACCAGGTGTTCGCATAAGTCCGCACCCTTGACATGGAAAAGACAAAAACTCGGCTTTAATAAGAACACTGAGTAGTTCAGAGGCGGGAATAATAAGACATTCCCGAAACAATCAACAGCGCATGCAAGCCAATTAATTCTTCGTCAGACTACGGAGTATAATAAACTATAAATTTCTTCTCTCATATGCTGGCTCTTCTGGTCTAGGCGAGTATATGTATGAGTTGACTGTGCTAGTGAAGCACCTCGTCCTAATTGCCAATCTCAGAATGCATGCCCATCCTTAGTTTACAACAGGTTAGATCTACCTTCACTGATAGATGTCTCACGCATTTGGCCATGTCCTCGAGCGACAGACAACATCAACGGAGTTTTGAAGGAGAACGCAATTAGGCAACTAATCTCGAGTAGCCGAAATACTATACAAAGGGAGTATTATTTATTCCGGAGAATACGGGATGATTTAGAAGAAACTGCTTTCAACAAGTAGCTCTCGCCGGCTCGTTGAGCCATGGACACGGTCCGTTTAAATATGATGCAAGTGGCAGAAGAGGTGAAAGTGGCGATCCGTGGATGTGGATGATCGCCCTGGAGCTACTCGTCCTACCAAGGCACGGGCTGCTCTCGGGTGAGATTCTTATCTTGCTTGTTGGACAGATGCGAGAACTAGAACATCGAAATACCCACATCGACTGCGGAGCTGTCCAACGCCATTATTCCCCAATCAGCGACGGGCAGTGCAGGTCAACTAGAGCGAATATGAGGGAGATGAATTCTTCAGCATTTCGCGACCCACAACCTCGGCTCTACTATAGCGCTGACCAGAAATTCCCGCTTCTCCCAAAAGCTGCCAATGATTGGAATGTGAGGGGAAGGTTGCCAAGCAGTGTAACGCAGTGCCGTGTTCGTACGATTTAGGCAGCACGGAGACAATCTGCCATGAGATATGAATAGCTGCACATGGTGTCTGTCAGCCTCACCTCGCACCAACACATCAAGTCAAATGAGTTCGTCAAACATATGCATATGGCTTTTTGAACTTGGAGCCAAGCAAAATGACGCCTTGCTATGGCGACAGATCCATCGTGTGATCACCACCCTCACAGCGAGATTATTTCGATTTATAGCCTCCAGTCTGCATACACATATTGCAGATGTCTAGCCAGCCTTTGCTACTCCAGTACTACCACTCCGAACTTAAGAATCTCACTCATGATGCTAGTGCAGCATTTCGCTAGCCTAAATCCCCTGTGACCACGTGTTGGCGAGGCTTATTCCATCCGATCGGAAGGGCGTGGGAGCCTCGCCTCGCCGCAGTCCGTGAGATGCATTCCATATGCGAGTGCGTCTTCCCCACCAGAGGCTGAGCAGCAGCTGAACCACCCATTCGTAACACGAAAAGGCCTAGGCTTCCGACGACGTCTGACGCGGGCTAGAGACTAGCAGTAGCTACCTGTATTTAATCTCTCAAGATGCAATTGCTTTGCTCTGGACACGTCTTTGGAAACACTTGACGGGTCTGCAACAAAGAGCATTGAAGCCAGAACATATTGATTATCCCATCTAAACTTGCGGCATCATGTCTGGCTACTACCAGCAGCCACCGCCGCTGCCTCCTCGATATGGCAATGGGTCTGTTCCTCCTCCCACTCCACCGAGACAGACCAGTGGCCAGCCAGCGCAGACATATGGAGGCAACGCCCAATATCCATATGCAAACGTGAATCCCCAGCAGCAGACTCAGTATGGATACCAAACGGCGCCTCCTCCAGCATCACCGTATCCGAATACAGCAGCACCGGCGCCGTATTATCCACCCCCTCCTGGTCCACCACCGCCCAGACACTCCGGGTACTCATACGCTCCGGCGTCGACAACTCCCGGCCCCGTAGCGGCAGCACCTCCGCAGAGCCCGTCTCATTCTTATCCTCCTCCGCAGAGTCCATCTTACACGTACTCTCCTCAGAATCCACCTCAGTCCTATCCTCCTCCTCAGAGCCCATCTCATACGTACCCTCCTCCTCCTCAAGCTCCGGCTCAATCCTATCCTCCTCCTCAGACTCCATCGCAATCCTACCCCCCTCCCCCTCCTCTTCCTGCTCGGGCACCAGTTCAACAGAATCTGCCCAGCTACCCTCCACACCCTCCCTATAATCCAGCTCAAAATGCACAAAATACAGTCTCCCCCACATACTCTCCCCCACAGCCCGCTCCGTACTACAACAGCGCCCCTCCTGCTGCTCAGTACACACCGGCTTCGCATACACAAACACCAGCTACTTCAGTCCAACCCGCAACATATCAATATACACCTCCTGCGGTAGCGCAACCACCAAGCCTACCTCCTGCCTCGCCACAGCCTCCTACGCCGGAGAGAAATGCTGCTTCACAGGGAACTTTCAGTCCTCTTCCTCGAGATAACGGGGCTTTTGAACCTATTCCTCGAGACTATAGTGAATTTGCACCCATTCCTCGAGACTACAATGAGTTTGCACCCATTCCTCGAGACTACAATGAGTTTGCACCCATTCCTCGAGACTATAATGAGTTTGCACCCATTCCCCGGGATTATAGTGCTTTTGAACCTCTGCCCCGGCAACAGCCAGCAAATACTCCATCGGCTCCTCCTCCACCACCAATGTCAACTCGTCCTCCAGCCCGGGACACTTCAAACGACTATGCTTCTCCTCCACCTGCTGCACCAACTGCAGTAGGGCAGCAAGTACCAGCAGGATCAGAACGCCTGCCGCCGCTGCCGCCGTCCAATACGGCAAATAATCAGCATCAATATCCACGCAGACCAGTCGCTGCCCCCAATACACAACAGACAGTGGCACCGGCTGCTGATCCTACCTCACCAGTTCAACCAACAAATAATGCCGCGTCGATTCCTCCACCTCCGGCAGAGGCCCAGCAGCCTACCCCAGCACCTATTTCAGTGCCGCCCCAGGATCCCATGGCTAATCTTTATACGCAAATGAACAATCTCAACATGAACCCTGTGGAACATAACGCGACGCCCCAGCCTTCTACGAGAGCTTTGGATGACAATGCACCCCGGCCTCCACCTCATATCCGCGCAACGGGGGAGCCTCTAGAAGTCATCACGTATTGTCCAGAAACGAGGGCAGTGGACTATTCGCTTTATTGGTACTGTTTGCCAGACTTGCCAGACTTATTGATCTGCACTAGATGTCACGCTGATCACATTCAACCTACACAACTGGCAAGCAAATTTGAGAGGATTAAACGGCCAGACAACTTTAACTCCATGTGCTGTTTCTGGTTCCCTAGAGTCAAAGAGTTCATTTGGCCCCAGGCTCTTCGCACCGGCAATCTGGATGCACTGCGTGAATTCTTGAAAAAGCGCCTCAATGTGAAGGCATGCAAAGGACGCAACCCCACCGCAGCCTCCGATGGAATTAAATGGTTCGGTATGACGGGCAGTGAGATTAACGGATTCATCTCGTGTGAGGCTTGCTACGAAGACCGGATAGCGGGGACGCCATTCGAGACCAGATTCTCCCCATATCGTGAACAGCCAACCGGCGAGAATTGGTCTTGTGACGTCTGCGTGCCATTCATCTCTCGAGTGGTTGTCAAGAAGGCTAAAGAGAATGACTGGGCCGGTTTTGTTAGTTTGGCGACTCATCGCATCTCCTTGCCAAAATGCGAGGGAAAGGATATACAGTCAAACGACTGCACTTGGTACATGCCGCGGCGCAAGATTGAGAATATGCGAGCTTGTGAAGCTTGTTATCTGGACCGAGTTGGCTTCACACGGTTTGAGAATGAGTTTGAGAAGTATGTCATGGCCTCAGGTTTCGATGCATACTTCGAACACATGACCCAATTCTGGTCTTGCAAATTAACTGAAACCAACCTTCCCCTGGTATGGGCCATGGAGAATGCCATTGAGCAACGCAACTGGTCTGTATTCAGCAGCTCGGCGGAGGTCGCTTGCCGTCTCCCGCCTTGCACAAAACACGGAATTATTCGCGGCAATTGGTGGACAATCCAAGGAAGATGCGACAACTATGATGTGTGCGAAACATGCTATACATCTATCCTGAGAACTAGCGGAGTTGCTCAATTCTTCGAGCCCGCGCAGCGAAATCCCGAGTCAACTCTTGTTTGCGACTTTTGTGTTGCCAGTCCTCGATTCCGGCAATACCTCAGGAAATATGCTCAAGCTGTAGACCTAGGAGTTTTTAGTTACTTCCTAGACTATGTTCGGACATTTGCCTCGATTCCCGTTTGTCCCGGCCTAGAAGTCGTCGAGAAGGGACATTGGTGGGGGTATCCGAATGCCTTGTTCTGCGAAGATTGCTATCTGAGCTTCGTCGCCGACACAAAACTTGGTGATTCCGTGGTTTTCAAGAAAGCATATGATGAGCGTGCCCAGATCTGCCAGATTTGGTCGTCTCGTATGCGCACAATGTGGTTGAAAGTATGCGATGCTGGCCCACCCGGATCCCCCGAGTCGAAAGAGGCATTGGCGGAATTCACAGAATTCGGAAGCAAGCGGTTGAAGATATACACTCAAACCGTGCCTCAGATGAAGTTTATCCGCGAGATGAAGCAAATGAAAATGCAGAACGCAATGCACCAGGGCCTTCTGAGTGTCATGTATAACGGTATGGATGGATTGTTATCGGTATCCGGTGCCACGGATGGACACCTTCACGGAAACAGTCAGGTGGGCTGGTATGACACTGAACAGGGAGCGCAGGGAGCGCAAATGTTCAATAACATGCAATCTGGTTTTGCTAATGCAAATCGGATGGACGAATGGATGCAAATGTTCCAGCTCGAGATGATCTGGAAGGAGGTTGAGTAGACTAGAGAATCGAAGGACACAGAGGGTGGGAGGTTTACAGTTGGAACGTTGAAACACGCATTGACAGAATGATTACATAGTACCGTAGCATCAACAAATCCGTATATTTGAAAGCCCATGGCACGGTGTATGTCCATACTGACCTCTCTCCAGGGGAGGCGAATACACATAAGCACTCAATTCCTACGTGACCAAAGTAAGATATGACAAGACCTAAGCCTGGGTGCATTTACCCAAGCCCTAGCCCACAGTTTTAAGTTAGCCAAGGCTCGGTCGGTTCTAGAACGGAGAAATGGGTGGGTGGGAGAAACGTGCCGCAAGTATCCCGAGATGCTCTGATTCGCCTCTATCACCCATTGTTGTGTTCCCATCTATCCCAAATCTCGGGCTACCCTCGGCAGCGGTTTTTAGTGCCCGCTTGATGGGAGGGGTGAACGAGCTGAGGGCATATTGTGGGGAAATTGTCCTACATCTCGACCCATATTGACGTCGGACGCTTCAGTAAATATTTAAACCCCTCCCGGTGTTGAAAATCCCTTTGATGCTTACACAGAATCTCATAATAACCCATTCCCGTTATCTATTCTTCACGGTGTTGTATCTCTGGGAAAATGTCTCTTCCTCAGACCATGAAGGCCGTCGTCTTCGATGGACCCCGCAGCGTCTCCATCCAAGACCGACCGGTGCCTCAGAGTAAGTTCTGGCCAATTCAAAGCACCAATGATATCATACGAGGTCTATAACTTGATTCAGTCCAGGATGATGAAGATATCATTGTCAAAGTGAGCGCAACTGCTCTCTGTGGCTCGTAAGTTGACGCCTTCTGGTGTATTATGAACGCATGACTCGCTAATGCGGAAGATTCCGTCAGCGAATTACATGTGTACCGTGGCCATCAACCCTCCGCGACTGGCTTCATCATGGGACATGAATTCACGGGAACCGTCGTAGCTGCAGGACCAGGTGTGAAGTCAGTTGCTGTTGGTGACAAGATTGTAGCGCCATTTACCGCATCATGGTATGTACCTTGAACCATGAGTTTTCATCGACTTCATTCTGCGACTCAATTTCTTGTAAATATTTGCCGCTTGTACTTACAAAAACACCAGTGGAAAGTGCTTCTTCTGTCTTAATGGCGCTACTGCGCGCTGTGAGAAATCCATGCTTTTCGGATCAACCAAACTCGATGGCGGACAAGCAGAATATGTCCGCGTGCCCCTGACCGATGGCACAGTCTCCAAAGCACCCCCGTCCATTTCAGACGAGGCGTTAATTCTCATGGCCGATATCTTCCCCACTGGTTTCTTTGGCGTCAAATCCGCACTCAGTCTTGCACCTCCCACACTTAATATCCAAGAATCTACTCTAGTAGTGATTGGATGTGGCCCCGTTGGCTTGTGTGCAATTATCGCTGCGGCAGAGCAGAAACCCAAGCATCTATTTGCCATCGACGGCGTGGATAGCAGACTTGAGCAGGCAAGACAACTTGGTGCCGAACCTCTCAACTTCCTCAGTGACAAGGCTGGTATGACGGCGAGAATCTTGGAAGCAACAGAAGGAAGAGGTGCCGACTTGGTCGTTGAAGTTGTCGGACTGTCGCCAGCATTGAGGACTGCTTTTGACATTGTCAGGCCTTTCGGTGTGATTAGCAGCATCGGTGTTCACAACGCAGAGGTAGGACTCATGAAGAGCGGATTTGTTGGTTAGTTCGAGCTGACGCTGGGTAGATTCCATGGTCTGGAAGTGAGGCATACGGGTAAGTGCATCTCATGATTTTCCTCCATACGAAGCCCCTAATCAGATTCCTAATGAACATATACATACAGAAAGAACATCCGCCTGCAAATGGGTAGATGCCCTGTTCGGAGCATCTTTTCCGAAGCTCTTGTTCTGCTTGAGAAGAAGCAGCACCTGCTTGGGTGAGCCATCCCTCCCGTCGTTTTCATATAGAGCGTTTAGTGATCTAATGACAATGAAAGTTTCATGTTTGAAAACATCATGCCACTCAACGAGGCTGTTCAAGGATATACTCTGTTTGATGAGATGAAGGTGCAAAAAGTTGTCTTTAAGCCATAGTTGGGTGGCGCACAGTCTGGCAATGGTGTGATGGACAAAAGATTCATGTATTATGATCTATAAGGCGTGTTATTTGAATATATGTATTATATGCGTGCCAATAATGAGATTCTTTCTGTATCAGAGAGCGTTAAGCCGAACAGCATCTAGATACCATTTTTTGCGTATCGCTAGAGTGGTGAGGCCCGGCCAGATACCCCTCAGTTTCATCATCCGATGCTCGTACTGTATGTGTATACAACAACAGCGATGCCAGCAACCTATTTCTCTTCCGCCACTTTACAGGTCATTGTAATGTTCTTTTCCCAGCTTAAGACAGTCAAATAACCGCATGATTAGGGCCTGGGATTGGAGAGATTCTCTCTTTTGATGCCACTTGGCTTTAATTACATGCACCCCGCTATTTGCATCCCGATGAAACCCCGCGCCCTTCAGATTACATATTGAAGATGGATATTTGATATGTGCACTGACATCAATCTCAACCATTTTGATCCTGTAAACTCAAACAATCATTTTTGTCGACATCATGGCTGCCAAAACTCCCTCTGATGAGCGCAAAGTGCTCAACGGTTTGTGAACTCATTCGCGGGTAAATCATACCGGCCATAGGCTAACAGTTTGGATAGTGCAAACATCTGGAAAGGTGGCTGGTTCCGCTCGTGCTAATGGAACCGCTAAAGCAAACGCTGCCGAGCAATCTGGTGATGACTCGGATGACGATCCAGACCAACATGTCACTGAAATCACAGTTGCTGCCGGTGAGGGCGGTGACGCTAAGAAGCGAAAGAACAAGAAGAGAAAGAACAAGAAGAAGAAGATTATTGCGCAGACTGAGCCTCCATCCATTCTTGTGTCCAAACTATTCCCAAACAACAACTACCCCAAGGGCGAAGAGGTCGAATATAAAAACGAGAACCTCTATCGCACTACTGACGAAGAAAAGCGTCATTTAGACAACCTTAAGAGCGACTTCCTCTCTGATTATCGCCAGGCGGCCGAGACGCATCGTCAGGTCCGCCAATGGGCACAGAGAAACATCAAGCCAGGCCAGACCCTCACTGAGATTGCCAACGGCATCGAAGACAGCGTGAGGCGTCTGCTTGGACACGATGGCTTGACTGAAGGCGACTCCCTTATTGCCGGCATGGGCTTCCCGACCGGGCTGAACATTGATGAGATTGCTGCTCACTACAGCCCAAATGCAGGCGACAAAGTCGTACTTCAGCAGAATAATGTCATGAAAATTGACATTGGCGTCCATGTGAATGGTCGCATCGTCGATAGCGCCTTTACAATGGCCTTCGACCCCATGTATGACAACCTCCTCGCAGCCGTCAAGGACGCCACGAACACTGGCGTCCGCGAGGCAGGTATTGATGTCCGCCTTGGAGAGCTCGGCGGATACATCCAAGAGGCCATGGAGAGCTATGAATGCGAGATCAACGGAACTACCTATCCGATCAAGTCGATTCGCAACATAGGCGGCCACAGTATCTTACCATATCGCATCCACGGCACCAAGAGCATTCCCGCTGTAAAGTCGGACGACATGACCAAAATGGAAGAGGGTGACATCTTTGCCATTGAAACTTTCGGCAGTACTGGCAACGGCTGGGTTTACGATCACGGCGACGTCTCGCACTATGCCCTTCGTGCGGACGCGCCAAAGGCAGAACTTCGTCTGTCTTCAGCCAAATCACTCTTGAATGTGATCAAGAAGAATTTCGGCACCATTCCGTTTGCCCGCCGCTATTTGGATCGAATTGGGCAGGAGAAGTATCTCCTCGGGGTATGTCATGAATGACTGTATGAATCTCAAACTATGCGCTCGGTATAGCTAACAGTTTGGCAGCTCAACACGCTTGTGAAATCTGGCATTGTTGAAGATTACCCGCCTTTGCTCGACAAGAAAGGGTCGTACACTGCCCAATACGAGCATGTGAGTGATATCGTGTGTATACTTAGAAGGCGACTGCTAACAAACCGTCCAAGACGATTTTGCTCCGACCTACCGTGAAGGAGGTCATTAGCCGTGGAGATGACTACTGATTGCAATCGGGGTCTTGCGATTCACGATCCTGGTGGAAACATCACGCGATCGCATTTGTCAAGCAGAGGCTTGAGATACTTTTCTTCGTGACACTCGTTTTACGATATTGATCCATGCTTTCCATTGAAGATAAAATGCGCGCTGACTTATGAGATCCTCAAATGATGCTAGTTTTAACTGGCATCATGTTGAGACCGTTCGCAAGCGCCGGGAAAAAATACAAAAAAAGATGAAACTTATTCACAGAAGGACGGTGATATATATAAATAGCAGACAGTCGTTACCTCAATGATATCACCCATTACAGTCCAATTATACCGCCCAATTGCAACCAATGCATTTCATCGTCGTCACGGCAGTAAAGTCTTCAAAGGAGTTGCGTTTTGCATTTACATCGATAACTATCTAAATATACATCTACTAACATAAAGAGTAACAAAAACATTCCATGTCTCTATCGCTGTCTATATGATACATCCAAGATAAGAATACAGTTAGAGCTGCTCTGAACCAGTAACCACGGTGAACTTTCGGAAATCATCTCTAGGCGTGTACTTTCGTTCATCAGTGCTCGCACTGACAGGCTCCCAGGCCTTGAGCAGCTTAAGTTCGTCTTCCCGTCGATTTCTGGCGCTGTCAAGTGCATCCGAGCCTAAAATGACTCGAGAAGCCCATGGCCGGCCAGCCGCAACTCCTTCTCCCTTAATCACGTCAATCATAGTAGAAGCGGCTCTAGCGGGGGATCCTGGCATGAGACCCATGGGGTCGTTAGAAAACATGCCGATAACGCTTCCAAGCAGAGGCTTGTATGCGTCGGTAGGTTCAGCACCAGGGGGGCTGGCGTGAGCACCTTCTCGAGGCTGCATGAGGTTGGTAATGAAGCCACCGCAGTCAAATGCGACACTTCGAATGCCCAGGCCAATGACTTCCTTGTGAAGGCCTTCTGCAAAGGAACTGAGACCTGCCTTTGCCATCGAATAATGGGACATTGTCGGGAGAGCCATCCAGCTTGAGCTGGAAGAAGTAAATGCGACGCAGCCCTTGCCCTGAGCACGGAAGAAGGGTAGGATGGCCTGGGTCAAGTGAACTGGTCCAAAGAGGTTGACATTGAACATGTTTTGCACATATGCATCGCTATTTTCGAATGGTGAATTAGTATGCTGTCGGTGTGGATAATCTGTCGCCATGAATAGCTACATACCTCGCGTCTTCGATGGTCGTCATGGCTGACATACCAGCATTGTTCATTAAGACATCAATGTGGCCAAAGATGTTCCATGCCGTCGCAATCTTGGTCTTGATCTCTTCAATAGGAGCAGTGACCTCGAGCTCCAAGAGGGCAATGTTGTCGGATTTGGACTTGAGATGACCAAGTCGCTCCTCGACCTTTCTGCCAGTTGCAATGACTTTGTCTCCACGAGAGAGAATGTGGTCTACCAGAGCAGCACCAATGCCAGATGTGGATCCAGTGACGAGGAAGACAAGAGGGGCCATTTTGGTGTGAATGTGAAGAAATGCTGTTTATAGAGTAAAAGGCGTTGAAAGTGTATAAGTCTCGAGGAAGAGAGGTTCGAGTTGCTTGTTGCTGTTACTATTGTAGTTGCTGTTGTTGTGTGAGGATTGTGATGGTAAACTTCATTTCGATTCGAGCACCGAAGGCCATATATATATACATATTTGATGCTCCTTCGTCTTGGCGCATAGGCCCGTCCCTGAACCTTTGTTCACTCATGTTTACTATTCTCTTCGGAGCGCATCAACGCTCCGTGACGCCATGCCGCTAAGTCCGCAGATGGATAAGACTTAGTTCGACATTTGCTCTGGACGAACAGCCGGACAAGAAACGATTAGACGCCAAGCTGACATGCATCCAGCTGGTGAAGAGACCGTCGTCCGATCACGTGAGCGGACGAAGCATCAATAAAGGCTTCGTCCACGGACAAGATGATTTGCTCCTCATTTTACGCACCAAAACAGGATCAATCAATCTCTCTGGGTTGCAGTTGAGTTTGTCCGCCGAGTCGTATTTACGGAATATTGATTCCAGGCAGCTTTGTTGCCATTCGTCCGACATGGAGGATCCCTCAGGTGTCTCGATATCGAACCCGCTCCCGCATCGAGTGCGGAAGATGCGCAAGGGAACCCGAAGTTGCACCGAATGTAAGTCCATGTATTACGTCTCCATGTGCCTGTCCAGGGTTCATGCAGGCCGTCTTCGTTGTTACGAAGATATCTGTCTCGTAGCTTGCAAATGTTGATGATAGTTATGAACAAGGCCGACGACGCAAGACTCGCTGCGTGTATCCTCCCGGCGATCCTGTGTGCGTCCTGTGCAAGTCGCGAGACGGCCGCTGCATTGAGCAGGGCTACGAGGAAGTCGGCATTTCAGAGTCGAAGCCTAGTGTGCCGCGGAAACAGCCTGCCAATGGGAAGGCATCTCAAGGCCGAAATGGGATATCCGCGGACCAGCCTCCCAAATTCACGTGCAGTGGAGATGCTGAGACGTCGGATGTCCTTGCGGCAGAGAGGGCAAACTATGCCCCAATCGTGTCTCTGCTTGTGGATGCCAAGGTAAGCTTAAAGATAGATGTCATGGTTTGTATCTACAGTCATCATGGAGGCTAACGGTGTATTATACAAAGCTCTCGGCGTCGGGGAAGAATGGGGAAAGCGGCTCTCCTACATTACAGACAGCCTATAGCAGCTCAACATATAATCAACTTTTAGACAGAGAGCAGAAGCTATACCCTCCGTTCCTACTACCCTTTGAAAGCAAGTCTGCATACGTATGCTCTACTATACGTTCAATGCTACCAAGCTATGACGCCATCATGTCTGTTCTTACCAAACATGGGTCGTGGTGGGACAGCTTCCGCTCAAAGGCATATGCTATTTCTGAAGCCCCTTCTCAAACGATAGAAGCCTTTGCCAAGCGAACATATACAAGCAGCAATCCAGCCGACATTGGTGCTCTTGCAATTGCATTTGCCCGTAGCCTGAATAAGCATCGCCATCTATATACTCTGGTGGACGACCTTATCATCTCAGACATCAACTATACGGCAACTATAGAGGGCTTGGAATGTCTTATACTACTTGCAAAATCGTACACTGATTGCGGTCAGCCCAAGAGAGCTTGGCTTGTATGGAGAAAAGGTGCTTCTGCAACACAGCTGATGGTGTGTAATTGTTCTGATCCATGTCGAAACGATGAACAAATTGATCTAACTTGAGATTAGGGATTGTGCTGTGGGAAAAACTACTCCCGGACGGAGCTGAGACTGTGGTGTGCCGTTTACCACGGTGATAGATTCTGCAGTATGCTCCTTGGCTTACCCTACGTGCTGAACGATAACCATTACCAGTCCGTTCTCACGGCGGCTGGAATGGGCCAAGGATTTTACTTTGTTCTCAGATGCGCCATCATCAGTGGAAAGATCATTGACCGCAATATGACTGATGGCAAGCCCTCTTTTGCAAAGGCGATGGAGCTGGATGAAGAGCTCTCGTCTGTCGCATCGACACAGCCAGAAGAATGGTGGTCTGTTCCAGAAAGCATGGAGAATTTCCAACTACAAGGAGTAGAACTAAGCGAATTCAGAGAGCTGCTGCTGCAACAATTCTACTTCTTCTGGGTCAAGTTGTTCCTTCACTTGCCCTTCTTAGTAGAGCCGGCAGCGAGCTCCCCTCACTACTTTAGCAGAACGGCCTGCATAGAAGCGGCCAAGCAGATTTTAAGGAGGTATCGACTCTTGCGCTGCAAAAACAAGTCGGGCTGTTGCTTGTTCGAATGCAAGACAACGGATTTCGCGTGCTTCACTGCCGCCGTTGTTCTTCTTATCAGCACCTTCCACTGCAGCTCAGCAGGTCGCTCGTCCAGTGTAGATGAAGATTTGGAGCTGGTAGCTACTACCGACAGGCTTTTACTGGGGGAAGAGGTCCAAAACAACTGCAAAGTCGCGGCGCAGTGTCGAAAAGTGCTTCAAATGCTGAGCCTAAACGACCCCGAGACGGCGGACGAAAGTCGGGAAGTGGTCATACCGTACTTCGGAGCAGTCATCCGCAAGCGGTCTCGCCGCACGGATCTCCGACATGTGTCTCAGCCGGTCGGACATAATAACCTCGACGAAGCGGACGTGCCTCCTCCGCCTCCTTACAACTCCACGGATCAGAATCAGACAGTCAACAACCCAGTCGTAGAGAATCCATGGAGCCTGGACGGGTTTTCGCTGGAATATATCAGCCATCGCGGATTTGACCGGGGCCACTTCGGCGGGTTTGCAGCGGCGGAAGAAGTGGCATCCACTCAGGACGAGTCAGCATCCTATCTTGCCTCGGCAGCGATGGAATGGGACCCTGGCTGGAGCGTCCTGACCGATATGAGCAGCGACTTGATGACGGGCATTGAAGAGCTTTCTCCAGAAGACTTTGACTTTTAGTCGCTTAGGTAGTGAGGCTCTAATATTACATTTGCGGAGAGTTGTCAATTCAATTAATCATTGCATGCATTTTTGAAACCTAAGAAAAAAGCCTATGACATCGCAACCTTCATGAAAGATAAATCTCTCTCCAGCGGTCTTCTAAGCTGCTCACCATTGAACTAAAACGCGGCGGGAGCTCTGCCGTGTGGGTGGACCAGGTGGTGGATCAGGACGGAGGAACCGATCAAGATCTTGAAGCAAGACCATCTTAGACTACCCTAAACCCCGAATACTGGATTGCGCGCAAGTATATCTCTATGGACAATACGGAGTACACTACTGCTTTGGATCTCTTTACCGTGTCGCCCCTTTCTACATCGTTTTTTTTTTTTTTTTTGGCCCCTGACGAAGCTCATTTCTACGTCTGCAACTCTTGGATTTGGTTCTGACCCGCTCACTGTTCTACCTCGGCTCACTTATACGGAGTGGCAATCGCGGGACTAATACTCCGTTCTATGGAGACATCTGCTACCCTGATAATGTTAGTTGAATAACACGATACAAAAGTATAGGTTAAAAAGTTGTATTGTTCCACAGGTAACCTCGTCCATCTTCGATTCATGTCTTTGAGATTCCACCTGAAATGCCTGCAAGGGGCCCTGAGTACTGAATGGGTAACTAAATGGGTCTACACCTACTCCAAAACACTTGATTGTAACATTAAATATGATTATATGATTGTTTACGCGTTATAGCTTGGCCACATCCTTACGTGTCCATATATCAGTTCGTAGTATGCAGCTATTTTGATCATCAAGGAGTGCAAAACAACCCGTGTAATGCCCCATCATCTGCATGAAGGGCTGAAATGACAGCCAAAATCGGCTCGACTGTGCCCCTTTCCCCAGCTCGCTTGTCACGTTGAAACCGTTTGATTGAGGCAAAGAGATTCCAAGCTACATATTGCAAAAATTAATAATCCGTTGGAATTCGAGACCTTTGCAAAGAAATACCGCCTCCCTGAATCGACCATGATGGCATTGTGAAATCTCTTCCATTGGCCACAAACTTTGCATTTCGGTGATGAGATAAGCGGGGCGTCGGACATGATGTCACTAACGAATCAAGCGCCCCACAAAACGCTCTGATAGTAGGCAGAGATCCAATCAGACCGCTTCAAAAACCTTCTAGAAGCAGAAAATGCTCGACACTAAACCTGTTCCGTCTTTCGCAGGCGGGACAATCCGTGGGCAAGGAACATCTTCCGTCGGTGGGATCTTCCGGTATCTTGAAACAGGTGCATCAAGACGGAGAGAACTCCGAGGTATTACGAAGCAACTTTGTAATGAATTTCGTTTTCTCCATGTTGGGGACAGATTATCGGGACTGGTAGGGAATTGTTGATCGATCATGAAAGTATTAAAGAGCCGTGGGTCTGCTCCTCAAAGCAACTTTCCATCATCCAGAATACAATTAGCATTACAACACAATACAATAGAAAAGCATCTTCGATACTCAGCATTTGAATTCTTTCAGCTTTACAATAAATAAACATCAACTCAAAAACATCTTTACACCAACAATCACAACCTCATCCAAAATGAGCAGCCAAGTTACCTTTGACGTCTACCGCGGAGCTGAGGGCGATACCCCCGTTCGCAAGACTGTTAACAGACAACTCCGCCCCAACGATGTCTTCATCGAGATGACACACTCTGGTGTTTGCGGCACAGATCTTCACTTCAGACACGCCGATATCACTCTTGGACATGAGGGTATCGGAAGAGTCAAGGAGCTCGGCCCCAATGTCACCGGCTTCAAGGTTGGCGATGTCGTTGGATTTGGATACATCCGCCAAGTTTGCGGTAACTGCATGGAGTGCCTGACTGGTAAGTTACACACATTATCAATGCGAATCTGCAAACCATAGCTAACAATGATTTTCAAGGCTGGGACCAGTACTGCGCCAACGCCGTCGCTTACGGCAACGCTGATACCGACACCGGCAGCTTCTCCCACGGCGCTGTTGTTGACGCCCGATGCGTCTTCCAGATCCCCGACGAAATCGACCCCGCCGATGCTGCTCCCCTGATGTGCGGCGGTGCTACTGTTTGGACTGTTCTCGACCAGTATGGCATCAAGCCCACTGACCGAGTTGCCGTTATGGGCATTGGCGGTCTCGGCCACATTGCCATCAAGATGGCTGCCGCCATGGGCTGCCACGTTGTCGTTCTCTCCAGCAGCGAGTCTAAGCGCGAGGAGGCCATGAAGTATGGTGCCAAGGAGTTCCACGTTTTCCGCCAGGGCGAGAAGTTTGAGGGCAAGATGGAGCCCATCAACCACCTTCTCCTCTGTGGAAGTGCCCAGGTTGACTACGAGGCGTAAGTTTTTACATATAAGCACTTCTAGTATCGCATCGTTAGTACTGACAAATCTACTTTCCAGTCTCGTCCCTCTGATGGCCCCCAACAGCTCCATCTACCCCCTCACTGTCGACTTCAACCCTTCCAAGATCACCATGTTCTACGTTGCCCTCAAGGGTATCCGCATCCAGGGCTCAGTTGTTGTTTCTACTTCTGAGATGCGCAAGATGCTCAAGTTCTGCGCTCGGCACAAGATCACTCCCCAGATCGAGAAGTTCCCTCTCAACGAGACTGGCATGAGCGATGCCATGCGCAGACTGACTGAGGGCAATGTCCGATACCGCGCTGTTCTGGTTGCCCAGAACTAGAGAGACGATTGATTGGTGGATATGAAGGGGCAACAGACCACGAAATATGCACTCTTCTAGTAATGATGTAATGAAAAACTTAGTCAAGCGGAGGATCCCTGGGATAGACTAGATTGGGGTTAGATATTAGACTCTTGTTGGGTATAGACATTTAGGCGATCAATAGAAACTTTAGAAAGCAAACTTGAGTTTATTCTATTTTTGCAATGAGATGCTGATTGGTATCGTTTGTGGGTCTTTTCCTACCTGTCAATTTATGGCTCTGACAGCCAGACGTCGTCTTACGACCTGATTGAAGTGTTACACATGTTCTTGGTACTTTAGGACTTTAGGAGCATGATGTAATAGACTGCATGAGAGTACTCTCTATGAGACACTCGATAGATGTTTGAGAGTACATGTACATGTGTAGATTCTGCGTAGTGAAACCAACTGGAGAAAAACACCGCACATATGCATCATCACCCTGATGCCTAGCAAGGAGCTGTCGTCGGCGGCGGTTAGAGGATTACTATACAGCGTAATCCGTCTGCAGTAGTTCAATACGAACGCCCAAGATAAGATGTACCGGCATATTAGAAACCACGTGCCGTCACATTCCTCTCAATGGCCGCTTGAAGCTTGAAATAGCCCCGGTAAAGCCCATTGGCCTCTAGGCGGGCTGACAAATGCTCACGCGGCAAAATGAGTCCGTCATACAAAATAACCAGCGTCGGGCTAGAGTCAATCTTACGTTCACTCTCACGTGACTCTCGACTTTGCTCTGCTTGATAATAATACTCCGTAAGCTCCGCACCTGATCCGCATAAGACATTTGATGCTGGTTCATACCTGAAAAGCAGAATTCTAAGTCCAAGACACTTCTCTCGGATGAGAGTTGGTTGCATCATCTCAGATTCCCACTAAATAAAAATCCCGGAATGGAGCCAAAGACCAGTCCGAGCTCCTCGAACCCGGATCGCGACTCGCAGCCAGCCAACTTCGCCCCTCAGCCTCACCGAAGAGCGAGGACCCGAGCTCGCATAAGCGCAGCGTGTGTGAGATGTCAAAAGAGAAAGATTCGGGCAAGTACACCGAGCACCCTGACGTACTCGTGGCCAGTTTGCACCGATTTTCACTCACTAACATAATGTATCCAGTGTGACGGTGTTCTGCCATCATGTTCAGGCTGTCAGAAGGCCGGTGTTCGCTGTGTAGATGGCGGCACTTCTCGTGAAATACCTCGAAAGTAAGACGCTGGGTCAAGGTTCATTATGTACCTGCATTTGCGCGTGGCTAACCTTGTATAATCCTGTACAGCTATTTGACTGAACTTGAGTCACGAGTAGCGTGGCTAGAGTCTGTTGTTCGTGAGAGGTGTCCAGATGTCGACCTCACCACAGGGCCGGGGCGGCCATCGCGAGCTCACTCATCGGCTGTTGAGCGTGGACAGCGGCAGGGCTCGCAGGACTCCCCAGAAGAGACTTCGCCGCATGAGCTCACAGAGCAGATAGGCCTTATATCTATTTCAGGTGGCTCTGACCTTCGTTATCTAGGACCCTCCAGCGGCCTCTTCTTCACCAAATTTGTGCTTGCGGGCTTGGCACATGTTGCAGATATCGAGACAGTAAACCTTCGCGGCAATGGATGCGACGATACCGATGTGTTCCTCCCTGGAGACCTGGTCGACTTGCAAGCCAAGGATTTCCCGAATGACAAGAGACAAACCATGTTCCTCACCCAAATCTATTTCGACTCCGTTCATCTACAGTTTCCCTTCCTCCACGAGCCCTCACACCATGCAATCCTCCACAAACTCTACAATGGGGAGACTCTGGATGCGCTAGAGGAGTTCCAAGCATTCATGGTTTTGGCTATCGGTGCCACGATTTACGGTCGTCGCTCGAGGCGGCACATGCTGGGTGAAGGTTATTATGCCTCAGCCCTGCAGCGTCTAGATACCGTCTTTAGGACGCCGTCACTTGCCACAGTACAGTGTCTTTTGCTATTGGAGATGTATACCCTCCACGACCCATCGTCTGGATTAAATCTATGGACCCTACACTACCACTCACTGGCGTCATGCTTGGAGCTGGGCTTGCACCGTGATGTCCGGAACCCCCGCCATTTCAACCCTCTCCAAGTGGAACTACGCACGCGAATCTTCTGGTGCACATACACCATGAATCGACAGCTCTGCACAATCATGGGGCGGCCGCTGGGATTCTTTGACGAGCAATGTGATTTAAGAGTGAGTAAAGATTGTGACCATGAGAACTGACAGGGCTGTTTTTCTTGTGTGCTAACACCGCGGCTACCTAGTTACCCATGGATGTTAACGACGATGACTTGACCGAAGAAGGTGTGCGACCCTCGACGAAACCTCCTGGGAGTTTTACTACTATGTCAAGCGCAATTCATCTCTTCAAATGGGCGAGGTTCAGTTCCGAAATAAAGACTGTTTTGTTTTGCACGGAGCGAAACTATCCGCCTTACATGACTCCGGCCATTAACGATGTAACGGCGTGGCGGACAGACATGATTAGCCGCCTGCGAAAGTGGCGACAAGATATTCCTAGACACGCCGAGGGCGAGCGCACGTTCTACCTGATTGATCTCTGCGAGATTAGATACCATGAGCTGATGATGCTTATGCTTCGCCCAAATCCCCTGTTCAAACAACCATCAAAGGCGGCCCTAGGCGAATGCTTTACCAGCGCCATTACCTGCAGCAAGCTCTACGCAAAACTGTACGCCGATAACCAGCTGCGGTATGGGTGGCTGACCGTCCATTCATTATTCTTATGCATCATGACCATCTTCTACTGTGTCTGGACACCGGAAGGCATTGCTGACCAGGTCAATTTCGACTGCTTGACCACCTCTCTAAAGGCGGCGTCGGACGTTCTCAGTGCGACAGGAGAATATTGGCCCGAGGCGAAGCGAAGCCGCGATGTCCTAGACCGAATATTTACAGCAACCATGAGGCGCTTCTCTCCGAGACCAGAATATCCCAAGTTGCAGCCCTTGATCAATTCATCAGACCCTCAGCCTGGTAGTGGCCCAGCATCAGTGGGCATGACGGATGGCACCAGCATCTCATCTCAGGCTGGCAGTAGCACTTACGGAGACAATGTCGTCGCTTCAGGAGACGCACTTATCGCTTCGGCAGATGGAATTGTGTCTTCCGGCGTATCACACGGAGAAGCAGATCTGCATTTGGGGCTTTCCATGCCAGATGGCTCACCGGCCATGAATGCCGAGTTCCCTTACCCGAGTACAACGCTCGACTCCTTTATGTCGACGGACTGGCTTTCGTATTTTATGAATGCGGAAGATTTTGGAGGCATGAACTTGGATACTGGCTTTGGAGGATTGGGTGGGCTGGGCGGAATGGGTGGGTTTGGCGGGATGGAAATGACTGGGACGGATATTCCTGGATGGTACCAAGGGGACATGAGCGTATTGCGATGATTTGGTATTGTGGGAACAGCGTTTTTGAATAAGGATATGCATAATGTACATGGCTGAATCAAGCCAAAAAAATCTACTCAACTATTGAAATGCTCCATTTTGCCTGCTGAGAATCAGTGAATCGGAGCGGCTATACTGTACATGTTCCATCTTTGTTGAACGAAGCTCTTGGGTGCACTCGCCATCTTCATGTTATTGCGTTGCTCCCTTGCTACAAATTTGTTACCAGATAAACTAGATATACGCTTACCCGTCTCAGTGCCCTCGAATAGCACGACTGGCAAGCAAAATCTTCAAACTCCAGAGACTTATGTCTCCTGTTGTTCATATGTTTGCTACCATCGTGATTGCAGTCAGCTGACTCTTCTCCCACAGGTCCCTCGCCAGTGTGGGCTTAGCGGTTCATGCACCCCAGATTCCCATCGGAGCTTAAAAAGCGGCCGCTAGAAGCGCTGAAGCACCTGAGCGACTGAGCACATGGGCGCTAAATTATCGAGCCCCAGCCTCGCCACTCAACTCCAAGCTTCCCCTCTTTGTCAGCTCACGATGCTCGGATGCTTGTCCTCGTAGACGCAGCCGTTGGGTCTCTCGCGGGTACTTGAAGAGACGAAATAGCTTCAGCCTGGCCAAAAGAATCGCCGGCAGCACTCGTTGCCCGATCTCCTGCTTCCGCTCTCTCGGTTCTCGGTGCGATATTCGCCACATTACAGCAAGTATGTCATCGACGGACAACACTTCGCCTCCCATGGCAGACCAGTCCAACTCGACGGCGGTTCCCTCGTCGCCCGATCGGAATAAGAAGAAACGCATCAGGAACTGGACTGCGGATGATCGCGCAGCCCATCGCGTGTTTGAACGATCTCGACGAGAGGCTTTCAAGGAGCGGTTGACGGTGAGTTTGGATACTGTGTCTCTATGTGCTCGGCTGACGTGGATGTAGACACTTGCGAGCCTCATACCGTCGCTTCGATCTACAGATCCTAATCGCCTGTCTAAACACGTTGTTATTGACCAAAGCGTTGCGCTGCACAAGGCCGAGCAGAAGGAGATTGCCGAATCTCTTCAGAGGATCAACCGTCTAGTGGCCGAGCGAGACGATCTACTCTCTGAGCTGAATACATGGCGGTTGAACGCTGGGCTTGAGGTTCACCAGCCTCGAGTTATAGCGGAAGATCCGGAAACTACCACTTCAATACCCGTATTAGACGAGGCCAGCGCCTCCATGCTTAGGGCGGGCGTCTCATCCATCTCCATCGGGGCCAATAATGAGCGCGGAGCTGGAAGCCGATCGCTATATCTAGAAGAGCAATCTTCGTTTGTAACTACGGACCATGATCTCACAACTGAGCCTGTCCTGAATGAAGCGGTTGAGGCAGACCTTCCATCAACGTCAATGAGCATGGACATTCCATGGATGTCGCCCGAGATGGATTTCACCATGCCAAATTCACTGGGTTTGACTACCGGTTACAACACCAACGCACCTCCTCCGAAATCACCATCTTACACACATCTGCCCATGCCCTACGACATGGCGAACAATAACCTCGAGAATGAGGCTTTGCGATTCAACACATCAATGATGCACATGGCCGATCCGTCGACATTTCACAACGACACATATATTTATACCGGTTGAACTTTGCTACTCAGTATTTTCAGAAGATCGGTTCCTCCCCACAACTCCGCATATCTACGCGCGACAGCGTTCGGCATGCGATAGACGCTCTCACAAGGCCTGAACTGCCACGTCGATCTTGTCCTTGCTCCTGTTTTCACCTCCTGTAAAGAGCTCAAGAGCGATCGCCAACCTTTCTTTGGTGATGGGGTCAGCAGCAATCGCTTTAGCCAGCTCTTCTCCGCCGTTGGCGAGGTAGTCAATGTCAGTGCTGGCCAGCTTGCCATCCCACTCTGCGGCAGCAAGCGGATCGATATTGGCGAGCTTGCGGAGCCTTGTAGATGCTTGGGGAGGGTTTTTGTACACATGGACCGGCTTGGGCGTGCCTTCGCCAGGCTGCTTAGTACCATCATATTTGAGCTTCGCAAGCTGGTCCAAAACTGTATGGGAGATTGTGGCAGAGTGGCAGCCCAGTTCACCCGCTGCCATGGCCTCTTTAGCAGAGATGAAGCTGAGCGGAGAGAGTCAGCTGATTGAGTCCATGTTTAGAAGTAGCAGACTGTGTATATGTATCTCACCTTGCGTTCTTGAGAAGTGGCTGCTCTTTTCCAGTCTCTTTGTATAGTCGTCTGTATGTTTCGAGGATTTGAAAGACTCGGGCGCTCATGGGATGTTGGGTGGCGGGGTCTTCGACATCGGGCCAGAGAGATAGATCGTCATGGGCTCGGGTTTCTGAATGACTCTTAGTTTTTGTTACAGATTATCCACGAAATATAAGAGCTTTCAACGAACCGTTGAAGTATGGGCTGATGTATAGCATGCCTGCCTGGCTACAGGCAATAGCCTGCGGAAGACCAAACAATGCCGTTCCGAGTGTGGGAATGCCCTCAGCGCTCAGAATCTTGGCTGCATTCAAGGCGGGCCCAGTGGACGGGATCTTGATGCAGTATCTGTCTCGGCCAATGTTGGCTCTTGCAAACTCTTGGTCATACAGTCGGGCGTGGTCGAGAGTCGCTTGCATGTCGTATGCTTTGGAGGGGAGGGTTTGAAGCAGGACACGGCCTTGGATCAGATCAATATTCTTCTTGCACATCAAAACCGCCTAAAAACATCATCAGCCATTATTCCTTTCATTAATATTCAACGGTGTTCGATGTACCATTCTAGTGTAGATCGCCAACCAGCCTTTGTCCTTGAGCTCCTTCGCCGTCTCAACTAGGAGATCGGCGTTGGAAGGGTGGCCGAGTTGGATATCTACCCACAGCTGGTTGCTCGTCTGGTCATGCGGCTTTATAGGCATAGACTTGATGTATTCAGGGTCCATCCAGTCGACATCGACGTTGACTAAGATTGCGATCAGTTTGAATGCGCTTCTCACCTTGGATGGTGTAAGGCGAACTTACGCTGCTCCTCCAGCTTCTCCAGCCATGTAGGGGCTTCCTTGCTACCCATTTCGCGATAAAAGGTAATTAATAGACGTGTAATTGAAATCGTTAAATTTGATGGGTAATTTTGCAGGCGACCGTCGTATCTTGAAGATGAAAGCTTTCAGACCTGGTTTACTGTGCAGTCTGCCTTGGTAGATTGCAATGCTTGGAGAGGTAGGTTTATATACCAACTGCCTCGAGAGTTTACCCACATTTCGCAATGACTGCCATTCATTTTATTGCATTCAAACCGCACTTCGGGTTCAAATTTACCGATCACTTGAACACGGGGTGGATTGAAGGATGTAGCTTAACGGCCCTTTCACAAGCTATTTCCAGATTTCGATACCCATAGACTTCTTTCATTGGACGGCAGAGCTCATTCTGACCCTCCCACATTCCGCACACACTACATTTTGCTGCCAAGAAGCCGATATCACGTCACTCAATGACCTGCACAGGGAATTTGCATGGGAACCTGCACAGGGCATGAGCTTGATACACGCAGGGCAGGATCCACGACAACGGCAGTGGAAGCGGGGAAAGATTTAGAGTGTGGATCTAAATTAGTATGGGGAGACGTCAAGATTCCTTCGATACTAAGAGTAGGGAATAGTAGAAGAAAGTGACGGCAATAACAAATTCTAGAAGAGCCAATGTTAAGAGATGAAAGCCATTTGCTCTGTGTCTTGCTATACTACGCACTCACTACTATACTTGTTAGAGTGCCACCAGCCACTCCCAAAGTTTAACATGAAGCTATTTCCCTGTGCCGAGTTGGATAGCCGCTGACTAGCTGGTAATGCTTAAATGGCTAAATCGTATGAGAGAACAACACGCAGGGCAGCATGAAGGTTCCCCACAATTCAGCTTAGCTCAAAAGACACGCAGGGCAGCGTTGAGGGGTGGTTTCGTGAATGAATTACTCCGGCGTCGGATTGTCGGATGGCGGCCGAGTTGGAGGGGATACAAGCAGGGGATTAGGTGGAAATAAGTTGTGAGTTTAATTTGTAAATGCTACATTCCCTTCCATTTTGCAGCATGATCATGGATTCATGTCCCAAAGACTTCCCTGTTCAGAATTGAATTTATCTTCTATGGGATGTATATGGGGGGGAAAGACGGCATCCAATGTAATAATGCCTGGCAACTTTTTAATATCGGTGCACGCAATATAAGGAAGCTGACCTCTTCTCGCAATACCGTGAAGAAGTAAACTCGTAATGCATTCAATTCTATTCCTCTTCTATGTGGCTGCGAGGGGGCAAAACGAGCCAAGCCATGGCGCCGTGGAAAACGAGCCGGACTCAAAACCTGGGGTTTTGTGGATACGCTACTGAACCCCATGGGGGGTAAAGACTCTACCATAGTCGCGATAGTTGAAGTAAGACTGAAAAAATATATATATTGCTTCTCAGGAATGCATCTGACATCCATCATCTTCTCCACAGAAGTTATCAAGACACGCATCCACAGCTTCAATCGTGGAACCTGAAGGCAATCAGGCAGCATGGCTCACACACCTGATCTAAAGCAGCCAAAGGATGAGTTTCTCTCCCATGTTGAAGATACAGGCCCTAGTATCTCTCACAATGTCAACGCAAAGTGAGTCAACTATCCAACCCATCATCACCAAGATCATAAAACTGATACCGTGGACAGAATTTGGAACCCCTTGATGGGAATATCCAAGGATAATCTCCGTTCTCAAGTCAACGCCTTCTGCAGAGAGTATGGCTTCCAAGATAAGGAAGACATATTCTTCAGAGGCGCTCTAGCAGCTCAAAATCCAGTTGGATATGAAGATATTCCAGAGCTGACGGACGATGACAAATATTGGCTGAGGCGCGAGGTCACCAACCGGTGGCATTTGCCCAAGGCTCTTTACTACACCATTGCACTGTGCTCTTTGGGCTCTGCCATTCAAGGCTGGGACAACACCGGTGCTAACGGTGCGAATCTTTCATTCCCTAAAGAATTTGGCATCGAGAACAATGGTTGGCTTGTTGGCGTCATCAACTCTGGACCGACGCTGTTTGGCCTCCTCAGTGCTTGGGCAGCTGATCCAGTAAACAACCTCCTTGGTCGAAGGGGGACTGTCTTTGTTACAGGCCTGTTTTGTATCTTTCCCGTCTTGGCTCAAGCCTTTACACAGAACTGGTGGGGCCTGTTGATATGCCGCTTGTTTATGGGTCTTGGAATGGGTATCAAAATCTCGACGATCCCGGTCTTCTCGGCAGAGGTCGCGCCGGCATCTATTCGAGGCGGATTAGTTACAAGTTTCCAACTGTGGGTATCATTCGGAATGTTTGTGGGATACTGTGTCAACCTGATTTTCTATCGAGTTGGAAAGTTGGCGTGGAGATTTCAACTTGCATCCGCATTTGCGCCAGCCATTCCTGTGGTAATCTTTGTCTGGTTCTGCCCTGGTAAGTCTATAAGTCTATGGAGAGAGCATGAAATCTGACAGCTGTATCAAGAATCGCCTCGATGGCTGATGAAGAAGCGACGGTATCCCGAGTCGTATCAGTCATTCTGTCGCCTGAGAAATAGTGAGATGCAGTCAGCAAGAGATCTGTACTACGCACACTGCCAGGTAATGGAAGAGAGAGATGCCTTTGCCGGCGTAAGCTTCTGGCACCGAGCATTAGAGCTTGTTACAGTCCCCCGTTTGCGACGAGCCGCCGTTGCCGCTGGATGGATCGTCATCAGCCAACAATTTTCAGGAATCAACATGTACGTGGCCCCCTTTTGTTCATAATGGATCAATACTTGATATTGACACTATTACAAAGCATGGCCTTCTATAGCTCAACTATTTTTGTTGAGGCTGGCTACTCAACGCTTAGCAGCCTCCTTGCCTCCATGGGGTTTGGCCTTGTTCTCTTTGTTTTCGCTTTTCCGGCAGTTTACACCATGGATACCTTCGGCCGTCGCAATCTACTTCTCACAACGTTCCCAAACATGGCTTGGTGTCTTCTTGCAGCCGGACTCTGTTTTCTCATGTCAACTGACAACAGCGCTCGAATTCCCTGCATAGCGTTTTTTGTCTACCTCTTTACTGCTTTCTATGGACCTGGTGAGTATCCATATCACCATTCAACTACAATTACTAAACAAAATTAGGCATTGGTCCGCTACCATCCATCTACTTTGCTGAGGCATTTCCTTTGTCTCACCGCGAGCTTGGCGCTGGCTTAACAATCTGCATTAATAATGCCGTCGGCAGTGCTTTGAGTCTTACATTCCCTTCACTGCTGAAAGCACTCGGACCTACTGGTGCATTTGGCTTTTACGCGGGATTAAACATGCTTGCTTTTGTCGTCATCTTCTTCATTGTGCCAGAAACCATGTACGTAATTCCTATTCCCCTACATTCTAACTTCACAGACGCTGATTTGTTGAATCCAGGAAACGCACACTAGAAGAGCTTGATTACATATTTGGAGTGCCAACAAGGCGCCATATTTCTTACCAAGTTGGCACTTGGCTGCCCTGGTTCATCAAGAAGTACATCTTTTTCCAGCGCAAAGCAAAGCTCGAGCCCTTGTATAAGCTGGACGGTTCTGCCGATACAACAGGCAATCAGTAGAGCAAGTCTACCGAAGGAAAGAAATTTTTGATTTGCGAAATTTATGAAACATGATGATTATTTTATGATATGTCACTTATCTTTGCAGCATTCTATGACAGAGTTTCGAAGCACACTCCTTGAATAGTCAAATTACTAAATTGTGATATCTTGATCGTACTCGCTATGTTTTCTATGTCCTTGTGTCTCTTACATTCTGAATTCAAAAGTGAGTGACAAACTGTTCGCCCAGTGTCCGTGAATACATATCAGATAGGCGACTTTGGAAGGTAGAGGTAGAAGAAGACCCATACTTGAGGGAGATAGCGAGAGCGACACCATACAAGTATGATGAATACAGTGTTGAAGTATGCAGAAATATCTCTCCCTGTATAACTCGCTATGGCTTAATATCTCAGTCGCTAGGCTCGCTCGCCACCGTCGGTAAAAACGTTACTTGCGGAAGATAGGTAGCACATTTGCGGAAGACTCATACCGCAAACCTACCACACAACCGACGATTCACTTTTTAGGATGAGATAAAGTAGTCACGGCTAATGATGATTAGTATTTAAGATGACCTAGAATGGTAACTGCAAGGATCTTCGTGCTCAAACTAGCTTTATTATAAGCCTACTTGGAGCGCATACCGCGAATACAGTGTGTTTCTTTGTAAATCTCTTCATAGGTTTGTGGCAGTAAGCAGTGCGGGAAGATACATTCTCGCCTAATCCAAACTAACTAAACTTGAGCCATGAGCGCTAGAACAGGAAGATTATCAATCTTTATAACAAATGGGAGACCTTGTTCCCCATGAAATCCCACGTTCATTGAAAGATACATTCTACAAACGGCAACAATTGACTCGCATGAGTAGTTGGCCGCTCGGCACTGAATTAAGCTCAATTACAAATGGAGCTCCAGATGTGGCTAGATATGGAAATACGGAGCTTAAATCCCTGTTCAGCAACTATGTTAGACAAGCGGCTACTAATCATATATTCCTCTGTACACTAATCAGAAACTCGAGCTCATGAAGCTATTCACATATTTAGTTGTCTTATAGATGCAGCGCCTTCAGATATTTTACTCGTCAGAGAATCCATTCTACTCTTCGTCACAATAAACAGCAGCCCATTTTCCACCATCTTATAAAGCTCGCCAACCAGAGAAAAAATGAGCGAAACTATCAAAGTCGGCGCTGTGCAAGCTGAGCCTGCTTGGCTTAACCTGCCAGAATCCGTAAAAAAGGTCACCTCGCTTGTTGAGCAAGCTGGAAAAGACGGTGTCAATGTCTTGGGTTTCCCAGAGTTATTTGTCCCTGGATATCCATGGTTTGTACCATTCAGATTGCCAGATGAACACGAAAGACCTTGCTGACTTCATTAGGAGCATCTGGACTGAGCCGTAGCTTGACAATACTGGCATGTTTCACGAATGCATGGCCAATTCACTTGTGAAAGATTCTCCTGAGATGCCTCAAATCTGCGAAGCTGTTAAGAAAGCTGGCATCTTCATCGTTTTGGGTTATTCTGAGCGAGATGGCGATAGCTTGTACATTGCTCAGTCCTTCATCAATCCCGAGGGGAAAATCATCCTCCACCGCCGAAAGATCAAGCCGACCGGCGTAGAGCACGCAATTTGGGGCGATGGAGATGGCCTGATAAATGTGGTTGATAGCCCCTTTGGCAAGATTGGTGGTCTTAGGGCGTTGATATCCACATCGTAGGATGGCCACCGTTTTTTGGCAGACCGGAAAACATCCCCATCCTTTATACTACGACTGGAGAAGGAGACCGTCTCGCCTGTCAGTTCATGGCTATGGAGGGAGCCTGTTTTGTGGTGGTTAGCACGCAAGTGATGGGCGAAAAGGGAAGGGAGAAGTTGAAGTTGGTTGGCAGTCCCCATGTGACTTCGGGTGGAGGTTTCGCCATGATCTTTGGGCCTGATGGTACGCCGCTGGTTGACCCATTGGACCCTGGAGAAGAGGGTATCCTCACTGCGGAGATTCAGCTGAGCACCATTGACTACGCCAAGAATATGCTTGATGTCGTTGGACATTATTCCCGGCCGGATCTTTTGAGTCTGAACATCAACTTGAAAGGAGCCAAGCCTGTTCGCTATGTATAAGAGGCTCTCAAAATTAAACGCTGACCTGAGCTATTCTAAGGTCAACGCGTTATGTAGCCTCATATAAACTTCTGAGATAGTCGATTAGAGAAGAAATTAAGGCCATATAAGCCAATTCTGCTAGCCACCACTGTGAGACTCCTGAATTTTATTTCTTCTTATCTATATATAGCCTCAAATTATCACAATCACCAGAGGAAGGTGAAAAAGGTCCCAGGCCACAACAGGATGGATCTGCATAACAAATCATTAGTATCAAGTCATGGCACCGAGGAAATTGACTAACAGATGGCACCAGCGATAGCATCGATGGCGGCAGCAGTGGGAGCAGGGCAGACGCAGGGCGTCGTGGGACCGACGGTGGTGATGGTAATGGTGGTGACGGCGATGGTCGCCATTCGCTCTCGGTGGAGCATGAAGCTGTCCATGATCTCATAGGCCAGGCTGAGTAGGATGACTACCACCCACCTCCAATCGACGAGTTGATCTATTTCATGTCAACTTTCGTACCGGAAAATTGAATAGACAATGCAATGGAATCAGTGAAGAAATGTTCGACAAGAGATGAAGGTGAACTGACTCTGGCGGCGAGGAGGAGCTTCGGGGCGTGCAGAAGCTGTGCAGCGTTAGTGAAACCCGGCAAACTGGTAGATTGCGCATGGCACGTACGCATTTTCGATACTCGCTTGGGGAAAAAAAAAAAGGTTTGGTTATTCCACGTGGTGGAGTTTCTCGAAGATGATAAATTGTGTGAGCTTGAGGAAAAGAAGAAGAAAGGAGAAGATCGCGACTGCACGTGCAAGATTTTGCTCGAGGTACTTGCCAGCTGGTACTCTTTGATTGCACATGATGGGCACCTGACGGGCACCTGATTGCAGACGCAGAAGGAAGAAAGGAAGGAGCTCCGATAACGATTAGATAGGTATGTCAAGATACCGAACCTGAACAATTTCGCAATCAAGCATGCAAGGCTCAATGGTCGCCAATAATTGTGCCATATGGATGGCCTGGTGTTTATCTTACTGGGATCGAGGAGCATTGGTAGCTGGCGTGAGGAATTGGAGCCGTCAGAATGGACAAGTGAGGCTATCAGGGGATGCGAACAGTCACGCCGTTTGGTTAGGAGCATCTATGTATTCTGAAGCGTAGGCAGATGTTACCACAAAGTAGCAATGTGATATAATAGACTGGTTGTTGTGACTACTTGGTATCTTCGATGATCCATGAACTCAGCTGGATCTGCGGAAAGGTAGTATCTTATAGAGTGTACAAGTGATACAGCGGTCAAAACCTACTGCTGGTATCATAATCTTCTTCTACTGCCACTTCTCTCCCAATCGTTTCCACTAGAATACCCTAAAAACATCAATTCATTCTATGTATACACTATATCGCTTCATGATACAAACTGCTTTGTCTTATAACATCGCGTACGTACAGTTAATGCCAGCTATCCATCTAATCGCTGGTAACTCGCAGTGATCCCTTGAGTCGAATATCCCGACTACTCGCCCCAACAAATATTTTGTACTCTCCCTCTTGAATGACCCAGGATTGGGAAACCACATCCCATACGCTGAAATCTCTCTTCGTCAACTCGAAGCGAACAGTCTCTGACTCCCCAGGAGATAAGAGGATCTTGTTGAAACCACGCAGTTGTTTTGGTGGACTGTTTGGGATACCCAAGTAGAGCTGCGCGACTTCGTGTCCAGATACAGAGCCACTGTTGGTAATTGTTGCGGTAACTGTTGCGACATGTTGCCAGAGGCCATCGCCGCTGCACTTGGACGAGCGAAGAAATTTTGATGCTCTGATAGAGAGAGATGAATATCCAAAAGTCGTATAGCTGAGTCCATATCCAAACTCAAATCGCGGAGTAATGTCTTTTGCATCAAAAGCGCGGTAATCAAGATATACACCCTCGGTGAAATCACATTGTGGGTCGATAGCATCTCCAGAACTGCGCGTGCACGGGGCGTACACCGAGTAATCGCTCTCGTTCTTCGCAATCGTGTAGGGCAGCTTGCCAGAAAAGTTTGCTTCGCCATAGAGTAGCTTTATAAGAGCCCTGCCGCTGTCCTGGCCAGGCAGGTGGGCAATGATGGCCGCAGTAATGTTGGGATGCTCGATCCATTGGTCAACTAGACGGACACCTGCGGCGTGTATCACGACAATAGTGTTGGCGCACTTGGATGCCACATTCTTGACAAGCCCGTCGCTGAAATCATCATGCAAACCTTCGCGGTCCCAGCCCTCGGTTGCGATGGCATTGATGAAAACCAAGCAAGCATCAGAAGCAGCGTTAACATCGGGGTTGAAGGAGTCCAAGTCCCAGTTCACCCATGTACCGTCTTTACGAGCACGGCGCTGGATAGCACTAAGAGGCTGGATTAATATTAGCGATAAGGAAACCAGCTTTCAAAGAGTGAAATCCACATACATCATCGATATATGCTGGCGAGTTTGCACCCGCCCTACCACCAGTGACAATAGTGCCTCCCCTTGCCGCCTGATCAAAATGCGCTTCATGGCCCAATGCAACTTTCTCCATCTCCGGAGATGAAGTGTATCCGTGTGAGAACAAAAGATCAGTATTCTTAGTACGAGGGATTGTCGCGTCGTAACCAAACACGGATATCATGGCGAGCTTCTTTTTAAATGGCAACACATTATTGTCATTCTTGACCAAGACGTGTCCTGCAATGGCGCCCTCCAAAAGCACCGGCTCTGATGCGGGATCCCGAGCGTCTACCTGTTCATGGGGCTGCGTAAGCTCCTTGAGACCAATGCCCGGGATGGGAAATTTGTCGCCGTCTTGGCCGACCAAATACCATGCAGCGATAATTCTTTACGCGCCAAAGAGTTAGCACAGGTGACTTGGAGTGAAGAGTTGAAAGAACCCACCGCGTCGCCATGTCAGTCACTCGATCTTCGCTGACGGTCCCATTCGCGATCGCATCAGTCAGATTCTTTCCCCATGAACCCCCAAGAGGCATCACCATGTCAAGCCCAGCGTTGGCGCTTTGTATGTCGTGTTGGGCATCCCAGTCAAGCATGACAAAGCCTTCGAACCCTAGCTCGGTCTTGAGAATACCGTTCATGAGCTTGTCGTTCTTGCATCCGTACGTGTTGTTGATCCTGTTGTAAGAGCACATGACAGACCCTACGCCAGCATGCACACTATCCATAAAAGGCCACAAGTAGTACTCGTGTAATGTTTTATCATCGACGTTTGCAGAAACGGCTTCGACACCAAAGTATGGGCGCCTTAGAGTCTCTTGCTCGTTGGCAATAAAATGCTATGGTTCGACGGTTAGCATTCTGCCATGGCAGCCCCAAGAGTTGCATGATTCGACCGTACCTTGATATTGGCAATTACACCAGCCTCTTGCATGCCGATTATAGTCTCTGCATTCAACTGGCCAGAGAGGTATGGATCAACAGAGAATCCCTCCCAATTCCGACCACCAAGTGGCGTTCGTCCTAATGGGCCAGCGTTGGGGCCAAGCGGTACGTTGACTGATAGGCTTTGTTCTCAGCAAATGAGGACATCAAGTTAAAGGAAGCCCATCCATAAGATACTTACCTCCCTTTACTTTAAACTCCTTGCCCATGTAGAACCCTCTTTCATATGTAAGGTTTCTATCCCAGCTCGCCCCAACATGGATTCCAGATGGATAAGAGTTGACCATATCTGTTGCGCGAACTCCATTGCCGGCATCGTGAACACACATTCCAGGCCATCCCAGTCGAGGAACCGAGCCGGTGTTACCAGCACAGACGTTATCGCTGCGGTATCCACGCGTAATGTTGGCTCTTTCTTCTATTGTCATCTGCTGCACAAGCTTTTCGGCACGGCGGTATGCGTATGCCCATTGCCCATTTCCTTTGCCTTGTTCTAGGTGTAAGTGTAAGTATCAGCTGTGGCTCCACCGAATAGGCCGATTAAAAATGACAAAAATGGCAAACTCACGCGTCAAAGGGATCTGTGGTGCATTTTCGGCTGCAACAGTGCCTGGGGGCAAGGCTGCTGCGGCGAGAAACAAGCTCGTGCAGCTGGATAACGCGGACAGCCGCATGGTCGGATTTCAGATCTTGCTCTGAGCTATTGACCGTTACAATCAAGCATGCAGAGGTTGTTATCCCGGAGCACGTTGGATTTAATATCTGGAGCAGGAGATCTTAGCCAAGCTCAAGTTTGAGCATCGTGATGAATGCAAGCTGGGGGCTGAGCTCCGTTCACCGCTGCGAAGCCGATGTTCCCCGACAAATAGGATCACGATCCGATGCGGGGACAAACATTGGAAGCTATAAGAATCCCCCACCCTTGCATGGTGCAGCTCGTAGTGTGACAAATAACGCCAAACCATCTTCCACCCCACTCTGGGTTGTTGCGTCAAGTTGGGCATACAATCGAAAGGTCGAGCAGGTGTTAAATCTAGCGGAGAATCGGGGAATTTCCCCGGGGCTTGCTTCAAAGCTTTCTAAGGGTGACTGACGTATGTAATTTTGCACAATGGCCAATGCTTCTTCGTATCAATTCCTGATGACGGCTGGATTATTCGTGGGGAAATATCCCTATTCCTCTTGTTCTTGTTTGATCCATGAATGGTATATCCATCGGTTATTCCCGCGATATTGGCGATACCGGCATCGTCGGCATCATCTCAAGTAAAGGAAGGGGGTATATCGTTGGAACTTATGATGGTATTCAACATCTTCAAGGCGTCTGCTTGTCCGTTCCCGTGGAGGTCTTGCTGTGCCCATATTCTCCGTATGATCTGCTCTGTCGATGACAGGTTGCTTAGCGGTCTCTCGTTGATCGCATTCTTCAACGCCGAAAGGACCAATAATCTGTCGCCGTCGCTCTCCGTTTGCAGAGCCAACATAATCATGATAAAAGGTCGTTCGCACAATCCGAGATTGCTCAAAAGGCCGAGTGCTTCTTCAGCACTAGTGCGTGACAAGCGCGAATCAGCCAATGAGCCTCGAACTACACGATCAAGATAAATGAGAACTGCAAGCTGGTACATGCGAGCAATCGTGAGGTAACGCTTTCTGCTTCCGACGACATGATAATCTTCTCTATCGATGCCGCTACACAGCTGCTGGCTCATATCTCGGATCTGGCCTTCGAGGTTGTAAATGGCATGCGAATGGCTTTTCGATAAGTAATCTGGATCATCTCGGTCTTTTATCAGGTCGATAGCTTGACTCAGGAATTCCAAAAGCTCGAGCGAGCAACCGAGGGTGCTATGAATCTGATCAATTTTTAGTAAATTGCCTCAATCAAGGTTGGGTTTTGGGAGTAGTACCGTGTGGAAATGATCGAGAGACACAATCTTAGCGATGAGCATATCTCGCTGCGCAATCGCTACCATCTCTGGGGTGCGTTTTTGCCAATGCTGCAAACTAAATTTGTAAAGCACGTTGTGATAAAATACCCAGTCCAAGAGAACCTCATTTTCACCGTCAGCCTCACGACGGCCGTGATAGCTTGATTTGACTATGGTCATGCAGCCATCAAAATGAACGGACCATACGGTCGTCTTGCCACTAGGACAAAGAACCTGACATTCCCGACAAAATCTGATTAGTATACGAATCATACAAGGTATACGAGGTAGAGCCGTTACAAACCTCGTATAAGCTTAAGAGCAAGCTTGCAGCAATAGCTTGAGCTCTGCACCTGGGATCCACAATCCGGTCGATTGCGCCTTGTAGTGCAGAGACAGCACGCATTTGATGCATCATAGCCTCATCTGGCATTCTGAGATAAAGATATGAAATCGCGTTCATGGCATAGCGGACTGCAAGAGATGAAACGCCATTGTCTGTGAGCGCCATCCGGCGGAGGAGACCGCATACATCCTGTCGCAGATCGCCCCGGGAGGTAATTAGCCGAACAGCAGATGATATCTCAGTGTCATCTAGCAAGCAGATATTAATGAGAAAAAAATTACATTTCGTGGTATCAGATAATACTCACATATGGGGCGCTTATTACTCCCAAATCGGGGAAGCTGTGGCGAGCGGGTAGGCGATGGTATCCATACGCTCATCTTTTTGTTGTTGGCTATACAGCAAGTGATCATCGTTAGTGTAGGTAGGAAATAGTATGGCGGTCATTCATATGGTTACTCACTGAGAGAATCTTGCGAATTTGTCTCATAATAAAGCCTAACGTCGACATTGGAGGTGTTTAGGAAGGCGAATGTGTTTGCTCGATACTTTTGACTCCGAACTTGCACGGTCATCGCCCGGCGCTCGTCGCCATCACGAGGCCATGATAGATTGTAATCGTACCCAGAGCAAATCTTCTTTCTTCTTTTACAGGAAGAGCAGACCGGCATTAGCCTATCGCAGGCAATCTTGCGATCTGAGAGCCGTTAGTTACAGCTGACTTTGACATTTCATCCCCCATATGTGAGAGTTAGCTGTCGAAGGGACAGCCTGGGCGTACTTTTACAATTCAGGCATGATTTCTGCCCTCGAGGTTTGCTGATAGTAACATCTGAACCAGCCATGATGCCCTGCCGATCAGGTTGAATCGCTGTAGATTGGTGCATGTAGTTTCCAGAAAGCTTGAAAGCTGGAGAGATCATGCAGTATTGTAGAGCCACACAGTGTGTATTTCATGCCGAATGCCGAACTTTTAGGCGACTCCGGCACCCAACGAAGATGCTATAGGCCACAGAATAAGTGTTTAATTCCGCTAAGATTTGGAATCAGCACAGTGTGATAAAGAGATGACACATGCAAGCAGTCGAATGCACTCGAAGCTTGTGCTGACTTTGGCTTATGCGTGATGACGACCCGAAATGTCGCGTGGCGATTTATAATGCTTCAAGCCAGCAGCAATTTTTAAAAATAAACCAGGTATCTAGTAGAGACTTTAAATCTCTTCTGCCGTTGCATTTCATCTTCTACAATAGAGAACATCGTCTGGCAAAAAGTGACTACGCAATGATCTATCACAAGCTGCCTCATTTTGGCAGAAGAACTGCCAAACTGCTATCGATGCTGCTACGAATGCACGTTTCCGCACAGCATCGATGAGCTCAGATGGAAGCTCCCCAGAACACTCTTCACAACTTTCATTCAAGCACTGGCTCCAAGCAAAATTCCGCCCCGAAACAATGAGCGCAATTCGGTCTGTTCAGTTATAGTTTCGGTGTCGGAACAACGCTATTCCAGCTCAGCAAAAAACTTCTTTCTGAAGCTCATCATTTTTGCACTAGCCAAAAGCATACCCCTCTATATCAAATCATTGCTTCTATCACATCACACGACTCATCTTTTGTGATCGCTAATTGCTTCTTTATTGCCAACAGTGCAATTAACGCATTTCTTCTCAAAAGAGCTTTCTCTCTCTGGATTGATAGCAAATCTCATTTGATTGTTCCTGAATTACAGCTTGCCAGAGTCTTTTCCTCATCCTCGCTACCCTCGAGCTGAAATATCTCAGCATACAAAAAAAAAATCCACAAAAATGGCAGAGCAAGACGAAAGATGCCGAATCCTTGTCATGGCCTCTGGCAATGGCTCAAATTTCCAGGCATTAATAGATGGTGTCGCATCTGGCAGCATTCCCAACAGCAGAATTACTCGCCTGGTAGTGAATCGTGCAAAGGCATACGCCACCACTCGAGCAGAGAAAGCAGGCATCCCATGGGAATATTTCAATCTCATCAGCAATGGATTTCTGGCCAAGGGAGAAAAGGATGAGGCAAAGACGGCTGAGGCAAGGAAGAAGTACGACGCCGCCCTGGCAGACAAGATTCTAGCCTTGGAAGAGAGGCCGCAATTGATCGTCCTGGCGGGCTGGATGTGGGTATTTTCAGCCGAGTTTCTACGGCCATTGGAAGAAGTAGGTATTCTTGTAATAAACCTACACCCAGCATTACCTGGTAAGTCACTTAAACAATCACTGGAAAGTGTGTTGCAGCTGCTAATTTCAGTAGGTCAATTCGACGGTGCCCATGCAATTGAGCGTGCTTACGAGGACTTGAAAGCGGGAAAGATTACTCACACTGGCATCATGGTTCACTATGTCATTCAGGAAGTCGATAGAGGCGAGCCCATTCTTACCCAAGAAATCGGTTGGGATGGAGAGGAACTTGATGCACTGGAAGCGAAGATTCATGCTCATGAACATGAGCTGATCGTGAAGGCGAGTGCAAAGGTAGTTGGAGAGATTCTGGAGAGAGGGAAGAAATGAAAAAGTGTTTAACATGCCGAGGAAGAAAAAGAGAATCTTGTTGAAATTATAGAGTCTGGACACGAAAAGATGAATAGCATTGTACAATATGAAGAAAAAGCCTTTTCTTATGCCTCATGTAGCCATCGTAGCTATATCTGTCCATCTAAGCGACTGCTTAAGCAGTATATAAACTAAGATAACTTAACAGTCTTCGACAATTCCTCCTGCTGTAATTCTCTGACATCTGATAATAAGTTAAATCGATTGTTAGTCACCGCTTCTACTATCGGTAACATCTTTCTATGTAAGTATGCCAGCAGCAGCTTTAACAGCCCTTTCATTTTGGGTTTATTATATAGAAGAATAATACAAGGTACACACGCCTATCACATGGCACAACCCAGGGGCCGAGGTACTTATATTCAAATGAGGGGATGCCTGATATTCCATAAATAGACAACCTCGCGTACCCACCGGAATCCTCTTTCACTCCAGAGCTTTATATACTTGAGCCTCTACAGCAGCCCACAATCCAACAACCTTGGCATCTCCAAAGGGAAGGATCTGGGTGCAAACCATCCCAGCCACGCCCTTTTCACGATCACACCACCACCACAAGTTTGCCAGTCCAGCCCAGTGAACTGTTGCTTTAGACCTTCCAGTGCCGGTGCTATTCGCCATCATGAAAGTTAAACCCCATCCCTGTGGTGCACCTCCTTGCACAGCATACAGCTCGTCAGTAGAATTGGTTAGTTCTGGTTTAGCAGCGGGAATACTTTGACGACTGAAGTTCGGGAACTGTGGAATCTGATTACGGAACATCTCTTCCACAGTATCTTTGCGCAATATTTGGCTTCCAGTGCGAGGGCAAGTGCCGTCGTTCAATAACACTGCCAATACCTCTGTGTGGCTAGCTTAGTTGCTGTTTTACAAGCTAAAATATGTATGAAGCTGACGGGGAAATACACGACTTACTGCAGTATTCCTGGGGCTTTGCAAACATGCCAGCGCCACCGCTGTTAAACACTCGGCGTGTCTCGGACTCGTCATCTGGATTGACGACTAACGGGATTCGATTCAGATGATCTCGTGGTCGTATTTTTCCATCTGCATCTCTAGAGTGCATATGTGCAAGACGATTTCGCATGTCTTTATCTGGGATCATGGACATATCTTTGATACCGAGAGGCTGGAATACATGCTTCTGCAGATATGCGTTAAGACTAAGTTTGGTAATGCGTTCGACTGCTATTCCGGCCCAGTCGATGCCCGTCTAAAGGGAGGCATTATGTTAGTCACGATCGTATACCAATTGAACAAAAGTTCCCGCTTTTCAACACGTAAAAAAAACGGTCGTCGAAACTTACACCGTATTCCCATCCTTCTCCAGGCTGAAATAGCAAAGGAAGAGAGGTAATATCTTCAATCCGTCCGGAAAACTCTTCTACCCCAGCTGGAAAAGTCCAATTTCTGAGCCGTTCGTTAAAGAAAGTGTAGCCAAATCCAGAAGTATGAGTCAAAAGCATTCGAAGGGTAATTTTCTTGTTTTTGGCTTCCAAAGCTCCATCTTCACGCAACACTTTCATGTCTTTCAGCTCATGAAGAACATTTTCAAGATGCTCGCCATCATCCAGCTTCAGGTTCCCTTGCTCCACAAGTTGCATGCAAGCAATTCCGGTTAGTAACTTGGTACAAGATGCCATCCAAAACACTGTGTCTAGAGTCATTGGCTCATCTGATGCCAAGCCGCGCTGACCAGCTGAGTGTGCAAACAATTCTTCGCCATTTTTGTCAATGACTACAACCGTAGCACCAGGGATATCATTTTTGGGGTCGCTACAGGCTTTGTTGACTGTATCTTGAAGTTTAGACAGCGTTTGAGTTCCGAGAGGCATGTTGACAGCTGAAAGGTGGATAAAGAGGGAAATGTTTGTCTGTGCTTTGCATATCCGTCCAGGGACATGCCGCCTTTTTGTGGTTTCTGTTGAGTATACACATAAGCTGTGCCGGGTACAGGTTTGCCCCGCTGCACGCAAAAAGATGAGCTGTGCCGGGCACAGGGACAGGTTACATGGGGAGGGGGGGGCACAGCTTAACATAAGACTGGTTTTTGTTGCATTCGGTTGTACGTAATGTCCGCTTGGGTAACATTGCAATTTCAGCCTCTATGCGAGTCTTCTGATCAAGCAACGCGACACGTATCCATGTCTTGGTGCGACACGCATTCTTGTTTCAGTCCTTCTCCGCCTGCTGCGTGCCGTTCCGAGTGCATGAATCCCCTCTTTCTATCCCGATCTGCCAGTAAATGCGTTGTAGCCCCCAAAAGATGCAACATTATCCGCTCAACAGTCGGATGCAGGGATGTTTTCAAAACAGGCAACGAAGACACTTGACGCCACTATCAGTATGTGTGATGAGCTGGCTTGTGGCGGAACGCCAAATGCAGGGAGTTATCAGTTGCCATGAGGTAACATGATAACACAAGAATGAATGAATTACATTTAAAGAGTGCCCTCAACAACCCTCCCGACTTATTCGTTAATCAAGTAAAATCTTTCTACACCCTTTATTGAAGCTCTAAGTTACAATCTATATTCCATCATTATGGGTGAAAACTTTCCATCAGAGTCCAAAAAGTTCAATACTGAGCTTAGGGACTATTCGGTGTCACACGCTGATAAAACTGGCCCTTATGCCGACGATCTCGATGTTGACGCCATTGTCGTTGGAGCAGGCTTCGGTATGGTGAACCAGTTTTGGTGATAACATTTATATACGTTGCTAACGTCGTTACTCCTACCCCCATAGCTGGCATATTCATGCTCAAAACTCTACGTGATCGCGGGTTAAAGACGTATATCTTTGAAGCTGGTAATGATACCGGTGGTACCTGGCGCTGGAATTGCTATCCAGGTGCTTGTGTCGACTCTGAGGTGCCCGAGTACGAATTTTCCTGGCCTGAAGTATGGAAGACCTGGAATTGGCCGACCAATTATCCCAACTACGAGAATCTACGAGCATACTTTGATCACGTTGACAAGGTGATTGGAGTGAAGAAAGATTGCGCTTTCAATACAGTTGTCGTTGGAGCTCACTTCGACGAAACTGAGGGCAAATGGAACATACGTACCGAGGATGGTCGCACATCAAAGGCCAAGTACCTTGTCCTGGGCACTGGGTTTGTAAGTATTTTATTTGTCATACATCGGCCTTTTGATCTTTGACCCTGGACTAATCCTGGAAATATTACAGGCTGCGAAGAGATATATCCCGGATTGGCCTGGAATGAACAAATTCAAGGGCGTGATTCATCATTCTTCGTTTTGGCCCGACGAAGAAATAAACGTCACCGGCAAGAAATGCGCTGTTATCGGCACGGGAGCATCTGGTGTCCAAATCGTCCAGGCCTGGGGCCCGGAAGCTGGAGAAGTGAAAGTTTTCCAACGCACTCCTAACCTCGCTGTTCCAATGCGTAAGCGGAATCTTACTGTTGACGAGCAAGAAAAAGCCAAGAAATATTACCCCGAGTTATTCAAGTATCGCGAAACGAGTTTTGCGGGCTTCCACTATGACTGGGCAGAGAAAAGCACGTTTGATGAGACTCCGGAGGACCGTGAAGCGTTTTATGAACAAGTGTGGAACGACGGCGGATTCCGATACTGGGTCGCCCTCTACAAAGACACTCTCCTCAACGCTGAGGCGAACAAAGAGGCATACAACTTTTGGGCAAAGAAAACTCGAGCCCGAATCGATGATCCGAAAAAGCGCGATGTTCTTGCTCCACTTGACATGCCTCACTTTTTCGGAATCAAGCGACCATGTCTAGAGTATAGCTACTATGAACAATTTAACAGGCAAAACGTTGATGTAGTAGATATCAGCAACAATGGTATCAAGGATATTGATGAAACAGGTATCGTCCTTGAAGATGGAACGCATCATGAGTTTGACGTTATTGCAGTGGCAACTGGCTTTGTAAGTATTCACCCAAATTACTCCACTATGATCAGCATCACAGTTCTAACATACTCTCAACAGGATGTTGTGACCGGAGGTACAGTCTCCCATTGAAAAGACACTCTTAATTCTCTAGTGCTTTGATCGGCTAACTCTCCATAGTCATGACACAACTAGGACTCGAAAGCGTATCCAAAACCAAGCTTGAAGAAGAGTGGCTTCCTGGCGCTCAAACATACTTGGGGCTCACCGTCAGCGGATATCCCAACATGTTCCATATCTACGGCCCCCAAGCTCCGACACTTCTTAGCAATGGTCCAACCACCGTAGAGGTACAGGGCCGATGGATCGCTGACTGCATCCAAAAGATGGAGAAAAATAACATCAAGTACATAAATCCGAAGCGCGAGTCGGCTATCGCTTGGAAGAAAGACATTGTCGATGCCAACGACCAGACGCTATTCCCAACCACGAGATCGACGTATATGGGTGGAAGCATCCCTGGCAAAGTATATGAACCAGTGTGTTTCCCGAGAGGTATTCCGCTGTATGCGAAATTGATTCGCGGAGCGCTTGACGATATGTCAGGCTTTGACGTGGTCTCTAACTGAAAGACTGTTTTCTGGTTACCATATCTGGATCATATCTTGATTACTACTAGTACCTATATAGAAATAATTAGGCGACCAGTAGAATAAAAGACTATCAGACTCAATTGCGAATACCCGGCCGGGTATCCATTATCCTATCGAGTTCACAACAGTCGTAGCCGCGCGCCATCGCTGGTGGCGCCATTGTGACCTCGGCGTTTCGATGCTCTGGCCCGCTTCCTGGCCTCTTAACCCCGCAAGTTGCAGACATGGTCTTGAGTATTTTTGAACTTTTGAAGGTTTGTTTCTTTGTTATGATTCATCATGATTGGCCGGCTCTCATTCACTATTTCTGCACATGTGATTTAGCATTCTATACAAAAGCCGGCTGTCGTTGACATGTACGGAATAGAACTTTTACATCTTCATTTATTCCCCTCAATATACTCCAGCTCCGTTGTCCTTCATCTGCCGCTTCACTCAGTATATCAAGTGGATCTTCTGCCAAATTAAGATATTTAAGTACAAATTAAATCAGGCTCTACGAATATCGTGGAAATCCACAATGACTCTCTCTGTAAAGGGAAAATACGCGATTATTACAGGCGGCGGCGCAGGTACAGCATCACCACCACCATCACCAAAGAAAAAAATCCGCATCGTCTCTTAAATTACGTAGCTAAAATCCAACTATAGGCATCAATCTCGCCTTCGCTCGCTTCCTCCTTAATAAAGGCTGCTCAGTCATTATTGGGGATCTTAAGCTCACACTTCAGGTCCAAGATGTCTTGAACGAGTTTCCCCAGACCAATCTAGATAAAGGTCAACCCGCCGCAATGTTTTCCAAAGTCGATGTAGTCTCGTGGCGGCAGCTCGCATCGTTCTGGGAATTTGGACTCAGAGAATTTCCAAGGATTGACATTGTCATACCTGGTGCTGGGTTATATGAGCCGCCTTCGTCTAGCTTTTGGCAGCCTCCTCGCACAGAGACAAACCCACATTCTGCGTCTCTCGACCTTGCGGATGCTGAGCCGGGACACTATGCAATCTTAGACATCAATCTAACTGCCCCTATACGTCTAAGCCAGTTGGCCATTGGATATTGGACGCGTAACGAATTGTCTGGCTGTATCGTCCACCTTGGAAGCATCGCCGGATATATTTCAGGTCCAGCTACGCCTTTATACTATGCTAGCAAGCATGGACTTCACGGCTTTGTGAAATCTCTAGGCGATCTACGCGATCAACTAGGCATTCGAATCAGCGCAATCGCCCCTGCACCTGTACTCGTAAGTTGCATATGTTGCTATGACATGCATCCTATGAGACATTAGTAACTAAACGAGTAAAGTGACGAGACTGACTTACTTACAGACTGCCTTGTGGAATAGCGACGAAGCCCGGCTGAATACTTTGATGAAAGATGCGACGTTTGTTCCCATGGAAGAAGTCACGGTGGCCATGTACGAACTTGTCGTTAATGAAGAATATGGTAATGGAACGATATTGGAAGTTACAGCCGGTGCGACCAGAGTTGTTCCTAAATTTAATGCGCCTCCTCCGACTGCCGGGTCATTGGGAGCGCCAAACGCGAAACTCTATTACGACCAACTATTTGGTGATCTAAAGACAAAAGGTTTGCAAACGTAGACACGGAATGATTGCTTCTAGGTTGTTGAAAGGAGATATCTTCAAAGAGTATCAACTAGCTATACAAATTCCAATGATTCATAGCATAAACTAAGAAAGTGGCTATTCAGCACCCCATATTTCCTATCTAGAACTGATTCTCGAAATCAAGACTGGTGAATCCCGCCAAACACTGGGGAAACATAGTTATAGTAGCAGATGCTAGACGCAGATATTAGAAGATAAAAAAGGTAGTAGCAGAAAGTACTAGGTAGTAACAGTAGCAGATTTTATAAGGAATCGAGTACTTCGCACCTACATACGTACGTGTAGTAGTAAATACACAATTTTGCTTCGCATCCTGTTCTGTCACTTGAACTTTGCGTGATCACTGAGGTGCTATTCCTAAGTCTAAGCCAAAGTTTGATAGTATACGATTACAGGCATTGTTGGCTGCCGTTCACCATGAACATGAGGTCAAGGGCAGCCTCAATCTAAGTTCGCCAATACCAAGCTCTCTAATCATATCACAGGTCACAGGTAGAAAGAAGAAGCTCTTGACTCGCAAATATATAAATCACATTGAAAACTATACTACTACATCAAGAAACATCAAGTAATAAAACAATGGACTATATGAAACACCAATCAATCACTCCTTTAACCACCCCATCAATCACTTTCTCGCCAAATTTTGCTAAGCTTAGTAGGCCTTGCCGGTGTCGACAATCTCGGTGAGGTTGGTGTTGCCAGTCTTGAGGATGGTCTTCTCCTTGGGGAGGGCCGAAATAACCTCAGAAGAGATGTTCAAGTGGTCGATAACGGTCTGCTCGGGAGTCAGGGCAAGCCACTGAGCAACAGAGATATCGGAGAAGTGGCTAGCCTGCAAGACCTCAAGGAAGATGAGATCCTCAGTGCCGGTGTTCTCGATGTAGTGAGCATCAGCCTGGGGGATATAGCCAACATCACCAGCAGTGAAATCGAAAGTGTTGGCAGAGCTAGGGGCCTTGTAGAGAGTAGCACGGCCAGAACCCTGCAGGAAGTAGTCCCACTCATCGGAAGAGGTGTGCCAGTGAAGCTCTCGCATAGCACCAGGCTGAACAGTGACCAGAGCAGCAGAGAATGTGGAAGCGATAGGGAAAGTGGTGGGGTCTAAAATCTTGACGGAACCTCCGGGGGTTTCGAATGCCTTTTGCTGAGACCAGTGGTAAGTGTAGCCGGCGGGGCCCGTCAGGGAGCCGTTAGGGCCAGTGATGTTCTGCTTGCTAATGTCCTTGGGCTGAGGAGTTCCGTTGAAGATGTAGAGCTGGTTGTTGGGCAGGTTCTTGAAGGCATCGACAGGGGCGCGGAAGTTCTTGGACAGGACAGAGCGAGGAGTTCGGGCAAACATCTCGCTGATGAGGAAAGTTCCGTTCTCATCAAAGTCACCCTGGTCAAAGACAAGCAAGAACTCGGCACCGTTCTCGAAAGCCTGGATGGAGTGAGGAACACCAGCAGGGAAGAACCAAACGTCACCCTCGCAAAGGTCGTCAGTAAAGGTCTGAGAGTTGTCGTTGACGGCCGCAACACGGACGCATCCCTTCAAGATCAGAGACCATTCGCCGGCAGTGTGCCAGTGGAGCTCACGGTAAGCGTGAGGCTCAAGCTTCATATCGACACCAGCCATGGCCGTAGCAGCAGGGAGCACGGCGGTGTTTTGCTGACGGGCCCAACCAGCCCTACCAGAAGCACCGGGGCGGTTGTGAGAGAGACCAAGGGGCCAGACGGCATTGGGAACAGCACCCGAGTCCGTTCCGGGAGCCGCAAACAGGTCGGGGTTCAACTTCTCATACTCAAAGGTACGAGGACCGGCGTCACTGCCACCGAATGCACCGCGAATGGGCTGCGGCTCTTCAACGCTCTCAAAGTCGAGATAGACGCCGAGGCTAGCATCTGCGTCTTGTCCGGGCACCTCTTTGATGTTCTTAACCACGGCACTTCCGTCACTAGTGTCAGGAATTGGAGCAACACCCCCCTGAAGTCCGGTGCTACCGTACAGACTGCCAGAGGCAGCAGTAACAGTAGGGATTGGAGGAGTGACACCCGCAACAGGCCCGGTGTTCTCTCCAATGGATTGGATCCTATATCATGGTTTGTTAGTTTTGAAACTCTTTGTGATCAGAGAAAGTTCAGAAAGGAATGTTTCCATACTGGGGAGCTGGAGCGGCTACCGCCAGCATCGCAGGCAGAAGGCCGGCAAGGGCAGAAGAAAGCTTGGGCTGCATTCTGAAGGTAATTTCCTGGATTGATGTCCTCGAGTGGTCTTAGCTCTCTCTAGAAGCTGCTGGATGCTGTTGATGCAGAGGATGAGAAGCGAGTGCTGAATCGATTCCGACAGCAGCATTCTGGCATCTTTATATTAATCGAATTCGTGAACATATCTCCAATTCTGGGCCCGAGATTCGACTTATGTGCTCCGTGCTCCGTGCTCCGTGCTTCTCATCGCCTCCATCAGTCTCATCGATGATGATAGACTCTCCGACTCGCCGAGAAAGGCCGACATGACAAGATGCTAGCGGTAATAACTCGAAGATAGGACCAGTCGAGATTGGGTCGCACGATAGGTAAGCGCATCACGTCAACTTCCATGTAGTCAAATGTTGCTTGTAGTCCACTTCCAGGCACCGATGAGGTACTCCATCTGGGCGATATCATCCCTGTAATTCCGGTGATTCGTCATAGAGGCTGTGTACGGAGTATCATATGGCCTTTGTGATTTGCACTCATAATTCGCTTTGAGCGGCCCGAGAGAGCAATCTTTTCCATCCTAACTCGAACTTTAGACCCGAGACCGACTGTAGTTTGGATCAATGCGCGAGATATTACCCGTTCACTTGTGAACCCCGAGTCTCTGCTGCCACACTGTGAGTTCCCTATCCAGAGAAAGATCGTCCTGCTCTCTCTCATTAAGGAGTATCGACTTGTCACGAACCGGAGCGTAATGCCTCGAAATGGAAAGCTTGAGAAACAGGATTGGCCTACTGAGAGCCGAAACATCCGTGAATTTGCATCAATCAAAGCCCACCATGTCACATCGTGACGCTCATTCACGTATAAGCCGGTGGAGCGTTTTGGTTAACCCATGAAAACATCATGGCAAACTCGTTCCGATTATCCGTTCAATGGGCCACGGATCCTTTATACTCAGCAGAGCAAACTCCATAAATGTCAGACACTAGACGGCTGTGCAACCCCATCCCTCAACTATCGGCCATAGGGCATCGAGGCCCTCCGGTTTTGATCCAAAAATGAAGCTGTCAGGGCTTCTCTATTGGTCCATTGGCGGGCCGTGCCTAGACCCATGAAGATGTGCGGGGATTAGAGGAAGGATTGGCAGCTATTTTTTGCCTCCGAGACGCTAAGCCGAGCGGGACACTTATTGTGTAGCATCCAGTGTCGTGCAGGAGGGCGGAAGACGTGATGGTACACGTAGCCTTGGGAATCTACACCACACGTATAGCATCCTCCCTGAGATTTCTTCAGACACCCTTGGTACTTCCATGTACCGTTCTCAGCTTCAGCACCTCTCGGGTCCGGAATTATGTCGGTATTCTGGCGTCGCATTACCTGCCGGCACTCCGGAGGAAACAGCTTTGCTTGGCGATGTATCGTAGCATGGACGTAACATGGACAGGTAGCAATGGACTTGGTGGATTCTCATCTGAATATCGAGTATGGCTTGAGATCCACAAACCCACGCCTTAAAATAGAAGCCCGCTGGACAAGAATTGTGAGAAAGTTGTTTTTAAGATTACTAGATATAGTTCAAGATTGTTGTTGGTTGTCTCCGCCCAACAGACATTGAAGGGCAAAAAGCCAACTTTACTAAGGTTAGAATGCTTACAGGTAGTTGGTGTTTACATGCGGTCGTCTGTCTTCCCGTGCGCCACGCAGATCTACGCGCCCTTTCTTTCTCGCTAGGAGAAAATCACAATGCTAGCGGTATTTTGGAATGGCAAAGGAAACTTGCACTCATTCTAGCTGCGTTTAGGCAAATGTCCAAGTGCCTGGAATAGCATCAAAACATAGACGCTGGATAGTAAATGATGCTATAGCCCCACGTAGAGCTTGCCCATTTGGTGATGCGGAACTCCCCGGAATCCAAGTTTGGAGTCCATCAATCAGTCGTTACCATCCCAATCGGATCTCATCCTGTTCCTGCGCAGGCCCTCCCTGCTCTCAGCGACTTAGATCAGCGCACCCCGGCGAATCAGACAGCACAGGTTCCGCCGGGGCAGGGCTTCGAGGTCTACAATATGGTCTCGACCCGCCCATTCCGGGATTTCTGATTGCTCCTGCTAAAAGATATAGATTGATAATGTACATGTGTACGCATGTGCAAACAGACATATGTACTCATAGTGTTTCTCTGACGGCGGCGACTACTATGTCATTTGTAGCGTCTCTCACAACAGCCGTAGACTTATAATAATCCTGGGTATTGGGGAATGACAGTACGAATGAGCAACATACTCGTAGATGAGCAAAACTTGACGGCAAACTTGCAATTAAAAAGTGTCTTCCGGTGGACATACCTTATGCTAGTCGTATGCAGACATTGGCGTCAAAAGAGGGCAGACTCGGCTTTCAACAAACTTTGCCAACAGATTGAGAGCATCGCGCATGACATTAGATCCCATAATTTCAGTCACAAGGAGACCTACTACACCTAGATCATTTTGAGATATCAGCTTAATATTACCAGGGACATACAACTTGATTTATTCCGGCGCATTATGCTGGCTGTGGCGGTGGAAACAACATCATTGGTGTCGATGTGCTGTTACAGGTTTAACAAGAGGCCCAGCCGGTAAATAGCTCGTATTGGGGACCTTGTCGCCACAAAATCCTACAGAATACTTCGAAGAGACTCTAATTAACCCGGAAAAGCGGCCATGCTGCGCCGCTTCTCCAATACACAGGCAGCTTCGTGATCCTCATCCCGCTCATCCTGTGAGGAGAGACTACCCTGGACCTAGAATGAGACTGGTGGCGAGATCATTGGCTGAAGAGTTTGGATATGGCCAGGCGACATGAGAAACTTACGCAGATAGTCAACGATTGAGATTTTTCAAGGAATCTACAGTTAGCTAATCCCTTTAGATGGCATCCTAAAACTGCATGTGCAGTATTATCAGGCGTGTCATATGAGATGTAAAAGAAAGACCCCCGATTTACTAGCTTAATCCTTTGAAGTAACCCCTTATATCTATCTTTACTATCTCATATCTGCTATTACTAGTACTACTACTATCACTAATATTTTTTACCATTTGCTATTATCGCTGTCAATTTCAAGGCGCGAGATGATGGGTAGCTAACTTGGAGTGCTGGCAAATCTGTAATGATAAGTGAATTCCATTTTACTACTTGTATTCTGCTACCTTGTCGAGTTTCCCAAAGCCCTGTATTCTCAATTTTACTTATCGTACTATATCCACACACCACATCAGAATTATCCCAGTCAAATATTATGTGAGCAAAACGATCCACATCTTGGATACTGTATAAATACCCGCAGCATTTGTCGGGTTGCAGTTTCTCTTTGCTTCAACAATGCCGCCGATTGTCGCATCGTGACGGTTATGAACAGCCCTGTCGTATTCCTTGTAGACAAGAATGATTCAAGTTGTAGCTGTTTATACAAAACTGCGGCGCTTGATGACAACCCGGATAGCCTTCTGTGGGCGCTTGACTCCAGTACCGGGAATCATGCTAGGGAGCTTCCACGAGCCTTCAGCGTTGTCCATATCCCACAATGTGATGAAACAAGCAACAATTCCCATGACCTCTTTCTCAGCAAACGTCCTTCCCTTGCATACTCCCGATCCGGATCCCCATGGTTTAAGTTTTCCATATCGGGCGACTCGGGCGCCTGTCTCTTTATCTGTTTCAATGAACCTATCCGGAATAAACTTGTCGGGCTCGGGGAAGATTGATGGATCGGATTGGAGAAGGGCGTGAGGGGCTGAAAGCCAGGTTCCCGGCTTGAAGTGGTGCTCAATGTTGCCATCAGGCACCGTCAAAGGTTTTGACACATATCGAATAGATGTTGGTTCTTCAACCAGTCTAAAGGTCTCGAAGAGGCAAGACTTCAGAAGAGGACACTCATGGCTCAGTCGTGAAAAGTCAAACGCGGTGATTTGCGGCGGGTAAGTTGCCGTTGACAAGGATATGCAAGAGCTGACCTCCTCCCGCAACTCATCCAATAGCCCAGGAGTAGAGTGTATATAGAGCAGAAGCCAGAAAACCATCGGTTGCATGTTGGCGTTCAAGCCCCAAAAAGTGCCTAGTTCGAGCTCTGCTCGTGCGCGCATAGGGACATCATGCTCCGCGAGAAAGTTATTTCTCTCCATGGCTGCAGCACTAACATCGCTCATGTCGGCGTCAAAGTCCACTGCGAGGCCGCGCTTATGCTGATTTATGCGGTTATAAAACCCTTCGAGCGCATCGTGGAGGCGAGTGCGAGCTGCGAGAGCCTCCTTGAAAGACTTGATGGGAGCCCACGTCGGCACGCCAATGACGAGTAGAGGGAATGCGTTGTTGTCAAATTTCCAGAAATCTTCAAGGAGGTTGTGATTGCGATCCAAAAAGTCCTGACCATATAGTCGCGGAATGGAGACACAGGCGCCAAAGTCTCTCATGAGCAACTCAAGATCTGCTTCAACAGCATCTGGTTGTTCTTTGGAACCGGCCGAAATAACCCGAAGGGACGCACATCGCTCCCACTGGTGTTGTTTCTTAGCATCCGATGAAAAGCTAAGCAGCTGGGCTACTTTTTCCGGAATATGGGCGGCCTGGATGGAAGCCGTTGCCGAAGCCTCGTTGACAAAGTATCGTTCAATTATCTGCGTCAACTTTCTGTTTATGGCCATAAACTTTTGGCAGACATCTTGAGTCAGATTAGCACCAAAGACACGAATGCCCAAACGCAATCCCAAAACGTCGGCGCTCAGAATATGTGGCCCCTTGGTGAACACTCTGTCAATGTTGTCGAGGTTGTGCAGGATTTGGTGTCGTGAGGTGAGCCCGAATAGGGACCCTTTACCGCGCGAAATGAGCGAACTATCTTCTAATTAGTGGAAGATGATGCAAATTATTGGTTTCAGTACGGACAAAATGTTTGAAACAGTCCCACCGGCTTGAATCAATGCGCTGCTCACGCCAACCTCAAGCGGAACCCACGGAGGAAAGTCATCCTTTGGCTCGTTCTTTTGAAAGCGTGAATACACCCAAGTAGACGCGACAAAAAAGACGGCTAAGAGGACAAGATAGGACGTAGCAGATAATGACGCGTCCTGGCCTCGAATTGATGCGAAAGCATCTCTGATTATGCTATCTGCCATATTCAAGACAGCAGTAGCAGACTAGGGCAATCAGATCGTTCATGGCGAACGACTCAGGGACGTGCCGCATCTGGAGTACTTGTAATAAACCACGGCTAGACCGCTATTATGAGCTAGTTGAGATAACTTCGTTTCAGCACTAGTTGGTTAATTGTGAATTCAACCTTAGGGCTGAGTGGCTTAAGCGGTCTACTTGGCAAAGCTGACAATTGTGAATGATGCTGCCTCGAAAGTATCATACTTGCTTAGGAGAGAGAGGGATATGCACCCCTGCGGTAAGAAAATGCGGCCAATTTGATTCGCCAATGCTGCTGTTTGCCTACCTCTATCCCGGTTGATGAATGTTATCAGAAACGCCAGTATTTAGCGCTCAACCTGTCCCGCTACTCGTACTCGTATACTAGCATGAATACGAGAGCCAGTGGTATCAATTAGGAAACATTTTCAATCTGGGCATTTTCCGAATTTGTGCTTTAGAACCACTTCCAGGATTCGCGGCTTTCGATTGGATATCTTTACGCGTATAGAGTGAACCACTACGAATTACGTGGTCAGTCCCACAACTAGTTATTTATATTAGCACGGAGCACGGCTTCTACGGATACAGTCCTGAAGCAAATGGATACATGACGGAACAAACTCCTCAATTCATTCGCGATATATACGCGTATTTACGTTGTCATATTGTCATACTATATACAGTAGTGATTTGCGTTGTCTTTTCGGACTTAGGTGCTCTTGGTGGTGTCCCAGATGACATTGCCAGATCCGTCCTTGATCTGAATCCAAGGAGCCGAGTTGAGGACCACCATGGTCTTACCACGGCCCCCAGTGTTTGTTTGCCATTGAACGGCCCCGTTGAAGTAAGTTCCAAGGTTACCGCTGGAATCGAACCTCAACTGGCATCCGGAAGGGCTACCGCATCCCTGGCTCAGGGTGTGTCCGCTAGCCCAGACAGGTGTACCGGACTGGAGAACGACAAGGTTGTTGTCGCCCTGGTATTGGGCAATGACATTGTGAAGGCTTGCAAATGGGCCAGTATCGGTGGAAATGGTCAACGATCCAGCATTGAAGGTGACCGAGTTGGGAAGTGCGATAGTCGAGCACAAGAAGTTGGTGGTGTTGCCGGGGGCAGCGACAAATCCAGACTGGAGGTTCGTGGTTCCAGTGAGTCCAGCTGGGTAGTAGATGAGGTTTGCGTTTTGGTTGAAAACGCTCTGGATGGGAGAGCTGCACTGGGAAGCATCCGAGAAGCTGGAGTGGGGAGAGGGAACACCCGACACAGTGTTTCCGGTAACCTGCAAAATATATTAGCAGACTATTAATGGGTATGACAAGCGAACTGGAAAATACATACGGTCAAGCCGTTAGACCATCCGTTGATGGCAATGGGGAAGCTGACATGACCACTGATAGTGTTACCAGTGACAGTGGCAGGGCCCTTCAGAGGTGGCGGGGGATCACCAAAGGACCAAACATTGGCACCAATTCCAATGCCAAGGTTGAACAGCTTCTGGCCTTGGATGTTGTTGTTGGTGACGCTGACGCCAGCATAGCTGCCATCGTACTCGCCGTCGACCATGTTGATGGCACCGAAGCCGACATAGTCAGGGGAGGAGATGATGGTGTTGCCAGTAATGGTGCTACCGGGAGAACCGAAGATGACAATACCGCCATCAGTAGGGCCATTGATCTATCACAGAGAGGTTAGCTTATTGGATTCATCTTTCTTTGTGGCTGTCACTTACAGTGTTGCCCTGGACAAGGGAAGCAGTGCAGTCTAGTGAGATACCATCTGCCCACTGGCCGTTTCCGTTGGCATCAGTACCAGACTGACCGCAAGGACCAATATCATTGTTGACAATGGTAACGTTCTTGCAGGGGTTGTTGTTATCTCCAGAGCCAATGGCATGAAGACAGCTCCAACCACGAGGGTTTCGTGAAGCTACGTTGGAGACGGTTTGGCCGGTGGTGAAGCCGCCGATCTCGATGTTGGCAGCGCCACCTGGGAAAAGGCCAGCTCCGCCTCTGTTGCCTTCAAGCTGGAGGTTCTTGATGCGGATGTTGTTGAAGTTCTTGCCATAGATCAAAGTGCTGGCAGAGCTGCCTGGAGCAACCTGAATGGTACCCCTTGAGCTGTCCGTAGGGTAGCCCTGGGTGGAGATTTCCTGGTTGTCGGCAGTGAAGCTGATCTGATCAGTGATCTGAATCACGGCACCAGGGCAGAGCTGAACGACGGCGCCATTGCCCCCAGATTGCAGAGCATTCTGGATCGTAGCTTGGTTACCCGAGGAGATACAAGCGGCAGAGGCAATGGCCGGCAGCGTAGCCGCTGTTAGCAGGCTGTTTTTGAGAGTTGCCTTCATACCGGGCAAGTCTATAACCCAAACTAAGAAGAAGATAGTAGTTTTCGGGTAGTTGACAAGAGCGCCTGTTGAGTAATGAAGAATCCTGAGAAATAGAACGAGCCCCTAGCGCTTCCCTTCCTCGCTTTTATCTTCCCAACTTGTGTCTCCTATCCATTTTGTCACAAACTACAACTCCATACCATTCGCGTGTTGTGCGGCTTCCTTTTCCGATCCTCGGAAAACCGGACTTTACTATGTTTCAGCACCTAGAACACCGCCCCGACTTTCTGGAGAAAGAACGAAGTAAGCCCACAATCATCCGATGCTAGAATGCATATTGCTTAGGTCTGATGCTGGTCTTGCTGGTGTAATCGGTACTGAATAGGGCGCATCCCAGCCGTGTCTGACAGCTGGACACCAACTAGTCCAGATCAAGAAGCTCCATGCTAGCCCCTTTTACTTGCGAGCCCTCAATTGAAAGCCCGACTGTGAAAACCCGAATAGCCTCGTGTGAATGGCGGATTCTCAAGGGCGATGAAAAACGTGGTACGGAATACGGAGTCTTAGTCGCCTTCCGCAAACCCATCGGCAACATTCGGCTCGGCAGTAATCTCGGTCAGATTCCTACTATATTTGTAGTAAGGAAATGCATGTTTCACCCCCTCTCATTGGCTTCGCATCAAGTACCTACTTATGACGCTGTTGCGTAACAATGACCGAGAAAAAACAAGATCGAGGACGGAGAATATAGAATGGGGGGGAGAAAACTAACTCTCTTAAGGCGATGTGCCGGATTTGCTATGCATAGTGGAAACGTTGGGTGCCTGGAGCCGGCAATTCCCAACGCTACGCTGCAGGTCGAGCTATAATATCACGTTGCTCTGCTTCACTTTAGGCTAAATGACAACAAGATCGAGCCAGACATTAAGCCTAACCGAAGTAGCGGCATCCTTCATCCTCCCGACGCACACAACCACTCGAAACATCGCGACTAAACAATGCGGAGAGGTACGAAATACCAGATCGGGTTGCGGGGAAGGCCTTGTCTTGGCTGTCGATGAAGGAGCCGCCGGTAATCTATCCTTTAGGAGACGGGAAAATCTGGGGAAAGCGATGGGTTTTAGGAGATTTCAAGTTCGTGCCCTTCGTACAGGGTAACATTGGCAGATGTAAGTGACGGCGTACCCGGAGATGGAGAGGATCGGCATACGAGAAATAGCTTTGGCAGCCCGCAGTTTGTCATATCCCGTCGGGACAAAACAAAACTTGCTCGATTAAGAAACTGGGATGAGACATGAAGCCATTTCTCAATGCAGTCAGAAAAGCTGCGGGCGAGAATGAGCGGAGAGCAATGCACATGCAAAATAGACATGTATATAATAGGTGGGAATTTATTGCTTCAAAAGGGAGGAGGAAAAGCTATCAATAGGAACTCGGGCGCACCGATCGATGCTCTGATACTCCAGATCACTTGGTGTATCATCTTCAAAGGCAGTCATGGCGGGCCTACGCATTCTACCATGGATGTACTCCATGGCTCTTTTCCACCTCGCTCAATCCCGAACTTGTTTGCCTGCGTACCAAGCGACAACAACTTATGTGGGTTGCTATCATGATCCGAATTCGCCTCGTGATCTCGCAGGGCCATTTTTGACTGTAAACAATCTCAATTCACCCCAATATTGTGCCAACCTATGCGGTGCTGCTGGTTATCAATATGCTGGAGTTGAATTCACCATGTAAGGAACTCTGAAGCTTTGGAAGTGATGCCGATTCAAGATCTCAATTCTAACACAATTAATTTCTGTAGCCAATGCTTCTGTGGCCACCGCATTGAAAGCACTTCCGTCAAAGCTGACGAGAGCCAATGCACTTCGCCATGCCCTGCGGACCCTAGCAAGATTTGCGGAGGCGGCAACATGTATGTCATCAACTCCGGGATCAGAGATGATGAGAAAAGAGAATTTTCATCTAACGTTAACTCACAGGATCAACATTTACCAAGTCACTAATCCATCGTCAAACCCTCCCTTGACGCCTTCATTCCCTGACTGCACTCGCGACCCCCTTTGCAGCAATGATGTCTGTGACACCACCAAGAGCATTGCCCAAAGAGCCGCCGCCATTGTTCAGCCCATGACGCTGAATGAGAAGGTCTCAAATGTAGGCAGTTCTGCTTCTGGCAGTGGACGACTCGGTTTGCCAGCATACCAATGGCAGAATGAAGCACTCCACGGCGTCGCTGGCAGCACCGGTGTGCAATTCCAGTCGCCCCTTGGAGCCAACTTCAGCGCAGCGACCAGTTTCCCCATGCCTATTCTTCTCTCTGCCGCATTTGACGATGCTCTTGTCCAGAGCGTAGCCACTGCTATCAGCACTGAGGCTCGTGCGTTTGCCAACTATGGATTTGCTGGATTGGACTTTTGGACGCCCAACATCAACCCATTCCGTGATCCCCGCTGGGGTCGAGGCATGGAGACTCCTGGAGAGGATGCATTCCGTATCTCGGGTTACGTACTGGCTTTGGTCAATGGTCTTCAGGGCGGAATTGATCCCGATTACTTCAGAACTATCTCAACATGCAAGCACTTTGCTGCTTACGATATCGAGAACGGTCGCACTGGGAATAATCTTACGCCTACCCAGCAGGATATGGCTGATTACTATCTTCCAATGTTCGAGACCTGCGTTCGCGACGCAAAGGTCGGATCCATCATGTGCGCCTACAATGCGGTTGATGGCGTGCCAGCTTGTGCAGATAGCTATCTCCTCCAATCTGTGCTTCGCGATGGCTACAACTTTACCGAAGACTTCAACTACGTTGTCTCTGACTGCGACGCTGTCGAGAACGTTTTTGATCCCCACCATTATGCCGCCAACTTGACTCAAGCTGCTGCCATGTCTCTAAATGCAGGCACTGATCTTGACTGTGGCAGCTCTTATAACGTCTTGAACGCCTCGGTGCAGGCTGGTATGACAACAGAGGCTACTCTGGACAAATCATTGATCCGATTGTACTCTGCACTCGTCAAGGTCGGATGGTTCGATCAGCCCGCAGAGTATAGCTCTCTTGGCTGGGGCAATGTCAACACCACACAGACACGAACCCTTGCGCATGATGCCGCCACTGGAGGAATGACCCTGTTGAAGAACGATGGCACTCTCCCTCTTTCGCCCACTCTCCAGAATGTCGCAGTCATTGGTCCGTGGGTTAATGCCACCACCCAGTTGCAAGGCAACTACGCTGGTACAGCACCGGTACTGGTGAACCCCCTGACAGTCTTCCAGTCAAGGTGGCGCAATGTCAAGTACGCACAGGGAACCGCCATCAACTCTCAAGACACTAGCGGATTCAATGCTGCTCTCTCTGCCGCAAGCTCTTCGGATGTCATCGTTTATCTCGGAGGAATTGATATCTCTGTGGAGAATGAAGGCTTTGACCGGAGCGCAATCACCTGGCCCGGAAACCAATTGGACTTGATCTCTCAACTGGCTAACCTTGGCAAGCCCTTGGTTATCGTGCAGTTCGGAGGTGGCCAGATTGACGACAGTGCTTTGCTGAGCAACTCCAAGGTTAACTCCATCTTGTGGGCTGGATACCCTGGCCAAGAAGGTGGCAATGCTCTCTTTGACGTCCTTACCGGTGCAAGCCCACCAGCTGGCAGACTTCCCATCACTCAATACCCTGCCAACTATATCAACAACAACAACATCCAAGACATGAACCTTCGACCATCCGGAAGCATTCCTGGACGTACATACGCATGGTACACTGGCACTCCTGTCCTTCCTTTCGGTTATGGATTGCATTACACCAACTTCTCCGTGTCATTGGGATCCACGAAGACTGCTGGCACTGATGTCGCCACTATTGTCAACAACGCCGGATCAAACAAGGACAGAGCAACATTCGCAACCATCGTCGTAAACGTCAAGAACACCGGTGGCAAAGCAAACCTAGCATCTGACTACGTCGGCCTGTTGTTCCTGAAATCCACGAATGCAGGCCCCGCGCCTCACCCGAACAAGCAGTTGGCCGCATACGGACGTGTCAAGAAGGTGGGCGTTGGTGCAACCTCACAGCTTACTTTGACGGTGCCCCTTGGAGCACTTGCTCGTGCAGATACCAACGGTGATAGATGGGTCTACCCCGGTGCCTATACCCTGACTCTGGATGTCAACGGGCCGGTGACGTTCAATTTCACTTTGACTGGTTCAGCAACAAAGATTGGCACTTTGCCAAGAAGATCTTGAAGTGATTGGGACTGAAAAATAATGTAAATATGTATGTTGGATAGTTATCTAGTAACAATTGAGCTTGGATGACATGTAATTTTATAATTTGCGCCTGTGATGGAGCTCGCCCGTGTAGAAAGAATAATCCCACCATATTCGTTCGACTAGGTGCACAGTGCATCAAATAAACGGACGGACTATAAATACTTTTATTCAACCAAGTAAAGTAATTACTATTATAGTGGAAGGCAGATATTATTCCAAATGACATCGAGATCCAAGGCAAAGTAAGAAGTGTAAAGGCTGGCTCAGAGAAGCGCTATGCCTAGGTGGGAGAAAACCGGTCATCTCACAAGTGATTCTTTCGCAAAATATTGCCCCATATTGAACAACGGGGTTTTGGGGGCCATTCGAAACGGTTTTCGGGATCCAAGGATAAAATATCGCCATGTTGGGTCGAAGCAATTGGCCCGCTTTGTGATCTCCCGAGTAATGAGCCGGGAGGTTGGCTCTCTTGGATAAGACGCTTCTTGCATGTACTTAATATAGAATCGATTTATCATAACACATAACAAATGATAGTTCAAATTAACCTTGCATTCGAACCGAGGCGTGGGAAAACCCAGAAGGAAAAACCCATACCAAGGTCAACTAAAACATACTATGTAATTATGGATATTCATCCTTTTTCCAATCCCACACGAGTCCACAAGAGTCATTAACCCAACAGCAGTCTCACGAAAAGCTTAGATAAGACCGGCCTCGCCAGGCTGGATAACACCGTCAAGCTTGGCAGCGGCGTGAGCCCGAGCAACCATGCCGTAGACGGGGAAGTACTTGTCAAGGTAAGGAAGCACCTCTGCGGCACCGGGGACGTTTCGCCAGTCCCTCATGAGGTCGCAAACGATAGAGAACAGGCTGACGACTTGCACACCTGCGTGTCTCATCCTGTCGTTGGAGATCTCGCGGACAAAGGTAGAAGAGCTGCCAGAGGCCTCGGCATTGGCCCAGACAGAGTATCCCGCAGCTCGAAGAGACAAGGCGAGATGAGTCGTGCAAACATCGGTGACAATTCCGGCAAGGATGACCTGAGACTTGTTGGTAGCCTTGACAGCAGCTTGGAAGTCCTTGTTGTCCCAGGCATCGACTTCACCCTGGCGCTTGATGAAAGTTGCGTTGGGATACATGCCAGTAATCTCCTTTGGCAGGGGTCCGTTGGGGCCTAGTTGTACGTTTAGCTCTATGTAATGGTATTTCAAGTGCCAAATGATATACCTTGCTCTGCGGAAGTAGTCAAGATAACTGGCAGATCAAACAGCTTTCCAATGGCGGCATGCGCAATGATGCTCTCCTTGTAGGTAACTGGTTCAAAGTCACGGACAGCGTTGTAAAGGCCATCTTGGAGATCGACGACAAGGAGAACAGCCTTCTCTTTGTCGAGTCTTTCGTAAGGATATGCTTCAGGAGAACATGAAATGTCAGTACTGTACAAGCCCCGTCAAGGTTTCGCGCATTACTCACAGCTTCCCATGACGGTAGCAGACATCGAGGCAAGCGCCACGGCGACGGTTGAAAGGAACTTCATTGTTGTTTATTGGTGTGATGGGTTCTGAGTTGAACTAGAGAGGATTGGAGAGTGTGATTTGCAAAGTTGAGCTTGAGCCTGAAGAAAAAGAATCGTCTTTGAGGGGATTCATCTTGAAATATATACTCCAACACCCTTGTCCCTGAGCTTGCCTTCACGAAGGATTCATTCAAGAATATGGCTCAGAAAATACCTGATTTCAAAGATAGTTCACTACTGCAGGGCAGTCACAGTGTTCCATGGGCTGCCAGCGCAGTAATTTCCACCTTGCATGCATGATGAGGTCTTTTCTCCGCAGTCAGCAAATTCAAGTGAGGCTATCCACATATTGCAACACAACGAGCTGCCTACCAGGATCTGTCTCTTCGCCCGGTTTCTCTTTGTCCTCCATCACTGTTAGTTGTAATGATGACTAGTCCCTGACCAGGCCCTGGTCCACGTTATGTAATTCTAGTGTCAGCTCCGCAGCTGTGGCTTGATTGGTTCCAAATGATGCACAGCACGCCTTACGAGATAGAGTTGGCCAAGTTCCACCAATTATAATGAGTTAGCTCAGCAATTATGCTATGTTGACAAGTGGCTGACATTAATGAAGCCAAGCTGCGAGGGAAGGGATCGCATAATGGGCAACAAATTGTTAGCCAAAGTCGCCACCTTATCAACAACTATGTCATTAACTATATTGCTACTATCCACACTTCAACCGCTGTGTAATAGCTGAGTGTATTCTCTCAAATAGTCGGCGATAGGAAAAAAAATTCGAGCAAATCGAAGATTTTTGCCTATATTTACTCCCCCTAATTGCGTGAAGTTAATGCGTTCCCCTATGTGCACAAACACACAAACACACGATCATGAGAGAGATAGGTAAGAAGACCAAAGATGCTGGTGGGAAAATTAGCTCATTGATTTTTTCAGACTATTATCGGCATCTTTATTGAACCAAACCGTCTTTGGCTTTCTGCTGTTCAAACCCATTGCTCGTGTCTGTTTACAGGGTTAATGGTATGTATTCTTGTCAAAAGATCCTGGGGCTATACGAAGCATGAGCAAGGAATAGATTCCTTATACATTGCAGATTATGGGTCTCGAAAGCCTCGGCGTTACTGTGTACAATGCTGAGTGCGGACGTTACCCGCGTTCATTTTCATAACATTTCAAGTCAGCATCCGAAGGCTAGTGCAAACTTTGCACTGCTGCCTCGATGGTAACCGACCATTGAATCTACAAAGTGGTATTGAGACAATACTCTGGGAAATCCTTCCATATATGCCTTTGTGGTGTATGTCTTTGAAGTGGCAAACTAGGAGGTTTTGATCGGACAAGGTATGAATCGTAAAACAACACCTCTCGTTATGACTCAGGTTTGACAAACAGTTAGAAGACGAAGATTTTGTGTTTGCCACCAATTCATCAGCAATGTGTAAAGATTTAGTGCCCAGCATATGCATAAATTTCTAGGTATACGATGAACACTCTGCCGCATGTATACAGTGTCGCTGCCAATCTCGAGGCCTCCCCCTTTGTCTCATCATTTAGTCATTGTCAAGCATTCGTTAACAAGAACCAATAGTATTTCAACTTCCTCATGATTCGTATCTGCCGAGGTTTACTTGACACGCTTGAACGGCTAGTGCCATATGTGCCTGTGGACACTGGCGTCTAGCTCTCGCGAGATGGAGCCTAAAAGCCTGATTTTCACTCTCGGAGATGTGTAGCTACCTTAAGCTAAACAGTATCAAACAAGATAAGTGGCATGCAATTCTATGTGGCAACATTCGGTTGGTCAATTGATGAATGTCGTCGAAGGGATGAATCTTTTACCCCTTGCCAGTGGCAAATGAGGACACGGGTCAGCCTCACGCAAACCGAATCTTGTATTTACATACAGATCTTGGTGTACTGACAAGTTGAATTTTCGCCGCTCGAAAGAAAATATCTTCTAAACTAAACCAAGCAAGTCATCTATGGCTATATTCAAAAGTACCACCTCAAGCAATGTCTGTGAGTATGTACACATCCTCTCCTAGCTTGACCCCTGAGGCTGCCCCCTGCCGAGATATTAGTATTCTACAAATCTCGTGCGCAATCCTAACGACCCACTACACGCGTCCAAGTTTTAAGAAACAATTTGATAAGGGCTTCTTGCTAAGCTTTGAGTGATATCTGAGTCAGTTCAGTATCATTGTTTATGGACGCAGAGATAGAAGAGCTTTTCCTATGAGTATTTCTCAACTAACAGTGGTCGGACAGGATCACCCGAGGAGGAACATTAAACTCTGAGCCACCCAGAGACAACAATCGTTGGAAAATAAAGTCCGAGCCCGGACCGCCTCAGCTCACACATGAGTTCGCCCCCAATCCCGACCTAGACACCACTTTAGCTGGGCGTAGAGTATGTTAGCCCGGAGCCGTGTAACAAATAAGTGGCGGTGTAAAGCGCCGGCCGCTACCCAAATCTCTATCATCGTTGTTAGGTGTTGGTGTAGCGTGTTGCCGATGCTATACTCCGGTTTCACATATCATCCCCTCGTTCCCCCATCCATGATGATCAGAACGTGGCCCCCCTTCAAGCACATGTTTGGATTACTCATGCTTGAGATTATTTAATTGAGACACGTGCAAGAATTTTCGTCCCGTCTTTATCCCGAAGACACCATTTACCCGGCTATGTTACATCAGGCTGGCTCGTGGGGCACCGTTGCAAAAGCGTTGGTGACGATCAATGTCACCGCGTTCAACTGGGTCGCAATTTGTCTTTAGGTGATATCGGCCAAAGCCTAGTGGCACTGGAGTTTATGATATATTAGCATCTTCTTTCAGCGTCCATTTACAATGATATATAGGGCTCCAGCCGGCCCACCGATGCCGTCGCAAACATTACCAATTATTATGTAAATGGCGAAATGTGTTCATCACACGCTTTTCATCACTCGAGTGTGATGGACCCGCACCTCGGCGAACGAGTGGTTCCACATGCCCATACAAATTAGACGCCGTACCCCAATAACTTGTAACAAGTCATTTCGGATTGGGTGGTTTTGAGCTTCGCAGACTCGCTTGAACATGAGGGGAAGATCTTCAATTAATTGATCAGTGGAACGCAGCGTTGGATGAGCATTGTTCGAGATTTACCATTGGATAATGGTGCGGATAGTGTTGAACTGGTGCCCAATTGGTGTCATGGGAACTCTCAAAAACACTTCAACCAACAACGTTGACATGGACTATATAAACAATCGACAATGCTCTGGAGAGAGATTGGGGGAACTCCAGCGCGCAATCGGAAACCATTGCACCAATTGTTTGACTTTAGAAGATCGCGGCCTACCTCATTCTTCATGCGCTACAGTTCTGTCATCTTTGGAGCTCTTGGGCTCTCCGGCAACTTTGTCGACGCAGCTTCGACTCTTCTCTCAGGTGGAACAATTATCGCATGGGACGACAGCGCAAATTATCTCAAGATAATTCGAAATGGTTCCGTTTTGGTCACAGATGATCGCATTGCATCTGTGAATGCAAACCCTCAGCCGTCTGAATTGCCGCCAGGAACGGAAGTTGTCGACATATCGAATCAAATATTGACTCCAGGATTTGTTGATACCCACCGCCACGGATGGCAAACGGTTTTCAAGACAATTGCCTCAAACACATCTCTTACCGAATATTTTAGCCGCTACGGAGAATTCGTCGCGGCAGATAAATTCACGGCTGATGATGTATATATTAGTCAACTTGCTGGCTTGTACGAAGCCATGAACGGCGGAGTGACAACACTTCTTGATCACGCTTCGCACACGTGGTCTGCAAGCACGTCTTACGCTGGATTCAATGCATCAATTGACAGCGGGGCCAGAGTTTTCTGGGCATTTACTTTTCACAACATCACGTCTCTCAACTACACTGCGTCGGACCAGATTCCGCTTTTTCGAGAAATAGCGACAAACAAAGAAGCACTAGTGGGAGATTCTCCTACAGAACTCGGCGTTGCATATGACTTCTGGGGCCCAAATCCAAACGTCAATGAGGCTCAGGGCATTGCAGATCTCATCAAAGAGTTTAACGTCTCAGTCATGACAACGCACTCTCTTGCCGGACCATGGGCTATAAGCAATCTTCCAAGCGAAGTTCAGCGTTTTGGCATTTTGAATGGCACCGTTCCCATTGTCTTCTCTCACTCAAGTTTCATCACTGCGGACGATGTGCAACTGCTTCGTTCTACCAACCAATACATCTCCATCACTGCAGAATCGGAGATGCAGTACGGACATGGCCACCCTCATTCATATGATATACAAGACCAAGCCGCACTTGGCATTGATACTCATTTTACCTATTCGTCCGATATTTTGACCCAAGCTCGAATGTGGCTGCAGTCCGTCAGACACCATTTTTACAATCAAGTGTTGGAGAATTGGCGGGTCCCGACTTATTCTCCCATGACCGTCAATCAAGCGTTCCTGCTAGCAACTGGCTCCGGAGGGCTAGCACTTCGACGACCCGATCTTGGTGTCATCAAGCCAGGTGCCAAGGCCGACTTGGTAGTCTGGGATGCGGAAAACTCTCCTTCGATGCTTGGGTGGGACGATCCTGTAGCGGCAATTATTATGCATGCAAACGTTGGCGATGTTCTGCACGTATTAGTTGACGGAAAGTTTGTTAAAAGGGATGGTAAAATTGTCAACAATGATTACCCCAATATTCGGAGAGAATTCCTGAAGTCAGCAAAGAAGATTCAGAGCATATGGAAGCAAACTCCTTATCCCACGTACGAGGGCGAATACTCGAGCGGCTATGGCTACGGAACGCCATTGACTGTCGATGTGCAGAGAGGAAAAGATACTGGTTATGGCACACAGTTTTTGTAATCAACCGGTGGCAACCACAGAGAGATAGATTGCTGGTTTTGGGGAGAGGGCTGTATGTCAGCAGAGTCATAAGTGACTGTAAATTCTTTACTGAAATGTTTAATTCGAGAAAAAATGTTCAGCGCTCAGCAGCAACGCATAGTTGAAGTTCTGTCGCAGTATTCCGAGGAAATATAACTATTATCGTCACTTATGCTAGCATCACCACTATCACTATAATCCTCTGGTCCCTTCTAGTACCAATATTAAAGTCCAGCATGAGGGGGTGTTAGACAGCAATTTCTTAATGCACGTTTTAACTTCTTTTTATTGAGTTAACATGGTATCTTATGAGCTGTTGGTTGCGTGCTACATCATCAACCAACTACATACATGAAGCCATGCAATCACTCAAAGGTAAGACGCCTCAACGAGGAATCCCACAGTAAACTTGGCATGTCGAAGAACCGCCGGCCACTGAATCTTATCGAGAGACTATCTAAATGTCAGCTAGAAACTGGGTGATCTTGATAGTGATACTTACGTCGCCAGCAGTGTGGATGCTGGGGTTGGACCTTTCGAACGTGTCTTCATTGACAAAGGCAGAGGCTGTCATGCACATGTCAATAAAATTCCAAATGACTCTTTCAGGACTTGAGAAACTTACGGAAACCGTTAGATCGAGCACTTGCGTGGTCAGAGCAGCCATACCCGCATCGCGTGGTAAGAGGTGCAGCGCCCGTGTACTGAGTAGCAATTACTCTGACGTATTGCGTCAAAGCCGCATCAACGTTATCAGTATAGACAGCCAGCTGGTTGCTTGGTGAGAATCCAGTCATGTCTTGGTTAAGCATGGCAAGGACTGTCTTCCCAGTGGATTTATAGTTGGAGAAGATTGCCTGAGACCCGAGAAGTCCTCCTTCTTCACCACTATACCAGTGAAACTCGATTGTATTTTGGGGAGTGAAGTCTGACTGGGCGATGACACGAAGAGCTTCAAGGATAGTAACTGATCCAGAGCCGTTATCATCTGCGCCGGGGCTGCGGGCTGTAGTCGAGCCAGCGGTGGAGTCCATGTGAGCGCCCACAATGACTTGAGATCCATTAGCAACTCTGCCATTTCGCATTCAGCATCTTGGTAATAAACTTACTAAGGTTTGAACTCGCTCCGGGTAACCGGGCTATGATAGAAGGCTGGTTCCAGGTATGGGTGAACCTTTGCACGGTGATCTCCGGTCTTGCGGAGGCAATGGTGGAGACTTGATCAAATAGCCAAGCCGAAGCCTGAGTGCCAGTTGTTGAGCGGTAATGCCGAGTAGTGAATCTAATCAACTGTTAATATGTGCACTGGTAGCTGTATCGCGAGAGTGATCGACTAGTACGCACTGAGTAAACGTAGTCAGCCAGCTTTGGGGGCCGCTGGTGGACACTTTTGCAATGAGCGACTGGGCTTCGTCTACATGCTCGACCCTTGTCGGATAAGTGACAGCACGAGTATTCAGAGAGGTGTCTGATGGTGGCCTTGACAGAATGGACAGCACCTCATCATCCTGTGAGTTGATGTCAATAATGATGTCTATGGTGATCACGACAAAATGACATCAGTGCATCATGCTTGCCTTAATATCGGTAATGTCAATGAATCCAATGTTCTTTGAGGTAAATCTGTCGAACTTCTCCTGTTCAGTCACCCACTGGCCAACGTCATCTTCCGAAGTTTTGATAAGTCGAAGCTCCGAGTTGCTGCCAGTGAGTGGTGCAGCGAGAGCAAGCGGGAAAGCCGCCACAAGCAAAGCAAAGGTAGCTTTGGTAACCATTTTAGAAATCCGAACAAATCGATGTTGTCAAGAGTTTGGAAAGAAACGGTCCGGTATCTATGGGGTAGTGGCTCATTTTATCCATTAACTCCATCACAAGAGATGAATCGGCAACCCAAATGACGCCACACTCCCTTCTTTCAAAAAGCATAGATTCAATACCGTTGTTTTGCGCCATTCCAAAGAACATTGGCATCCACTCATTTGCATTGACATATGACGAATCGCAAACTAATGAGCTTCCTTATCTGGTAGCCAGAGTCCGCAAGAACAAAGGCTCCCCTCATTGTTGCAAAACATTCCTAGATAAGCTAGGTGACATTCGGGCCAAGCATGGATCAAGCTGAGCGGAGAATAGGCATATAAGCTTAATTTATTGGCTAAAACTATTTTTGTCAGCCACCCAAAACACCTCTCTAGGGCTTTAAGGTCTTCAAGCTTGTCCTTGGCAGTCGGGCTTAGCTGCGGATTGGAAGTTGGAGTAGGAGAAGAAGAAAAGCAACTGTAGCATTTGCGAAAGTTCCACGCCAAAATAGCAGGTGAACCAAGATTGACTCCGCGCCGGCATTCAATGTAGCCGGAGATGCGACACTTTGATGTCTAGTGTTTGGGTGGAAGAGGGTTTTTGGTGAAATAAATGCGCAAACTATTGCGTTCCTGCTCGAAGGTTGCCATAGCGGCGCAAGTTATGCCAATGATAGCCGATAGCAAGAATAATTGAAGCTCTTCGCGGTTCTCAAGTACGACATCGGCGAAATATTAAGCCCGATTCATGGAGACTTGGGTACTTACACAGCAGGATTAGGAGTTGAAAAGGATTCGAGATCAAATGAAGAGGAAAGCGATCTTCTCAGAATTGTCCGATTGCCCGTAGTAATGTGGATAGAAGACGAAAGTAAACGCTATTCATGGAGCTTGTGGGCCGAAAAGACACATTGCTCATTTGTATACGTTGTGCTTGAACCTTGTTGTTCAGGCCTTTTGGCGCATGTATTCTGAGTTTGTTCTTAACTTTTACGCAGCAGCGGTCATACTTTGCGGCCTGAATCTTCAAGGCTTGACTTGGTCAACTGTTGTCGACAAGATTGAGCTACGGATTGATTCTGGATTTGGCCCAAAAGCTGGAGCGTCGTCTTTATCTGAACCAGCTACTACACTTTGACTGACCATCTTGACCCTAAATATAACCTCCATGTACATCCTTCAGCAATTTTGTAACCGCATATTTCTTCGTCAAGGCGGGTCGAAGAAAAAAAGGTATCGCTCGCCTTCGAGCCGCGAAGTGTTTATGATGTAAATTTAGTCGGGCTCCACCCATCAAATATCAAGAAGCTATAATAATATAGTGGTTAGTATATCAGTTTGTGGATATGAAACACTGAAGACCGAGGTTCGATTCCTCGTTATGGCATGATATTTCTTTTTTTACTTCATTTTCATTCTTTTGCCCGAGGATATTATTTGCTTGTCATAGTCTCATTTCATTTCATTTTTTTTCTTTGTGGGTCAATCTCTCAATGCTTCTGGTGTACGTCAGATTTAATCAGGTAAAAGTAAACTGTAGCAGACCCGACAATTCAAAGTGCTTCAACAAATTGCTAGTACATAGGTAGATCATACGCAATCCTATACAGCGTAGTATCCATACCATGAGTTATCAGAGGCAACAATTGCCGTTATTGTGCTCCTCTGGAGTGCCCGCTTGGGTGGCCATGACTTGTTATCTCATAATATCCGGCTTCTATTTCCTTCCGGCCGAATCCGACCGCTGGAAGCTCTCTGTATTTGGGCGTTGGCCCACAAAGATTGCAATCTTGTTGAGGAAGTGTTAAGCCTGATCAGCTCTAGTAGCTTCACTAGAACACCAATTCCGCCCGGCATCATTCGGGAGGGCTACAACTTAAAACCGCTTCACAATCACCACCAGCCCCGATCGACAATTATAATTACATATAAAGATACTTTTTTCAGCAGCTTTTGAGTATTGAAGCTGTCAATCCAACAGTTACGACTACCATTTCACATCTTAGCACCCAAAGTACGAGCGAACAACACGGCAGCCCATCGCAAGCGGTTTAAACTAACATTTGGACTCTCCTATAGACTCACTGAGCGAGCGAGCATTTCCTAGACACAATGGCCTCCAACTTCACAGTTCTCTACAACCAGCCCAAGGAGGGCGAGTACTTCGACATGGATTACTACATCAATACACACATGCCCATTGTGAATAAGCAATGGGGCCCCATCGGCCTGAAGAGCTGGCAGGTCATCCAGGGCGGCCCTGATGCGCCCTTCTCCGGCGGTGTCTTGATGACCTGGGAGAAGCCCCAGGATGCAGCAAATGCTCTGACAGCGGAGGAGTCAAAGCCCGTCTTTGCTGACGTCCCCAACTTTACAAACTTGAAGCCAATTTTGCTGCCTTCAACCATCTTGAGCACCTGGGAGAAATAAAGAGGGGTCACGGAATTGGCGCGGGGTTTGGAGGGGACCCCTGTGGTGTCATGACGCCAATTTACATGGTGGTGGTACTGAATACGCGTGTATTAGCAGGATGCGTCGGAACATAGCAGACTCTGAATGGTATCAATTTTAGCCGGGAACAACGCTACAGTCAATATATTGTACGTGAGATGCAGGTATATGCTAACTGAGAGGATTATATGTACATCTTGTTAGGGATGCCTTTTGATGTACATGGCACATAATCCCGCACGCGAAAGAGCATGATTCTATGTACACAGCTTCCTCAGGAAGGCCATCACATCACCTCATCATCTTCTCATAATCACCTTGCTAAGAAATCTCAACACACACCTTTCCCTTGTGCTTGCCCAACCACTGGTATTCACAAGCTTCTTTGAGCTGATCCAGCCGGAAAACTTTAGAGTCAACGACGGGCCGAAGCTTCTCTGGGTTTGCCTCAATCGCACGACACAGCTCTTCCAGCACGATTCTAGATTCCACCGCAATCGGCCGCACGATGCATCTGTGCTGGAAGCAGTCCGAGAAGCTCGGCTGATCACCACTGGAACCTCCCAAATACCCAACAATATTGATGACGCCACCAATTGCGACGGCCTTCAGACTCTGTCTCATAGACACTGGTCCAGAAACCTCGACAATATGATCAAAGCCGCTTCCACCGGTCAGCGCTTTGGCAGTGGTGCCCCATTCGGCGTCTTCTTTGTAGTTGATAACATGATCAGCACCAAGACCTTTCAGAAAATCGATTTTGTCACTAGAACTCGTAGTTGCGACGACTCTAGCACCAACTGCCTTTGCGAACTGTAGCGCAAACACGCTGACGCCTCCCGTTCCCTGCGTCAGAACCCATTTTCCAGCACTCACCCTATAGTCGGACAGCCCAAAAAGAGCGCTCCACGCGGTGACTCCAGCACAAGTCAGTGTTGAAGCTTCCAGAGAGCTTAAGATTGATGGAATTCGAACCAATCCCTGTTCATTAAAGGCTCCGTAAGTACGAAGCGTACCATCCAGCGCTCCTCCGAGCGCTGAGATGGCCGCGGAGAGTTGGAACGGCCCACCGACATAGTCCTGGAAAAACGCCGTGACAACTCTGTCGCCCGGAGTGAAGCGACGAACGTGTTTGCCAACTGCGACAACAGTGCCAGCTCCATCCGACCCTGGTATAACGTTTGGAGCTACAGGGTGAATTGATTTCCCTTGTGCTATCATAAGGTCACGGTACTTGAGAAGCAAACTTATTAATCATGATGATGTAAAGTCGAGACGCTGTATCGACTTACATTGAGCGATACCGCTTCCACTGTATGAGTTGTTAGGATGGCGATATCTATAAAACGGATCCACTATCAAACTCACATTTCACCAATACCTGACTGTCTCCCAATTCAGGGAGCGGCTGTTCAGAATACTGCAAAGCATCAAATCCTTCTCCGTCGCCTACAGTCCACTGGTGGACGACTTTGGGAATTGAGAGTGCCATTTTTTCAGGTGCTTAAACAGAATATCGAAAGGTAGAATTGCGAATATGACTTATGCGGCACACATCTAGAATCTTGAATAGTATATTGTTTGTTTTAACTCTCCACGTGAATGCTATTTATACCAATGACATTTCCTTGCAACAACCTGTTTTCGCTATGTGAAAACTCCGTACATTAATAATTCGCTGCAGAGGTTCAGTCTTCTGACACGGAAGAAGTAAGACAATTCAAGAAATGGTTCAGAAGTCAGAGCTCAATTTATAATTCTCGATGGATAGTGGAGGGAGCTGCGTACTTAATAGTCATTTATTACTGTCTTGGACATTGTCTTTTCGGACAAATCTGAAATCTCAAATAGGTAGCTGGTGGGGTTTTGAATGGAGCATTTTATTGGCCATCGGCGATGGTTAGAAACATTTAAAGACTAACGCCGAAGTCTTTTCCTTCTCCATCGAATGAGAGGTGTTGCTTAACTGGGGCTCAACTCATCGGACTTGTTGAACCGCCAGTTTTCCGTCCCAAATTCATAGTACCATAGTAACTTTTACCGCGGAGCTGTTACCTCACCGCGGAGCTCCTACTTTACAGTGGAGTCAAAGTCCTCTTTGTAATGAACACAATGCTGTCGGGACCGGAAGGCCGACCTAGATGGCATCTGAGTCGTATCACCGTATGTTTCAACGTTGGCAACAGGACAAGTCAAAAGCGGCCAAAGCGGCATTTGTAGTTTTCGGGAAAAAGTAAACTGGAATTTAAGTAAAACCGATGAAACAACTTGCCTATTATCCTCAAACATCGTTTGTTGTTGACACTGGCTGACATCACATCATAACAGGTCTCCTCGAACAAGCAATAATTGCCTCTTTTGGCGATTCGTGCCACCGCTAACGCCGGCTTCATAAAGGCGAGCACCGGAACTGCGATCCATCCCCGCTCGCTTCGAAACTCCGTGGTTCTTATTGCCGATAGACTTGCCGATAGTCTTGACTCAAGTTTACGAACATGTTGCGAAGAGTTGAGATAAAAGAGAGTGAAATGCAATCTCAAAGAGAACTTCAACAACTATATTCATGGCATCAACACATAAACGCCTAGCATATTACACTCGACAGATTCAACTTAACAGCAGTTACTGCGCTTTTAATCGCTTTCATTGACAGCAACTTAGACCGTTCAGCTTAACTCATCCCACAATGTCTCTTCCTACTAGGCGTCTTGGAACTGATGGCCCTCTCGTCACAGCCATTGGCTTTGGCGCGATGGGCATCAGCGCTTATTATGGAGCCACAGAGTCTGATGAGGAGCGTTTCAAGGTCCTCGACCATCTTTACGAAACTGGAGAAAGATTCTGGGACACTGCCAATGTTTATGGAGACAGTGAGGAACTCATTGGCAAGTGGTTTGACCGCAACCCCGAAAAGCGGAAAGATATCGTTCTTGCAACCAAATGGGGGAACCTGGGCGGAGGCAAGGTTAGAAACGACCCTGAGTATGCTAAGGAATGTGCCGAGACGAGTTTGAAGCGTCTTCGAACGGATTACATCGATCTGTATTATGTCCATAGAGTCGATTCAAGTGTTCCCATTGAGAACACCGTTAAGGCCATGGTCGAACTCAAGAAGTAAGTCTCAGCACTGAGTGTCTCCTTAAATTCCGCCATGCCTTATGAAGAGAAAATACTAACTCTTCTTTAGTAAGGGTTGGGTTCGGCATTTGGGCCTCTCCGAGGTTTCGGCCGCAACACTAAGAAGAGCCCACGCTGTGCATCCCATCACTGCCGTTCAGATGGAGTACAGCCCCTTTGCGCTGGAGATTGAATTGCCAGAGACGAACATGCTCAAGACATGTCAAGAGCTCGGCGTCGCTGTTGTCGCCTACTCTCCTCTTGGCCGAGGATTCTTGACTGGACAAATTAAAAGTCCTGAGGATTTCGAAGAAGGAGACTTCCGAATCGACATTCCTCGATTTTCTCCCGAAAACTTTCCCAAGAACCTGGAGCTAGTTGCCACTTTGAAAGAGATTGCGGCTCGGCATAATGCCACGAATTCACAGCTGGTTCTTGCCTGGCTCTTGAAGCAGTGGGACATGGTCATTCCGATCCCAGGAACTAAGAGGATCAAGTACTACGACGAAAACATGGGAGCGCTGCGACTGAACATTAGCGATGAGGAGAATGAGGAGATCAGGAAAGCTATTAACAAGACGACTATTATTGGAGGCAGGTACCCTCCAGGCTGGAGTGCATCTCTGTTTACGGACACCGTTCCGCTAAAGGAATAAGCTGTATGCTGCATGAAGCATGCTTGTTGCGTGATGTATGAAGAGGTATACAAACATTATTTCTCATATAGCTAGTTTACTAGAATCTATGATCAAAGTTGCTAAGATACTAGTAGCTGCATGCAATATAGGTTCACATTACCAAATGCTCATTAGCAAGGTGACACTAGCTTTGCCTGAGTTGACAAGCTCGTATTCGTGGTGGTGATGGAAATACTACATCGGCGGCGAGTTTATCTCTGCCCCCAGGGTCCCAAAATTTGACTGGGCACTCTGACAGTTTCTTGGTGCTTGGCTAACTACCTGACCAGTTACATTTCACCTCGGTGGTTTTGTCAAATTTCACAGCAGCTTTAAACTCCTCCTGGTCTTCCCTTTACCTCCAGCCCTGTAATTGGCCTTACTCGCATGCAAGTCGTGCACGCTTATGCAGTTGGGAAAAGTTGGGACCATGTCATTTCACAGCAATCTTAGCCTCTCCCAAAGGCTTCGTATTCCCTTTTCCTGCTGGCAGTAGTATGCGCTTCCTCGCCGAATGTGGTAAATCTAGTCATCTCGCCGCGAAAGTTCAAAAGACAAAAAGACTCCCCCCAAAAATACATACATACGCAATTTAAGGGTTGTTTACCCACCATGATCCCATTACTTTTGTCGCTACTGCCACTGCTTCAATGGTCGCCGCCTTCGCACTTCTAAAGACGGTCCGTTAGTGTCGTGCGTTAGAAGCCGGGCCAGAACCGCGATGGTGTGAATAGCGTCGCTCCCAGCGCTGTGGCAGTAGCGCTGTGGTTGGCAATTTTTGCTGAAGCCCATAGAGAGCATCACATCTCCAAGAGGTGGCCAAGTCTTGCCTAGATCTTCCTGCTTCGATGTACAAACTTGCCGAGTTATATCGACAACATCTACCCATCCAACCATCTCTTGGAATAGACTTGGGAAAAGCACTTGAATAGCAGGTAATTCTCGGGGATGAGGATGCCAGCCGACTAGTATGATATCCTTCCCAATATAGCGTTGTCTGATGCTATCAACGATGAGTCTTATTTCCTTGCCTGCGTCTGCGGTTTTAATAGTACATCCATAGGGAAACGGGGGAAATGGTTTTCGTCGACTTCGGCCTTCGAGATAGAAACAGTAAGACTCGATTTTATATCGATCTACAAACTCTTGGGTCTCAAATGGTAGCGACGGGAATTCGGTAGATTGGAGACTGGTCGGTGGTAAGATAGCGAGACCTATTGACGTGATGCCTTCTCCAATCCCTTCACAGCCTTCCACATCGATGCCTAGGAACACCGAATCTTGTAGTTGGTGCCTTAGGGAACTAATATCTGTGGTTTGCTTCTGCAAGCAAAATGTTCTAGCTTCCGGACTCTCCAGAAGGGTTGGGGGGAAGAGCTTCGGCATCGCACTCTGCGTTTTTGGCTCCAGAGTGCCGAGGTTGCAAGATTAGATGATTCAATTCGCTAGAGTAAGAGTTCGGGATAAACAAAACGACGAACGGAAGGTCTACGGAAGGTCTTCGTGCAACGAAAGAGAATACAGAGCGCACCACCAAGTATTTGTTTGCAAAAGGGTCAGTAAAGCTACAATAGCTAGGCTAAAGGAAACCTGAAGTTACACCCCAGCCTTAAGTTTAAAGTCAAAATTCATTTATAACTCAACTTAATTAGCTACAGCTAAGTTAAACTTTGGAAATTTAGGAATGTATATAACTAAGCCATGCAGTGGTATTTCTTTTATAACTTTCTACCGCTCTAAACAGCAAGACCAAGCAACGCAACACTAGTGAATTGAGCTCCCTCCAATGTGGTCTCCCCAGCGCCCCTCCACTTGCGCGTTTCTAGCCCGATTGCAAAGCTGGTTCTCTAAATAGATAGTCAAAAGAACTAGGTGAATTGCGGAGACAGGTGGCCCAAATTCTATTGATCAGGGCGATATATTCCTTATTACCGTGATATACTCGGGAATCCAGACTCGGAAATTCCACCTATCTCCATATCTTGATAGTGCCAGGGATGGCATCATCTCTAAATGCGGGGTTGAACCTCTGCTAATAAAGCCGCTGTGTGTCGCAATCGCAGCGATTGAGTCCCGATTGTTGAAAAAAAAAATTCGCGACGCAGTTGTTACACCATCATCGCTCTATTTTCCGTAATAAACAAACTTCAACTCTAGGCCAAAGATTGAAAGACGAGAAACAAATTATAACGATGGGTTCAAAACCTAATTCAGCACTAAAGGTGGTCTTTGGCGCCATGACCCTTGGAGACAAAGGTTTGTTGTATTCACTCACCAAGAAAGTGCATCTGCTGAATGCTATTCCCAGGCGCCACTCAAGCTCGCATTCATACCTTGGAGGAGTCCGCCGAGATTCTCGATGTATTCCAGCAATTCGGTCACTCAGAGATCGACACCGCCCGAGTGTATGGTGGAGGAAGTTCTGAGAGATTTCTTGGCCAGCTAGATTGGCAAAAGCGAGGGATTGTCATGGATACAAAGCTATCGCCGAGCAGTGGCCAATATAATCACACACCTGAGGGTCTTCGGAAGGGCCTTTTGGAAAGTCTGAAGGATCTCAAGACCGAAAAGGTAAGCCAAAAAGAAGAGCGCATCGTACATACATTCTGAGAGGAACATCATCAGCTTATTCATTTGACAATAGGTCGATATGTGGTACTTACACGCACCGGATCACAATACCCCATACGAAGACACTCTTCGCGAAGTCAATAAACTCTACGAAGAAGGCTACTTCAAACGCTTCGGAATTAGCAACTATTCTGCCTGGGAAACCGCCCAGATTTGCGAAATCTGCATCCGCAATGGGTGGAAGAAGCCCGATGTCTATCAAGGCGTGTACAATGGTCTCCATCGAGCAGTAGAGCCTGAGCTCTTTCCCTGCCTTCGAAATTACGGCATTGCATTTTACCAGTATAATCCGCTGGCCGGAGGAATCCTCACAGACAAGTACAAGCTTGACTTCAAAGAGCATGAAGAGGGTAGCCGCTTTGACCCCTCGAAAGCACAAGGTAAAAACTACCGAAACCGATACTGGAACGAGACCTACTTCAAGGCCCTAGATGTTGTCAGGCCAGTAGCCGCCAAGCTCGGCATCCCCACCGCAGAGGCAGCTTTGAGATGGTCTCTTCATCACAGCTTGTTGAAGAATGAGCATGGTGACGCGGTCATCATTGGAGCAAGCAGTGCTCAACAATTGAAGGAGAATTTGACAAGCTTGGAGAAGGGCCCGTTACCGGATGAGCTAGTCGCGGCGTTTGATGAAGGATGGGCAGTGGCCAAGGCGGTTTGCAGACCGTACTTTCACTAATGAACAGCTCTGACGATTGTATCTGCATGAAGTTAGGGCGGAATCCTTTGCTCAAATCACCGAATATAGTGGTCAAAGATTTTGTAATGCAATGAGATAAAAGGCGCCGCTTATTAGAGTGAGACTGATGTCGCCGACTGTATTACATGTTAGTGGCCCAACATATGCAGCCAGTCACAATGCGGATTCTTCTTGCCGATACTCCAGCTCTCTCCGGATGTATATAACATTTAGCTATATACCTTTTTTACCCGTAGTTTTCTGATTACTTATACCTTCGGTCTCGTATTCTTCCCTCATGCGATGATCAGCAGGGTAGTCTGCCCATTTCACGATTGATGATGCCGGTAAAGAGACAGCAACAATCATGGTTATTCAAACGTAAAAAGTATTCTAATCTATAAATTCTGTGCCCCATGGCTTCACATGGTCAGATCTTCCAAATGTGGCAATCATGGAAGCAACAATGGCATTGAGACTCACGCGCATCATCCAGGAAACCCCATCTTTATATGGCATTATCTACTAAATCTAAGCCTATATAGCCTCTATGAAGTATTACTTTTGATCAATACGTATATCGAACGATTCCTCTTTTGCTATTCCGCATATTTTGCTTACCGCTCGACTGCCATGACTGCATATGTAGGAGCTGGGGTCGGTATTTCGGTATTTCACGATCGCGTATTTTTTGAAACCCCAGATCTTTCTTTTCCGATCCGTCGGGATGTAACCCTGCTTGGATCCGATTTCAAGACCATGAAGACAGGAGTAACAAGTTGCTTCTACTAAGGGACATGTTTAGGCTAATTTGATTTCTATTTTACGTATTTGTAGTTAATGGCAAGACAATGAAGCTCATATGACGTCGATCTCGTTCTCCCCGCAAAAAGCAACGTATCATGGCGGCAGCTAGATGAAGATCAGTTGGATATAAGACGCTCCCAGTGTAGTAGTAACTGCGAGGCATTGATGATGATATCAAGTCTCATTCAATAAAGTTACGACTTCATTGAGCTTCTTTGGTGAAAAGCAACATGGTCCGAACTTCAGTGGCCTCGTCCATTGCGACATTTGTGAGCCTCGTTGCAGGCGAAACAGTTCATCTAAATGTCGCCAGAAGTACCCCAGCGTCATCAAGCCCTCCTATCTCGCTTGACTTTCAGTCTTTTTCCATTGAGTTTGCGTTTCTAGTTGACTTCCAAGGTAGAATATGATCATTCCTTTACCACTGGTAAAATAACCAACATATCATTCAGGAAACAAATCTCATCCAAACAGATTCACCAACAATCTCTTGGCCAATCTAAGAGCTTTCAATGGAGATGTGCCTCAGATTCTTCGAATTGGAGGAAATACTCAGTATTGCACTCGAACTCTTGCTCAGCGGGGGACGGTTACTAACCTACTATGTTATCCAGGGACCATGTCACCTACATTCCGGACCAAAAAGAGCAGCTGATCAATTTTTGGGATCCATCTTACAACTCCGATCAGCCACGCAATACTTCCATCGGCCCAACCTTTTGGGAAGCATTAACCGCCATTGAGGGAACAAAGTACATCTTTGGGCTAAACTTTTACAAGAACGACTCTACGTATCTTGAGAATCTTAAAGGGGAAGTTTCACAGACTCTGCGGCAAATTCCTCCTGATCGGTTACACTTGTTCGAGATAGGCAATGAAAATGATTACGGCGCATTGTCTGGATTCCGACCCCCAACTTGGACACAAAAGGACTGGGTTGAGGAGTGGATTGACCGTGCACGACATATTCAGACCCCGAGCAAGTCTCTGAGATTCTATGCTCCATCGACATGCTGTTACAATATCACGACTCCTTATTCGTTCTTCTCCCCATGGACGATATGGAACAGCACGTTCGACTATGACCGAGATGGGTGGATCTCAGAGGTGTCACAGCACGGGTGAGTTGCAGCCATTCTTGAATTAACCAACTTGAATTACTAATAGAGATCTAGATACATCTCCTCAACTGGTCAGAATCCAACGCTACAAGGTATAGTTTACCAAGGACTCCATCCCAAATTGATCATATTCATTAACTGAGACCAGGTACCCTCATGAATCACACGAGCGTGGTTATCAATGGAACCGTTCATCAGTCTCTTTGTAAACTCAATCATGATGCGGGTCGTGTTTATACCCTGGGTGAAACAAACAGCGTCTCTGGTCAAGGGGCGTTTGGAGTTTCCAATGTCTTTGGCTCTGCGTTGTTCGTCCTTGACTATGAGCTCTACTATGCATCTTTCGTAAGTCAACAGGGACCCAGATTCTACCAAGTCAGCTCTAATCGAGTTCATAGGGAGTAAATCGCATGCATATGCACCAAGGAACGGCGTACCGCTACGGTGCCTGGATGCCCATTGCACAGAACGGCACAGGACCATCGACGAATCCTCCTTACTACGGTCATGTTATGGTTTCCAAATTCATCGGAGCCCACCCCAACACGAGAATCAACAACATTGATCTTAACAGCGATTTCTATTCCGCATACGCAGCATACGAAAATGGCCGATTGGCCCGTGTCGTCCTTTTGAATCTGCATGAGTGGAACCCTTCAACTGATCAAGCCGAAGCCTCGAAGACGCCGAGCACGACCTTTACTATCAGCACTGGCCAACGGGGAATTAAATATGCCACTGTCGAGCTGATGACGGCTCCGGGCGCGCTCTCCGAAACGAATATTACGGTCGCTGGATTAAGTTACGATTACGACCTGGCTGAAGGAAAGCCGGTGAGAGTGGCGAAACAGTACGAGAGTGTGCTTCGCCCGAATAACAAGGGAGAGATTTCTGTTCCGGTGCGATATTCGCAAGCAGTGCTTTTGACGTTTAACTAGAAGTTGGATGTAGATGCATGTATGTGATCTAGGAGGAGTTGATGAGAATTGCGGTTACGGATCGCCCCGAAAATCGGTTCAATTACTCCGTAGAATCCACCCTTAGAACCCAAGGCGCCATACAAGTGAAAGCCACATTTGACCGTGTGTAAAGCCAAACATGCATTTGTATATACTATGTAATCTCTGATTTCTCCAAAGCCGAAAGACCAAGTTAGATACGGGCACAGCCACCATCACTTCAGAAGATATCCTCAACAGACGGATGTTATCTCGCGCCCTTCTCCGTCCAATGGAGGATCAATTGGTAATCGCCCACCACAACCCTTGCTCAAACGGCCCACAATCCATCGGAACTGCTGCTGCGGGTTCGGCGTCAACTCACGCAATCAACGGCCTCTATTCGCCATCTGGGGAACCATTGATCCACCGGCGTCTTAGCTAGACCTACGGAAACCGGAAGGCAGAAGCACTCTTTTCTCAATCCGCCCTTTCAGCTCAAGCAGTCAGTGAACGACAACCAGAATCGCCAAGATTTGGTTCGAGAGGCGCTGTTGGTTCAGAATGGCAACAGACGAGACCACGCCGCTGCTTCCTGGCCGCAAGGCCTTGGTCTCGGTCAGCCAGAAGAGAAGCTTCAGAGACTCGCTCAGCGGCATCTTCACCAATGTCGAGAACCGCATTTTGGCGGCAGGATTTCTAATCTGCGTCGCGTTTAGCTATACTCAAGTACCGTGAGTCTCACGCCTCTTATTCACGGCCTCACAATTGTGATATCATGTCCTCTGTTTTCTTCAAAGTGTAGCCTATACTTACATCCAGAGAGGCTCATGTATGTTTTCCATCTTATGGTATGCGACGAATTCTACGACCACAACCCTCCATTTGAAGGCCCCGGCCAGCGATGCAGTCGCGACGAAATCGCAGCGGGGACCGCCGCTCAATTCAGTATTCTAGGAATGAGCACGACGCTTTGTGGTGAGTTCTGAATGTGCTCCTCTCACCTTGGGCTGCATTCCTGTGGTTATTATTTATACGAGTAGCATTGACACAAAACTCCTATAATATCTAGGAACTCTCAATCTCTTTATTGCAGGATGGACTGTCAAAAAGATTGGCCCTCGCGCCGCTCTCATGATTCAGACTTTCGTGCCCGCTCTTCGAGTCCTTGCACAGATCCTCGGAGTCATAGCCGGCAAGCGAACGGGCATTTTGATCATCCAGGCCACACAGCTGGTCACCATTATTGGCGGCCCAGCCGGGTACATTCTCATCACCAACATCTTTGTTAGTGAACTTGTTGAGCCAGCTCGGCGGACGGTTGTCTTTGGAAAGCTACAGGGAAGCATCATGCTTGGACAGAGTGTCGGGTATTTGGGTATGCATGCCTCCAATTATAGAGCACTCTATCGCTCGCTAACTCTTTGACATGACAGCTGGCGGAATGATTGGAGATGCAATCGATATCCGCGCGCCCTTTGACATCGCCTTCATCACCTTTCTCATATCCTGTGCCTACGTGCACTTTGCTCTGCCATACATTTCTCCAGATTCCATGAGCAGCAAGAAGAAGCCCGGCCAGCAGGGCATTGCAGGCTTCTTCGCTCCGCTCAAGATTCTCGTGCCCCAGCGCGTCAGAACATCAAGCGGCGGCATCAAGAAGCACTACGGCGTCATCGTTCTCTGCGCCGGCATCTTCCTTGGAGTGGTGAGTATAGCAGATCCTTTTACCTTGAGCTTTCTCTTCGATACTGACCAGAGTGCCAAACAGCTTGCAACGGACTATGCTCCTCTCCTAACCCAGCTGTATGCCACCGCGGCATTCGACTTTGATCAAGGAGACAATGGGTGGCTCATGTTCGAATTCGCCTTTATGCGAAGCTTTTTTCTCATCATCTTGTTTCCGCGTATCATTAATTTCGGACGGTATATGCTCAAGCGTAATTCCCACTCAGAACCTGAAGACACAGACGATTCGTCTATTTCTACGGCGGATGATCAACTGCCTACTGAGCCTGGAGAATTTGATGCGGCAACTGGTGAACAGGCGGATATCGAGCCAACCAGGCCAGTCTCCTCAAAACACCACCACGAGGTCGGCCACTTTGACCTCATTTTCCTGCGATGGAGTCTTGTCGTCGACGGTGCACTCACCACTGTCGTCGCATTCGCTACCAAGAGATGGCATATTTATCTTGGTAAGCTCTCTGTGAAGCAAATAGATCCATGTTCATTCGCAGTATTAACAGAGCCCTTGTAGCTGCCTTTCTCCTCCCTTTCGGTTCCGGCTCTGCACCAGCAGCCAAAGGCGTCATCACCGACATGTGTTCAGAATCTCATCGCGCGGATGCCCTAAACGCCGTGACACTCGTAGAGAATATTGCTAGATTAACAACGCAGGGGCTATTTGGGTTAATCTTCTCGAGCCTGGCAAGTGTGGGAAAAGCGTATGCGACGTTTTACTGCAATGCGGTAAGTGGTTAAATTACCTTCAATCCTTGTGAATAAGAGCGTTCTAATATGTGTCGCAACTCCAGGCAATCGCTGTGATTGGAATGACTGTGTTATTGTTTTCCAACTTCCCACCTCCGGGCAGTACGCTGATTGATGAAGAAAGCGAGAGAACAGATGAGAGTTCAAACGAGGGAGAGAATACACCTGCTCAATAAGCAATATAGTACATTAATTACTATAGATAGACGAAGCTTTTCGTTGAGAACAAACACTAACACTGGGGCGTGCTTCATGTCATACACACCCAACGCATGCCGCTACGTCGCAAACATGGTATGCTTATAAAAATGGCTTCAGCAAACGAATATAGAAAGAATATACAGAATTCTAGGCTATCAAGATTCAACCGTAAAGGTGTGCTTGCCTCCAGTAACATTGACGCTCACCCAGTCTTGAATCTGGCCTGTGGACAATGTAAGAGATGCCCCATCCATATATATCTTCGGATTCTCCAGCCCAAATGTCGGAACACAGACCACCCCGGAAGACCCGTTAGGTGTTTCCGTCTCCAGTACAAACAATAAACCAGATTGCGCATTCTTTCTCTCCCAGGAGATTCCAATCTTTCCCTTTGGAGTTGGCACGTCTCCTCTAGCCCATGTGAGCCCTCCTCCGTCTACCATAGGGCATATCCTCCACGTCTGAAACCCCGGCGTTTGGGGCTTCACTCCAAGTACATAGCTAGTCAACAATGGGACAATTCCCGTTGACCAGCCATGAGCCATGGACGTAAAGCCACCCTCATAAGCAGTCCCATTTGGCCCAATACCCTCCCACTGTGTGATGTAGGGATCATGAGTAGCCATCCATCCATACAGTCTTCGAATCTCGTCAAAGGCAGACGAAGCTTTCCCAGGAGTAACAAAACGAGCGGCAATCTCGAAATAGGAAATGAAGGCGTAGACACGATCGTTGAACTGATCCCCAGGGCTCAGCACGCTGCTATCGTAGAACGCGTTGCCATACACTTGAGACGTTGCGTTTTGCCAGTAATCAAGTATCTCAGCTGCTGTTTTGTCATCCGTTACACCCGCAAGAATAGCAATAGCATTCCCATCTTGTGCATGGACACTGCAGAATGTGCCTGCATCTCCTCCAGGACACGGTCCGCCATCGTAAAACGCACCAACACTGCTGTCAAAATTATTCTTCAATAGCGCATCTCCAACGACAACAGCTCTGGAAGACCATCTCAAGGCGTCGTCGTTATGGCCAAGGCTTTCAGCTAGCTGTGAGGCGTATGACAAAGCGTGAACATACAGAGCATTGTAGTATGTTACCGGTCCTGATCGAGGCAGAAATGCGTAGTCTCCATAACCCATGTCCGCATTTTTGTCCAAAAGCCCAGTTGCATTATTCGTATTCGAGGGATAATATTCATCAAGGACGCTGACGAGTGTATCCCAGTAAGTTTCTGCATACGAGGTGTTGCCAGTATACATGACAAGGTCAACGCTACTGACAACCCACCAGAGCGGATAATCGAACAGAGGCAAGGTGTAATTGTTTCTATGTGTATTTCTTTAGCATTGTCAAGAAGGCGAGACCATCGGAGAAAACTTACATGCTCGCAGGAGGGATCCATCCATCGGTTCGCTGATGCAACGCCAAGTCCTCCAAAACATTGCGCGTCGACTCAGCAAAATCATGAGACAGATACGAAGTTAATGCCGCAACAGCCAAGTCGCCAACATACGGGTCTCTGTCTCGCTTGGCTCCGTCAAAGAGCACTTGTTTTCCCTCCAAGGTGGGACTTGAAGCACCTCGAGGCTCTGTCTCGTTTGCGAGAAACACGTCTGTGCCCATATCTACCGTATACACTCCGTCATACCACCATTGAGTAAGCTCATCATCTGAACATTCAAACCACCCGGTGAAGGTATCTGGTCTTCCGAGAAATGCGGACCATTCGAGGCTCAGGCCCGAGATGGAAACGGAACCAAACGAGGATGTATACGGTGCGTCTGATGGCAGGGCTTCGAGCCATATTTTCACATAACGGAAGCCGTGAAGCCCATCTGAGCAAACCTTTGTGCTTTCTTCACAACCGTGAAAGTTTGTCCAGGTGTAATTTGTGTTCTTGACAGCTACCTATCGATTGGAAGGTTTGGGGATGAGCAATTCTGCAAGTTGGCCTTGTACCCACAGATATGAAGCTTACCTGATCTGTTCCGTTGGTCAATTTCTCATTCTACTCTAATATGTAAGTCATTTGATCCCAGCAAAGATGCATTTCAGTGTTGAACATACCCCACTAGCATTGTCAGAGCGTGTAAAGTCACTCCGATTCGTGAGATACTCCATCGTCTCGGAAAACGCCAATCTCAACCCCGGCAGCCCAGCAGATGTATTCTGTGATCCAGCAAGTTCGAGGCTCAAGACACCGACCACATTTTGCCCAAAATCCACCACTACTGTTGGCAACAGGTCGTTTTCATCGCTTCGACTCAATACTGTCGGGCCTTGGCGGTTAATCAAGCCATTGGGGTTGGAAACATTGCCAATTGTGCTACCTGATACAATGCCAATTGGTTTAACGATATTCGAAACGGGAGATCTAACAAATCTGTGCCAGCTTGTCTCTGTATCGGCTGCGCCAGATCGTACACCGCTTAATAGCACAAGTCCAGCATAGAACACAAATAACGTGTTTGAAACCATGATGAAGATGGTAGGTAAACGTCCATTGAGAAGTGCCGCAACTATTGTTTCAACGTCTCATGAACAACTCAATTTATAGTAGATAATAGCTTCAATAAGAAGATTTGAGACTATGACAACAACGGCCATTCATAGTGAATTTTACAACAACTCCATCGGCAATTCGCGTCATTCGCCCCCGAGTGTAACCCTGTCGAGAGACTGCATGCGGGGTCAGATGCACGATCTGTCGTTCCCCGCGATGAGGCGAGCATTGCCGATTGATCTCCAAGCATGCATGCGGTAATTATACCAGAGAATGGATGTACAGCTCCCTAAGTTGGCTATCCGACGTGCCGTGTCTCCAAATTCTAGTAGTAGTGATGCAGATACAAAAGAATGGCCCGATCATAGTCGCAGACACTAGCAGAGCGGGATACCCAATAGAGAGAAGGTATTCCTCTCCATCAAGTAACGATACACTGAGATACTGGATGGCCACTCTCTGATTTGACGACCTAAATTAATTATTTTTCATGATCAGTCTAAATTTCAGCAGATACTAAAGGACTATAGCTATAGTAGCAGGTACTTAAAGAACCGAGTATTTACTCTGAAGTAAATACTTGTAAGGGTAAATAAATAGCCTTCTTTTATATGCACTTTCGATGCTCAAACTTCACGCAGTCGACGGAATACTGGATAGCTACTCCCTTAAAGAACAATTTGAGCAGATAGTTATCACCCTCTCACGTATGTCAGGAACTTATAATATATATCGTACGAGAGACAACTATGTTGTAAGGCGGCCCTGACATGCTTGTTTGGCTTTGTTACGAACTACTTGGGGGGTTATGAAGTGTAATTCAGCATTGTTCCAACTGTGCATGATCATAGATGTATAGCGAAATGAACTTAAATATGTTGGTTTGAAGATTAAACCCAACTCCGTCAAGTCATATACAGTAACCAGTATTGTAGGAATAATTACAAAGGGTTCAAGTACAATAAACCAGGATCATGCTTTCTCCTTTGCCTTCTCGTTCAACATTGTTGTTGCTTCCCAGATATGCCCGTCCATGTCCTCGAAACTTCTCGTATATAGTCCCAAATCTTTCCCATACTCCTTCATTTCAAAAGGGTCTTTCTTGCCACCCGCCTTTTCAGCCTTTTCCAGGAACCCATCTACATCTTCCTTATTCGGCACACCTAAGGTGTATATGGCGCCAGTGACCTCCTTTGCATGTACAATCTTTGAACCACGGCGGATGAATTGTTCAAACCGCGAGGTAGAGTGTATCATGAGGCAGATATTGGCGTTGGACTTGTAAGGGAAGCGGAATGCCACGGTGTCGTCGTCGGAATAATCATCAAGAGGGGTGAAGTTAAGAGACTTATAAAAGTCGGTGGAGGAGCTGAGAGACGCGACAGGAAGAGAGACGAAGAATGATGGTGGCTTAGAAGTTGACATTGTTTATTCTATCGATATTCAAGACGATAGTATCTGTGAGTTCTGTGGAATGTGAGTTGTACTGGAATAGAAAGACTATCCAACCGCTGTTATTGTTATTCATTTTTAAAATTAAATCACGTTGTTTTCCAGACTATCATAATGACATAAAGCCTTCATCATCGAAATGTCCAAGCCTCACTGTGTCCGGCGCTAAAGACAGCGCAATAGTCATCAGATGAACGGATATCAAAAGTTTGTTTCTCCAAGCTATCGCGCTAATGACAAGTTTCTGCCCTTCTAAGAATCGCAAGTAAGTAAAGAGGCGAACAGGGATCGCCGTGCCTTAGCTCCAGCGGTGTTAGTACAGAATGATTAGCCAGCTTCTAGACTACTGTATGCAGGTGCTCAGAGCCCAGTAATAGGTTGTTTCTGGCCAACTGGAGTGTAGAAAGCCAATAAGAGCTTCTCAAGCCAGCTCACAAGATAGTCCTATCAGAGTGGCTCATTATTGCACACTGCTGCTACTATTGCTGATGCTTCAGAAGCTCTTGCGTCAACTTAGCAGGTTTCAAGATATGACATTTATATGGAGTCGATGCCTTGCACACCGCTTAAATGTAAGCACCAGACTCGGTGGCAAACTGGACGCTGTTGGAGCGCTCAGTAATCGCTAGCAGCATATATAAATTCGAATGCGTACTTTAATCTCATGAATAGCTGGTTTACAACGAAAAAAGGAGCTCATGTATTAACTGGGAAGAAAATAAGAGAATACTACAAGATATTGTGTGAGGTTTCAAGCAAGATGAGGTGTTTCGGAGAACATACAGGCGCGAGAGATTAAACCCTAATAAACCGACGGGACGGGTTTGCAAAGGCATCAAGACATATTATTTTCCAACTTCTGAGCCAATCAGAACAATTTGCTCACTTTCTCCCTACAGTAAACGCCGATTTCCTTTTTGGTCGTATTGCTGGCTGCAAAGACACAATCTGATGACTGCAGTATGCAAATTGTTGAGGATCACCGTCACTATGAGTGCCGCAACCCTGGTCCGCTTATTGTATTTACGATGCTATTGTTGAAACGTCTACTACCTTGTCATCCCATGAACATGTCACTGTATTACCCTGCTCTCCCAGATAGATTAAAGTATACCGAATAACCGGCATGGCATTCAAATACCCATAATTTCTCACAGAAGGTCGTAGTGAAAACCGTATAAATTGTAACCCCCATTGGCCATCCCTTATTTTAGCTTACTCCCTTCGGGCCGTTTCCATTACCTATTCTGTGCCTGAATGAGCATCTGTCACCCGCAGGCAGATCGCATCTGGACCGCGTCGGTAGTTGATTAGTCAATCCTGCCATGTAATGTTACTTTGTGCTCCGTCGTATGCTTCATATAATCGGAGTTTAGGGACACGAGCCTTCGGATAATAGTCAATTGGTGTCAATTGAAGGCCCAATTGGCATTTTGGTGATGAGAGAAGCAGCTAATACCCTGCGTCTGCATGTCTGAACAGCAGGCGAAAGACAATCAGGACAAGATCGCCATACGAGCTGCCTGTTTGTGCCTAATCGGTCGATGGAGAGCTGTGGTGGGACTGAAACAAGAGGTAATCAGAGCCCAACGTTTGACACCGCTTGGCTCGTGCCATCTTGCGATCGGACTTGGGAATCTCTCCGTAGGGGTTCAAGACGGGAATCTCAGTCAAACTAGTAGTATATATACCAGGTCTTGTACGCCGCTCCATAGCCTTGCATTGAAGTGAGTAAGGAGGTTCAAGTCAAAATTTACTTCACTGCCATCTCACATCGATTCATCATGAAGACATCTCTGTCGTGGCTCCTCTACGCCACTGCGGCATCAGCTTCGTCGCACAATTCACACCCACACCCTGTCAGAGCAGCGGCGGCCATTGATGCCTCCACCATCCAGGGCAAATGGCTCTACGGCTACCAGGGCTGGTTCCGTAAACCGGGTGCCGGCGTCAACAACCATTGGTCTGCCGATGGCCAAACTCCAGGACCCAACAACAGTATGAAAATGCTCTTCTCTAAGACAAGACTAATGACCATTCCCTTGTAACTTACACCATCGTAGTCGAGATTGACTTCATCCCGGATGTGAGCCAGTATCCCGCCAACTGCCTTTTCAACACCGGCCTCACGCTGCCAAACGGCCAGCCCGCCAAGTTTTACGACGCAACCTGCGACGGTGTTGTCGACTTACACTTTAAGTGGATGCAACAGTACGGCATCGATGGTGTAATTGTGCAGAGATTCCTTGGATCTATCAACGACCAGTCATTCATTACGGTTAGTCCATGACATGATAAACACACAAGCCCCTCCCAAAGATCAATATCTGACTACAAATTCAGATCCTCAACCAGGTCAAGGCAGCGGCTGAAAAGTATGGCCGTGGCTTCATCGTCGAGTACGACGTCTCCGGCGGCGACTCTTCCCAGGGCAGCGTCGCCAACCAAGTCCTCGCCGACTACAACTCCAAGATCAAGCCCTACACCACGTCATCGGCCTACATCCACCAGAACGGAAAGCCCGTCACCATGGTCTTTGGCATCGGTTTCCAAGGAATGAAGACCAGCGCTGCCGACAGCCTCAACATTGCAAACCAGCTCAAGAGCGCTGGCCTATACGTCGGTTTCGGCGTGCCTGAGCAGTGGGCTGGCGATGTCAACAGCAACTCTGGCTTTGTCCAGGCTTATAAGGCGGCAGACTTTATCAGCCCTTGGACTGTTGGCGGTTACTCTGCTGCCGGCTACCAGGGCTTCCATTCTTCTGTCCAGGTCCCAGACTCACAGTTGCTGCAGTCCCTCGGAAAGAAGTACGCACCCGTCATCTTCCCCGGAACCTCTGCTTACCACATCAACGGCGGCACCAACCCGTCTGCATTCGATTACTTCCCCCGCAACAACGGCTCTTTCTTCTCCGCCCAGGCTGATGCCCTTACTTCCATGGCCATCAAGCCTCTGTTCATCTTCAACGCCATGTTTGACGAAGTCAACGAAGGTAAGTTTCTTCAGGATGTTCATCTTTCATACAACAGCCAACTAACATGTTTTTAAATTCAGGCACCCAGAGCATGCCCGCGCTCAAGGTCAACCAACTGCCCACCAACCAGAAGTTTGTTGGCGTCGACAACGACTTCCCCGACACCAGCTTCTATCTGTCACTGGGTGGCCAGAAGGCTGCTGCTTTCCACGCCGCGGCTCAATAATCGACCACAATGAATATCTGGGCATAAATAATACATCTTGCTAATTGTCTAGAGTATAAATAACAAAAGAAAGTAAAATCACCTGGATATGCTCACTGTGATCTCCATGTATGAAATAAGTCGTAGATTTGTGCCAATTTGAGAAGAGAAACAGCAGGCCAAAGTTTACATCTAAACTTCAGAATGGATACGCGTATATTTAGAAACAAGGACCCAATAGATCTTCTTCACCCAATGCAAGTTTCCATCTTACGTGCTACTCTTCCTCTCACGTTGTTACACAATATTCCCCAATTGGCCCAAGATGGAAATGACAACTTAATAAGACTGTATGTACATCAAATTTCGAGATCCAGATCATGCTGTCAACCACCAATCGGAACTCTCATCCCCCAGTTTTCTCCTATCAGTCAGTCGACGTTTTCGGTATATGCTTCTGCAATCATGCCCAAAGATTACTACTATACACCACAAGACATCATGGTACCCACAGGAGCAACAAGCATTCCTCTCACTCCCCCTTCTAACCCATAACAGATCTCGTCAATACTCGATATACGCCTCACCCGTACAAGTCAGCCATACGACAACTGCCGTAAATAAACATCTAACATTAGCCATCATAGCTCAACCTGCATAGCCAAGGTAAACACCAAAATGGGAATAGTCAACCAGTCTGGCAGGTGTCCAATCCGGGAGACATTCCGCCCGACATCCGGCCACCTCGGAATCGATCCAAGCCTCCAAATACCAAACAAACCAATCACCACCGCCAATCCACGTTACATCGAGCTTCTTTCCACGCCATAAGCACGTAATGACAGCCAAACTGGCAATTCACAAGCGTAGTCGGGCGTACCATACACGCGGTCCCGAGCTGTCTTTTCCGGCAACGTCTGACCATTTTAAACTCAGCCCGGCTGAGGGGATACGGCTTTCGCCCATTCGCAAGATACGGAAAGTAGATCTACGCGGAAACCAGAAAGCTTGATGGGAATTGGCATTTGTAGATGTAAAACTACCTTAGACCAGCGTTTGAGCCTCTCTCGATGATCATTGTTTCATTTTCCTACCCTCTTCTACCCGAACCGCCGAAACAAAGCCCTCACCTAGACCGAGCATATTCAAACACCCACCCCGTCGTATCGATATCAACCAGCAGCCAGCAAGCAACGGCGAGAAATTTCATTTTCACCATGACATCACACTCACCAAGGTGAAAATGCGAAATAATATGGAGCGCAGAAGGTCACTAAGGCTTGACACTAGACCAGTTAGCTCGAGTCGAACTAGAGCCGCCGTTCCGAACCCTTCTATCCTCGCGAACTCCGGTGGCGTGGGCCGCAAGTTTCACCAGAGAAGAGAAAAAAAAATTTACTTAGTTTGCGCCATTTTGTTTTGCTCTTCGTATTAGTGGTGGTAGGGTGTGTAAGATTGGAAAGCTCCCCCAAGGTGGTAAGTCCAGTGTCAAGAGTGCGAAGAAAAGCTCTCTTCAAACTGTATAACTTTTTTTTTTTTGGTAGGGAACATTTTGAGCACATCACAAGTTTGCAATTGAAGAAGACGCAGAAAAAAGTATTTTAAAAAACGTAACACATTAGCGAGATATGAAAAGTCTATAGTAACTAAATATATAAGTTTATACTAGGTTTTAAATTAAGTTAGCGACTGGGGGAATCAAAAGGTTAACAATGCATCCACGGCTGGAGAACTTCTTCTATCGTTCTTTCTCCCTCCCATCCGACTTGGTTTGTAGCAACGTGATGGTTCTGCAAAACAGGCAATATAGATATATATAACCAGAAAATGCAGAAAGAACATGTTAAACTAGTAGTTTGGCTTCGCTCTTCCCCAACAAAAGAAACTTGGTCCCCTTGACCAACCTTTCTTTTCCCCAAGATCACCAATAATAGTATTTTGGCTTCGCAGGCGAGTAGTTCGTAAGACCATGATTAAGTTATTCAGGGGGGATAAAGGAGTCAAAACGATTACTCTGTCCTCTCAGCCTGGTAAACATCCGCGACATTAAATTACCCGTTTACTCATCCTCGTTGTCAATAGCCTTGTCAGCGAGGAGGTATCGGTTGACACCAGTAGTCTCATCTCTCTCGTGCTCAATGGCGAGCTTCTGGAGAGCAGTGATGACGTTCTCAACAATGGTATCCTTGCGCTTGCGGTCCTTGCGGCCAAGGTCGTTGAGCCAGGGGATCTTGTTGAGGATGAAGTAGACGATGGCAATGAAGATGGTGACACCGAAAGAGTACAGCCAGACAATGACGACGGTGACAATGTCGGTCCAACCATCGTGGCGCTGGATGGCAAGGTCAACGGGGTTGTCGATCTCAGGGGCACCAGACAGCCAGCCGAAGAGACAGAAGAGAGTAGCCATGATGTCGACACCGAGAATGGCGCCGACGAGCTGCCAAGAGGGCATGGTCTTGCCACCACGGGTAACGAAGATGAGCCAGTTCTCAGTAAGGGCGACCTCGAGGAAGAGAATCTCCTGGACGGAGCCAAAGTTCTGGATGATACCACCGTTGGGCAGGTACATGGTTCCACGGAGAACCCAGGTACCGAGGGCAAGCAAGACACCGAGGACGACGGAGATGACCCAGATCTTGGGCAGCTGCCACTCGACGGGACGGGGCTCGTAGTGGGCATTGTCGTAGGCGACGGCGACGGTAGCCAAATCAGCGAACAGGGCAAGGAAGACGATGAGGTCGACACGGATGGTCTCGTTGATGATGATCATGGACAGAGTCAGGTAGATCTCGAGGTGGAGACACAGAGCGATACGGTACTGGACGTAAGCCTTCATGCGCTGGAAGATCTGGCGAGAGGTCTTGATGGCCAGGACGATGGTGGACAGACCGGGAGCAAGGAAGACGATATCAGCAGCAGCCTGAGCAGCCTCGGTGGAACCCTCGACAGCGATACCGCAGTCAGCCTTCTTCAGGGAGGGGGCGTCGTTGACACCGTCACCAGTCATGGCAGTAAGGTGACCACGCTGCTGGAGCATCTCGACGACACGGTACTTGTGCTCGGGGAAAACCTCAGCGAAACCGTCGGCACGCTCGACGAAGTCGTGCTGGACGGAACCGGCAAGACCACCGTGGATGAGCTTCTCAGAGTTGTAGACCTTGGTACCGAGAGCAAGCATACGGCAAGTCTCCTTGGCAATGGCGATGGCATCACCAGTCAACATCTTGACGGGAACACCGAGCTGGGAAGCCTCGAGAATGGTCTGGGCGGTATCCTCACGAGGGGGGTCGAACATGGACAGGAGACCAAGGAGAACCCAGTCCTCATCGTTCTTCTTGTAGCAGACACCAAGAGATCGGAAACCACGGCGAGCGAATTCACGATCCTTCTCACGGTACTGAGAGGCGAGCTCGTCGTTGGGGTTGGCAAGCTTGAGAATGGCCTTGGGGGCACCCTTGGCGCAGATGAACTTGTCCTTGCCGAGACGGCACTCAGCGGTGATACGCTTGGAGACGGGGTCGAAGGGAGTGAACTTCTCAGTGACCCAACCCTGCTGAAGGATCTCACGAGCCTTGGGGTAGCGCTTGAGGGTCAGGATGGTGACCTTGTCGATGGGGTCGAGGGTCTTGAGGTTGTGGGAAGAAGCAAGAGCAGCGACAGCCATCATCCAGTTGACATCCTCACCCTCGCAGACGTAGGGGTCACGGATGGACAGCTTGTTGGCAGTGAGAGTACCGGTCTTGTCAGAGCAGAGAATGTCGACACCAGCAAGAGACTCGATGGCGGTGAGCTTCTGGACAATGGCCTTTTGCTTGGCGAGGTAGGCAGCGCCGACAGCGAGAGTGGTGGTGGTGACGACGGGAAGACCGACGGGGACACCAACGATGAGGAGAACAAGGGCATAGTGAAGCAGGTTCTGAGAGCCAGGCTCGGCGATCTTGAGGTGGTGGAAGAAGCCACCAATCCAGGCAGCGAGAATCCAGAACATGACGAGAACGAGCAAGCTGGTACCGATGTTGTCCATGACAGCCTTGAAGTGACCCTGGTCCTTGGCGCCCTGGACGAGATCGGCAGTCTTACCGACGAAGGAGTCCTTGGCAGTAGCAGTGACGATGGCATAGGCCTTTCCGCGCTTGCAGCCAGTGGTGTAGTAGGCGACATCACCGAGGTACTTGTCGACGGCGAGAGACTCACCAGTGATGGCAGACTGGTCGACGGCAACGAGGGGAGTGGCACGGTGGTTGGCCAGAGCGGACTCCTGGTTCTTCTCATCCTCGTCTTCCTCCTCGTCGTCGCTGGAGCCCAGCTTGCCTTCGGCACGGAGCTGCTTGAAGACCTCGAAGTCCTCAGGACGAGTGTAGTCGCAGATCAGGAGAACATCAGAGGCGACGGTGTCACCTTCCTGGACAATGAGCTGTTGAGAGAGAAACAATTAGCTTGTTTGTTGCAATGAAACAAGAGTGAGTGAGAGGGCATTGGCTTACAATATCACCGGGAACGAGCTCACGAGCGAGAATGTTCTGCTCCTGGCCGTCACGAACAACGGTACAACGCATGGCAATGTTGCCCTTGAGAGAGGCGACGATATCGGCAGCAGACTTTTCCTGGTAGAAGGCGACGAAGGCGTTGAGCAGCAAGATACCGCAGATGACACCGAAATCGATCCAGTCACCCAAACCGACAGCCAACAGAGCAGCAACTTCCATGACTGGAGAGACACACAACGGTTAGCTCACTGGCACTGAAATGAAACTCATTGAGACTCTCATCAAACTCACCATATAGAATAGGACCAGTAAAGAAACCCAAAAACTTGGCAAACAGATTCTCCTTCTCGGCGCTCAGCTCGTTCCAGCCAGCCCACTTTCGTCGCTCATCAACCTCATTGATACGGATACCAGTGCGGATGTCGGTATCCAGCCAGGCGTCGGGGACAACCCGCTTGGCAGGCTCGCCACTGTCAATCACGTCGGGGCCGGAACTCTTCCAAAACTGCCACCACTTGACATCACGACGGTCCTTGTCGTTGTCGTCGCCGCTGCGGGAGCCCTCGCGATAGGTGCTAATGTATCGCTCCAGGGCGGCGTATTCTGGAAGGTTGTCTCCCGCGGGGGGAGCGACGGTGCTGCCAGAGTGGTCCTCACGACCACCGGCCTCAACATCGTCCTCCCCAGGGGAGCCCTTTCGTCGATGAAAGACAGACATTGTTGTGAAGAATTGCGCCCTCGAAGCAGCCGCGAAACTGGCAATTGAAAAGACGCAACAAGTCGCAACTGGGCAGGAAGGGGAGAGAAAAAGTTCATCCACCGAGGCGGCTTGCCAGAGATATTTATTCCAGCCCGTAGTCTCTTGGGGACACCCTAGTCCGGCCCAATGCCGTGGTTCCTTTTTTTTTTTTGTCTGGACTGGTTTTTTTTTTTTTTTTCTCTCTACCCTCCTTCGATGAGACGCCAGAACGCCAGAGTCTGTCTGGTCGCGCCGTCTCCATCCATCCATCCATCCCAATTCACTCCCCCAAGCGTACTCCGTACTGCTACAGCTTAGACTTCCCACACGCCCCCCCTTGTCCACTTCCCCCATCGGCCAGCGAAGACCGACGGCAGATTGTCGCCTGGGCTAAGCTGATTCGAGAACAAACAGGTAAACCCGCGAGCCATGTCCCAAAGAAGCATAGCAAGCCATAGAATCAAACATGCCGCTCAAAGGCCGAGTTATCCTGTCCTTGGCCCTAAGCCAAAAGAGCGGCGCCGAAAGGGCATTCTCCTGCTGTGTGGATACGACTCTTGGACCTTGGGGCCAGGCCCCGGCGCAACCGAAGCTGTCGACCGATGCCGATATCCGATTTAACCCTCTTGTCCCATCTCTTGGCCAGCAACGCCTCTAGGCCTCATCCAGCCAAAGCACACGCCTGTGCGCCCGGAGTAGCTGGGAAGGTGAAGAGAGACGACCGGGGACCCGCCCTGGCCTGAGCAAAGAGAGCGAATAAAAAACACCAAGGCCGAAAGCTGCTGAAGGAGGAACCACCCCCCCAGATCAAGAAGTCGGAATCCCGGGACAGCCGGCTTCCAAGGGCCAGAAAATTCTACGAAGGAAATCCCGCATGTAAAACTGGCCCATGGAAGGTGTACATACGGTACGTGCCTTTGATTTTGCGCTTATTACCCGCATCGCATCACGCAGCGCCTTTTCCTCGGCCGTCATTTTTTGGGGACGGGGGCCCTGTTTTTCCCCCTTCCTAATTACAAGACGGCTTCTTGATTCAAGGCTCCATCACGAAGCTGATCTCCGGATACCACGAGTGTATCTTGTAGATAGTAGTACTCCGTAGAACTAACTACATACTAAGGCGCGTCTTTTTTTTTTTACTTCCTCCAACGGCACGTCTGAGCGACGTCGGAGGCTGCTTTTAGCAGTTTTGTTAGTGAGCGGCAACATACCTTACTTGGACGAAGAATTAAGTGAAAAAGCCAAGCATGAATCCCGCCCGCCTCATTGGCAGCACGAACAACATCCCCATACAATACAGTACTCGTAGCCTCCCACCGCGAAACGTACTCGTACTCTTAAAAATGTACATACGCGGAATCAAGATTCCTATTCCCAGCCCATGGCATGCAAATCGCGCATCTCGAAAAGCCACCTCACCTCGGAGATGCTGCCACCAACCCCCTTCCCCGTATGTACTGTACAGTAACTACTAACAAGTAACAAGTTAACACCCCCTCGGCCATTGACCTGACCTGACCTGACCAGTCTCTTCCCCCCCAAATGCGCTGTATGTAATGTCAGCACCTCTTCGTGTTTCGCCCTTCCTCACGATCCAATTCGCCCTCGGTGCGTCCCGGGATCGCCTTTTAACCCCATGGCAATGCCGGTAGATGTAAACGCTTAATCCGGGCGCTGGTGTTTCTCCCCCTTCGCTTCGGCCAAGTTCAGTTCAATCATGACGACAGACAGTTCCAACCGGCTTCGGCATCTGTTCGTTCCATTGATTGCCATTGCCATTTGCCATTGTCCTCCTGCAGTCAAGCCCCATGAACCAATCAATACCAGAACCCAGCAAACCAACCCCCGGAAATCTTCCCCCAGCCAAAATCGCCATCTTTTTCAGCCGCTCGCCTTCTCGCCTCAAATTCCCTCCCTCGATTTTCCCATTTTCACCGTCTTTGACCTGCTTCGGATATGCCTCGTCCAGACTCCACACAACGACGTCATTTTGGCCATGTGTGTAGGGGGGAGTACGTACAGTAACTCGTACACATGTACACATTGTACATACGCCCGTCCCTCCCCCCCATTTCCGGCCTAGCGCCGACTGCCCCGCAAACTTGGCTGCTTCGCTGCATTTTTCTAGCGCTTCCATCCGATCAAAAGTCGCTTGGCGATGGCGATTTGCGCTGGAGCGACGCAAGGGCGAGCAATTGAAGCAGGGGCGAGGCGAGAAGAGCGGAAAAAGGCTGAGGATGGAGGTCGTGAGTTGTCGCTGCTCGTAACGGCGCTGTTTTGGCACGTATTTCTGTCGCTGTTGTGCCGCTACAGGCGCTGCGTCTAGCTCACGCGACGGGGGGAACCAAGATGGTACCTGCTGTACAAGGCACAAGTTAGCACAAGCACAAGTAGCTACTGGGTAATGCTCGTACATTACATGGGGATGGGATGGGACTGGGGGCTCCACAGGCACGGAACAGCAACTCGAGAAACAACTTAACAAGGGCCTTGGAGGGATTACTTTTCGAGGTTAGTCGCTGCGGATTCTCTCATTTTACAAGTATCGAGTACTGGTTATCGTACTGCGCATCTACAATCACAGCCGGTACTCGTACAATGTAAGCGCCTCGACTCGAACAGCTCCCACTTCTTCTCTCGCCTCGCCGTTCGGTACGTACCCCCGATCGGGCCGGTCTCAATTTTGCTCCGGTAGCCGCCGTGGCCGCAGCGCCTCTTTGGGATCAATTCCGCCATAGCCGTGGCTTTTGCTTGATTCCTGTTCGCTGTTCGCCTGTACGATACGATACGATGGATATGCGGATAGAATACATGTACAGTACCGTAGCTAGCATGAGTCCGCTACAGTAGCGGCAGACCTTGTCATTCTAGCTTCCAGCAGGTACGGGAGTACATACATGTGAAGAGGCGTGAGAAAAAGCGAAAAAGCGCATACATCATACCGCATCTGCTGGAATGCCAAAAGTAGACATAATGCCTCTCGGCCCTGGGCCGGGGCGTCCGATTTGATGTATGTAAGTCAAAGTGAGAGAGGCAGAAGGCATAACGGAGTAAATCAGCTTCAAAGGGCGATGCCGGCATTTCGCGAGGCTGTAGCAGCAGCAAGCTCCAGAGCAGCTCCCGCAGCAGCTCCAGCTCCAAGCCCAAGCCGTGTTGAAATCTCAACACCATGCCGCTAATACGGCAGCACGCTCCTCCATCATATCAAGAGGTGTCCAACCATGGTCCCCGAGTCCAGCTGCCCATTGGCGAGCTTCTCTCTCTGGCCCTCGATGGCCGCTCCGTCTACTCGGCCACCAACCCGGAGCTGGTCTACTACGAGCTGAGCGCCGCTCCCTTGCAGGCGACGTCGCTCATCTACGTGGTGAAAAAGGTCAAATACCGCCTCGCCGGCGACCTGCGCGTGGGCAGGCTGCGCACCCGCCACGACGACATCTACCTCTTCCGCGACGCCTACGTCAACTTCTACGCGCCCCGGCGCATCGTCATCGACGGCAAGGCCAGCGATGCCCGCTGCTACAGGGACGTCAAGCTGAAGCCGGGCCTCATGGGCTGGTCGACGTGCTCGGCTTCGGGTCACTTCACGGCCAAGACGGCCCTTCGCGATCGCTGGCGGCAGCACTACCAGGTGATTTGGAAGGACGCCAGCGGCCGCATCGTCGCCATGGAGGACAAGGCCTGGCCTTCTGTGCCTATAACCGCCAATGGTAGTAGTACGGCGATGACGGCAGCAGCAGCGGCAGACAACAATGAACACCACGCCGCACCGCCAGCTCCCGTGCCATGCTTGAAGCTGCTCCGGATGCTGGACGAAAAAGATTTGGATCTGCTGGTGACGTGCTGGACGGCCCGCCTCTGGAAACAGGCGCAAACGTCGCTGGGCAGCCCTCCCATGGGCCGGTCTAGAGGTAATAGCTTGGCATTTTTCTTGCTCTTAAAATCATTTGCGGATAATTCACATGTCCCAGTCCCAGTCCCCTTCGTGTGTTATATCATCATGCACGTCATTCGTGTGTGTGAGACATCGTCACGCGCGCTAGCTAACATTGAACTGTTCAAACCCTCAGTCAAGCGATTCGCAGCACGATATCTCCGTCTCCGCTACATGACCGATCTAGTCTCCTCCAAATCAACCCCGACGCGACGCCTCGAGGCATAAGCAAATCAAGCTCACAGATACGCTGATTGAGCTTCTTATAATTCTTATTCTTTAATTTTTATTTATTTTCCTCTCTTTTGTTCCCCAATCCCGCTTAATTGTAGTCCTGTACAAGGCCCCCGATCACGCACATACGCCCACCACGCGCGCACCCATACGCAGATCCCTTCCTGGATTTAAGATAGCCGAGAGTAAAGGGACATGGAGGGGCGTTTACTTGCATTGGAGCAAAGCCAACGGGAAACAGGTCCTCGCGATGGCCTCTCTTATGCGAATTGAACGGTTGAATCACTACGAAGTACTAGATAGGCGCCGAGACTGGACAGAGAGAGAGAGCGCGCGCTCTTGGGGAGGATTTCCATCTAATTCAAGAGACCCAAGCCCTTGGATTGAAGCCGGGATTGCTGCATAGAAATCACTGCCAACTCATCTTTACTGGATAGCCCGTACGAGTATTCAATCACGACTCCTCAGACAAGAGCCAATTGCTCTCCAGGAACCGATGACGCGCGACCAGTTCACCATCTCCAACGTATTCTTTTCCACTTTCCTCCACATCCATACAGTACTACGAATCCATCACCTCCATCCTCACACTTCGTACACGGACCAGGCAGGCCTTCGCCGTTGCGTGCTCAGCACAGACACAACTTGGACCCTCGCCAAGCGAGCCCAGCATCAATCCAGACAGGTATTCCCCGGAAACGCATCACCTGCCCAGACAACTGTGCACCGCACAAGGCGAGGCGATTGCGACCTACCCAGTCAGGGATCGTAACTTGTACGAGTCGAGCTTACCGGCAAACCAGGGGGCGTGTCTCTTAGGCTGTGAAGCTAGCAGGGTCCAAGGCGCAATCAGATCGGCCGGTTCAATCTAGTTCCGACCGCGGCTTTTTTTGACGCGCAGGGGTTTGTGTGCTGTACTCGCGAAGAGGCCAGCCAAAAAGGCTCTCTACCCCCAAGCAAAGGCCCTGCGTATCCGGGGGTGAAGGAAGGGTACAGGGCCAGCGCCAAAAATACCAGTAAGGGTTCAGACAGTATGCGCGAATTGATGAACCGAACGGACCATGCCCCCAAATGTCCATGGAGATGTGCCATTTTTGGAGCTTCAGGAGTGTCCCGACTAAAGCCGCGGCATAAGGAACAACAGCAAACGCAAGAGTCAAAAATAAAGAGACGGTGAATCGGAATTCGGCCACAGCTACAGCTGAAGGGAATAAGGAGGTGACAGCAAAGCTCACTAACACTGCCGGTATATGCGAAACTTTGCCCCTTTTTTTCCGCAATCAACGCAAATCAATGCATATCCTTATTTTGTATTTTTCCATTTTATTGATTTTATTCGCAACGAGTATATACTGGTATACCCAAGTTCCTCTGGTCACGCAAAAAGCAAGCAAGTCCATGGAGCAAAACCCACGAACGAACACTCCCCCACAAGAAGCCAGGGCTCCGTCAGAGCCGCGCTAGGATCCAAGGCAGCCTAGCCGACAGGAATATCCGTAATTACTGATCCAGACTATTGCTTCGAGGCTAGAGCTGATATCGACCGCGTCGCCGGCATGCCGGATTGGGGGCCTGACTTGATTGCTATCGACAGGTTTATGATTACCATGACCCAGCTTTCTCGTCTGAGTATTACTCCCGTACTCCAAACTACTGTGAGTGAAAGAAAGGCGGTAATGAGATGAGACAACGCATTATGGCGCCAGCCAACGCAGAAAGTAGGGCCGCGCGAAAATGTCATTGAAAATAGCAACGGCATAAAGATAGATAGACCACCAAGAAAATAAAAAGGCTGGGGCTCAGCTTTCGGGGACAGAGGCATTTACATTGCGATGGTTCTGCCTTTATCGATCCACGCCCCCCCTCTCTACATGAACCCAAACTAAGCAGATAGATAGTACATACTCCGTACAATTCAGCTCAAAGGTGTAGCAAAGCAGTAGTATTACGACACGCAAGGAAAAATAAACTTGGTAGACAAGATACTTGGGGGCAACGGCAGTGGCACGAGCTGTTTGTCATGGCTTGCCGCTCTGAGCCAATTGACTTTGCCCAGTTAACGAGCTGCTGTCGCGGTGGCTGGCCTCGACGGCAACAAACTTTTAGTGAAAATAAAGGGCAATGATCACCAGGCAGGCGGCAAAGAAAGGAAGAAGAAGAAAAATTGAAACACGAGCTTCTGCCGAGGGCCAACCGCCATCACCTACTTTTACCTCACGTCACAGAAACTGACAATCTTGATAGGGAACTACGGGTAAACTACTGTAGCAGCAATCTCGCATTGAAGCCATATCTCTTCTCTTTGTATCTAATAGAGACACGGAGCAGTGGCTCTTTTTCTTTAGCCTCACCATCGTTACTCCGTACTCCGTACTAAACTACGGACAATTTTCCAATGGCCCTTGTCCCACCAGGCCCAGAATCTCGTTCATCTTAGTAAGGGCACAGCGACCGAAGAAAAAAAAAAATGTCGCAAGGCCAGACCAGCCAGAGAGGGCTGTCAATTTCTGGTTATTCCCGCCGGCGGCGATGTGCAAAAAAGTAGCTTCAAACTTGCTAGTAAGCCTAGGCAGTTATAGGGATTTTCCACACCTGAAGCAAGCCTCACTTTTTTGGTTAACATTCTGGCCCTATCTCTAGCCAATCTCCATCAAAAAAGGGGAGGCTCGCTTTTGATTGCAGGGTAGAACGGGCATTCCCACTTCCTGATAGTAGTAGTACTTCTAGTTGCTAGAATGGAGTCCCGATTGCTGCTGCTAGAAGCATATCGTAATAGCTTCATGTACTCGTACGGAGTGCATTATATTGCAACATCCAGTTTAGCTGAGTACGGGGTACATTAGCAACAGTGCCGAGGTGCTTTCGCCCGCAACAGCAACGGATTACTTCCGGATGAGATGAACCAGGTGTCTCACTCATTGCCTCGATTCGATGATTACATGGTCAGTGTATTACTCGCTTTTTTTCCAACAATAGACCTGACATGAAAATTCCCCACGCCCCAGGCTGCCCAAGTTATCCCTCAAAAATACCTGTCACAGCAGCCAGCCTTCCATTTCCTCCGACCATCTCCTTACGCTGTGACTTTTTGCTCCGAGGAACACCAAGCAACGAGGTGGCTCCTGACCCGTTTTCTTTCTCCGGAACAACAAGCTGGACCCTCAAGAGAACCACAAAAAAGATTAGAGCCAGGGGTCTTTTTTTCGACCGTTCGTTTTTCCTCTTTCTGCGACTGGACTTGTGTTTACGGAGTACCCACCGGCACTAACACACACGGCTCGGAATCAAATACGGCGCAGCCATTGGACGAAGCTCACGATGGGCAGCGGAGCCGAAGCACCGAATTCGCACAGAACGCCGGCGGAAACGGATCAACTCCGGCAGACAACGAACGAATTGAAGGCAAAAATGAAATGAAGTGAAATAAACAACGAGTAGCAGGAAGAGAAATACTCGTATAACATGCACCTACGGAAATGAAGTAAAAAGTAGTAGCCAAAATGGCCCAGAACCAGAAAAGGGCTCTCCATCAGGCAGTTTGCTGACCTACATGACTGAATTTCCTGGCTAACAATAACAACTCACACAGGTCCCTAAGCCCCCCCTTGCCTCTCGCTTCTTTTCTCACCCAGTCCAGTGTCATGGCTTTTTCTTTGCCAAGATCGTCAGTGCGTTTTTTTGGCCTCTCTCTCCCTTGCCTCGTCTTGGGGCCGGTTAATGGCGCTCTTTTCCACGTTAGTCGCCCGCTGTCAGTTGGTCCAAATCCCGGCCAAGCGTGGGCTATGTGACGTGACGAGTGGAAGAAAGGCAGAAGTGAGAAATCGCCTAGCATCGCCAAGTCTCGAGGGCACGGCCGGCGAATCGCCTTGGCAACGTCTTGGGAGATTGATTTCTTCAGCAAGTAAAATAAAAAAGAAACAACAAGGAAGTAGAAACACCAAACAGTCAAAGCGTCCAGCGCAAAAACACATACATGTAATACAGTACAGTAAGACGTAGAAAAACCAGGCCAAAGTGGGCAAATACCTAGAAAGAAGCCCATCCCAAGCCGGGAAACTCCCATCACCAATCCAACGACGCAATCATGCGCCATTATTGATCACCCAGAAGAAAAAAAAGGCCCGGCCTTGTTCCGCCATTGCTGCTGCCTTCTGACTCTGGACTCTCTCTACTCTCTATAATCCCTCGCTCTTTTTTAGCACCCAAACTTACTCGAGTCCCAGACCGAGGTGGCAAGGGGGGGTCTTGAGTCGTTTATGTGGAGCGGCAATCCCGTTTCCGCCTTTCCTCGCGTGTTTGTTCCTGTTTTTTTCTCACTCGCTCACTCTTTTCCCTCGCGATTCGCGTCGTTTCTGCGAAAAATACGGAATCGGGATTAGCGCTTCTCGCTGCACGGCGATTGAAGCACCGGCGCTCCGTTCCCGTGGGCTTGCGGCAAAAGAAGAAGCAACATTCACGTCACAGTCACCGGCGGCAATTGGGCAAGGGATTTGATTTGATTTGATTGTTGCCTATTCCTATTGCCGGCTGCGGTGTGTGTGCTGCGTCATGCAGCGAGGGCGAGGATATACGAGGATACGAAAGTTCAGCTGCCCTGCCAGAGATGCGCGCAATGGCGTGATGTGATGTTTGTGGCATGATTATTGATTCCAGTCCCTTTGGGGCAATCTTGGTGAGACGGCTCGACTGCTCGATTTTGACGCGTCGGGATGGTGAAGCTGCTTTTACTTGTAGATGCTCCGGAATGAACACAGAATTACAGTAGCTCTATTGCGATGAACGTCACATGAAGTCATCCGTATACTCGTAGTATTTGATTGTTATAGAAATGTATTACAGCACCTGCGTGTGTTGCTGCACAAGTGCTCCTGTTGGCGTCGCAGAGTATCAATCAATAGCCTACCCGGGACTCCAAAACTCATCACCTTGGTCTTCACGTTAACACTCATCTCATCTCACCGCAACTAGAGACACTTCAGTTCATCATTCAACGGCCTTGTCTCACACAGCCTTACACGTTTTGACGTTGCACAACTCCACGCTCATCCGAGACAAATGTCTCATCAAAAAAGAAACACAAGACATCTCACTTCCCTCCCGTCCTAAACCCACGTTCCAAATCCCACCTCAATCTGCAACCCCAAAATAAGCATAACCCAAAACACAACAGTAGCCCAGCCCATATGCACACCCAATACCAGAAATCCCCTCAGCTCCATCGAATCACCATAACAGCTCCATCAAACACCATAAGCGCCGCACCACCCGCTGCAAGACGACTTCTACCAGTATAGGCAAGACTTCAAACCAGTATAACCAGCCGAATATAACTCGTTCGTACGCAAAGAAACCAAAAGTCCGCCGCAATCCCTATTCCCCCGGGCCGATCCGGTTCCTGGGACCTGTGTCACTGTGCCTGGGAGAGGGGCGCCCGATTCGATGCCTCATCCATCCGCCATGGCCGACCAGGTCGCCACCAAGGACGACACGATAGTCCGTAAGCGCAAGACTCATCGCAAGTCTCGCCTGGGCTGCGGCAACTGCAAGATTCGCGGTGTCAAGGTAAACCCAGCTATGCTCTTCCCCTCTGTCTCCCCTCATCTGTTCCTCTCATAGCATACGTAGTAGCTCTCTCTTGTAATACACGCCTGTAATAACACACACTTACACACACTTTCATATATCGTATCCAAAAACATACATGACTTACACGCCTCAAACCAACAGTGCGATGAATCCAAACCCACCTGTCGCCGCTGCCACGCATCCGGCTTCACATGCAACTACTCCCGCGCCGCCCCAACCCTCCAGCTCTCCCACTCCAGCGTCCTGAGATTCGATCTCTCGCCATCACCAAACCAAGTACCCGTTGACGGTGTTTTCCCCACGGATAGCATCTTCTGGGATGTCTCTCTCCAGCCTGCCCTGCGGATTCCCATAGTCTTGCCTCTGCAGGGCAGGCTGGGGGAATACGCTCTACGACCACAAGACTATGCTGCTCTACATCGCTTTCAGACGAGGACGGCTGCGTCGTTGGGGACACTCAGTCAGAGGAAGTGGTATCCCAAGATTGTATCTAACCTCGCAAAGGAAGTAAGTTCTCTTCTTCCCATCCATCCCCTCCATATATCATATCGTATATCAACATCTGTACAAACCTCGATTTTAACCAACTTCAAACTCACAGCACCCCTTCCTCTTCCACTTCTTCCTCGCCCTCTCCCTCCTCCACGACGCCCACCTCTCCCAACCCCCCCTCCCCCAAGCCCACCACGCATCCCTCGCCTTCCACTGGTACCACAGCACCGCCATCCTCTCCCATTTCCTCTCCCTCCCCTCCCCAGAAACGACCCTCTCCTCCTCCCACCGCGACGCCCTCTGGATCTGCGCATCCACCCTCGGCGCAGCCTCCTTCGCCTCCATCCGCACTCAAGATCCCTCCGCCGCGTGGCCCCTCGCCGACCCGAACCCGGCTGTCGACCTCGACTGGCTCAAGATGGGACACGGGAAACGCGCAGTGTGGAACATTACCGATCCGAATCGTCCTGATAGCGTTTTTCACAACCTACTTAACCAGACGCCCATGCAGAATCCCATCGATCCCTCCGTCATCGTACCAGATTCGCTCCCTCCGCTCTTCTATTCGGTCTTCGAGCTATCGGCAACGTCCTCCCCAGAGACGAACCCGTATCATAGTGCTTGTGCCATCATCTCCGCCCTTTCGGTCGAACCGATCAACGACGACACCGTCATTCTCTTTCTTAGTTTCATCACCCAAATAGACCCCTCATATAGAAGCCTCATCGAGGAGAAAGACCCTCGTGCGCTCCTCCTCCTCCTCTATTGGCACTCCATGGTCGTGCCAGAGAAACGATGGTGGCTACGACGGCGTTGTATTGTAGAAGGCAAGGCCATTCTGATGTATCTCGAACGATATTGCGCAGATGATGGCGATATCATGGAGCTGTTGCAAGTGCCAAAGAGAAGACTAGCCAATTGGAATTTCATCAACACGGGCATGGTAGAGAAGCGTTGATAGATATGATAATCATGATGATATATAATAAACACGAGGGTCTACCAGAGACTCTCGGAAATGACTATCGAGTAATATACCAATACTATTTAATGACAATAACAAGTACACCGCTCTATCGCTTGGTGAGAAAAAAGAAAGAAAGAAAAAGCTACATCATAAGCATAAGCATAGCGGCGGTACAAACGCTATATTCCCCATTCATTAGCCAATCATTCCTTTACTACTATGTCCCACTGGCTACGTCGTTCGTCGCTATAGGAACATCCTGCTGCTCTGGCTCTGCAACCTTAATACCATCGTCCGGGGTACTCATCAGGGGATGCTCATGATCATACCCCACGGACTTGACAATGCCAAGGCCTCTTGTACGACCTTCGCGGAAGAGCAGCCGGTCTCCAGGGGCAATGTACTCTGGACGCTGGACGAAGCGGAACGCAACATTTGCACGGTCACCAGTACGGATCAGCTCGCGATCAATGTCGATGATGGCACAAGTCTGTGACACAGCGCCAACATGCAGCATGGCCTGGTAGCGCTTCTTGATTGTGGTCGCGTGAGACAAGATGAGAACTGTTTTAGTTAGCATTCCGTTATAAGACGCCTAGAGACACCTGGATGACGCACCTTCTGCAACAAACTCGCGAAACACCTTTGGGCCGGTTTGTCCCTCCTCCTTGTGAAGCATCACCATCCCCTTCCGGACGTCTCGTCGCTTCATCTTTTTGAGCGCAAACGAGGCAGACTGCCCTGCCTCGGCCACTTGCACGCGTATTCTCTTGCGCTCAATGGACCGCACCGCTGTAGGGGTAAAGTGTCCCAGAGAATCCGGCCCGATGAGGACATTGTCACCTTCGTGAACCATGCCTGACTTGACGATACCAGAGACCACCGTCCCCGTGAATGGCACCGAGAACGTGTCGTTGACCTGAAACTCGAATGGCGCATCCGAATGGTAGTGGCCGTGGTGCGGCAGCATGTTCAAAAAGGTCCGTACAAGATCGAGGTTCTCGCCGGTGACGTTGGACACCTGGAAGACGGGACATATCCTCTTGCTCACAAACTGGGTCGCCGTGTTGATGCACTCTTCGCGGTTTGTGATAAAGGTCGGCATCTTTCTCGCCCCAGGGCTCTTCATGATCTTGTTGACCTGGCTAATGGTCTCCTTGAGAATGTTGGGCGGGCAAATGTCAATCTTGGTGATGATGACCATGACCGGCACATTGAGCGCAAGCGCAATTCCCAGATGCTCCTTGCTCATACCCACCAATCCGTTGTTGGCCGCAACCATAAGGAGGCAAAAGTCGGGGCTGCTGGACAGCAGGCCGAACACGGTCGTCCTGAGATACTTTTCGTGTCCTGCCAGGTCGCTAAACGTAATGACCTTGGCGCTGTGCTTTCCAATATCTTCCCAGGACAGCTTTCGACCGGGAGTATCCGAGGTGACGACTTGACCCAGGCTATCAAATCCCATGATTTCCATGCCCACGGAGCTTGTCCGCCCAGATTCCATTTCGTGCTTGTGGCGAAAGAGATTTACCCGCGCCTTTCCTCGCCCATCGTCAAGATCATTCTTGACCAGGACGCCTAGCAGCGAACTCTTTCCAGCATCAACTGTTTGCGGTCTGCCTTTAGCACATCGTTCCGACCCAAGGCAGTACGGAAAACTTACCGTTGCCAACTACGGCTATTCGAGTCTCAATGACGTCTTCTATCTTGTCTGGTATCCTCCGGATGAGAATCTTTCCGCTACAGCTCTTATCCTTTGTTGGATTGGTGGCCGTGCTCTCAGCCTCTTCCTTGCCGCCGACATTGGTTGTCAGGAGAAGCTGACAGTCTGCGCGCACCTTTTTCGCAGCCTCGACTAGTCTTGGATATGCAATATTCCACTCGTCCAGCGTTAGCTGCATTGATTCGCCGCTGTTCTCAAAGCCAAGATCAAAGACAGTCTCTCCTGCGCCCTCTTCTATCCGCTCCGTGATGACATCCCCGAGCTTCCGCAACGTGTCGTCGTCCGACCCGAGCACAAGGTCCTTGAGCTTTATCCGCGGCGCAGAGTCTACCAGATTGAGGCTGTCTAGGAGCTCATCCAGCTCTGCATCGTGCTCTGCCGAGTCGGGAACGGGCTTCTTGGTCGAGGATGGATACCGGAGGTTCTGCTGTTGCTCTACGTATTCCGCAAAGTCGCTGAGGGCCTGCGCAAGGTCGCATTAGTATTCAATCATGGTCCGACCTAGACCGACTAGCTGGGTAGCTATTGGAATGATTGATAGCTTACTGATTCGCCTTTGCGCTTGTCATGCTCGTGGCTCTTTGCCGCCTTGGCCGCCTTGGTCGCCATTATGCCGTGACAGTGTGCACCGGACACACCCGTTTTACAATAGATCTGATAGCTAGAGGATCCGGGAGGGAAACGAAGCTGGGAAGCATATTATATAGACAATATACAAGACACAAACTATGACTCTTCGGCCTGGCTAGCAAGGTTTAGCTGTTAGTCAACGGCAAAAGGAGTCACTGTTTGAGCTGAGCCTCAGCCAGGCCAGGAGCCTCGGAGAGAGTGGCTATCGATAAGGCAAGCTTTTGGACATAAATGTGGGGCGATGACACGACTCGATCTTGGTCTGCGATTAGAGCATTCCACCAGTAATTACATATCATCACATCCATCTTCCAGCCAATGTCCAGACAGCCCTGCTTGTCCATGCAGAAAGAGCAGAAAGAATCAAAGATGCGTGCGCATTGGTTTCACTCCTTCAAAGAGAAACACGAAAAGAAACTCTGTGAGCAGAGGGGAAATGGCCACAGCATGCTGACCTGTCCCTCTCCATCCTTGCCATCACCATTGCCGTAGACGACATTGACCAATCGTTCACTCTTGGCAAGACTCTCCAACGATACCGGTCAGGTCCATATACAGAGAGCCACAAAGGGATTTGATGTACATCGGACAATGTAAATCAGCTGCTGCAGTTTGTCGCCTCGATCATCGTGTCACTTTCGCATTTGCCTGCTCATGCCACGGTAAAGGCCAGGAGCGCGTCATGTAGTTCTTCGCATCGTGTGGATCGTGGAGGTTTATCTCAGTTTCTTATTGGTATCATTGCTGCAATTGCTGTCTATTTCTAGAAAGGAACCTGGGGAGAGATTAAAACGACGCTATCGCCTATGAGTCTGTTAGCCACTCCTCCCTCGACCACTTGAGCCCCATGGAAGAACTGACCTCTCACAAACAACATTTCTGATTTCCTGCTAATTGTCTTGCCAAGTGTTAGAGGTGTATGCTGCTGCTTGTGAACCATCATCTCCTTACCTTGACCTCGTCGCTCTCTTCCTCGTCATCGTCGACGGCGTAGATGGTCTCCTCCACATCGCCCAGCACCAGGTTGCAGTGGCTATCGTAGGCCTGCAACAACTTTATCAGCACCCATACACCTCTAGAACCGACAATTCATGAATAGCGCGTACATGGAGCTTGCCCTTGAGCTCTCGGTCACCGCGCAGCTTGACAAAGACCACTTCGTTGAGCAGCAGCCGCACAAGATCGAGCGGCTCAGCCACGTGGCTGGATTCCTCCCCAACATCCGCCATGCTTTGTATCTCGGTGTTCGCTTCTGTATTCCTGAGGCAAGGGGAAAAAACTGCAAAGACTGCGTTTGTCGTCGAATGCTTTGAGCTCGTGTGAATGCGGCAGCTCTTGAGATGGCCTCGTCAAAAAAAGCTAGCCTTGCCCCTCCATGCCGTGGGAAATCTTCGGCGGGCGCATCGCCAGAAATGCATATCGTAATATGCAAATATCGAGGCGATGCCCCATATGGCTTCATCGCTTCTTCAAGACCCGCGGCCCCATTGTGAAGCCACTTTTACCCCAGATTCTGAGAGAATCGCGCCAGTATTAACTATCAACTAGCCCAGTCGCTGGGACAAGTCAATCGCAGTTCTCCTCACTCTGCGTGGCCTTCTCAATGGTCGCTAGAATAGCATCATGACGCCCAGACGACTTGTCTGGCCTGGACGCCGCCTCGGACTGGCAGCCCTGAAAAACCAGCGCCATGATGCTTCTTCACTTTTGCCATTGAGATGCGGGCGACAAAGCACTGGCCAGCGCAGTCTAGCGTCCCTCACAGCTTCGTCCAATGTACAGAGTCATTTGTTTTCAGAGCTGACGCCGCCCAGCGTTCGGCCCGAGTTGGGGATTCTCCTGGAATCCATCAAGAAGCGCAACATGTCCCGAATCGGCTGGGAATTCACTGCCTGGACCGATATTCTAAGCGATGTCAATCTGCCATATCATGAAGCTGCAGTTCGAGAAGCCCGAGAGCTTCCTGTGTCGACCTTTTCCGAGATTCTGCGCAGTATTGACCCGATACAGTCTCCTGAAGCTGATATCGCACATGGGCTCAACCTCACTCCGGCACATGCGCAGTTCACCTTTCCCGGCATGCTGCTAAACCAGTTCGGTGTGCGCAAAGTCCATCACGGCATCCTCCAGGGCGTTCGAACCCTCATTGAGATCCGCAGCCAAGCCCCGCCGTCTCACAGCCCAACGGCCGCAGACTTTGAAGTAGCCATGAGATGTGCCGGCGCAGCAATGGACCATCAACAGGCCAAGGCATTCTGGACCGCCATGGCAGCTCAAGGCTTGCAGGACTCTCGATCGTCAAAGTCATGGTCAGACTTTATCAAGGCTCGTTTCATGGTAGAACCCGTCTATTACCAGTTCGACCGCTCCAGAGTTGCTTTCCTTGCGCGAGACCTGTACAGCAACCACAATCCGCTTCCGGTATCGAAGCTTGAACGCCTAGACAACATCAGATTCAGCATCAATGCGCTGAAGAGAGAGCCGTGGAACCGCAGACCAGATCAGTTGGACGAAGACTTGCGGCGTCTCCTCCGCCGGCGCGCAGGCTACACGAGCTACAAGAACCACTGGATACGCAATCTCTACTACGGCCACGAAATGGACGAAGAGCTACTGTGCACCTCCATGATTGCCTTTGCCAGGTCCAGCTCAGTCTATTCCATCAAGAAGCTGATCCTGGAGAGCTACTACGGCATCGTCGTCACCACCACCGAAGAAGGCGGCATCCAAGTCTCCGGAGGCCGCGACTTCGCCCACAACTCCCCCCTGAAACCGACCTCCCGTCTCTTGCACGCCATCGTCGAGGCCTTTGGATCCATGTCACACATCGTCCTCGGCACGAAGCTGCTGGACTTTATCTCCCGCCGCTACGGCATCGCCATCCCGCACGAGACGTGGTCTGGCCTCCTCAGCTGGACCTACGTCTCGGCCTCCAAGCCCTTCAAGCGCACCCGCGACATCCACACCGGCAACTTATCCACGGCCACTTCCGCCGCCGACGTCCGCCACATCTGGGACGTCATGACCGCAGAGCCGTACAATATCACACCAACACTAGCCGACCTCGACATCTACGTCAAAACCCTCATCAACCAGCGCTCCGTCGGCCACGCCATCACCGCCATCCGCACCCACGCAATCCCCCTCTACACCTCCCTCTGCACCCGCCATCAAACATCCCTCGCCGACGAAGTCCTCCAGCTCGACGCCCTCTACTCCATCTCCACCGCCCACGCCTCCTCCCTCACCTCCAGAGCAACCTTTCGCCGCCGCAAGGCCCAGCTCCTCAAAGACCACGCCCACCACACAATCTCCTCCTGGCTCGCCCGCCTCCTAAAGTCCGCCTCCGCCACAAAATCCCGCCAGGGCTCCCTCATGCGCGTCCGCATCCCGGACCTCCTCCTCGAGTTTTCCGACTTCTTCCACCACGAGATCCGCTACCGCACCGCCCAGGGCCACGTCGTCCTGCGCCGGCCCGAAACCGACGTCACACGCCGCTTCGACTGGGACGCGGGGACTTTCCGCCGAACCTTGCCGCAGAAGAAAGCCGGTCTGTATGCGCGAGAGTTTGAGGGCGCCAGTGATCCCGAGTTTCCCTGGCCGCAGGTTGACAGCATCAAGGTGTTGGAGTGGAAGAGGGTGCCGAGGAAGAGATCTGAGTTGGCTCGTCGGCCGCCGGGCGAGGCGGCGAGGGAGTCGAGGGCGAAGGGATGGTGGGATGCTCTAGAAGAAGAATTGATGCTGTAGACTCTGTTTCCTTCTTCTTTCTTCAGGATACATGTACTGCATATAAAGGGGGTTGATAGATGGATTCATTTGTCTATAGAAGATTGTCTATAAGAGCATCTACATAGAAGCAAAAGTAAAAAAAGATAAAATGAAACAACCTTATTGAGGTAAATCTGAATCTCAAATGTACATCTCACAAAAGTACTCAGAAACCGCGTCAGATATTGTCAATGCCAGTCATGATTCATAATTCATTCAATCTATCTATCCCAAGAAGCCAAATATAAATCATCGATATGTACAAGATGCAGCCGACCTAGGGTATTTCCCGCTTGCCCCCTTTCCACCTCAAAGAGTCCACCCCTGAAAAAAATGCAGAAGCGAATCAATGCGTCACAGCATCATTGTTCCAGCTCGCAAATACACCCAACAGTTCGCAGTACTAAACAGCGTAAAAGTGAAATATCCAAATCCACAATGCCTGTCGTAACCAAATGATGTACAAAGAAAAAGAAGAGTAGCCATGAAAGTCAAAAGAGAAAACCCTTTAATAGCAGTGTAGAAATGAATGCGCAATGTATGCGAAATGTCAAGATATTATCTCATCAACCTCCAATGGCAGCTTCAGCCAAAACTCCCAGCAAGCTGGCAGCGGCACCGCCAATGCCAACCATACCGAGCGCCTCGCCCCATGGCTGCTTCCTTGCAGGCCTCTCTCGTCTCCGATCATCACGGCGATCACGGTCATTGTGATGCGACCGGTAACCGTCATCTCGATCTCGATCTCGATCTCGGTCCCGGTCTCGGTCTCGACGACATTTGTCGTCATATGACGGATCACTGTCTCGCCTTCTTCTGTCTCTGTCTTCACGGCGTCTAGAATGATCATCTCTATCTCTTTCGTCGCGGTCTCGAGACTTTTTAGAAGAATTGGAATCTCGACTCTCTCGACTCTCCTTGCCATCGCGGCTGTCCTTACCCTCGCGACTGTCCTTACCCTCGCGACTGTCCTTACCCTCGCGACTGTCTTTCTCTGGCCGGGCTTCAACCTCGTAGGGGTCAGGGCCGAAGCGCACATGGTTGGTGTTTTTGTTCTTCAAGATGGGCTTCGGCATCACGGGGTTAGTTGCAGACGACCTCTTCTTTTCTGGAGGATTCACAATGATGGGTTGATTCTTGACATCCTTTTCGTCCAACGCTTTATCGTCGTCTGCGTCAGACACGTCGCTCCGCCGCTCCGAATCTTTGTCGTCTTCAGCGCTCCCATCTCGGCTACTCTCTGATCCCGTTCGTTCGGGTCGATTCACGTGATGAGAATGTTGCTTGCTGACTGGAGGTACACTTCGGCGAGCAGCACGACACTCTGCACTCAAACGAGCGTAATGGGTAACTTGGTCAAGGGATAGGTGGCCAAGGATGGCGACGTAGCCTGGGCGAGCTTCGTACCGCACGCCAGCACGATGAAGAGCCTCAGGGCTGACGACAGAGCGTTTGATCTTGGTCCACTCTGCGTGCATAGGAATCTCCCGCCCATAGCTGTCCGGAGCCAGCCGAGGTATCGACGCCCCTCCATATGCCGGGGGAGCACTGGAACCGTATACGTGAGGTGCTATTCCATCTACACTGAGTTGCTTCGCTTGGGGAATTGCCTGAGGGGCTGTAGACGTCGGCAGCCTTATCTCGGGTAAAGCCCCAGACATGATGGGCTGGAATGATGGAGCATCTGCCTGTGTAGGAGAGCTGCTTAGATGGAGGCCAGCCATGTCCGAGCTGAGCGAATCCATCAGCAGTAGATCTCGTGTGGAGATGAAGTCAAAGGATTTTCCAATGTTGCCGTCATTCTCGCTCGGAGCACAGGCACGGGGGTCGTACGACAGCTCTTGGGCCAGAGATGGATGGGGTCGTTGATCCGGCATGAGTCGCCCAGTATCCATGCTAGCAGTCTTGTCGTAGGCGACGGGTGGAAAGGTCATGTGGCGAGCGTACATGGGGTTGGGAGCGGAATTGCCATCAAGCTCAAGGAGCCCTCGGACGGTAGGCGGAATGCCGTCCTTCATGGATGGCACGGATTCAATCTCTTGAATGTAGGCGCGGAGGATATCCTGTATTGTGTCAGCTTCTGCCATATTTGCGCTACAAGGTGCCAAAGCTGGGGTTGAGTGCGCGCAAGGGGACATACCTCATGCTCATCCAGCACCTTGGATGAGAACCCCTCCTTGACAAGCTCGGCCTTGAACTTCTTCCACAGCTTGTCATCGCCGCTATTCGTCTTGTTGCTGTCGCGACGAAAGAGTCTACGCCCAATAGCATCCACTTTGTCCTTGATGGCCTCCAGACCAGGTCCACGGCGGCGGCGAGTTGGCGAAGCGTCCCTCGACTGCAGCAGATCCAAAAAGGCATCGATGACAGTCTTTTGGTGGACTAGTTTGACTTGCACAGCGTTGATGCTCTCGGCAGCGCCATCAGCGTACGGCCCTCCGCCCCTGCTGTTCAAATCCAGGACGAGCTCGAGCTGCTTGAGCGTCGTCTGGGAGTCTTTAACGATGGAGTTTAGCTGCTTCAAATAAGTGGAAGAGTCCGGAGAGTTGAGGCGCGAGTCCGGATCGGCAGCCTCGACACGGAGGTCGCGCAGAGCATTGTGGAGGTTGTGAACAGCCTGAGAGGCGTCGCCAGAGAGAGACGGGACGGTTGACTGGGTGGTGCGCACGTAAAGGGTCCTGGCAAAGGCGTCGACGGCATCGATGTGCTGAACTACGGAGGTACCGCTCATAGCTACCATGCGGGCTACCATGCGATGGCGAAGTGGGAAACTTGATGAGAGTATGTGATGGTTGATGCTGTCTTGGGGAGTCGAGTGGTGGAAGAAGGTCGTTGAAACAAGAGGCAGGTTTTGCTTCTTGGGAGAAAATGAAGAGTCACGTTAGGCCGCAGTTATGTAAACAGTAGCCGGAGCCTTATAATAGGTTAACAGGAAATGACAGAGAATGGTCGTCTGTCGCGTGTCCTCGTGATACGATAGGTGCGGCGTCTTGGCTGGGTGATGCGGATCTGCTGGTTGGTCAGCAGCGATGGTTGATGTGGGCTGGAGATGGCGGAGCATGCGCTTCCAAGTTCCGGGATCGAAGGGCTCGTATACTCGATATCTCCGATGCAGGGAAAATAAATAAATAAATAAGAGTTGTTGATGTGGTATTTGTAGAAAGAGAGTGTGTGAGAGTATGAGGGAGTGTTACAAAAAGAGGAGGGAGGAAGATGGAGGAGGCAAAAGAAAGAGAGGCATGGCAACCATTTTCAATGACTCTTCACCACACTCACTCACTCACTTATCGATACTGCACCCAATATAACCACACAGCATCGACCACTCCCCCCCTCCCCCCCTCCTATCACAAGCGAAACCCCCTCAGACTCTGCAACTCTCAAATCATCGCCTGCAACAACCGTCGATCCAGCCCCGGCCACAGACTCGCACACGCGCCTCAAACATCCATCAGCAGTGCCCAAAGTTCGAGACACAAGAGCGCACATGTGGCTTCAAACCGCACGGGCTGTGACGTCGTCCACCAGCCCCGCCATCAACTTTCCCTGCTGTGGGGGAACCAGAGGGATGGAGGGTGGCCGCTTGGGGCTTAAAGAGGTCCCTACAGGGGGCTAGAGCCTAAGATGGAGGGTTCCAGGGCTGGATTGGCCCGCCATCCCCGACCCCTGTCGACGGCCAGCCATGATTTGCATGTGCTCAATGTCTTGGTCGTGTTCCTTTGCACCTGGATGGGCGATGGAAGCCCATCTCGAGGAGGCCCTAGAAACCACTAACACTAACACTTCGCCTAGCAGTCAGTCGGTACCCGGTACCTACCGCTTGGTGGCTTGAGCGCTGTGGACACTGGAACTGTTCGCACCCAACGGACAGCCTTGGGAGAAGCCTTGACGCAACAGGGCAGTCAATTTGATCCCTCCAATTATTGACGTCAAGATGAGCATTCTGCCTGTGTCTCCCCGTCTACAGTCTACAGTACTTTACACAGTCATCTTCACCATAACCAGCATCAGATTGGCCAAAACTGCATCTCCCCTGTCTGTCTCATTCAATTTTTTTCTTCAATTTTCTCTCTCTTCATCGCCGCTCTAATAATAGGTAATTCCATGCATCTGCATCTCCATTTCGCCACTTCGTGTCTCGCCCATGCCCGCCCGCCCGCCCAACTCGATACGGGCCTCGGAAATCTACACATCTAAGCTAATCTTACTTCCATGCATGTCTCTCAGCGAGGCTGTGCTGCAACTGCATCAAACCATGTTCATGTTCTTCGGAGCCCTCCGCAACTCCGCAGCGATGCAGGTGAAACAACTTTCGAGGCAACGTGAAGACCGTCGCGCAATTGGTTCGTTGGCTGCTGCAAACTGCTTTCTTTCTTAATTATACGGGTACGGGTACGGGTACCTGTAAGTATGCAACCCTCTAGAAACAGCCCGGTGTTCGGTTCTCAATCGAGAAAAAAGACACAAAAGAAGCTGCGCCTTGTTAGATTGAGCTGTTGTCCTCTTATCGGCTTGAGATCATGTGTTCGGCTTCTAGCATTAGACAAAGGCCGACTTCGCATCCAAGTCTCATCTCAAACTTTCAGCTTTACATCCTAATGCAGTCTACCGACATCTTTCAGCCCTGCTTTTCACCTCTTCCATGCTCCATACATACCAATCAGCCTCCCCTCTCTCTCACTCCTTGGCCCCCTACTTTTCATGCATCTTCATGCTCAGCTCCCCAAAGTTCCGTGCTCTAACCTAAGAAGTCTCGATGCATCCAGACATGGACAATTCAAGGCGAACTTCATTTACTACTGCACCGGCTCAAAGACCATTTCTCCCCGCTTCGTCAGGTCCCAACTACCCATGTCCATGCATTCCAGTTCAGCCCGTGATAGGACACATGCTCTCACAGTATGTCACACATACATGACTGCCTCATTCTACGCTCTTCAAGCAATCTTGGAATGCTTCATCACCGCTTGCATGTGATACTTCTTCCTTTCCATTGACTCTCTAATGTTGCATGTGATAATTCTTTTCATTGTCTCTCTAATCGAACTCGAATACGAGCACCCAATGCAGGAAATCAAATCCATTGCCTTGTTTCAATTACATACCAAATCTATATCTTTCTCGCACAACACAACAATGGTATTATCCAGCTATCCGG